AGTTATTTACCCAATCTTAACGCTATTAAGCTAGCCTAGCTATAGTTAAAGAGAAGAATAACAAAGAAAGAAGCTCTAAAAAACAAAAATAAGACTAACTAAGTATAGAAGTAGGCCTAGAATAATCTTCTATAGTTATAGATCTAAGCTTAGATAGAGAGAATTTCTATCTCCGTTTAAAGGATTATTAAACTTAGTAGTAGAAATAAGTATAAGAAAGGTAGAGGTTTGCTAAAAGAGTATTAAGACTTTGCTATCTATATTTTAGTAGTATTTTAGTTATATTTAAGATACCTCTATTAGTAAGAACTTTTGAAAGCAATCTCTATATATTATATAGATATAGTAAAGAACTTTTAGCTTCTACTTTTTATTAAAGTCTTCTAAAGTAATCTTAATAAATTCTTTCTTCTAAGCTATTATTAAAACTTATATATTTAGAAGTTTCTTCTTAAGATACTAAAGTTACTAAAACTTTACTTTTATAAAGGCCTACTTAGTAGCTAAGAGCTCTAATCTCTATTTTATAAGTACTATACCTACTAAAAGATAATAATTATTAATATAGCGTTACTAAATAGCTTATTTAGAAATTTCATACTATTAATATTAAAGTTAGTGCTATAAGTATAGCTAATTTAGCTGCTAGCGTACTTTAGCCTAACTCTTCTATTATAAATAACCTTCTCTAGTATATTACTCAGACTATAGTAGTAGTTATTTACTATTTTCTAAGTAGTAAGCTATAACTTACGCTTAAAGTATATATACTTAAGTATTAAATAGAACTTATAGATTGTATTAATTATATTATAATTAGAATTACCTTTTGAATTAGTATTAGAATTAGCTTTAGCACTAAAAATATAAGATAAAGAGAAGTATTTCTAGTATAAGAGAGAGGTTTTATACTTTTATAGCTACGCTTTTCTAACTCTAGACTAAACTCTTATAGAAATCTCTATACTTATAGTACTATAGTTTAACACTATCTTTAACTATAGTTAACTTACGTAGTACTATAGTCTACTCTTAAAGTAGCACTACTATAGTCTAATACTACCTCTACTATAGTTACTTACTAAGTTCTATAGCTAATAGAAAAGGTTCTATTTAATACTATACTATATTTCTATTTTTAGCTTTTCTACTAATAAGAGCTACTTATTATTACTATTAGTACTTACCTCTATAGCTTAGAAAGCTTATCTCTATATTAACTTTTAGATAAAGAATATTTTAATATCTAAATAGCTTTTTAGACTTATAGCCTACTTACTACTACTTTTAAGTCTACTTTTAATTTACTAGAAACGCTTTTATTACTATTTCGCTTATAAGTATATTATTATTAAAGTACTAGATTTATAGTAAATAATATTAAAAAAGAGTTCTATTAATACTTATAGCTATATATAGTAAATATAGAGTATTAAGATAATATATCTATAATAAGATTACTATATAGAGTTACTAACTACGTTTTGTTACTCTACTCTACATTAACACTCTACTATAATAAAGTAGAACTAGTTTTCTACAACTTTAGAATTCTTATAGAGAGCTTAAACATAGTTATTCTTTTAATTACGCTTAACTTTAAGCTTTAAATAGCTCTTTATAAAGTTTATAGCCTATCTCTTACTTACTAAGTTATAGTTATAGATCTAGAGTAAATTATTAGCTATCTTCTTTATATTAGTAATCTAAGGTATGTATTCTTACTCTAATATCTTTAAAATATATTAGATAATAGCTACCTTATTTAAATTTTTAAAAAGCTATTAATTAAAACATACTATTATATTAGTAAAATATTCTAGTGTTATATTATCTTAGTATTCTTTCTAGAACGTTATAGGCTTTAGTAGTATAATTTATAGTAAGTATTATATCTTACTAAAGATCTTGAATTATTTGCTATATTTAAGATTCTTTCTAGTCTAATAGTATATTATTATATTAAGGTATTATAAGATAGGTAGAGTTTAGATTTAGTCTTAGTAAAAGCTAGCTATCTACTTATTCTAGCTACTTGCTTATTACCTACGCTACCTAAAGTAATATAAGATAATTAGACTTCTATACTATATAATACAATCTCTACTTGTAGAAGCGTAATAGTAATAAAGAGATACTATTATATTAACTACTAACGTACTTTACAAGCATATAGACTACCTAAGTATATAGACTACTTTTGCTAAGACTCTACTAAAACTAAGACTGTACACAATAGTATAGAACTATACAGAACTATAATTAGAAATTATAATAGACTATTCTACTTAGAATCTACTACTACATCTTGCTTATAGGTGCGCATATTATGTCCTATCTCGCCGCAGCGTCTATAGCGTTTTTACAACAGCTTGCCTACTTTAACGCGCGCTCTCTTCTTTACTTTCTTTTTATTACTACGCGCTCTAAACTCTTTAAGAGTAGTTAGTTAAAGACCTTTCTTAACTATAAGAGCTCTCTCTTTATACACTTACTTTCTTTTATATAATTTATATTGCGTAGCTACTTTATTAGCTACTTAAAGCGTAGTATTCTTCTATTACGCTAATATAAGCTTATGCGTAATTACTACTACGCCTTTTACTATCTTTTTAAAGGCCTTAACTATTAAAGTTAGTAAGCTATCTATATACCTTTAAATTCTTATCTTAACTAACGTTAATTACAACTCTAGTTCTAGAGTATTACTTAGTGTTTGCAACTACTAGAGACTATTCTTAATAGTAGGTAATAGTAGTATACGTAGGCAGACATTAAGCGTTAATATAACAGCCTCTAGATTAAATAAGACTAAACTAGCGCCTTAAAAGCCTTCTAAGATATTACTCTTTATAATAGCTACTTTGTAAGTAGTAATAAAGTATAGTAAGAATAAGGTTTTGTTAATATAGTTAATATAGTTACGTATTAGATTCTTAGCTTAGCACCTATATACCTACTTTAATAGCGCAAAATAACTAATATTAAGAGGCTGTAGAAGGTGCGATAAGTAAAAAGGTATATAGAGAGTAATAATCTTATTTTCTCTATAGTACTACTAGAAATTAAGCAAGTTATAGCTCTTATAGCTGTTAGTAATAAGTAAGCGTACTATGCCTAAAGTTTGCTTTTTTATATACGTATTAAAGTGCTTTAACTACTATAAGCTAAGCTTATTTATTATCTAGCTATTCTTAGAGACTCTAATAACCTAATTCTTAGGTAAGTCTTCTTTCTTATACTAGGCTAAGAAGTAGTACTTACTCTAGAAGATAAGAAAAAGTAGAATTATCTACTTTATTGCGTTAATGCCTTAGATAGCTGTAACCTACTTATAGTTACTCTACTATACTATCTTTAGTTGTTCTTAACACTTAGATAATATAATAACTGCTTAAGCTATTATTATATCTATTATAAAGCCTATTTTATTAAAGTTGTAGGTATTTTTATTAAGAATACTATGCTTAGCCTTTATATTCTCTATAAGCTAGAACTAGTCTTGTATAATCTTAGAATTCTTGCAGAGAGCTTAGCTATAGTTATACTTTTAATTAAACTTAACTTAGAGCTCTAATTAGCGCTATATAAAGTTATTTACCTAGTACTTGCTAACTAGCTCTTCCTAACGCTAGGCTAGCAAATAATTAGCTATATTCTTTATAGTAGTAAGCTATAGTAAGAATCCTCGCTTATTAAAGTTAAGTGTACGCTATAGAACTACTATCTCTTCTATTATAGTAAGTCTTATAGCTACTAGCTAATAATTACGTTATAATAGTTTTCTAGTAAGTTGTCTTATAAGTGTACTTTAAGAGATAGTATAGATTGCTATAGTATATTATAGAGTAAGTGTTGCGTCTTATTTAATAGCCTAAAAAGTAAGCTGTATTTAGTTCTTATTAAAGAGCTTTTATACGTTGTTACGTTAAGGCATTACGATAAAAGTATAGTTTTAGTAGAGTCTTAGCAAAAGTAGTCTACATGCTTAGGTAGTCTACATGCTTGTAAAGTACGTTATAGTTCTCTAATACTTAAGCGCGTATAAACGCTAGTTACTTACTAAGTATATAAATTCTATTAATTAGCTAGTTATAGCCTAAGCGCTACACGTATAGGCTTTACCTATGTTTTCTTACTACTTTTATATTCTACTATTGTTTTCTTACATAATATCTTATATTATACTAGATATTATATATAGTTATAATTTACGCTTCTAGTAAGCTCGTAAATACGTACTTATAGTATCTTATAATAATATATCTCTTTTATCTAAAGTCTTTTTTATGTTATCTAGTTAAGGCATTTTTTTTATACTTAAAGTTTAGTTAGGTCTTAGCAAAAAGCTTCTACTTGCTTTAAAGTTCTACTCGCTTATTACCTGCGTTAAGTCTATTTACAAATTAATAGAAAGAGAACCTCTACTTCTTAGTATAAACTAATACGTATATAGTAAACTGTCTAGGCGATCTGTGAGCTGTAAGCCGCAACCTGCAACACAGATCCCTAGCTACCTTTTGCGACAGGGCGTTGGTTGTGATGTCATGCGCGGCCCGTTACCTCTTCTCTGCCTAGCGCCCCGTTGCCGAGTCCGCGGAACGTAATGCTTCGCACCACTTGACAAGGCTTAATCTGCCGTTCTGCCTACCGCCGACCAACCAGCGCAACCTAGGCTCTCGGATTGCGACGGACATGGCACTGCGACCCGTCTTCTGCTCAGCCGTTGCAGTAAATGTGGAGGTAGATGCGGAGAAACCTGGGGACACACTGCCAGGCGCGAGCGACATGCCTCGGTTTGTTCGAGACATGACGACGGCAAGGGGTGAAAGCTGAGCCGTGTGCCGTCTCTCGTCAATCACAGCCATCTCTGTATTTCGATATAGCCATCATGCCGCTGCTTGGGAGTGCGTCGTCTCCAATTTGCTCTCACAGCCAACTTTTACCTCCGTTTAAATCTACGACTTCACGACCATCTAAACGGAAAGCCACCTTCTATCATGTCAGAGACCGCAAAGATAGACCACGAGATGACCGAGCATAATGGTGTGAACATTGCAAACAATGGTGCGCCATTGAGTCGCCAGGTCACAGTCGCTCTCTCGCCCGAGCAGTACGAGCGTCTCTTCTTCCAGCCATCCGCACCACGTCGCGGAGATCTCGCAAAGCGGTTTGCGAATCCAACACTCCTTGGACTGATAGGATTCTTGGTTCCATACACTTCGACTATCCTCATATTGTGCGGATTCCAAGGTGCGGTGGCTCCGCAGAGCCTAGTCGGCATCAGCGCCGACTACTACTTCTTTGGAGCACTAGCCATGAACATCGCTGGCATCGCCGAGTTCATTCTCGGTAACAGTACGATTCGCCAGTATTTTCCCGTACTCTTCTGACGTTACTGACTCCTTGCAGCTTTTCCCTTTGCGGTTTTTATCATCTATGGCAGCCATTGGGGCAGCCTCGCATACCAGCAGGACCCAATACACCAAACCACCTCCGCCTTCGGTGAACTCGGAGGAGCGAATGGTGCAGCCTACAATTCGTCTCAAGGGTTTCACAACGTCTCCATGTAAGTAGTCTCGGCCTTCTGCATGCCGTAATATCCCGTCTGATAAGTGTGCAGGGTGCTCGCCAGCTTCGTGTTCTTGATCGGTACACTTCGCGTCAACCTCTTCTTCACGTTTACGTTCTTCGGACTCGTCATGCTATTCGGGTTTATCGCCGCTGCAGATTTCTCTGTCGCTTCCGCCACGACTGAAGCCGATCTTGAACACATTAATACGTTGTTGCGATGCGCAGGAGGATTCGGGTTTTTAGGCTTGATTTCTGGCTGGTACCTTGCCATTCTTACTGCTTGCCAAGCCGTGGGAATCCCATGCCCGCTACCCATCTTCGATTTGAGCAGCAAAGTTTTCCCGGACAAGACCCAGAGTAGCCAAGTCAGTTAAACCAATGGTTAAATGGCTTACAGCCGTTGTATGTGGGACACGGGAAGAAGCCACTCTGCGCAGGTGCTAGCTAGCTACGCGTCCTCGTGTTTTTCACGTACCGCGAAATGACCAGTCGCTTAAGGTTTACCGAGGTACTACCGCTGCTGCAAATCCATGCGAAGTGATGTGATATGACATGGGCACTGTGTCCGTTGAACCCGGTGGCTGAATGTCGTTTATTATCGCGGGTCGATCGAAAGAGAGCATCATGCAGATCCGGGGCTCGTATACGCGGGCACGCGGGGTAGCACGGTCAACCCTCACTATGGCTTCACGGGAGGGTAGAATAGCGCAACTTTGGGTTCTTGTCCGGCTCAATTCGCAATCTTGGCTGCATGATGGTCTTGGGCAGCTTGCGTGGTGGAAGTAATAAAGAGTCGGCTGCCTCAACGATGCAGATGTGGGTAGTCCAGCAGCGGTAGCGTACACATCGTAACCATGATGCATTCCGCCTCATCTCTCCTTCTCTTTGGCGCCACTTTGCTGTCGACCACCCACGCTATCGGTCCCGATTGTGTCAATGGCCCGTTGAAAGACAACAAGATCTGCGATGTCAATGCCGCGCCAACGGAACGGGCAACAGCCCTCGTTGCGGCTATGGAAAACGAAGAGAAGCTCGATAATTTGATGAGGTAGGCGTTCGTCGCGACTTCATCATTCCAGCAAGCTGATGTTTGCAGTAAATCCAGGGGTGTGGCGCGACTGGGCCTTCCAGCCTACAACTGGTGGGGCGAAGCATTGCACGGTGTAGCAGGAGCCCCAGGAATCAACTTCACAGAACCGTTCACGAACGCCACCTCTTTTCCCATGCCGTTGCTCATGTCTGCTGCCTTTGACGATGACCTAATCTACAAGATTGCCAACATCATCGGAAACGAGGCACGCGCATTTGGTAACGGTGGTGTGGCACCCGTGGATTACTGGACCCCAGACATCAACCCATTTCGCGATCCTCGCTGGGGTCGGGGCTCAGAAACGCCTGGCGAAGACATTCTCCGCATCAAAGGCTACACAAAGAGTCTGCTTGCCGGACTAGAGGGCGATCAAGCTCAAAGGAAGATCATCGCGACATGCAAGCATTACGTTGGCTACGACATGGAGGCTTGGGGTGGCGTCGATCGCCACAACTTCGACGCCAAAATCACGATGCAGGATCTGGCGGAGTACTACATGCCACCTTTCCAGCAATGCGCACGAGACTCAAAAGTTGGATCGTTCATGTGCTCGTACAACGCCGTCAACGGCGTTCCCACCTGCGCCGACACATACGTGCTGCAGACGATCTTGCGCGATCACTGGAACTGGACGGAAAGCAACAACTACATCACCAGTGATTGCGAGGCCGTCGCTGACATTTCCGAGAACCACAATTACACAGATACGCTCGCCGAGGGCACAGCAGTTGCCTTTATCGCCGGCATGGACAACAGCTGTGAGTACTCAGGATCTTCCGATATTCCTGGAGCTTGGAGTCAAGGACTCTTGAATGTCTCCGTCATAGACAGGGCACTCACGCGCCAGTACGAGGGTCTTGTTCGTGCTGGCTACTTCGATGGTGCTGGAGCTGTATATGCAGACCTGGGCATCGACGATGTGAACACACCGGAGGCACAGCAGTTGTCTCTTCAAGTTGCGTCAGAAGGTCTTGTCATGCTGAAGAACGACCAAACTCTTCCTCTCGCCCTCTCCAACGGATCCAACGTCGCCATGATCGGATTTTGGGCTAATGACTCGTCGAAATTGTCCGGCATCTACAGCGGCCCTGCTCCCTACCTGCGTACTCCAGTGTGGGCCGGTGAGCAACTCGGTTTGAACATGTCTATCGCTACAGGCCCAATTCTGCAGAAATCCAGTGCCCGCGATAACTGGACAACAAATGCGCTGAACGCGGCAGCAGGATCCGACTACATCATGTACTTTGGTGGTCTCGACACTTCAGCAGCGGCAGAAGGCTTCGACCGTACCGACATCAGCTGGCCTAGCGCGCAAGTTGAACTCATCACCAAGCTTGCTCAACTTGGCAAGCCTCTTGTGGTCGTTGTACTGGGCGATATGGTCGACAACTCTCCCCTACTATCGATGGAAGGTGTGAACTCCGTTATATGGGCTAATTGGCCTGGTCAAGATGGTGGATCTGCCGTCATGCAAGTCATTACTGGCGCGCATGCAGTCGCCGGGCGCCTACCAATCACGCAATACCCCGCGAGCTACACCAATCTCTCGATGTTGGACATGAACCTCCGCCCCGGTGCCGTCAGTCCAGGTCGCACCTACCGCTGGTATAACCAATCGGTACAGCCCTTTGGATTTGGCTTGCATTACACCACCTTTGCTGCGAACTTCAGCAGCAGCGAGGGCCTCACCTACAATATTCAAGATATCATGAGCGATTGTACGCAGGAGCATCCTGATCTATGCGCCGCTGCGCCACTGGAGGTTGGCGTGACGAACAAGGGTAACAGGACTTCGGATTTTGTAGCTCTAGCTTTCATCAAGGGTGAGGCTGGGCCCAAGCCGTACCCGCTCAAGACACTGGTCTCATACGCGCGATTAAGGGACATCTCTGCCGCACAAACAAAGATGGCATCGCTTTCTCTCACTCTCGGAACGCTGGCACGCGTCGACCAGATGGGCAACACAGTCGTGTACCCGGGGGAGTACACGGTGCTTCTCGATGAGCCTACACAAGCAGAGCTGAAGCTCACCATTACGGGTGAGGAGACTGTCTTGGACAAGTGGCCGCAGCCCCCAGCAGCTTCGTAGGTGATAGAAAAAACATCGCCATTGAGATAGATGAGGATCAAAGACCTTTGCAGTGTGTAGTGCCACTTTCCTCTTTGTGTGATGATTCCGGTTCTCTTCGACAGCCATTTGATGCCTTGTGCTCGAGGTCCACTAACGATCGCAAGCATGCAGTAAATGCTTAAGCGGAAAAGACATCGCTTTAGGCGTGAATTATCGCCTAGATGATAGGTAAAGCGTTAATACCTAGGCAGAACGCAGTTGATGCCCAAATAGAAAGTAGAGTGGTTTATACCTATGTATAAAGCTTAATACCTAATTAGAAAGGTTCATACCTAAGTAGAAAAAGGTTTATACCTACTTAGGAACCGCGTGTAGGCAGAAACCGTCCATCAGGCCTGCGGCGCTTATGGTTTACAGACGACGCGTGCGGTACGTGCCTCATGAGTGCACACAGTCACATGATCCAGTGGGGCAGCTTTCGGCATGCAGAATTCTGCAAGGTCTTGCTATCATTGCAACAATGTCCTCTAGAACACCCATCCAGACATGCGATCCACAGTTTACGTCTCGAAGCAGGCGAAATACCCAACCACGATGCAGACCGCCACTTCACTCCAATTTTTCATCGAGACGTCTCGTGTGGACAGCCCAGCCTATGACGGAGACTGTAGCGTCGACGACAACGTCCTCCTAGAGTCTTCAATGGGTACAAAGGTTATCTCTGCACACTGTTTCGGAGTATCATCCTGGACTGTGACCGCCCGGCTACATCTTCAACTACCTGAGGATACCGAAGAGCGTTAGTTTCTTAAGCCCGCGCTAGATACCTGAAGTTGTACCTTGATGGAAGGCGAGTTTAATGCGGTGTCTTAGCTGTACAACTGGGCCCCTTATCTCGTGCTCAAGCCGCACTCGTGGGGATAATACCAGGACGACGCACGCGAAGTATACTTCTTCCTTTCGCAATATATCGACACAAGCGACCGTATGCCCGATCTCAATCAGCTATGTGAGAAGTTGTCCCGTCTTCATTGAGTAAGTACCTTACTTACTGGGCAATATGGATTCTATATAACCACATGTCTGTGTCGCGCCTCTCAGTACGTAGGGTGGGAGAAAGATTAGACAGTATTTTCTATCAAAATTCTGCAACATGTCATCGATGCCGACTTCAAGTAAAATGGAGATTAGGAGGGGCTCCACAGAGCAGAAAGGTGGCTTACCTAGTTTTTTATTCCTAGATTGCCAAGGGTAATAACGGCAGGAGATCCTAAGTTTAATCCTAGCTTAATCCACGTTAGTCTGTAGGGAGGCAACACCGGAATAGTTATTAACGATGCTTTTGCGTATCTTTTCGACTCCGCTACATTCTCTGCCTATAGCGAACTAGAAGTGGCGGGTTAGGGACCTTACTACAACCAGGTCAGCAACAAGGATTACCTCGAGACCTATCTAAAGCACTAAGATCCTAGCGAGCCAAAGGAGGAGTAGAACGATCGTAATCGATTCTACAGTGTTAAATAGAACGTCATTTACTTAGTCAACCACGTTGCCTAGAGCAAAGCCATTCGCTAAGTGTAAGTCAGGCAGGAAGTAATAAAGCACGACTAACACGCGAACAGCGCCTACAATACTACACCTTTCCTCATCTACATATAGGCGCCTTTCCCATAAGAAGGGAGACCTCCGGCATTACAGGAGGCTAGAATAGCTTCTCTTTCATCTGAGCAGGACCATAATATGTAGAGTGAATAGCTTGGTGTAATGTAATTAAAATGCTAGTACAAACAAGCTGTATTGTAATCTTGCCCTCATACAAGGTCCCCCGGAAGTATATCAGTTATGCCTCACTTTCCAGATTTCGTCTCCGTCAAAATGTGGGGTCCAGTAGCTAAGGAGGCGTGGTGGGATAAGGGACCGTTGCGTACTTGTCTCCAATGCATGCCCTTCCATCGTAGCAAGGCGACGCACAATGCCGAAAGCATACCACTCCACAGGCCCAGGGCTGTGAAATACCATCCTCGACCAGCTGCGTTCAGCAATGGCTGTAAAACCGCAACTCCCGTCGCGGCCATGGCGCAGCGGGTAATGCTCGTAGCAGCTGCAGCTGTGCTTGGACTTTGAGGGAAAGAATCCACTAGCAAGGTGCTGAATGTCGTGTAGCCGTAGCAACCCCAGAATCCTTGCAAGAACTGTAAGATCAATGGAACAGCCGGATGGGCGTGATATTGGACACTCCATCCATAGCCGATCGTTGTCGCGACCGATATTATCAGCATGACGTAGCTGTACCTTGTCCTTGCACGCTCGATTGGAAACTTCAGAAGGTCATCACCAGATACCTTGTCGATGGTCCAGCCGATGCTGCGAGCAATGGCACGATAATTGTGATCCATCATCTTTCCGGTAAAGTAGGCCCCGGCGATGGTACCAATGCCACGCGGTAGATACGATAGGCCAATGTAAAGCTCATTCCAATGATATATATCTTTGTAGATGTCTGGACCCGCTGCAACGAAGGTATAATCTACAATGTAAAATGATCCGTGGACCCACAAGGTGAGGAAGGTATCTCTGTAGAAGATGATGCGAAAGCAGGCAAACAAGTCAAAGAACCCGTACTTCCGCTTGGTTGTTTGACATTCGGTTGCAACGGGTGACTCTGCAGTCGAGCTTCCTTCGTTCAGTCTTTTCGTTGCTTTCACCTTGATTCGTTTGCGTAAAAGGCCGACCCAACTGTATTGCCACCACTTGTATCCAGACTTCTTACTGCCATTGCCGACCATGTTACGAGCCGTCTCGGGGAGTAGCGTGCCCACGCCGACGAGCAAGACTCCGCCGACAACGAAGAGGGCCCAGAATACCAAATTGATATTTCCACTCGTGTACGCCACTACACCTCCTACGACTGGGCCTATACAAGTGCCCAGATTCATGGCCATGCTGATTGGGCCTAGCATCTGTCCTCGTTCGCTAGGGACACAGACGTCTGCAACGACACCGAAACTGATGGCATATGCTGCGCTTGCTCCAAGGCTCTGTATCGCACGCAGAACCAAGAGAACTACATAGTTGCGCTTGTTAAGAGCAAGTCCCAGGTTACCGATGACGTACAGGGCCAGAGTGGCCAGGAAGTAGGGTCGCCGGCCATGAACATCAGACAGTGGTCCGAATATGACGGGTGAAATGGCTTGGAAGACGATGTAAAGGGTTATTGTAAAGTTAATGGCCTGCGCTGAGGTGCTGAACTGCGTACGCAGCAGAGGAAGAATGGGGAAGTAGATGGTCGCCGTCAAGGGTGACGTGATGGCTGCCAAACCGAGAAGCGGTCGTAGCTGCCGCCGCTGGGAACTCGTGAAGGATGTGTATTCGAGCGGGGTTGGTGCAGGCGCGTCGTCGCACCTGGATTCTGCAGCATCTTTACCCAATTCCGCATCACCGACTCGCGTTGGGGGTGAGAAAGTAATCTTTCCGGACATGGCGCCGAGCTGGTGCTTGGGCGAGGCTGGTCGCGCGAAGTCTGGCGGGGTAAAGCTTCCGACTGGCGGCCGCCATAGCTCGTCACGCGCGCGCGGGCAAACCTCCACCTTCTCCTCACCAGACCCCAGAATACAAACCCGCCATCCCTGTACGCACATCTCGTACACTTGTCGATCACTCCTTCGAGCTGCTGCGCTATGCCTAACGGTACAGGCCAAGAGGTGCAACATGATGCATCGCGACCAATTCCTCCGTCGCCCGCGTCCATAGCCAGGAAATGCTACCTGCTGTGAGGTCATCCAGTATGCAGCACAGCGACCACCGGATATTATGAGCTCGTGATAGGAGATTGAAAACGAGTGCGCAGAAGGAGAAATTTCGGCATCCAGTCCTCATCACAATGGCTACCACCATCTTGCTTTCGGCATGCCTTGCCCTACAAGCCGCGGCCAAGACAGTCAGGTCACCCACACCCCCTATGGGATGGAACTCGTACAATACTTGGAACTGTTTACCCTCTGAGGAGAAGATCCACGAGAGCGCCCAAGGCCTCATCGACCTTGGGCTTGGTAACGCCGGCTACAACTTTGTGACAGTCGACTGCGGATGGAACGCCCATGATCGGGACGCTGATGGGAGGCTTCAATGGAACGAGACTCTCTTCCCATCCGGTGGCAAGGCGCTTGGCGACTTCCTCCATGACTTAGGCTTGGACTTTGGCCTGTACTCTGGCGCTGGTTACCTCCAATGCGGGTCAGAGTCGCTGCCTGCGAGTCTGGGGTACGAACAACTAGATGCGGAGAGCTTCGCTGAGTGGGGAGGAGATAGCCTGAAGTATGGTCTAAACGTCCTGAATGAGCTCTTCACATACTAACAGTATGCAGGTACGACAACTGCTACTCTACTTCCAACACGACGATGGTCGACTCTAGCTCTGCAGAAGCTCAATCCCCAGCACGTTTTCAACACATGGCGGCCGAATTAGACGCGGTAGACCGCGATATCCACTATTACGTTTGCCAGTGGGGTATTGGTACTGATGTCGGCGACTGGGCTGCTGAAGTTGGCAACACATGGCGAATCAGCAACGACATCTACAATGCCTGGCGCAGCATTTGGCGCATCACGAACCAGGTTGTGCCATACTTCAGACATACCACTGTTGGTGCCTTTGCAGACATGGATATGCTGATGTAAGTAAAGTAATGTGTCTCTGGGACTTTCGACTGACCAGTCTAGCGTGGGTCTCGATGCCCTTTCAGAAGAGGAAGAACGCTTCCACTTCGGGATGTGGGCGATCAACAAGTCGCCTCTCATCATTGGCGCTGCCCTCGACCCCGAACGTCTCAGTCAGAGCTCACTGGACATCCTCTCCAACAAGGAAGCCATCGCCATCAACCAAGACCCACTTGCCCAGCAAGCCATGCTGGTGCGTCGCGATACCGAAAACGAGTGGGACATCTGGATGGGAAAACTCTCGGGATCAAAGCAGGTGTTGGGAGTCGCGAACTGGAAGAATGATTCTCAAAGCGTAGACTTTGATCTGGCGACATTGGGCATAGCTTCGGCCGATGTGCGCGATGTTTGGGCTGCGGAAGACCTTGGTACTTTGTCTGGCGCGCAGACTGCCGACCTGGCTGGACATGAACTGCGACTATGGGTTCTATCGAACATCGTGACAGCTGCGCCTCTCAGCTCAGAAACATACCACTCAGCTGCCAATGCGTCGCTTTCCGGGCCAGCGCATACGTTCTCGTGCGCGACCGACGCATGCTTTCCCACTGGATCGAAAATCGAGTACATTGGCCGCGCCAGCAGCGTCATGTTCGCCAACGTCAGCTCTCCGTCGACTGGCAAGAACCTCATGGGCATCGACTTCGTCAATTATCACTACGCATTTACTACTGCATGGGAATGGGGCGACAACACGCGTAACATGACAATCGCAGTCAATGGCGCTGAGGCGAAGAGATGGGCCTTCCCTCTCTCAGGCGGTGATTGGGAGGAAAGTCTGCGACTGCAGATAGAGCTTGACGGCTTCGTGGAAGGCACAGAGAACATGATCGAGTTCCGAGGATACGGGGACAGCTTTGGGCCAGATCTTGTAGGCTTTGAGGTATTGAAAAGCGTTTAGAGTTTCCGCGTAGGTATATACTTTCTGCTTAAGGTACAATCTATATACTTTCTACCTGGGTATAATCTATACTTTCTGCTTAGGTATAAACTATACTTTCTACCTAGGTATAAACTGTGCTTGTTACCTAGGGATTAATTACACTTTCTGCCTTACTCTGTGCTTTCTGCCCTACGCTGGAAGTCTGTGGACGACATGAATACGAGAGGACGTGATGCAGGCGCATCGTCGCGGTTGGATACATCGGTGCTTGATGTACATCCGTAAGCATGAATGTGTCTACGCCTGTGTTGAATAAAAGAACCTCCGCAGTCATTGATCAGCGGTTCACCCAAGCATGTTGAGGGGCAGGTACCCCGCATGTGTTTACCCGCGGGTCAACAATCACCGAACGTCCATCATTTAGCTGTCACATCGGACGAGCTCATTGTTAGTCCACAACTAACAGACAAGATGACGCTTGTTCCGTACACCTCATCGCCGCTAACCAAGGGCTGGGCGTTCAAGCAGGGCGACCGCTCTTCTACTAACGAGTATCTGCCAGCCTGCGATGCACCAACTGAAGTCTATCGCGACTTACTCAAGCACGACAAGATCCTAGATCCCTTTCATGACCTCAATGAGCTAGCAGTGCACTGGGTTGGCGATGAGACATGGACATATCGCACGACCTTTGCAGCGCCTTCTAGTCATGGGGTGGCGAACGCGATCACTACACTCCGGTTCGAAGGTCTCGACACCTTTGCTTCCGTTATTCTGAACGGCGAGATGATCCTGGAGTCTGACAACATGTTCATCGAGCATCAGATCGACGTATCGGGCAAGCTCCAGGCCAAGGAAAACGTGCTGGAAATTGTCTTCGAGTCAGCACGCAAGAAGGGTCTCGAGTTGGTGGAACAGCATCCAGAACATCGCTTCATTGTACACCAGACAGAAATCTCACGAGGGCCTGTTCGCAAAGCGCAGTACCATTGGGGATGGGATTGGGGCCCTATTCTCATGACATGTGGGCCTTGGAAGCCGGTGTCGATCGAGACGTGGGCTTGCCGCCTATCAGCACTTAATGTGCAGTACGAACTGTCGCAAGACTTGAAGTCTGCCGAACTGAATATGAGTGTCAGATGGGAGGGTAGAGTCACAGATATAGCTTTCACAGTCTCGAAGGAGGGAGAGGAAAAGGCCGGTATACGCGTCACCACCACTGATCGCGTTGGTTTTATGGAAACTACGATGACCATTGATGATATCGAGCTTTGGTGGCCGCGCGGTTATGGACAACAAAGTCTGTACACCATCAAAGCAGAAGCTATTGTACAGGGCCACCCATCCCCGATCCACCTCATCTCTCAGCAGTTTGGCTTTCGCCGTGCTGAGCTGATCAAAGAGACAGACACACACGGCACCTCTTTCTATTTCCGTATCAACAACATCGACATATTCTGCGGAGGCTCATGTTGGATACCCGCCGACTCGTTCCTCACGCGGCTCAAACCAAGCGACTACCGCGAGTGGGTGAAGCTTACTGCCGATGGCAATCAAACCATGCTAAGAATTTGGGGAGGCGGTATCTACGAAGCTGATGCGCTATACGAAGCCGCTGATGAGTTTGGCGTGTTGATATGGCAAGATTTCATGTTCGCATGTGCCAATTACCCAACCTACCCCGGTTACTTGAAAAGTGTGGAGATTGAAGCAAGACAGAATATCAGACGGTTGAGAAATCACCCTAGCCTAGTGGTGTGGGCAGGGAACAACGAAGACTACCAAATCGTCGAACGATACAAACTTCAGTATGACCCTGACGACAAGAATCCGGAATCCTGGCTCAAGACCGACTTTCCAGCCCGCTACATCTACGAGCATCTTTTGCCAAAACTGGTCGAGGAAGAATGCCCAAACGTACCCTATCACCCCAGCTCGCCTTTCGGTGATGGCAAGTCGACGGTCTTAGGGGTGGATCCTACGATCGGCGATGTCCACCAGTGGAACATGTGGCACGGCACCATGGAGCCTTACCAAAGGCTTCCACATTTGGGCGGTCGCTTTGTATCCGAGTTTGGAATGGAGGCCTATCCGCACGTCTCCACACTTGAAATGTGCATCAACCACCAGCACGACCTCCATCCTGGCTCGATGGCCATGGAATTCCGCAACAAAGCCATCGGTCATGAACGACGCCTCATCAGCTACGTCTCTGAGAACTTCCGGGTCCAGTATCTTCTAAAAGGCTATACACTTCTCACCCAGGTGATGCAAGCGGATGCAATGACGTGGGCTTACAAGTCCTGGCGCCGCCAATGGGGATCAACTGGCGATCGCAAATGCGGAGGTGCGTTGGTGTGGCAGCTGAATGACTGTTGGCCGACGATGTCTTGGGCTATTATAGACTACTATAAGGTGCCAAAGCCAGCGTACTATGCTATCAAGCGCGCTATGCAGCCTATCACCATTGGTGTACAACGCAAGTACAACAGTTGGACTGTGCGACCGGCTGATGGACTGTGGCAGCGCGATGCTGGACATATCGACATGCGAAAACTGTGGCAGGATGTCGAATATGATCTCTGGGTCTCTAACAGCACACTGGTGAGGGTGGAAGTTGATGTTAAGATACGTTACATCTCGATTGGGACGGGCAAGGACATCAGCACTGAAGAGCGCAAGCAACTACGCATCGCGGCAAATGGAACGACCAATATACTCACTGGCCATCTCGTCATCGTCGATGAACCACAAGAGCCGGGTGGACCTTTTCGTACAGCGAGGGCTGACCCTTTCGTCATCCATGTGTCGTTATACCAGGATGGTCAGCTTCTCGCTAGCGACGTGTCCTGGCCAGAGCCTATCAAATATCTCACTTTTGACAACTCAGGCGTACATGTACGCTACTCGGAAGACAAAAAAAGAGTGTTTGTCTCTTCTGCGAAGCCAGTCAAGGGCTTTGTGTTCGAGGAGGGAATTGAACACCGTCTGAGTGACAATGGGTTTGACTTGGTACCGGGGGAAACGAGAGAGGTGCATGTGGAAGGTTTTGCAACAACGCTGAGGTGGAGATATGTTGAGATGTGAAAGCTATGATTTGGTCCCTTGTACTTCAGTTTAGCTAGTCCCTCATGACGCATCCCAAAAGCTATCTTCTGAATCGCTTTCCTCATCCGCAGAATCCACTGGCCTCTCGCTGACCTTCCAGAAAGCTGTCGGTCCGGCAGGGCCATGACTAAAGTTCGGTGTACGACGTTAGCGCATACCTCACATCATTGCGTTCTTGTATACTACTTACGCATCAAAGTCCTTGTCAAACCACGTTCCTACAACGCCACGTGGGCAACGTAATCCACCCACTTGAATGCCATCACTGCGCCATCGCTCCTCACCGCTATCGCAAAGTCAGTAATAATTTGCTCAGTGCATTCCCACAACTCTCTGTACTTACCCTTGGAATATTGAGATGGTCTGCCAGCGAACCTCTCCTTCCGGTGTCAGCCTCACGGTACCGCGGATACCAGAGTTTGCATTTGGATCCCAAAGAGCATCTACGGATTTGGATTTGCCTCTGAAATGCACAATTGGTAGCGTTGAGTTATCGAAAGGCCCTGGTGCAGTAACATCCGTGATACGCAGATCCATGATGATGTGTCTAATGGCTTCGTCGGTGTTCAAGGCGTCTCTTGGCTCGTCGGAAGGAACCTTCATCGCCTCGGAGCTGAAGTTGTAATTGTACAAGTCGTTATAATCGAGGAAGCATACGATCTAGATTCGTTAGACGGATGGGCAAGTGCCTAGGTGACGTGAAACCTACACGCGACCAGATACCTTCCACTCCATATGGATCCTTCATGTTGAGAGAAATGTCCGGTTGCTGTACTAACGCCGTATAGTTCGGTACCACGCCCATCTGATCGTTGTCTATTGGAATTACACCATCAAGTGGAGCGAACCATGGTGGTCGAAGTTTATTCGATACCGTGTGGGTGCAGAAGCAAGAGTTGTAACCGATGACTATCATGATGCTTTCGATCATCTCCCAATCCACTCGCATGGTGCCATCATCACGGAAAGGGCCCCACTCGTTCTGATCGGTATAGTTGCGCAGGTCGTATACGCGTGATCGGGCAAATGGATTCGTTGAGAGATCTCTTCTTCCGGCGTTAGATGGTGGAAAGCCGAACAAGCTATGCAATTTTGCGCTCAACTGTCGACTCTCTTCGTCCCCGGCTGGCTTCTGTTTTCCTGTGCCAGCTCGGTCGAAAAGAGAGGATCGACACATAAAAGCATCGTGATTTTGTGCGATGCGCTGGAACTGGTCGGTCACTAAGCGCTTGTTACAAGTCACGCCATTCTCATCTAATGACATCGTGGCGATAAGCTGATCGACGGTCGTTGCAACGAATGTGAACTCTTCTTTCTATTACTGCTTAGCAACGTTACCCGTGAACTGCGACTGGGAGCGTACCTTGAGGTCATTGTTGGCAGAATCGAGGATCTTTTGACATCTCACCACCCTCTGCAATGCTCCTACCCATTCTGGCTCAGAATCGGCCGGTCTTCGGCGTCGAGGGTCGTCCTGCCGCACCATTAGACTCCATGAAATTTGATGAGAGGAATTGTTATCTCATACAAAGTGCTTCAGGTACAAGGTCTTGTAAAGACGCTTGTTGTCTTTGATGAATTGGTTGAAGCCTCTGGACGTTTGTGCACATGCCGCGAGATCGTGGGGATCTATCTCTTCCAGAATCCCGATTAGAACATCATAACACAAATCCAGTAGTTCGATCATGATTGTTCTCTTGGAGTACGAAAGCTCAAAGCAGTTGGTAGCGAAGGTGGAAAGCGGAGACAGACCAAGGGTCCAAGTGGTGACGGTGTGGGGTCCGGAGATAAGGCCTATCCCCGTATAGTTCGCAGCGAACCGACAGAACTCCAACGACCTCTCGCTCGCTGAGGTTTGTGCACTACTAAGTGCTTGCCGGGATTCATGTGTACCAGGGAATGTCTGCGTAACAAAAGAAGACGCCACCATCGCGAGCGACAAACTGGACACCTGCAAATGTCACGACAGCCACTAGCGCAGCTTTTAGTCAGCACAAAGCCGGAACGCCGAAATCTATCAGTTTCTGCCAAGTCTCATGCTCATATTACGCATTGTGCAATGTGTCAGGGCGCTGCCAAAATTTCACAACGATCCGTTGACCCCACAGAGTAATGAACCCTTTCCGCAGAGGCTGTACCATTACTGACGAGCGATGATGAGCGTCTGCGAGGCCTATGTGACGCGCAGCAGATCGGACCAGGAAAGCGTCGAGATACAGGCTGATCCAAAAATGCGCATCGCTAAAACAAGAGCCTAAGTCACTTAGGAAGACATGTTGAATATAAAAGCAATGCATTCGGGGTATCTAGGTTAAGCAAACTACCACTCTAATCGATCGTCACACGTCAACCGTACATCCCACCTGTCGTCTCCCTTCCACACCTCACCACCCTTGTTGTTCTTGGCGACTATCCGCCTGAGATCGCTAATCATACCACCAGGTCCCGAAGCGAATACCTCAGTGCCTCCTCGTACAGTGCCAGCGACGAACTCTGACACCAGAGTATCGAGGTCAGGTCTTGCTTGGATGTGATTGAGGCCCAACTCGGACTTTGCGACACCATGAACTGACAGCGCAGAGGATGCGTCGGCAGATGAAGAGTCAGAGGCGGAGGTGATCTCCTTGGAGCACTCGTTGGGCGCCGCCTTTTCCGAGACAGTGAGATCGAGGTTGGCTTCTTCTGCGGCGCGGGTGACGTAGATATGAACACCGGTGCGCAAATTCTTGCACTTGCGCTTGAGGGTTGCGAGTTCAGGGCCGACCCAGTCGATGTCGCTTCTTCGGCGTATGCTCCAAATGAGCGTCATATGGCGGTCAGGCGACTGTGGGCTGGAAGCGAGGTCGAGGAGGACGGGAAGAACGTATGCGATACCGGTACCGCCAGCAATGCAGAGGATGTTGGAGTTGGCAGCGAGACCACGCATGGTACGCTCGCCGTAGGGTCCGGTCATGACGACAGAGAGGCGGGCGTCGGCCATTAGGCTTTCGTGCGATTCTTGGTGACTTGACATGTTCGCAATGCGCTTCATGGATAGGTCTGCAATCTTCCTCGTCTCTCCACCCCTAGCGCGGAAAATGTACGAGTGGCGCTGGGAGTCAGCACCATAAACCGGGCGGCTAATTGGTGTGAATGGGTGAGACTGCCAGATGGAGCTGTCGGGGAATGTGAGGTAGAAGTGCTGGCCGACTGACCAGGCATCTTGAGGGTGGTCGAAATCCAGACGCACAACATCGCCGTTGACATCGTCCTTGAAAAGCGCGACGTTTGCAGAAGCGGCGCGGAAACCCATATGGCCAGAGGGCAAAAAGTTGTAGTGGAGCAGGGCTGACCTGGCGAATCGAATAGCGCGGTCGACGAACCAGACCAGAAGTCCGGGTAGGAGGAAGACCTTCAACTGCTCCCAGTGCCCCCAGCACGCTCCAATGTACACCATGGCGAGGACGTAGTGGGCCTTGCGGAAGAATTCGTAGCCAGTGAGTCTGATGCCCCAGGGGGTGGAGAGCACAACGATAAGGATCAAGAGAAGCATCGCGACTATTCCCCAGATGATGTACTCTTGGGAGACCAATTCCTTAATGACGGTTGGCTGGGGTTGATAGAGCTTAAGCTCTATGATTAACCAGCCGATAGTGTGGAGAGTGGACTGGATGAAGATGATGTATCCTAGCCAGCGGTGGAGGAAGTTGAAGCTCTGGTATGGCAGGCCAGTGACGAGGGACAAGATAGACTCGCGCGTCGAGAGCATAACGGAGAGGGGGGTAAGAGCATATGCGATGACGCCAATGCGGTCTGACCATGGTCCAAGACTGGTGCGCGTGTTGTAGACGCCGGGATGCTTCTTTACGGGCGTAATCCATTTCTGGTAGACGATGCCGATGAAGGTGAAGACGGTCAGGTAAGCCGTCAAGACGATGAGGGTCAGGACCTGGGTGCGAGTAACGCGTCCGAAGATTGGTCGCGCTGCATCAGGGAGAAGGTATTGCCGTGCGTATGATGGTATCGCCCGTTGAAGTCTTTCGAATGCGCTGCGTCGTTGCGGTACTCCTTCTCCTCCTTCTGTGGGTAGTTGCACGCCGGATGGCTGCGAGCGCGCAAAGTGTCGACCAACGCCCCATACCAACAGAATGGCGCCAATGGTCGCCCACACGATGCCCATGTATAACATGCCATTGTCGTGGCTGCGGTAGACAACGTCGAGGTACAAGCAGGAACCAGGGTCGCTGGTGCAGGGTACGAGGCGATCTGCATAACCCCAATGCGGCTCAACAGCGCTCGCCTCGGAGTAGTTCTGGATGTGCGCACGCGCGACGAGCATGTCAGCGGCCATTGTCAAGGCAAAAGTTGAAGAGACGATGCTTGCTGCATGTCTCAAGGTGGAGCGCGGACCGCATATCTATATGACCCATCGCAGGCGGACTATTGCACACCGGAAACGTGGTGAGCACGTTTCGTAAAAACGCGGGCCAAGGATTCGAGAAGTGGGCGGCGACGCTTAGGCGGGTCTTTAAGCGGCTCCCGCACTCTTGGGGCGATAGAAATGGCTAGTGCGAGTGTGTTTGAGCAAGTTCCCCCATAATTCGCGGCGCGATTGCCGGCATGCTTGCTCGGGCCAGACTGTCGTGAGACGGCATCTCGTTTCTACATATCATGGCGCTGTATCTGCAGTCGCCGGGTCTGGTTCGACGTCTGCCATATCGGTTTTGACATTCCATTCCACGGTCGAGCACTTGACACCTATCCACCCAAACTCAACGTCCCAAGAACACCATCGCCCATCATGCACGGAATGTCAGGAATGGCCGGAATGGCTCCCAACAGCACTTGCGTCACAGAGGTCCGCGGTCCACTTCTTACAATATTATACCAAGACTGACAGTTTGTAGATGCTGTGGAATTGGCGTGTCGAAGACGCCTGCTTCCTCTCCGAATCATGGCACGTGACCAACAACGGCATGATGGCCGCCAGCTGCATCGGCGCGGGTCTTTTAGTCGTCTGCCTCGAATTCCTGCGACGAGTAAGCCACGAATACGACGCTCTACTCCTCCGCCAGTTCCAGCGACAACTCAACCTACAACGTGCTGCTCTTGCTGCTGCGACACCCACCAACTGCTGCGACGGTCCTACTTCGACTCTCGGTCTCCAACACGCTACCTTCCGCGCCACGGCCCTTCAACAACTTGTTCGCGCGTCCATTCACGGTTTGACCCTCGGTCTTGCGTACATCATCATGTTGCTGGTCATGCACTTCAACGGCTACATCTTCATCTCCATCATACTCGGTGCTGTGCTGGGCAAGTTCCTGTGCGACTGGATGGTGGTCAGAATACCATACGGTCAGGTCGATGAGAAGGACACACGACGCTCCTCGATTGAGGCGGCAGGGCCAACTGGTTGCTGTGCGTAGATGAAAGAGGACGAGCTGGTTGCGGCGAACTTTGACGATTAGATACCCTATGATTGCGAATGAATTCTTTTTTCCCTTTCATCCTACGTCTTGCAGGAAAAGTTCCTCCACATCGCCGAGCTTTGTGTGTTTGATGATATGTATCGTGACAGCTCAGTGGCATTGACCAAAAAACGCAAACTGATCGTGCCGCGGAAGTGTGTACATTGCTTCACCTACCTGCCAATACACCACTTGTAGGGCAAGAGCATACAACAGATTCGACCACTCGGAGACCCTCCGTATAGGCGATCCACGTGTATGATCTCGTGGGATAGAGCGCCCGCATTTCCGGATGGCAGCCATGGTGGCAATCAAAGTCAAGCCCTTCTCGGCCCTACTATTGATACCGCAATAAACTACTTCTGCACGTCTCGACCAGTGATCATGTTCGTTGAGCACCATATGTAACCCGCACGCTGAGACCAGGTCACAGCTAGGAAAGGGTGGGGTTTAGTGGCTCAGACCCCACAATAGTGTGGGAGGATTATCCAAGAGCGTTCTTTTGCGCAAGTTGTGGCTATGGGCCGAGTATCGATGGAGGGCTTGGTTCGGAGGTAGTGCGACATATTCGAATGACAGGTGGCGAGTGACAAGCCGGTACTTTACAGGTAAGATCCTTCTTGGATGAAAGGGTTCTGCGCAGATTACGGCCAAGTATCGAGGGCGGGTCGAGAATCCGGACTGTCGATAGTGGCGAAGCCTTCGGTGATGTAGTGACGATTCATCGAGTTATTTGATTGCTAGGGTAGCTAACTTCTGATGTCATTCTTTAAAGCTGTCGCATGGGGGGCATGTCTGTGAAATGAGGCGACTGAGATGCATGTACTGCGCGCGGCCCTGAGTTTTTCAAAAGTAATCGCTCGAATTTCAGACTTCTCTACCATCACATTTCGGGGAGAACAGAAACACCTTGTAGTCTGCATTAGTGTTAACACAAAAGTTAGTTAAATCGTGATGTAATGTAGACCTCTACGTTATTTACTTTTATCATTCTCTGTGGGTAGGTGTTCATCTGTTCACTTGAGAGGCGTGCTACAGCCGTACACGCCCGCCAAAAACGGATCGTACTGCATCCTCAGCCTAAAAGTGCTCTGTTGGATAATGTTACAGCTTTCGGTTGCTGCGTAAGACATCCGGCTTGTCACGATTCGTGGCACCCATATTTGACGCGTTTCGCCCTTCTGTTCGAGAATCACATATTTAGACCTATGAACACTGTGGACTTCGTCTCTATGGGGGCTCATAGCGTTTTAGTTATTGCGAAGTTGATGCTCGTGTTACTAGAGTTCGCCTTGATACATGAACGGGCGCGCGGCATCGTACACAAGATTCGCTTTCCTTTATCATACGAACGTGTAGCCTGGGCTGACCCTCTCCCTATCGTCGTCTGAAGCTGGAGCCCTTAGCGGTGCGTTTTTGGTCGTATCGATGATTGATGATCGAGCACTTCCTCGGTGAATGAGGAGATGAGCGCGCGGCCCTCTCTCGCCTCGCGACTCACTCTCTGCCTTGGCGCCGCCTCATAGCAGCAGAAGGGCGCACTCGATCAGATTGGAGAGTCTTGGTGAGAGCTAGCTTTCAAGCAGTTGCTACGAGGTCAGCAAAGTCAGTATAAGCTTGATTAGAGCCCCTGGTGTAAGAAGTCAGAACCCAAGTGTATTTAGGTATCGACTCCAGCATTAAGTTCCGACAGCGTGCGCAACACGACCTCCCTTACCCGAGAAACCAACCGAATGCTCTGGAGTCGACAATGTCGCAAGATCTTCTGATTTGCTTGGTTTTATCATAATGAAGTCTGCGTACCTGTTCAGTTTCTTCCTTGTCGAGATGATTCTGTCTTGCAATCGGACAGGTCCACTCGATCGTCAATGTCCTGCGTTCAGAAGCCACCACGTTATGTTGCATGACATTCAACAAGAATGGTGATCTATAGGTACCCACGGCGCGATACATTTTCCGGCACGCACAGAGCAATGCAAATGTCATGTTAATCGCATGCTACAATGGCAAGACACAGGCAGAGCAATAGAGGGGCGTACGCGAAGCATGCTGTGTCGTGTACAGGTCGACGTAGACATGTACGCAACCGATCGCAGCTGACAGGTACCGACGCGCGCATGTCCGATTGTCGGCCGCTGACATGACTCGTGTACATCGAACTCGCAGTCGTGCCTGCCCACAACTCACCACGCCAATCCCCTCCTCCCCCTGCTTCCCGCATCACACGGAAAGCATCGCGTTCGGTTTCCAGGCTGATGGAAGGGTGGATCTACGCTCAAGAAAGCCTTTCCTGCTGTCGGGACCCAAGGATGAAGGATGAGCCGCCATTAGCACGTCTCTCGCACGAGCACCCCAACCGTCAACCCCACTTGCGCCAACCTGCCAGACCCTTGATTCCGTTCATAGCAGCAGCGTAGATGAGATGTGATTGGACACCGACGATGGCAGGAACGGTATGCCTGCAGAGAAAAGCTTCTCGAAACCCATTCGACCCATTTGTAACCCTTTTCCCGCTTCTTCTATCCACATCGTCTCTTCCCTATCTATGAGGCCGCCACCACGGTACGAGCAATGGAGCAAATTCTGCAGAAACCCCGAGCAAGCTCCACCGCATGTCCGGCGGCTATCGAGTATTGGGAGCACCATCGGCAGGTCCGTAGTCGCGGACTAGAATCCATCATCTCCCTCGGTACCCCCGCTTTACGAAGGCATGACGGAGCAGAGGGCAGGCAGTGGAGTGGTACAGGTAGGCGTCGTGGCTTGCGGGTTTTGATCAGATAATGATTAGATCGAAAATTTTCATCTGATAACCCACGCGTCACGCCACCGTTGGCTCCTATTGGTCCGAGATGCCGGCTGATTATCGAGATAAGATTTTGGAGGCTGTCTGGGCCGTGCTTGGAAAGGCTTAATTCCGGGGAACCAACTGCATTCAGGAAAGTCAAGCTTTGTTGCATGATGCTAGCCGGGGACGAGCGCGTGATATTCACCACTATTTCCCTGTTCATGATGAACGTGAACGGAATTCCCCACCCAGCGACGAGGAGCCGGTAACCGGGCGCGTCTCGGAAAGGTCCTGCGGTGGAACTGCGTGGATCAGCGTTTTCTTTATATGAACCTGAGGCTCGCTCGGTACCTTGTCTTATCAATCTCCTCATCTCATCTCCATCACGGCCTCTCTTTTGGTGTACTTTTATACCTGTCACCAAGATGGGTTTCACCTTCAAGGGATTGACTACCAGTGCATTGGTCTCTGGCAACACCGCCAACACCAATGCCAATGAGAAAGATATTGCTGACGTGCCCGCTTCCTACCAGGGCCATACCAGCATGGATGCTGCCCGCCCTGACGAGAAGGTTGGCAGCCCGAGGGAATCTGCCAGGAGCCGAGACTCAGATGAAGAGCTGAACAAAGTCGATACCACCGCAGAGGCTGGTGTTCAAAGTGCGCAGGCTGCTTCGCTCTTGTGGAAGAAGCGTGACTTGATCCTCGCGTACATTGCGTAAGTCACTGCCTTTTCACTACTTCAAGACAAGACTAACAACAACAGCATGTGGTTCATCCAGTTCTTCACTGCCTACGCATCCAGTACCTCAAGTACCCTCGGACCCTACGTCACCAGCGACTTCCAGAAGCACTCTTTGACCGCCCTGACCACCGTCATCTCCTCCATCGTCGGCGGTATCTGGAAACTCCCGTATGCCAAAATTCTCAACATCTGGGGCCGACCTTTCGGTCTCGGCCTGGGCGTAGCCATCTACGTCGTCGGTCTCATCTTGATGGCAAGCTGCAACAACGTCAAAGCCTACTGCGCGGCACAGACCTTCTTCTACGTCGGCTCCAACAGTATCGACTTCTTCATCACCGTCTTCATCGCTGATACCTCCAAGTTGCGGAACCGAGCACTGTTCATCGGATATGCGTCCTCCCCATGGCTCATCACTACCTGGATCTACGGATATGGCATCAATAGCATCACAGCGCCTGGCGGCATTGGCTGGCGATGGACTTTTGGTATCTTTGCCATCATTGCGCCCATCGTCACATCACCTCTCATGCTCCTATTCATCATCTACGAAGGCAAGGCACGTAAACAGGGTCTCATCACGCCCCGGCCCAGCCGCGGTAATTTTGTCCAAACGCTCAAGTACTACCTCCGCGAATTCGACGCTGTTGGTCTTCTGCTCCTCGCCGCTGGGCTTTCGCTCTTCCTGCTCGCCTTCAACATCTACTCCTACCAGGCCAAACAATGGGCGTCGCCTCTAATCATCTGCTTCCTCGTGTTCGGTGCCCTCCTTGTCGTCGCATTCGGTCTATGGGAGAAGTATGGTGCACCAGTCACCTTCATCCCATGGCCACTGCTCAAGAACCGAACCGTCATCTTCACCTACACCATGGCTGGCTCCCTGTACATCGGCTGGTACTGCTGGGACTCGTACTTCTACTCGCTTCTTATCGTCTTGTTCGACCAGATTCCTGTACACGCCACTTGGATCGCCAACATCTACACCATGGGCAGCTGCTTCTGCTCCATCGCTTACGGACTCTTGCTACGATACTACGGAAAGCTCAAGATCTACTCTCTGTTCTTGGGTGTACCTCTTACCATGCTCGGTGTTGGTCTCATGATCAAGTTCCGCCAGCCCGACGAAAACATTGGTTACATTGTCATGTGCATGATCTTCATCGCCTTCGGTGGTGGTATCTTGGTCATCTCTGAGCAGACCACCCTCATGGCTGTGTCTAAGCAACAGGACTTCCCGGCGCTCCTGGCCGTCGAGTCTATGATCATCTCCATCGGAAGCGCTATTGGTTCCACTGTTGCGGGTGCTATCTGGACCGGTGTCTTCCCTGCTCGTCTCATGGCTAACCTGCCTGAGAGCGCCATGGACAATTTCGCCGCCATCTACGGCGATTTCAACGTTCAGGACAGCTACCCTGTCGGCACCCCGACTCGTGATGCCATCAACCTCAGCTATGGTCAGACACAGAAGTACATGCTCATATCGGCTGTTTGCGTCTATTGCATCACTCTTTTCAGTGTTGGCCTGTGGCAGAACGTCGATGTCAGGACCATGAAGCAGAGGACTATTGGTCTGTTGTAGATTTTCTATGGCTTTCAACGTTCTTTCCGCATGCATTGCATTGGCGGCGTCTTGTTCTCTTGATGTTTCTTGCATTGCATAGCAAAAGGCTGTTGAACGAATGTACCTCTTGCATCTCACGATGATAACGGCTTCACAGTAATGAACTAGTAGTTGTTGTTCGAATCTGCATCCCATGCTTCTCACGAACACCGTGTACGCCGTATGTATATGCTTGTTGTATGCTTCCTAAAGACCTCGCCTCATGTATTTGGATATCTAAATGGTGGTGCTTATGACACCAGCTCTCGGAAAGAAAGCTCGGGTATGACGCAAAAGAATCACGCAAATGAATCTACAAGAAGACAACCACACTCAAAGCCAACGCAGTCATGTACCCAAGGGTAGCAGTTAGCGAGCTGGCAGCGCCTGTCGCGCTAGTTTCTGCACTCTTCTCCGCATCGTCAGTTGGCGTCGCAACAGGTGAAGGGGTAATGGTAGCGGATCCGGAGGTAGCGGCAGGCTTCGCGGCCACACTTGTCGAAGAGGGAGACTGGCTGATTACGGGCTTGCTGGGTTTCGCACTCACATCACCACCGCTGGCTTTGGCCATGCCAGATACCCACTTGACGACCTCTTCGTTGTGCTGGAAGAAATAGTTGAGGTGCTCGTTTGTGTCCGGGGGAGAAGAACCGACGGCGCAGATTGGGTCGCCGTAGTGGCAGTAGTCGAGGAGGACGTTGGCGTAGGCGTTAAGGCCTTCAAGATGTTCTGGGCTGCGCGCACTGGTACCATCGTAGTCTACGCCGCGACCGACGGTAAAGTTCTGGTCACGAGAACGGACGACCGCGCCAAAGGTCACTGCTGCAACAACTAGAGCAGAAAAGTTAGCAAACCGGTGTAGGGCGTGACTCTAGCTGTACATGGGCGTACGTACCATTGGAACCAATTGTAGCATCCAGAGCTGGGTTCATCTCTTGCTCACATGCAAAGACTGGGCCTCCTCCTCCACCGAGCATGTCCTGTGCGACTGATGCACCCTGCGAGAAACCCAAAACGATCAACTTGCTGTTCGGACACTTTTCGCTGTACGCCTTCATCTGGTCCTGTCCGTTCTTGGCACCCTTGCTTGCTGAATCACACCATGCGGTTGCTCCCCACGCTGAGCTCTTCGCAGGGTACTCGACATCTTCGTAACCGCACTCTTCTGAACCTCCAATTCCTGCGCAGATCTCCGAGGTGAGGTTACCCAAGCGGCCGGGGTAGGGTTCGTCAGAGCCTCGTGCGACAAACACGTGGAAAGGTTTGCAATCGTCGGAGTGGAAGGCGAGGATTTCTGTCGAGTTGCAGTAAATGCCGGGCGAAGGTGCGTCGCAGCGTTCCTGCGCGAGCACGAGGCTTGCACCGATGGTGATGACGAGGAGGGGAAGTTGTGAGACCCTCATATTAGCGAAATTACAAAGTTCGGTATAACGAGTGACTAATGTAGGTAGCCGCGAAAAGAAAGGACAACTGAGCGTCTTGCACCAAAGAACGCGTGATTAGTAGTAAGTAGCAAGACCCCGAAGCTGCTTCGACAGCGGCAGGGCAGCGGGAGATATACACGACACCAAGCGGGCAGCCATGAGAAACCTGACAGTACGAGGATCAAGAAGTCCCAGGCGATCGGCACCCATGATGTGAGCGCACGGCCCCCACAGATGGCATGCATGGCCGCAAGCCTGCTTTGGCATGTTTCCACGGGGGCTATTCGACACAAAGGCAGCCTTTCGACAGAAAACGTCGATTCCGCCCCGTCGGCTAGCCCGATGCGGCAAAGCCACACGCGCCAACGCGGATTTCGGCATCCGGCCAAGCCGCCTGTGCCACAGAAGCCACATGAAGCCGCCGGTCTGCAGGAACAAATCTCGCCCAAATCCTTGGGGCTTGCGCGTCCCGTCATCGAGGCGTCGAAAAGGGGGGCTGTTGTCCGTCGTTTCGTGGGCGCTGTGGTGGATTACTATACAAAGCGCGTTGCGATGTAAGCAGCGCTACCTAGGTATCTTATCAGCACGAGACGACTGACTTTCATAGGGAACGCCATACTTGATATTCAACACCGAGTACGAGTACTGAACGTGCGATCGACCCGTACCGCAATACGATGCAAACGCCGGACGCCTGACTGCCCATGGAGTAGCATTCGTTCGAGACTTCTGGTGCCTGAGTCGTGTCCACTTTTTTCATTTTGGGGGGTCCCCACCTGCATCGGTCTGGCTTCTTCTGCATCCTTCATGGCTGCGACTTCACCTCACACATTGGTGTATTGTTTTAGAGGCCCCTGACTGTCTCGAAGAGTGTAAGTGCCGCTGCTTCCGTATCCGTTGACTTGTAGACGCGCGGCAGGTAAACAAGGAGTCGTCTGCTTCTGGGAACAGCTCTCTCTCTCTCTCTCTGTCTGCCTTCTTCTTTCTAGGAATGGGAGATAGAACACTTCCGCTCCTTCTTTCAGGGCGCTGCAACGAAATACGGCACAATGGCATTGCACTGTGTAGGAACATGGCGGAGAGTCAATAGCCACTTCCGCTTCGCCATGAATGGCAAGTGCGCTCTTCGATATCTGCTGTAGCAAAGAGCTCAGCTCTATCTTTTTCTGCATGTTTCCTCGACTCAACGTGTTCGCATCTCTTTCACTCTTTACACAGGTGCCTACATCCCTGTTCCTTTCACTATCCCATCTTCTCATGTGGCCTAAGGGTTCATTGTCACATGCGTCTCACTGCGTATGCTTTAAACTTCTTTCCTAGATGATACCATAGAGTATCTGCCACGCTGAGCTGAGGGGCATTGGAGTCTACATGTCGCTACCGCTCCATGAGCCAGGTGTGAAGTGTCATTGTGGAGACGACCTTCACGGCAGCTCACACTGTCTTGAATTCCATATCAGCATACACTGTCCACACACACACACACACACCTTCGCTCACTACGATCCAATATGGCGGAGCATTGCTGCCGGCACTGCCTTTCCCTTTGTTGGTAGATCTATCACAAGGCGCCAATCTCTCCACAGTGAACGCTCGCGCAACAACGTCAATCCTCAGTCACAAGACCCAACCCCCCAGCCTTCTTGAGCCACTCTTTCCCAAAAACCCTGCCTTTTTCGCGCATATGGCTCTTTCCGTCGTGGTGACTGGTGTATCAAAGCTGAATGTACCAACAATTTCGTCATAAACTCCCCATTCACTAGGGTTCACTTCTGCCGACGACGCCAAGATCCACACATTGATCAAGTGCCATTCCATTGGCGTATGTGCCTTTCCTCCCTCTTTTGATCGCCAACCTTTCTCACGCTCTCGACCAACGCGCCCAAGCAGGAACTGCCTCCACTGTCCATCGACTTCCCATCTTGATCGACTTTTCCGGGATCCAGACGGCTTAGCAGTCACCGAACTGTTTCAGAGCTTCTTCTCGATCATTGCTACCTACACTTCACTCAGCTCATCTACCCCCACCAACTTTGCCACCATGGCCCCGATCCGCGAGACCATCCGGAAAGGTGCAAGCTACCTAGTAGGGGTCATTAGCGAGAAGGCGCAGATCCAGTACCAAGAGGTATACCTGAAGCTCGAAACTCATGCTCGCATATTTAAGGTTTGTATATCCAATCAGATGACGTCCAGATTGCGACTAATCATAGACACAGCGATCTATCGAGAGGTCAACCCCCTGTATTGTCGCAACAGGACTCAACAAAGTCCGCAACAGCTCCAAGCGTACAGAACTCCTGCCGCGGGTCAAGGTCAGTCGATCTGCTGTTCAGACTGGAAACAAGCTGGCTGACCCCCCAAAGAAGCAGCAGATCTACCTCACCATGGCCACGGGTCGCATTGAGAAGCCCAAGCGAGATCCCCATCCCCGAAAGTTAGACCCTCGATGGTACGATATGGCCATGAAGAGGAAGTCCGAAGAAATGTGGTGCGAGCGCGAGATGCGTCTCCGAGAGAGGCAGCGAAAGGACCTGACGGAACGCAAGCGACGACAACAAACACAACGTCGCGCTCCGAACGACCAACACTCCACCAAGCGCCTAGGTGGTATCGAGAACACACATTCTCAGTGGAAGCCACTGACTGTCCCACCGTCGCCAAAAACTTTCAGCAACTTACAGTACCCCGCCGAGTTCTACGAGAACCAAACCCCCGAGGAACGTAGAGCGTATGTGCGTGAGAAGTTGACCAACGTCCTTGGCGAGGAAAAGATGAGAGCGCCCATCCTTCCTTCTGGCCACAACCCCATGGAACCTGTCATCGCCGAGTATAACCAGTGCATGGCCACAATCGGCCTTCTCAACCAGTTTAAAGCTCATCGGGCTGAGGCGCAGCGGCAGTATAACGAGCAAATGCGTCTAGCCCGTGAGGAGGAGGCCGCTCGACTCAACACAAAAGTTCTTCTTGATTATTACAAGAACGTCTACCAGGGCCGCATCGACGTGCTTGCATGGCATACCGGCGATATGCTCTCAGGGATCGAACGACTAGAATATCTAATCCAGAACGGAGAGCTTTGGGAGGTGACGAAAGTCGTACAAGTACTCACCCACCAAGTCTTTGAACCCGTCAAGCGCCTACTAGAAGAGTTTGACGCCGACATCCCGCTGGATCCAGAGGGCGCCCAAAGGCTCAAGCAAGCCTGGCCGATGGCTCGTCTACAGGCACTCTATGACTTCCTACTGGGCAAAGCCAACGGATTGGACCCGCAGACCGTTCGTATGGCTCAGTGTATTGAGGAAATCCTTCGACGTCTTGACAACCCGAGCGTGTTCGTGAACCCTCTTGCGCCCAAATCTCAGCCGTTCAGTGACTTCGGTCAGAGCTAAGGCTCTACAAGCATCAACCCCCAGAAGATCTCTGCTCTTAAATCCGCATCATCTCTCACTGGCATAGTCCCACCACCCGCAGAAGGATGGTCCTTCCGTGGCCGAACCTCCACTTCCGGCATCGACCCCGACGCCCCCCCGTCCTCCCTTCCCAACGCCGCCACCTCCGCACCCGCCGGAAGCGGTATATCCAAGCTCATCACCGCAACGGCCGAGAACGTTGCCTTCAAAGCTGCCGGCCCCCAAAACCCCTGCATAACCGTCGAGCCTGCCGACAGCGCTGCACGCAACCACGTCCTGCAATACATCAGCACCGACAACATGGTGCTGCAAGCAGAGATGGAAGACATGTTCCGGCACGCCGAGCCAAAGAGCAGTCACCGCCGCGCCGTCACAGAGTGCATTAAGGGCATTGTGGATGCTGCGAATGGCGACGAGAAGATACTGGGTACGATGGATGCGACGTATTATCGTGCGCAGATTGAGCAGTGTGTGAAGAAGATTGATGCGCTTGCGAAGAGGTATCGTGAGGTTAAGGATACGAAGGCGCTTAGAAAGTTTTGTGGGCAGGCGCTGAAGATTTGGGCAATGCATGGGTGAATGGCAACTAGGAGAGGGTTTTGGATGGTGTTGTCGAGAGATGAAGAAAATAGTCTCTCTGCTGGATGCCAATCCGAGGCTCGACTCTGATCTCTTTTACTATCATGAGACACCCGGAAGGATGGCGGAAAGGACCAAAAGTTGTCTTCCTCACGAACTCATGACTTCACGACACTACGGTTTACGAAACCACGACAACCATTATCTGCTTTTTTTTCCACGCGGTATTGAAGATTTCTAGTTATGCAGTTCCAGCGAGCAAGCGAATGTTGTCTTCTTAATTTCCTTAGTCGTTCAACCTTTCGATCTCTCAGTCTTTTGATACCCACCGCGGTCCCGAGGTCGACAACCCCTACGTCAACTACGGCTACAAGCGCGATAGGTAACTGTGAAGGTGTCACAGTTCGCTGGTGCTTGGAGTTCATAGCAATAATAGTCAATGATACCCAATTTTAGATAAATCCCAATTCCTTACGAGCGACGGTGATGATGGACGTGGAGCGGTTCTGCAGTACTGTGGATGGAAACGAAGAACGAGCGTAGGCCCCAAAACGGTGTCACATGTCAGAGGCCTGCAAGCGCCTTACCGTACGTCTCGCTCCCACAATGGCATCTTGCATAGGCTCCAGCTGAACAACGTTAGGTCGTGTATCTCGCAACTCACTAAGCTTACCCTTATAGTCCACATCCGTGATGGAATAGGAATAAAATCGATGCCGTTGGCTGCACAAGGACGGAAGCTGTCGACGCGCTAGTGGCCGGATCCTGGTCGCGTTCCGAAGTAGCTTGGGGGAGCGCCATCCTTCTTCCAACAACTCCATCGCGCCATGAACAGCCATCCTTCGCCCATGGAGCACATGGACGTCGAAAGGAGGTCGTCGTCGCCCAAGCGCAAAAAGGTCCGCCAAAAGTACGCGCCCAAAGCATGTAAGTCGCGATACTCGCTCTGGTTCGGCATGCCTGGAGCTTCCTATGCGGCATTCCGATGGTTCCGTAGTGGTTCGGCGCAGCTCGCGCGACAGGACGACGAGATTATGCCATCAGCCGGCTGACAGATTGTGCAGGTGTATCATGCAGGCGATCCAAGCTCAAGGTGTGTATTGTCTTTTGTATAATGGCTGCCCCTGAGCTGCTCTTTCCTTAAGCGCTTCACCGGCTTCCTCATGCGACAGCGCCGCTTCCGCATTTACCAACTTTACGAGCAACAACCATGATAGGCAGCGACTAACTCCAACAGTGCTCCGGCGAGAACCCATGTCAACGGTGCATGGATAATGGCAAGCGATGCTTCTTCTCTGAAGACCAGACGGCCGCCGAAGCCCTGCAGAACCTTAGTCGACCGACGCCTGCCCTCCAGACCCAAGCCACGAACCCCAGCGGCAACGGCAACGGCCACAACGTACCACGAAGGAGCTTGATGCCTTCCGACAACGGCACAGAGCGAAGGGCGAGCGATGCCAGCACACGCGGCATGACCATGGAATCACGCATGGCCCGAATTGAGGCCATGATGGAGGCTCTCATGCGCGACCGAGGCCTGACCATGACGCCAATGGGCAGTGTGGAGCGCGAAGAGAACGGGAGTGATGCCTTCAGGGGTGACGCCGTGCTGCCTGTCCCACCGCTGGATCCCATCAACCCAGCTCTCGCCTTCATGGGGCAGCCTTCACTATTCACACAAGAGTCGGCAGACTCAGCAAACCCAGACGCCGGCTCCCCTATCAACACCGAGCACCTCATACAAGTCGGCAACAGGAAGGTGCCCTTTCCTAGTTCCGCCGATTACCAACAGTACCTAGCCTCCTTCTTCACCGACATTCACCTGTCTCATCCGTGCATAGATGAACCCGAATTCCGCAACCGTAGCCAACACATGCTAGCAAGCACGACCATATCATCAGAAGATTGTGAGTTCCTCGCACTGAACTACACAATCTTCGCGTGCTGCGATGTACTACTCAATGTCGCACCCATCGATACTGGCAAGCCTAAGGGCTGGCGCTGGCTTGAGATGGCTGACGAGCTTGTCGACAAGAGGTCGCTACTGAGTGGAAGTGGCGACTTGACGATGATGCAGTGCGCTCTATTCCAGGTAGGTTTCCGAGTATCTCCAACTTGGTGGCCACAAATTGACAGTCGTAGGCCATCTACTACACCTACGCAGACATGCCCGGTCCTGCCTACAACACTATTGGTGCCGCTGCCAGACTCGCATTCCAGTCGTGCCTGCATCAACAGTCCACGTGGACGAATATCACAACCATTCAAGCATACGAACGCATCTGCACGTTTTGGAACATATTCGTCCAGGACCGCTTCATCTCTTTGACGTGTGGAAGACCGTATACCATTCACGAAACCGACATTCAAGTCGAGGCGCCTGTAGATCTGTCGCAAAGGGTAAGTAAAGCCCCCAGCTCCTCCTCCTCCTCCTCCTCCTCCTCCTCCTCCTCCTCCTCCTCCTCCTCCTCCTCCTCCTCCTCCTCCTCCTCCTCCTCCTACCTCATGCTCACGTTCTATAGGCAAACCTCTACCAAACCGAGGGTGATGACCCCAGACCTTTCATCGATCACTACATCCACTACGTCATACTCTGGGCGCGTTACGCCGGAAACGCTGTCGACGGCCGTAGTCTCGATAGCACGACGCAGGACATCATTGATAGGCAGATCTCCTACTTCCTCGATCACGACTTACCAGAACTGAGGATCCCATACGCTCAGCGGGACGCTGGAACTGTACCACCGCTGAAGGTGTTCATCACCCAGAAGAAGACAGACTTCGTTCTTTGGGGGCTACGTTCCGTCATAATCTCCCTGCAATACGACGACAATCACGCTGCTCACCTCAGCCAACTTGCCGGCTTCAGCCTCACCCGAATGACCGCCTTTGCACAGGATGCTAGTCATTCATTCAGCCTCCGCCATCGCATGACATCGTCCCTGTCGAATGCACTTCTGGTACTTTGCTCTCTTCTCGTTCGCAATTCTGCTGGAAGGACACAGACCCACATCGAGGCTTTTCGCCGTGCCGAGAACATGCTACATGACTTGGCATTTAGTCAGCCATATGCGAAACGCGTCTTGTCTGATTTCGAGAGCATTGTGCGTGTGGTGGAGGATTGCCTTGATGGGAAAGATGCCCCAGAGAATGTCGCGGAGCTGTTTCCTTACCAGTCTTCGAGCGCTGACATTCGTGGCGTACTGTGGTTGTAGTGAATAAGAAATGAGGGGGAAAGTGGCGTTTTTATGGTTTCAAATGTATTTTACTCTGTGTACCAACTGCCTGCATAGATACCCATTGCCCTCGTACGGGCTAGGAGATTTACTTTCATCATATTATACTTTGCTCACATCTCTCTGCCATTAGTCGCATACATGATCGTTATCCATGGGTAACTGGAGAGCAAGGATGACACTTACTGCATACAAGCGTAATATCCTCTGGAAACGCCAAACCCAAAACACAACGAGTAGCTACTGGGTGTCCTGTGGAACAGACTTTGAAGAAACAACAAGACGAAGTGCTCTCCAATCATTCGTTAAATAACGTAAAGTGGTTGTCAATAGAAATAACGACTAGGGATGTTTGGGAGAAGTACCTTCGAAAGTATACATGTCGGTTTCATGAGCATGAGGAGGGCGCATGTGCGAGACTGGTTACAGAGATACTATGACTTCGGAAAGTCTAAACGGTGTGAGGCAGGGTTGCTAGATTGTTATGGCAAGTTAGTCAGTGCGCCGACTTCGGTCAACTACGTGCCGCTGCTGTTGCCTCGCAGAATGGAAGGGCCAGTGAAGGAGGACTTAGTGTCATGCTAATCTGTTCTTTCTATTGTACCGGGAGTCTGCCCACCTACGTACAATCCCCGCATTGCGACAGCTTTGGAACCTTTGCGACAAAGCCCGTCAAGCTCTATCGTGGATAGAGATCTGGTCCGCCGGTAGGTAAACATAATTGCGACTGACAAACATCCTGCTGACTATTTGTTGAGCGCTCTGCAAAATTTACGATAGATGCGCCACGTTACCACTCTACTCGGCGACCCGATAACGTTAAGCTAAATCCCCGAGGAAGTTCTCTGCGCCAGACGACTTGAGGGATTTCGGATCAGTAAAGCAGCAGAAAAGCTCGACCAAGTAATCAGCACGTACATAGCGACCCACGCAGAGGCAGAATGCATGAAACTATCCAAGCAGTTCTAGAGCAAACTACCGCGGGAACTAGGAGAAATGGTATACGATCATCTAGTGCCGAGGGAAATTCACACCATCGGGCACCCCGACCACAATCTTAAGTGGCTTCACTCTATACAAAAGACCAGTTGCGATCATCTTGTTGCGCATGGATACGTTCCGCTCGACATCATAAAAGAGATTATCGAGACATAGCACGAGCTATCGACCTTCATCGTCCTCGGCTTCCTCTTAGGGCGTAGTAGTAACCCCAAATGTACTTCAAGAGCCTTAGACTTCCTCCTCCAGAACAGATGGGGCCTGGACATTGATGTGCGCCAACACGTCAAACACATCTATATCCGCCTCGAATATATCGAGGGCGTGGATGACAACGTCACCCAACTTGACGCTAATCTCCGGAGACTGTCATCACTGGGAGCAAATGCGCGGGTCGTTCTACAACTCCAATCTACATACGTCCCCTCCTCGACGCTGACAGAGCTTCAAGTGTCAATTCTTGTGGGGAAGTTCCACATGGTTTTCTCTGTCCTGACGAAACTTGTCAAAGAGGGAAAGAGAGTTATGGTCAACGTGAAAGGCTATCATGTGTTCGAAGTCAAGGTCGAAAGGCTGAACGCGCCGAGTTGGACCAGTCAGTTGATCAAAGTGCTCTCAGACAAAGACTTACTTGTTCTACAACCATAAGCTAAACAGACGCATCGGGACACACTACCATTTTGCAGATTATGTTGAAGAGCATTGAGACTGCGTTACATGCGACTGCATGGTCTACAAGTCTACATTGTTACCAATTCCGCTGGACTCGTTGTATCGTCCTATGTAGGAGCAGGCCAAAGTCCAGCGGTAGCTGTTGTGCCAATGCAAAACGGGTCAGTTTTTACCTTCCAATACAGCCTTGACAAGTATACTATCGCGACGATGTGGAGTAAACATCCAGGCTACGTCGTTCTACAACTTCGCCTTCCTTTTCAGGATCGGATCTACCCACTTCTTTCACCCCTGCTGTACCCCAGCATTCTGCGACGCATTCTGATTGATGGGCAACTTCTCAACCCAACGCATGATGTTCTCGTACACATTGCCGTCATACATACCCAGCGCACTGCAGAGACTAGCATCGGAAAAGTCCCAGGCATCCGTCAGCGCAACGGCCTCAGGCAGTAGTTGATCGAGCAAGCCATTGACGAGAGAGCGAATAGTGTCGAGCTGCCTCGAGGTAAGATATGGAGAGCGTTCGTCGGCCGTCTCGATAAAGGATACTGCGTCGACGGTACGCGGGTTTATGATCGTTGATAGGGCGTAGAGGGAGCGCATACGATTCAAGACGATACGCAGGTAGTTGCAAGTCGAGTCAGACAAGCTTGAGATGAAGTCGATGAATGAATTCAGGATGAAGTACTCAATATGGGCCCGCGAGGCGGAAATGAGCAGCATCATGTGCTCGTTCCAAGCATCTGCAGGCAAATTGCTTGATGCGCGAATTGCCGAATGCGCCTTGACGACCATACGGTGTGCACGTTCGCGATATATAGCGAGTTGTACTTTTGGGTCGAGAAACTGCGTTGCGGATGCACTACACGGGGGGTTGGGGTCTTCAATATCGGTCAGGTACTGCACGTGAGGCTCAATCGGCTCCCCATCTTGTAGGCGATCAAGTTGCTTGAGAAGGTGTCGCCCGAGTTGCTGCCATAGAACATAATTCTCGCCCTCGAACGTCGCGCCACCGACCAGCGCACCAACGATATCTGGCAGGCCTGAGATAGACATGTAGCCATGGCCGCCACACAGCTTACGTGCGTCTTCGGCGCCATCAGCGGCCTCGGACGTGACATACGCCTTCATACCAGCAGTCAATGCGTGCACAGCCGGCAAAAGCGAGTGGTCGTTCTTGCTCTGCATCTCTCGTAGTTTGCCGTACTGTTCGTCGCAGACCCGAGAGCCGAAGAACATGGCGTATGTCTTGGCCAGCAAACTCAAAAGACGGAAGTGCTGATGCTTGTAGTGCAAGACGTTTCCTTCGGTCTCAAACGCATCGGCAGGGCCGAGGCCTTGTTGTCGTACAACGGAGTATCGTGTCGCAATCGTCAAAGCTTGGGCTAGCTGAACCGTAAAGACACTAGGCATCCTACCGCGGACGAGCAGCATGACGGAGTACGAGAGCTTAGCGCGGAGGGGGTCCTTGGTGAATGTGCCATCGGATGTGAGCTGGCTATGAGCCATGAGCATCTGCGATCAAGAGATGCGAACTTTATCGAAGGAGGCGAAGCCATTATCAGCTTCGTTATAGCTAGGTCTTGGTGAGAAACCAAACTCCTGACGTCTTTTACGATTTCGTTACTTACCCAAGCTTCAAGCCAACATCGCCCATCTTCACACCAGGCATTGGTGTGCCGTCCTCGACTGATCGAAGTTGTACAAGAAATATGTGTGGGCCGTGGTCCTGGTCGCCAACAATGAGTCTCGCCATGACTGTACCATGCGTGGTCGAGAAGCCCAGTCCCGCAGGCCAAAACTTTGTCGATGAAATTATTGGTGAGTGAACGACGAACTCATCGCGATCGGGGTCAAAGGTGGCGGTTGTTTCGATACCTCGCACGAATGAACCATGGCCAAGTTCGGTTTGCGCGTATGTGCCAAGTATCTTGCCGGATCGAGCGAGCGGAAGCCACTTTGCCTTTTGTTCCTCTGTACCGTTGTGCTCTATGCCAGGCTCGAAGAGGATGGTTTTATGGCCGAAGGGGCTGTTGGAAGTCATTTCGTCAGTCGTGGAAGATTCTCCTAACTACCTCAACATACCTGGCGTTCATGAGGTTGTATCGCGGTGTGATCCACACAAAATGCTCATGGTCATGCTTGAGCATATCATCAAGGCACGCTTTTCCCATCTCAAGGCCTTGCTCGAATAGATCCTCGCGTGAAGTCTCTGCGTAGCATCGAGGAAGCTTTGCATTGTCGTTGGTGCCGAGTGCTTTCTCAACTCGCTTGAAGGCGGCCCGTCGCTCCTTGACTACCTTCTCACTGCAGATGGGTTAGCGAGGATGTTACATAGGCGCACAGATTGTACTTACCTTCCCCAGAGTATGCACGTCAGCTGGGACGTGTCGAACGAAGCGGAGTCTCTTGCTTTCTGCAACAGCGCGCTCTGGACACTTGCTACCATGTTGACCATTGCTGCTCTACGCGTATAGACGACAAATGGTGAAAATGAGAGGCGAAGATGCGGGGCGAAGACGAGGATTAAAGGTAACCAATATATATGACCATAGGAGACGTGGTGAGCAAGCTGAGATACAGCAGTGTATTGTCGGATGCACTGGGCTTTCCCCATCGATGATGGTGTGCTTCCCATGGCCTCTCTGGGCAGCCACGCAACCCGCGCTTGCCATCTTCCAAGCCAGATATTGTCCACCTATTGCCCAGTACGAAGAATACCTGCATATCTGCGGCGTAGACATCCAGATCGAAAATTGCGATTGGTCACATCGTCAAGATATCCTCACGGAGATGTGCATGCATAGTCCTTCCGTTAGCCAGATGCGAGATACGGATCTTCATCTAGAGTATAGTTGATACGAATCCTTCACTGTATGGAGCGATCCCTTGGTTTCTCGTTTCATAGCCTTTACTTGTACAGTTCAGACTGAACACATTCCACGAGTTCCAGTTCACGGCCCGGGCTTATGCTCATGTGAAAGTCAACTGGACTTATGTGTTGGTACTCCGTATCGGACGCCTTCCTAGGGGTTGTATGTTGGCCAGTCAATAATATCGAAATCTGGAACCGAAGGACGCGGGCCGTGTTTGTAAGGGCGGCCCTTGATGGCGCCGCCACGTGGGAAAAGTCTTCATCTTCCGATGGCATATCGAATCGCGTCTGTTCGATGTTTGCCGTGTCTTGATCCTTCTTCGGAAGGGACGTGAACTGCGACGCTATTCGATGAGCCTTCTTCGATCAGATGATAAGGACGTGGAGCGCGTCAGAACGAGTACCAGATGATCCGCTCCTCCAGCACGCAGGTGCTTGGCTTTGACTGTTTTGTGAGACACATTGGCATAGATTCACAGGTCTGACTCCTATTCCTTGATTGGAATGAGGCGGCGTAATGCCTACAGCTGAGGTAGCAGCAGTTCTATAGGGGTGCACTCCATTGCGCTACTAGACTGTGTCCGCCATTCCGAAAGCTAAGTGATATCCTAGTAATCTATATCAAGATTTCGAAAGATGTTGTTGCGGCTTCTTTGTTGATTAGCCATATCGAATGCAGACTTGCGGGAACTGACGGATGTTTAGATGCTGAGATCGTGGTGTTCTGCGGTGAAATGACGGCGGGCAGAAGCGAGCCAAGCTTCTTTCAGGTTAGCATGCCATGCAACTTGCCGAGGCGACACTTGCAGAACCTGTGAAACAACTGCCGCGCATTTCCATGCGTGCATGCCAACTCTGGCCACCCCTTGCTCTGCAACAACGATAGTTATCGCGCTGCTTTCCGGTTTTGTCTGGAGTATGCCTGACCCCTGGCTCGAAATTTCGCTTTGGGCCTCCCGAAGATCTTAGGCGATACGAGCAAGCGTGTTCGAACTACTCGTATGCGGCCTGCATGTAATCATTAACGCATCACCGACTACAACTGGTTTGAGTTACCAGTACTGTGCCAAGCGTACCTGTAAGCAATGACTGCTAATAAGAAGCATTCGCGAGCCTTTAGCAACCTTACTCATCGATCACATGCGGGTCGCACCGTCTCCATCTTTTCTCCGGCCTTTGCCCATTCTCGGATTTCGGACTTAACAACCATTGGCGCTCTAGGCGCGTCGTACCCTCCTAGGATGTCTGTCAGCTCTCCAATGTTCATCATGATGACGCAGTGGTGTATCGTTGCTTGTCGCTTTTGCGGAGCTTGCGGCATTTTCATTCGTGGATCCAGGTAAACCACGTGCTCGCAGAACGATGTACAGGGGTTGCCTGCAGCACATACTGTGGGAGATCAGTATAGCCCATGATTAAGAATCAGTCACCCTGAGGTCATGACACAACGCACATGTACTGGCGCTTGCAGTCCAGAATGCGGGACTTGCTCGCATTTGTAAGGGCTTGCATCCCGAGCCTCATGCTTGAACAAATTTCCCCAACTCCACACCCCAACCATGGCGCCCGCTGAACCCAACGCAAAGCCTTTCGAGCTCTTAACAGCCGAAGAGCCAAACTTCCCCGAAGAGCGAGAAGGATGGAAAGGATACGTCGAGTGGGAGCGATACCCAGAAAAAAAGAAAAAGGCGGCAGAAATCCTGGCGAAATACGACTTTCCCGTACCTCCCGAATTCCAGTTGGAGCCGTTGCCCAAGACCAACCCGGTCCTTGAAGGTGTGCGATGGAAATACTACCACTACGCCATGGGCAAGACACTGAAGGATATGCCGGCTGATTCATGGGAACACGTCAAGAAAGAGAAGAGTGAGGACATGGTCCATGTACTGCAATTTCCTTACAATGGAGAGCCGGAGCGCAAGCGCCTCGTCGAAACTGAAATTACTAACAACAAAGACCACTTTGTTCGGAACCACGGTGGCATCCCTGAGATCGACCCGGAGAAATACTTCTTCGAAGTCGAGGGTCTTGTCGACAAGCCGAAGAAGATTACGTTGAAGGAGCTACAGGACGAGAGCATCTTCCCACGTATGGAGACCTGCGTTACCCTGCAGTGCAGTGGTACGCGGCGTATCGAGCAGATTCATGACTACCCTGGAGACGGAGACGAACTCATCAATGCGCCATGGGGAGAAGGCGCCATCGGTACTGCCCGTTACGTGGGCGTCAGCCTTAAGAAGGTACTCAAGTACTGCGGGTTGAAGCCGGAAGGAAAGCACGTGGAGTTCTTCGGCGCCGATACCTACTTCAAGAAGGGTCACGTATACAACTACGCTGTATCAGTACCGACTCGCAAGGTAAAGATCAACGAGGTCATGTTGGCCTGGGAGATGAATGGAGAGCCACTACCAGCGATTCATGGCTTCCCACTCCGTACCGTCGTAATGGGCTATATCGGTGCCAGAAGCTGCAAGTGGCTTACCCGCATCAACGTCATCAACGCTCCATCTCTGGCTCCTGTCCAAATGAAGGAGTATCTATACTACACCCCGCAGAATGGCAAGCAAAACGTCACATACAGCAACGGTTTCAGTATCCAGACGATGCCTGTTGCGAGTGCCATCATGACGCCCGTTGACAAAGACGTTATCATACACGACGGGAAGATTCGTATGACTGGCTGGGCATACAGTGGAAGCGGTTGGCCCGAGCGAGTCGAAGTCAGCAATGATGGCGGTGGTGTTTGGTACGAGGTGCCATACGAGAATTTGAGCAAGAAATACTACCACGCCTGGCGCACGTGGTGGATCGACATTCCAGTCGACGCGGAAGGATGGCTGTAAGTCTATCGTCGTCGGTGTTTCAGCGAACAATGCTAACTTGACTCAGTGAATTCTGCGTGCGTTGCTGGGACGATGCCCTGAATGTAAGTACAGTCTAGCTCCCCTTGCGAACATCTCGCACGTCTCGCATCGTGGTTGTTCCGATGTGGCGTGGAGAGGTCTTGTTGTATCTACGAGACAACATTCGCTGACCTTATGCGCAGACGCAACCCACCTTCGTGCGAAGTGCATGGAACTGGGATCTCCACGTGACATCCTCATGCCAGTAAGCATTCCTCTTCTGAGTGATCTTTCACGCTCTATAGCAAGATACTAACGTTATGGTAGCCGCGTGAAGCTTTACAGCGTCAACCGCACCAAACCAGCCACGATGAAGCGTCTCAAGCAACTCGAAGACCACGGTGCTTCGATTCATCCCATCACCAGGCCTTTGCCATTTGATCTCGAGACCGAAGAGGATTATCTTAAGGAGATGAAGAAGCGCGGAGGTCGCGATCCGGAGGAGTAGGTTGTTGGAAGAGGACTGTTCGGCCAGGTTGGCTGCCCGGTTGGGGGTCTGTCCTAGCCTTGGGGCGAATAATGAGACTACACTAGGTATTGGAACGGTGTTACTGGTTGGAGTAAGACATTACAATGCAATGAGAATATATATCCCTCCTTGAGAACAGCTGTCATGGTTGAAGTACCCAACAGGTAGACGCGGACGCAAGCAGCGGCAGCAGTTCGCCACGTCGTATTGCCAGTTTATTCGAGCCTTGCCGGTCTCAGAGTGCGTGCAGTGATATGTGTATGAGGCACAGTAGTTCCGGGGATGAAGTCTAGTCGGTGATGGAATGCGGCGCAGTTGAGACATTGCCCCACTGCGGGCAGCAACGTGATCACGAAGCCGCTCTCGAACCTGGGTCTCGTACACAGTCAACGACAATGCACATTGCAGCTGTTGATGCTATCTTGGTCTTACAACGCAGTTTTGTTCGACGTTTGCACGAAGATCTGAAGCTTGCAAAACTGTAGCGACAAGTCATGTCCAGTCTGCCTCGCCACGCACGTGCTGCGCAGCGCATTCCGCCCCTGCATTGCATCACAGGATATCTGCATGAACTATCGGATCGTGCGAAGAATAGGCAGGAGCGGGCAGATGGATCGGTCCTCAGTGGACCATGTGGAGTACATACGAGGGTAGTGTCTGCGCACGTCAGCCGGGCGACATCCGCAAGCGCTTGGAGCCAGGCATCAGGCTTCTCTTGCGGTTGTTATTGGGTATGTTCGGGGGGTATATGGGATTCGATTCTTCCGCCGGCAAGATTGAATTGAGGGTGTACGATAGAGCGTTGAGTTGAGCTTGGTATTCTGGGTTGGTATAAGTATGCAAAAGCATTGTGATAAGTCCTAGACCATCTACATCAATCTCATCTTCTCAGCATTACTACTCCCCTTCCTGCCTTTCAAAATGCGGTTCTTCATCCGTGCTCTTTCTCTTGCTGTAGCTGCGGCATCGCTTCTTGCTCATGCGGCACCTATTGCGACTCGCTCTACCGAGGATTTGATCGCGGGCCGATATATCGTACAGCTCAAGCCGGACGTGGACGTCGCATCATTTACCGCTCATCGCGAGCAGGTTCGTAGTATAGTAGCTCGCCATCTTGGTCTTGGACGACGGAATGACATCGACCTGAACGCAGGCATCGACCAGGAGTACGACTTGGGAGACTTCAAGGGCTATGCGGGAGCATTCGACCCAGCCGTGGTTGCTGAATTGGAGGCAATGGATGATGTTTTCCTCGTCGAGAAAGACTTCCTAATGTATCCTACGGCTCTCATAACGCGTACGTATATTACACCCTGAAGCCTACATCGACTTTAGGCCACTTACTTTGGACGTTTTCAACTTGATGTAGTCTGCAGACCTGTTCGGGGTTTTTCCTGTATGAGGTAAGACCATGCCGCTGACACTCACCAGAAACCAACGCACCATGGGGTCTCGCAAGCGTCTCCTCTAGGACCAGAGGAGCAACTAGTTATGTATACGATTCGACAGCTGGCAACAACACCTACTCGTATGTGCTTGACAGCGGTATCAGAACAACCCATGTCGAGTTCGAAGGCCGCGCATCTTGGGGCTATAATGCAGCCAACAGCAATAACGCCGATGTCTCCGGCCATGGCACCCACGTAGCTGGTGTAATTGGTTCAAAAACCTACGGCGTCGCCAAGAAGACAAATCTTGTTGCGGTCAAAGTAATAGGCGACGATAACGTCGCAGCTGGCTCCAGTGTGCTGGCCGGCTTGAATTGGGCAACAAACGATATCGTCACCAATAGCCGACTGGGTTCAGCCGTGGTGAACTTGTCGCTCGGTGGGCCGGCCTCCTCATCCATGGACAACGCCGTCAACTCATTGGCGAACCGAGGTATATTGCCTATCGTCGCTGCAGGAAACGAAAACCAGCCGGCCGCAAATGTATCGCCAGCTCGTGCTGCCAACGCTCTGTGCGTAGGAAGCGTTCAATCGAACGATGCTCGTTCTTCGACATCAAATTACGGGTCTGCCGTAGATATCTGGGCTCCTGGTGGTGACATCATGTCTACCTGGCACACTTCAGATACAGCCACGTTAACAGCGAGTGGTACCTCCGCGTCAGCACCATTTGTGGCTGGCATAGTGTCTTATATGCGAGGTCTCGAAGGACAGTCGATTGGTCCGGTCGCCAGGGCAAGAGTTCTGGCTTTGGGTACTGTAAGTGACTCTACACTCACTGCATGTGGGACATACGCTGACTTCGCACACCTGACTTTAGCCAAACCGCCTTACGGATGTAGCAGGCGCGCCTAACCTGTTGGCTTACAATGGAAGAACTTAGAGGCGATGGTCGCAATCGGTTCGCATTTAGTCCGTATATATCAATACAGCTTCGATTCAGTTGAATTCAGCTTTGGCGCTACCTCGGTAACGAAGACCGTATTCAATGGTGCTTTAGATCTTACTCGGCGGGTGTCACGACAAGCGTTCTTCACGGGACCTTGGAAGAGCTTGACGAGCTTTAAAGATCGGGAGTTGATCGCTCAGATCCATAAAAGCAAAACAAGTATCTGTTCGGAGTGGTTGAATTCGTAGTTGCGTCCAACGACGAAAAGTGTCGGCGGCTGTCAGTGTTCTCATGCGAGGAGAACAGGCCATCCGGAATAGGCCAAGATCGACTTAGTCATCCAGCGAGTGGGGCTCATCAGAGGTTCGCGATGACGTAGAACACCTTTACGTTCACGCCAAATCCTCACCACAGATGCCATTAGAATGCCATCTACATCTCTCCAAACTGCCGTGAATGCGTTCCTGAATCTGAATCGCAACTCCGGATACGGTGAGGCGCTGGCAGTTTTGTGCGTAGCATGGACTTCACTTAATCATCATTAACAATTTCTTGCAATGGCGTCTTCCAACGCAGTGGCTTCACTAACAGCAGGCACCTTGATCTCTACGGGTTTGAAGTACCTACCATTCGATCGCAATGCAGATTTAACAGTCTCTCGGGAGTCCTCATTGCGATGGAAGCAGGACTAGAGTCTTAGAATGCACGAGCAGGTAGGGAATACGACCATGGATGTTTGAAGTTCACAATATAGGAACCTACGAAGATGGCTTCATCTACTGGACGCGGCAATGACGTCTCCTACGTAGCGCCCTGCTCATATAGATCCTTTCGACAACTACTACCCAAGAGCTTCACAGCAACTGCGATCCTACCGCCTACTCAGGACCTGTAGTACGCGATGTGTGCACATTCGAGACCACATCCACCGCGATCGACCCGCTATTAACCCTATCGTTACCTCTAGCTTACATATTACCGGCATGGTAATGGCCGCGCTTCCGAGTTGCGGATTGAGAGGGCTGATCAAATCCCTGCTCTCACCTCAGATCACGACAAGCGATCACGCCGAAACCTCGACCTCACAATACGTCTGCGCGCGCAAGAGATACTTGAGTGGAAGAAAGGGACGAACATGCGTTTACCGGATCAGTGGCAAGCATACAGGCAGGGATGGACGCAAGGTTAGGCTATACACGAATGTGGAAGGTGTCGATCTCGACAACGACGAGCGGCAGAGTTTTGCTAGCATCCACCGCACGATGCAATATACTAAGGGCTGTAGCCCGAGGCAGAATAAACATCACTCCTCTCCAAAACCAGACGCTGCAGGGCAAAGGCGATTGAAGGCCAAGAGGCTGGCTGTCAAACCCCGAGACGCGAGCAATGACGGCTCTGGTAGTCGTTCTGAAGGCAATGGAATTGCGCCGTCACGAGCCAGACTCATGAGTGCAAGCTCAAACGAAGAGTGGGACGTACCCAGACATCTCAGATTTAGGAGGGAGGATGGCAAATACATATTCCGCAAGTCGTACAACGAATCACGCAGCAGGATGGGCGTTGTCGGTCGCCGTGAAGACTCACAAAACGACAGACGACAAGAAGCAGACTGCTTTGATGAGCGAACGTCGCGAGTTGAAGGACGCGAGCGAAGAGTACTAGACCATTATTGCTCAGGCGCTCTACCAATCCCAAAGCATCCATCAAATCGACCATCTCAGGAATCAACACCGATACTCCCTTCAAGAAGATCTCGAACAGCCGCAGCGAACAATACCGTCAAACTTGTCATCAACCCGAGAAAAGATACATCCGAATTGAAAGAGCATGAGTCCCTCGACAGAGAGCAGAACGCATTTCGGGTTTCAAAGGCGCCTGGAAGCCCATTCAAGCAACCCGGGCTGACGCCACAGGAGTCGTCCGGATTAGTCTTCGGGACAAGCTCAAAAGTCGAAACGCGGAGACGGCTGTGAGCGGGTCGCGCAGACGATCATGTTGCGCCAGACGTGCATGAGTCCGCATCCCAGCTCGTAAACGATCCTTCGCTAGGCAAAATCCAGCAAAAGACGGGGGCATACAGCTCGTCTCGAAACCCACCTCCATTAGATCTTGAACACAATATATTCAACCATGGTGAATATTAGGTTCTTGCAACATCCCGAGCACCGACTCTCATCAGTCCTTCAAGAACAGTGTTGTCAACACATGGCGCCATGCGGGCAACAATGCCACAGTTCCTTCCGGAACAATCCCTACAAGAAGTCACTTCAGCTATACCTGGTTTAGTCCATTCTCATACCGGTCTACCATCCAATCGGTACCCATCAACTGCCACACCGGGTACCCCTCCTTATACCCCGGGGAAAGACGAAATGATGCGGAAATGAGGCAGCCTGGTGTTATGGCATGATCATCAGTTCTATCATCCACACAAATGTCCGAAACGGCAACTGTACATAGAAAATAACAATTCGGGTATTATTCAAACGCCGTGTACCAAAGGAAACATATTAACCGATCCAATTAATCCACGTCCTCAATCCAGTCATCAAATCCGCTGTTCATCACGGGTATCGCCTCATTTCCTCCGTCCAACTGATCCCTTCCGGTATGTTGGCTGATGTCGTCGTCCAAATCCTGATATTCCTACTTAGCATCAGTTTCGGTGTCGACAGCGTTCACGTCTCCTGTGCGACCGGGGTTACAATGATCTTCGCCCCCATGACGGCCGGGGAGTCCGCGTCCTCGATGTCGGGATAGATGTTATTTACCAGATATTGTCCGACCTGCCAAGACTACAATTTTGTTAGCTACCAGCACTCCCATAGGACTGGAGATACGCAACGTACCAGAAGCCCGCCCTCAACATAATGTCTCCACCTCTCTGAAGACCCCAGGTATACCAAAATCTCCCACGGCAGTTCCTCGCTATCGAACTCCCAAAACGTCATGTACTGATACACTGACGCATTGTCTACTTGTTTGTGCTTCTGGTCCTCGATAAGGGAAGCGTTTTCGAGCTTGAAGATGCGCGTGCGAAGTAATCCAGGGTTCTCGAGCATACCGGGCGTGAACTCTTCCCCGAACCACTTGACGAATTCGTCGTGAACCTCTGGGGCAGGCTGCCAAAGAACTACAACCCACATTTGGACATCGCGGGGATCTGTTGCAGGGTGTGTTAGCTTCCATGGTGCATCCTTGTATCATGATCTCGAGGATGACATACCTCCGCGCCACTCTTCCCCAACCCAGTTCATATGCTCTGTGTAGAGCCGCGTGTCTATCGTCGCCTCGTTCGGAAGTTTCTCGAGCTCAGGGCATATCTGCGTGTCCAGGTCTTTCGCGCTTGGTTGTTTTGGCAGATCGTAAATGGTCATGAACCTGCCATTGATCCCAGGTACCTCCTGGAATGGACTGTCCTCCACTTGCTCTGCGTGTCTGGCGGTGGACCTGATCTTCACCAGGGCGTCGGGTATATGCGTGGTTTCGTACCAGTGATAGGCATCCTCAGCATCCTCGCCTAACTCCGCCCAGGCACAAGCAATCCTTGACATGATTTTCTTTTTGCGAGCGCTCGCTTTTCGGTTCCGCGGACGTGGTCAAAAGGAATGAATTCAGAAATGTAGATGAAACTGGACAAGCAGAGTAAGAGGGCAAGGCAACACAGCGGTCAGCATAGGGAGTACGCGCAAACAGAGCGACACCTGGACTGTGCCATGAAAGTTTTGCCCTGCATCCCTGAACCTGGTGCTCTTCAGCAAGGGTTACTTCGTCGGGGCAAGTAAAGCTGTAAGAATTTCCCCAAGCAGTATGGTGTTGAGGCGGCCCGTCTCCGCCTGACTGCGGCCAGGAGGGTACCTCCGCAGTACAGCCGGGGAAGTTCGCATTGCCGAAAGCTAATTTCGCGACTACTGCCAATAGTCACGATGTGTGTAGTTCGCGAGCTGATCTCAATAAATGCGAGGCAAACCGGGATTTTAAAATGATGATGCGCTGATTTCAGCTGGAAGCTGAAAGAGGTCGAGTCATGGGATTCACCGATGTGCCAGGACCAGGACATGGGTGATACGCAGGAAGACCGAACGGGTGATAACACGTCCGGAAGGAGAGTCGCGCAGACAGGAATCAGGTAAGTCAGCCAGCTGATAAGCACGTATTGGCTCGCTAAAAACAGATAATGCCTTCGCTTAGATAGCATGAACGCCACTTACACCCACCCAGTAAATAAGACATGGCAAGACCGCGCCGTAAACCCAAAACTCCTCTCGCATGTTTCCCACGTGGCGCCCCAGACAACGCAACATGACGCAAGAGTTCGCAGCTCTTACAACGGAATTGTCTTCCGCTTCAATGAGGCTTCTGCCAAGCGCGTCAACCCCTTCACTATCTTCATAACAGGATGCCATCTCCAATGTCAATGTGCATCTTCTTCTCATGCACATCTCTCTTGTCCCTCCGCGGAAAGCCGTGGATTGCACGTTCACAGCCCAGAGCTCGGCATCTGAATCGGCGGTCGTCCAGATGGGATCCTCGGTAATGGCGTCGGAGGTCCGGCATGCGTGAGTACTTCTTGTTGCAGCCGATATAAGTACAGATATAGACCCTCTTGGTCTCCACTCGGAAGGAGATGTTGGCTGTAATATCGTTGTTGGTCGAGTAAGCTAGCTGCGCTGGTTGGTTCTGTTGGTCCGAAAGTCTTCCTCTAAGGATGGGGCCTGGCAGAACAGTGCCTGCCGTCAGTCCAGTTCCTTGTGATAGGTCCATGTCGTAGTCCACGTGCTCATAGATGCTGTCGTTTTCATGACTGTGAATCCCTTCAACAGCGACTGAGCTGTTGGTCGCACCGGCGTTCTGATTCCAGGTATTCATAGCGCGGCAGGGGTCCTCGGGCGTACATCCAACATACTGAGGGTTCATCATCTGGCGGGCTTGCTGGAAATCTGCAACATCTGTCCCGAGTGTACTTCCGTCCAACGTGGCACCGATTGAGTCTACGAAGCCGGAATTCGCAAGCGCTGGCTGCGTCCTCGGATAACTCGGTTGGCCTGGTCCGGTATGGGCATCTGTAACGGCCCCGCCTAGCCATACTACAGGGTCATCAAGTAGATGCAAATGCATGTATGATGATCTTTATAACCTAGATGGGGGCATGATCATGACTTGTGCTTCGGGGCAATGTATCATGGGTTCCTGCTTAGATCAACGTAGTACCGTATTGAACTTGATAAAATATTTTAGCTCTCGAAAAAGAAAAGCTTGCCTACTCGTGAGGTCACCTCGCTTTGCTCGACAATCTGGGATTGGAGAAGCAACAAAGGGGATAGTATAGCCTGGAAGGCTGGTTTGAGAAGCAATAGGAATAACCTGGAATGATGGTCTGGAAAGGAGATACGAAAAGCCTGGAAGGCTGGTTGGGGAAGGAGAGAAAAGCCAAATGAAGTCGTAGATGAATGCCCCCATCCACATGTGTTAGTCTCCAGTACATGATGATCGAACCTGAATTAACATACAATGCAGGATCTTCATGTGTCCCGATGGTGTTCAGGCCCAGGAGTGGCGGAACCGATGCCGCTGTATCCCGTTCTGTTACCCCTTTGTTTACGTCTCCGCCTGATTCCTCCAGGTATGCAGGGAACCCGTGATTGATCATCGGAAGGTCAGGGCGGACGTCGAATCGAGCCCCATCTGTAGACAGAGCAGAAGTATATAAGTTGGGCGGCAAAAAGTTGCTATCGACCCAGAGTTCGCCGAGCTGTGGACTCGGTGCCATGTTGAGGGGAATGGATCGTGATCTTTTCGGGTTTCAAAATGCAGAAGCACAGATTTGGTGATCGAAAGAGTAGAGGAAGAGTATAAATACTGCTCAACACAGAAGGCTGAGTTGCCCTTCTATGCAGACGCCCCTCTGGCTGAGGGGCGCCACGCCACGTAGGCTCCCAAAGCCACCTAGTTCCCCAGCCAACCTATGATTCTACGCTGGCTGTCCGCAGGTGTATGAATCTCATGGGAGGATAATCAGCTGCACTCATAAATTCTTTTGCGCTGCACTGCTTGCGCGGTACTAAGTGGCAGTGGATCGAAGGAAAGTCTCTATGAGCATTTTGATCGAGCTGTTTATATCGCAGCATGAACCGTACGCATCGATTCTGACAGGATGCGATGGCGGTGATGGGGCGTATTGCGCGAGTGGTGTTGTGTTGACTGGCGTAGAAGACGATGGGCACACCGGAATAGCGGCAGGGAGATGTGGGGCGCGAATCTCCGGGGCAGTGCAAGTCACTGAGCACCCGTCCACTCCTTCGACATGCCCAACCCCATCAAACATCGTGAAAATTCTCCATTTCACTGGACCCACGCACATCTGCCCAGCAACTCGTGTTTTCTGACTGGTCCCAAGATCGCACCTAGCAGCTGTCGCTCGCTTGTCATGCCCAGGCATCGAGTTCACATTGAGACGCAGGGCGCAGGACGCGCCGGTAACTAAGTATTGCGCCGCAAGCGCAACCTTACTGACAGTGTGGAGCATCGGTCTACCCATCTCTTCAATGTTCTTTTGAACTTATCGAGGTCCAAATCGAGTATGTCAGTCTAGCGCTCCCTTCGATGGCGGAACGCGCGTTACGAGTTAGTACTCCTCGCGACAGGACAGATAGCACGACTACTACGGACACAAACCTAGACATGTCTACTCGAGTTGGTTACCTGATCCTCGCTTTTAGCCACCCGCACACTTCTTTGGATAACTGTTCTTGGAGAAACGATGCGCGGAAGATCAGTGTCATTATCCCATCATCCCGCCACGATACCTGCACGAAGAGAGTAAGGATTTTTACCATTACCATATCGAACAAACCCTTTGCCTACGACTCACGCCTGACCCACTCTATCGGAAGGAATGATACCAGTGAACTAAATTTCCTTTGTTCCACAATGTTGGAATTGGCGGAGAAGCGGGAAAGACCAAGGGCGCTCCTTAAACTAACACGGCGACAAGTTGGTGAGGCCCGCTATTCACGCATTTTCGCGGTAGTTTACCAGTATCCGAAGTCATATAAGACCAAAGTGTACAGTATGGAATTCCGTACTGCATCTGTTGTTCATCGGATCAAATCACAACAATGTTGCGCAACACTCTTTCAACAGCAACCGCCTTGGCGGCCTGTGTGGTTACTACCCAGGCTTCTTTAAATATGTCTGATACATCTTTCAAGCTTCTCAAGTCTTCGTTGAGTCAGCTTGCGGAAGTCTACTTGCCAGGCTCAGAAGGATTCGCCAATGCCACTGTACGATGGGGCGCCGGGCAGACTCCGCACTACGATATGATCGTAAAGGTTGCGACAGAAGAAGATGTTCAGGAGACTGTTAGAAAACTCCTACCATGGTAAACTTCATCTTCAGCTAATCTTAAGCCAGATCCTCTATGCCAATGCCAATGATAAGCCCTTCCACGCTATCTCTGGCGCTCACGCAACGACGACCTACCTCAACAACATCACAAACGCCGTCGGAATCTTCATGCGGGGTATGAATGATATTTTCATCGTCGATGATGGTGATACTGCTTTGATTCAGGGCGGTATCCTCAATGGAGACGTCATTGACTTCCTATGGGCTCGTGACAAGCAAACAATGACAACAGCATGTGCCTGTGTAGGCTATGTGTCCCCTATCCTTGGTGGAGGTCACGGCTGGAATCAGGGACGTTATGGCCTAGCATCCGATCAGCTCATTTCCGCGCGTATGGTCCTAGCCAATGGTACCGCCATCACTGTCAACGAGAGCAGCCCAGACCTCTTCTGGGCGATACGTGGCGCTGGTCACAACTTTGGTCTAGTTACTCAGGCTGAGATCAAGATCTATGACAAGAAGCCAGTTGTGGATGAATGGGCTGTCAGCGGCTACTTCTTCACGCACGACAAGATGGAAGACGTTGTAGCAGTCGCAAATACCTGGATGACGGCTGCTAACAGGTCGGTGAGCTTGGAACACTACGTTGTCTTCTCTTTCGATCCCAAGGTAGACCCATTGAACGTAAGTCTACACCTCTTTCTCTCCTAATACTAGCCAATTACTAACATCACCAGCCCATCGTCATCATCTGGGTAATTTACCAAGGTGTCGACACCGTTCCAGCCCAATACACCGACCCCTTCGTCGCACTATCGCCCATCAACACCGACTCGGGCGTAACTGACCTCGCTGGCGTGAGCAAATTCACCGGCGCCGACCGCGACGGCCCCTCCTGCACCAAAGGCTACACCCGCTCCCTCGTCCCCGTCTCAGCAGACACATACGACACGCCTTCCCTGCGCAAAGTCCTCGACATCATGGCGACCTTTCCAGCCGAATTCCGCAACTCAGCCGTCCTCCTCGAAAGCTACTCCACCAACCGCGTTGGTGAGATCCCTAGCGACAGCACCGCATACCCTGATCGCGACGGCCAGCTCCTCTTCTCCCCTTTCATGACATACGACAAGAATGCTAGTCTTGATGCACTCGCGTGGAGCTATGCGGGTGAGATACGCGATACGATGATTGAAGGGACGAACAAGCTGTATGAGTCTTACATCAACTATGCGAGGGGTGACGAGACGACAGAGCAGTTGTATGGGTATGAGCCGTGGAGGTTGGAAAAGTTGAGGAAGCTGAAGAAGGAGTATGATCCTTTTGGCAAGTTCAACTTCTTTGCTCCCATATTGGGAGAAGATGGACAGGCGTTGTAGGTTTGAGCCGTATGGCTGAGAGTGGGCTGGTGTATACTTTAAGCTTACGCGGCTTTTGCTCGGTGTATACGAAGCTGCTGCAGGAATCCATTCGTTTACCATACAGATAGTACGGAATTCTACTTCTCGCTTTGGTCTGTGTTCTGATGCATGTGCGAGTAGTCGCGCGTAGTCACCCTGTGATCTGCGCTTATTCAGGTGCTTACTGAGAGCTCATTCCGCCACATCCGCGCACTACATTCCATCCGGTCCAACCGCTTGAATGCTAGAGGATGACTTCGCAGCCGGTCCTTGCGCAACCGCCTTATACATCGCACATTCGCGTACGCGAGATGCCGATGACAGCTGGGTTAAATGCCCTCTGTGGCTGATCCATCCGGCGAGCGGGACATCGAGGTGACTTGAGAGTAGATATAGAGTCTTTTCTTCCCATATGTTGACAACAGGCTATTTCACCTCATCCGCAAAGCCGCAACGATGTTCAGCCGCCCATTTGCGTTTGCCGTATCGGGTGAAGACGACTTAATCCCATTCGTTGACCCTTCTTTCACATCAAAGACGTACGCGAGAGAGCTGAACCCATTCGACGTTCTAACAGGAGCAACTGCGAATACTAAAGATGCGCTCTTCGACGAAGCCATTTCTCCGTCCAGCATGTGGTCGGCATCAAGTCGTCCAAGCAGCAGCCCATCCGTAGCATCCGAGACGAAGCTGCTAAGCGCAAATGTGCCGGCTCGTCGCAGATTAGCCAAGGCGAACACTTTTCCAACGTACAAAGACGAGTCGCGGTCGAAAGTCCAGGATCAACGAGCAGCGAAGAAGACGATACTCGACCTTGTGCCCATTGAAGAAGCGCAGACCTTCAGACTAGAGGGCTCTTTCATATACGCAACCAAGACGCAGAACGTGCCGCGATACCAACTGCATCGAGACTTTGACTGCGACGGATCTGTGTCAAAGTTGCGTATCCGCGCGGTACATGCACGCGAGACGCGGTCATATTCAGTACCAACCACACATGGGGTACACGACCACCCGATCCACTACAACAGCGATGAAACGCTATACAGCATAAATATCTTCGAAATGCGAGGCAAGAAGGCTGGCACATTTCCCGGCAGCATCCAGATGACGTCTGGGGAATCATTGTGGGGCGGCCAGTGGACGCGCATCTGGCATGTTACCAAATGTAAAGCTCAACATCACATTTGCGATTACAGGGGTACATGTGAGCCAGAGAAACGTCTTTTGTACTGCATACAGAAGGGTGTGTGGGAGGATGCTGAGGGGTTGGTGGTTGCACGAGAGGAGATTGGAAAAGAGAGGCTGAGTGCCGCGAATGCGTCCCGATCGCTAACAAAGATGGGGTTCGAGACGAACAGAAAGGAACTTGCGTTGGAGATGACGGATGAAATCGAGAAGGACGGGAAGAAACGCGATTTGGTAATGGCGTGCTGGGTGATGAAGTTGTGGATGGCGGAGGAACTCCGGTGGGAAGGAAATTGAACGCGGGAAGGAGACGCCGAATAGAATGCAAGGCGTCCAGTCTCAGATCAGTGAGTGGTTGTGAGCTTGTTGGAATTACCTTTACCTTGAATAAAACATTGCAATCGCGTTGCATGCTTGCAGTGATCTTGATGCAAAGAAATCGATGTGCGTCACGTGGTTAGGTATTGTGAGCTACGCGCCCGCACCCGCACCAAGTGGTGACAGCTGTCAGTTGGATGCCCCTGCATAAGACAGTAGTGCAGTAGATACGATTCCAAGTCTCGTCTTGTTGCTCTTTTAAAAGCAAGCATCTGCGACAGCATTGCAGACCGAAGAATGGAGTTTGGCAGGTCAAGCGTCGTGATAGCGCGTCTTCCGGCGCGCCTGCTAGACCGAGCGCCACAGCCAAGGGGCGAGAGCCACCGCCTCACCCATCAATCGTTCCCGGGATCATCGCTCAGAGGGGCATTCGCGACTTTGGCGATTGCGACCACCATGACTTGATTATCTTCACCCGAAGACTTTGTCTATTTCAATGCCTTGAAGATCCACAACCAAACTCCGAATCCCAAGTTTGGCGGTCGAAGCCCTATCGCCGCGATGCCGCTCATCACCCCCTCACGGCTTGCCATCATCATCGTCTCCTTTTCGCTCTTGACTTTCTTCTGGACTTTTGGCCTGCCGCAACAGGCTCCCCCCCAGCCCGCGATACCCGTCATCGACCATTACGACCACAAGAACGTGCATACCGAGCCGATAATACCGCCGCCCGTCATCGAGACTCCGCACGCGACATCCTCGCCGATAGCACATGGAGATCATCCGAAGGAGACAGATGATCACAGATGGGAGGATAAGGGAGCGCAGGGTGGAAAGGGAAAGGCGACACCATCCGCGCCTACCGAGACGGGAGTTGCGGAGTATGAGAAAGATGGCGGAAGATGGGAAGATGAAGAAAAGTTGAAGGGCGGTGATAAGTCTGGGAGCATGTCAGGCTCAGGCGCAATGGCCGCGCCTACAACACTAGCCACGGAGGCGATACCCGCGTCGAAGAGTCCGATTGCGGCCAAGCCGGACGTTGCGCCTACGAAGCCCGCCGAAGCCGCCCTTCCTACGCACGCAGTCGAGAAGTTCTGCAGCGACGCTGATGGAGCCAAAGACGTCATGGTCATCCTCAGGACATCGAAAGCCGAGATCGAAAAGCTCAACAGCCAGCTCAGCAATCTCCTAGCCTGCGTTCCCACTTTTGCCATCTTCAGCGACCATGCCGGCGAGTTCCAAGGGCACAAAGTACACGATGCGCTCGATTCCATAAGTCACGAGGTCAAATTCAAGCACAAGGAATTTCAGGAATATCAGCTCATGCATGCTGACGCGGAGCACAAGCCAGACCTGAAGAAACTGGAGGAGCTAGACAAGTGGAAGTTCCTGCCCATGGTGTACAAGGCGTACCACATGAACCCCAGCGCCAGGTTCTTCGTATTCATCGAAGCCGACACGAGTCTGAGTTGGACGAACTTGTTGCAATGGATGAACAGGCTCGACTATCGGATACCGTACTACAGCGGAGCTCCCTACTACATCGCGGGTACGCAGGTGGCGCAACGCGGAGCGGGCATCATGATGTCTCAAGGTGCTTTGCGACGATACTCCAAATCTTACGATGAGCTCTACACAACCAAGTGGGAACCGGATAACGGCGAGCAATGCTGCGGCGACTTGATGCTAGCAAAGGCGCTTGGCGACGCACATGTGGAGTTCTATGCTTCATGGCCACTACTCCAAAGCGAGCAGCCGAGTACACTTGACTACACCAGAAAACACTGGTGTGCTCCTGCAGTATCATGGAATCACCTTGGTGGCGACCAACTCACCAGGCAGTGGGACATTGAGAAGAAGTGGACCACAGCGAATGGCTGGAAAAAGCCATACTTGTACCGCGACGCCTACCACGACTCAGTAGAACCGCACATTGAAACGCAAAAGGTGGGTTGGGACAACCTGAGCCAAGACACGAAGATCGTTGCACCAGAAGGACGTCGACAAAAGCTCAAAGACGACGCCGCGGCGAAGAAAGAGAAAGAGAAGGAAGAGCAAGACACCGTCAAGCAAGAAAAGAAGCCAAAAGAAGAAGACAAGACCCAGCAAGACCACAAGAAAGAGCCCCCAAAACTCAATCTCGACACCGCCCCACCACCCGACTCCCGAGTCTTCCAAGAAGCCGGCGCCCTCCCCACCTCGAATAGCATCTCGAGACGCGAAGACAAGAAAGACGATAAGAAAGGCAAGGACATGAAAGAAGACAAGAAAGAACCACCCAACTGGGACAAGCTAGCTGAGAAATACCCTGATGCAGCAGATAGCTCTGAGCGCTGCCAGGCCGTATGCTCAGAAGTCGAAGACTGTCTGCAATGGCGGTATACGGCCAAGGGGGATGGAGAGTGTCATCTCAGCAAGGTGATTAGGCTGGGTGGGAAGGTAGGGGAGGGGGAGTGGACAAGTGGGTGGGAGGTTGAGAGGATTAAGGGGATTAAGAAGGAGTGGGAGTGTAAGGAGGTTAAGTGGAGGTTTTATCAGTGAAATGGGTGAGATGAGTCAAAAGGAAAAGATGAGGTAGATGGTTAGATTCAGGAAAAGAGTGGCGTTTTTGGTGTCTGTTTGGGAAGATTGTGACTGGGACTGAGATGAGAGCTTTTGTATAGTGTTGAGCTACTCTTTGTTGGAAAGTTGGGAGCACGAAAGTGTGCGAAGTGGTTGTATATACCCTTTTTTGTTGTAATGTATATGGCCATGGCAGAATGCATATCACCAGAATGTAGTCGGGCTTGACGTGATGCCTCTGAGCTCGATGGGTTGAGCCGTGATACCGCCCACATGAAGTGGGTCTGACCTTCGACAACCACGGCTGTGTTCTGTCGCTACCACGTCTCTCATGGATAGCTGCCAAACATTTCGTTTACCATATATATGTTGCCGCGTATTATATTCGCTTTTCGCTTTTCTCCATCACAAACAGTATCAAACAGCGCTACTTTCACTCTTTGACGACGACTTGTCCATTCATTAGTACACACTTCGCGTCTACCTCCTGAATACAGTCTTGCATCGCTCATAAAGTACAACTGACTTTCAAAACTACGATAATTTCCACTAACAGATTATCCTTTCAGAAGTAACCGACGATGCTGCTGGCTCAAGTCTTCGGTCGCTCGCAAATGCGAGTCTTCCACGGTCCGTTTCCTCCCCCCTAGAAACTCGATAATATTTGCGGTGGCATGTTGCTGGAGGCAGTGGAATACGGATTAGGCGCGAATGGAGAAGAAAGAACGGAGATGGCGGGAGTGTAACAGGAAAGATGTGAGTTGTGAAGTGCCAAGAGGGAGCCTTCATGGCCACTTTTCATCGAAGTCTAGCAGTGTGAGGAAGATCTCCAATTTGAAATTCTGTGTCTTCCCACAATTCCTCCTGGCGTAAATGAGCAAACTCATGCACCCCACTGTTCGTACCTTCTTACGCTTGACCTGGAATGGCAGGCGCCGTACGCCTTCTTGGCTACTTGCATTATCCTGTTTATCCCCATGCCGTGACATCGTCAACATCAACCAGCACTGCTCACGAATTATATTCTGTAGACTCGAATCCCGTACACCATGGAACCTGACGCCCTCTCCCAACTAAAAATCCTCCTAGCCGCTGCCCCAACCCTCCGCGCTCAACTCAGCAACACCGAGCGCCTTCAACTTAGCGGATTAGCCGAGGCGCTAAGAAACGAGTTGGAAAGACCAGATGAAGCCGTCTTCAGGGTGACGTTCAATGAGGTACGTGTCATGGCCAGGTTGCGGGGTTGCAGTCAAACACATTTCACATGACTCGCAGAAGTAATGATTAGCGCTAACAACGAGTACATCCAGCCCGGACATTATCTCGCCATTCGACTTGCTTTGCAATGGGGTGTTTTCGAGGCGCTGGGTGATGTTGGAGAGAAGGAGGTATCGTGTAAGCAGATTGCTGAGGGTGCGGGGGCAGATGCGCGGTTAGTTGGTATGTATGCCTCATCACTACTTAGTTTCCAAGGACTTTTTCAAGACATGTATTACCAGCAACTTGAAGATTTTAGCTGTATCTTGTACATGAGATGGTACTGATCAAAAACTTACAGCACGCTTCCTACGCCATCTAGCCGCAAACGGCACGATCCATGAAGTCGATGTCGATACATACGCCAGCACTCGCCTCTCAGCTTCTCTAAGGCAAAAGTCTTTCAAGGATGCTATACACTTCATGTAAGCCCCACCTCATACTCACTCACACACACACATTTAAGCCTCTGTACTCATACCGCACACACAATAGGTTTGACGACTTCTACAACGTAGGCTGGCGCGTCCCGTCATTCCTCGACTCAATCTCTCACCTTAATCCCTCCGATATTAACAACGGCCCATTCCAACACGCTCATGGCTTCTCTAACAAGTCGCTTTACACCGTTTTCAATGAAGATGCAGCGATGGGAGAGCGCTTCGGTGGTATGATTCAGATGTACAACGCCGGTAAGCCTTTCTTTTGGGAGAATGGGTACTATCCATTCAAAGAGCGATTGGTGGTTAGTGGACCCACTTCTGACGAAGAGGTATTGCTTGTCGACATCGGCGGCGGCGATGCAGGCGATTTGGGTCTGCTGAAGAAAGCGCTTGGAGATGATGTCAAGGGTCGACTTGTGCTACAGGAGTTGAAGCACATTGTTGATAGAAGCAAGCAAGATGGGTTTGAAGCACATGTTGGTGACTGGAATGAGGTTCAGCCGATTAAAGGTTCGTCTCCATACTCGCGTAACAACCCTATGAGAGCGGCAATAACGGTTCTGTATAGGTGCCAGAGCTTACATGCTCCAGCATATTCTCCATGACTTCAGTAGCGATGACGCGTGTCGCCGCATCCTGCGCAACATCGTCCCCGCTATGAAGCCCGGTTACTCCAAGCTTCTCATCAAAGAGCTTCTTATACCTGATCAAAACGCGCCGTGGGCGTTTACTGCCATGGATGTCAACGTTATGCAGTCACTTTCTGGTCAAGAGCGGACTGAGTCGCAGTTTCGCGAACTACTCGGGTCAGTGGGGCTAAAGATGGAGGGTATTTGGGGTCATGAGAATGCGTTGGATGTGGTCATCGAAGCCTCTCTGCCCTAGATCCCTATCTACACAAACTCCCAGTCGGAATTAGATGGTTCTTCACTCGGTATAACATACTTCCTCCATCCCTCCCCCGTATCCGCCTCCTTCCAAGTGTCCATATCACCCACCACCCCATTCTCATCTACTCCCCAATCCCCCCTCTCAACCATACCCAGCCAACTTTCCAATACCCCCACCAAACTCTGCGCCTGGAAGTCTTCAAGCGGCCGCCGCCCAGGCTGATACAATTCCGTATAGCTATCTTCTCCGCGCCCATCCTTTTCACCCGCAAAGTTCATTCCGTCACCCCTCCTTGCATACCCCTTCCCACCAATAGCGTACGGCAGGACAAACGAAATCCCATCTTCCAGCCTTCTACGACGAGTAGGTAGGAGGTACAACCCAGAAGGGTAGATCTTGACATCTCTATATTCGAAGAAATTAGGTACCCGGACATCGTCTGGACTTTGTGGGGTCCAGGTGGGGTCTTCGAAGAAGTTGAGGGAGGATTGGAAGAGTAGAATGGGTGGGACTTCTTCCTTGTCTTTCAACATGTAGGAGCGGAAGGGTTGGTCTGGAAAGTCTGAGGATGTGATGACGCGGAGACCGGGTGCTATCATGCTGAAGCGGGGGCGCCGGGCGCGGAAGAGGAAGTTGTATGCAAATCGTTGGGGGAGGTTTATCGTGTTGCGGATGTTGTCGTCGAGGAGGCCGTATACGGCTTGTTTGGCTTGTGATTCTATACTGGTTGCGGGCATGCGGCTTTCAATCGCCTCAACGAGCTTGTCCCAGATATTGAAATTATGTTTCAGCATTGTCTCGTTGTACGGCACGAAGATCCAAGGCGCATGTTCCCACCACTCGTCGAACACTTCAGGCCATTCTTCTCGAAGTTTCCCTCCTTTATCCGGTGCAGCCTGGATGGTCTCTTTGCGGATCTGAGAGAGCCAGAAGGTGAGCACGGTTTCTAACGGGTACCATTTCTGAGTACTAATGTCATCGTTGTCGTATATGGTAAGTCTGAGAATACAGAGATTCGTTTTCTGATCATATCTATCTTTGTGAGCACATTGTTCCAATGTATAGCAACATAAAGTGTCTTACATCAATCCACAAATATGCCCTGTATCGAAATGACCCGCGGCATACAGAACTAAGCGCCTTCCCTCATCATCTTCCTCCTCCTCGTCTTCACTCTTATTATCGTCGTAATCCAAGAGCATGTCTTCGAATTCGAACATGTATTCTGGATGAGACAGGCCCTGAATCCAATAAAAGAACTCGGGGTAGAATCCTTCCTCTTCTACTCGCGGGATCTGGACTTGCTCGAGGAATTGAATTAGGTAGGGTGAGAGATTGGACCGTTCGGCTTCGGCTTCTTCGCCGTATATCTCGAACCAAGATTTGCTGTGCGAGGCGAGTGTATCTGGGGACCGGCCTGAGCCGACCCAGCCATGTCGCACGATTTCGTTGTGGAGGGAGATGCAGCGTTCGACGTCCATGGCTGATGGCGATTGGGCACTGAAGGAAGGAAAGTATCGAACATGGGTCGCAACGAATGTCCGAGCTCTAGGCTCTTTAAATGGTAGTTGTAAGTAATGGCTAGTTCCAAGGAAGATACTGCGCAAGGCTACAGCGCATAGACGAAAACCTAGACTGGAAAGGAACTAGTAGCCAAGACGGGCGGCTCGGAAGCGAAGTTTAGGAGAAGAAGGTAGCGAGTATATGGAAAGCCTCGAATATGTGCATGTGGTGACGGCGGCGATGACCAAAGCGGTTTGCCCGTCTCTCAGGTGAGGTTATCTCGTTCGCAAGGTGAGTGCCGACCACTAAGCCCCGCATGGCGATATTTCCGCGACAAGGTAAGATTGAGAAGTCATCTATCTCACTATTGCGGAGGTGGCAACTCGAAGCCCAAGTGAGATACATAGGACCTCGATTGCCTGCATACTGACAGCCCTTCATTTCCCTCCCACTTTGTAGACACCATCTTTCCCTACCTCCACCCACGATCGGATCAACATCAGAGTCAATCAACAGTATGCCACCCAAGAGATCGCACGCCGAGATGTCGGCTACAGGGATTGAACCGCCTGCGCTGGATTGTTGTCCACAGGGAGAGCATTTGGTCGCTTTGTGAGTGGCTACGTTCTTGCTTGAAGTACACTCCACTGACCATGTTTGACAGTGCACAACGAGACCATGAAATTATCAAGATATGCCTGGGTTCCTGTGACGCCAGCCTTGGTTCCATCTTTCTGCCCCGTGAGAAGCTAGAGTCCGTCTGTCGCAGTGGCCACCGCCCTGTCTACCGTCAGCGTGGACCTGAAACCGCGCCGAAACTGTTGTTGCTTTCCGAATGGAACTGTCCCGAGGTACTTGGTCTGTTCGTACAATGGCTCTACACTGGAAAATACACCGAGTCGAATGGCCCAGTCAAGAAGTTGGACAGCGCTACCAAGACTCCGCGCCTGGACATGTGCAACTCTTACGAAAAAGGCACCATGGAGTGGACAGTCAAGGCTGCGGTACTGGCTTGGTCCTTGGGTAAAGAGCTGAGAATACCCACATTGCAGAATTATGCTATGAGACGCCTCTTCGCCGCTTTCTCACACCCTTCCAGAAGACCGCTACTCACACCAGCCTTGTATAGATGCGTTGAAAAACTGGACCGCTGCTGCTTTATCGAAAGTCTGGCATCAAGAAGGAAATGGAAAGACCTGGGACCAATGGAGCGGGCGCTAGACGTCACCATCATTCGAAATTGGGGCGACACGGCTGTTGTTGATCAAGAGGAGTTGGATACGTGGTCCGCATTACTCAAATCATGCAACCCATTCCGGGACAAGTTCCTTGAAGGATCTTTGCTTTCGCTTGATCAACGTCGTGAGAAGGTCCTGATGGCGGAAGATTATTTCGTCGATGTGCCCAAGAGCAAGGTGGTACCATCACTTACGGTAGTGCTAAAACATTAACGACATGGTCCACGTCTGGAATGGATATCCCACCAAAAGCGATTGATACTATTGAGGATTTACCTAGCATTTGAGCTTTTGATTGGTTTCCAGGAGTCAGGAGTGCTCGTGGTGCTTGTTTTAGTTGATCTATCACTACATACCTACCGCGACTATTGCGCGAACTTCAGAGTGATGCGGTAGTGACTCGTGGTATGCGCACAGTTGGCAACGATGATGGTACAGCTCATCATGAATGCACGAAGGTGGTGATGGTGTCGTCGCTAGGCCGAACCGTCGATCGCTCTCCCACCCTCGAACGCGCCAAGACCCCAACACATGACCGCGCGCCATCACCCTCAATGTCGACACAAACCTCATCTCTTTACCCTGAATCAGATTCGAAAAACAAGCTTCCCTCAACAAACGCATCACCACGTAGTCAATTAATCAACTCCGTCAACCATTGTTTCAAGCCCAGCCTCACCGCCAGTAACGCCGGCATCCCAGCCACTCTGCCAGCATTCCAGCCCCTCGGCCCATGGACGCGACCCAACCACCCACGCGGCGCACGCACCCCGCCACGTCTGTACAAAAGTGCCTGCATGCCACCTGCAGAATGGACTACGACTTGGCTTGCAGATTTCCTCGCTGATACTATTAACTCGATTTCCTCCTCACACCCTATTACACACGTTAAGCTTCTATCGCACTTTCGTGTTCTTCGCACTACCATCGCTATCCTTAACATTGGCTTGCTTTGCTTCCCGGGATTATCACACTTGACTACTGAGTGTTGCTTGGACGATAGCTGAGCTTGGACCGACGACCACCGCATTATACAAAACCATTGATTGTTTGCGCTGAGATTACAGTGCGCATACAATTACTACACTATTTACGAAGAGCAATTGACTGACTTTACCACAGAATACTTGTCGCATCGCATCACAACACACCAACCACACCAACACCACTCCGACCACTACCACCAACGAGACCCCCTCGTTCCCACCAACCCAACCGCAACCATGCAGCGCAACATCGTCATCTTCCTCATCATCCTCATTCTCTTCATCCTTATCGCTGCCATCGCATACCTCATCTACTACCTCCAGACCCGCATGGCCGTCGGCGGCACCGCGTCGTCTGTCTCCGATATGACTGAGAACGTGTAAACCCACGACACAGCACACAACGCAGCGCATCGATACCACAAGAGGAAAGAGGAACAAAAAAGACATTTTTTACGACGATATGAAAGATAGTACAGCACCACATTTGCATGGCACCGGCGTTTTAGGCAGTTGCAGTTGCATGGCTATGCGACTTGCGCCTTGGAGTTTGAGATTGTACGAGAACGAGATAATGCGATTGAAGTAGCCATGTCGATTAGCATGGGCTGATTTGGGATACCCGCAACGTTATTACGGAGCTTATTGATATATTTGTATATACAATTGCGCATGGAATGAATCACATACTCAAAGTCACATCATACTTTCTCTCTTGATTGCTTTGCCCGTGGAATCCGTCGTTTGCATTGTTGTTTGATTGCGGCGGGAAACGAGTCTTTCGTCTTAACTTAGGCGGCATGATACAGTCCTGGCAGATCGCAGGCATATCTTAGCTCTCTGTTTGCATTGCTCATCCGCAGAAACATCCATGTCGCCTTTCACCAAGTGCTGCACGTCATATTGTGCATGCAAGTGTGAACGTTACGAATTCCCAATACTACCAGATGCAGGGTCCAAAACTGGAACCGCTCGAACGAAGCCTTGATACTCCAGTGTTTCGTTTCCGTGCCTATCCAAAAAAGTTCTTATGATACATGCGGCACCTATACGCCGTACCAAGCAGATACATGTGTATCCTTTTGCAGCTCATCGGAGTCCTCCTAAGCCTCCAAGCGCACTAGAGGATTGGAAGGTTCAAATTGTTCCGTGGGTGCCAACGGAGACACTTTCGGTGATTTGAGTAACGGTAGAGGAGGTGTGATGGGTGACCATGACGGCGCGCGGAACTGTTTTGGAAGCATTTTCGCGTATGGCATCGCAGGGGCGAAGTCGAACCGAACTTCATCGGAGGGGGGTATCTTGATCGGCAATTTCGGTTGCGGGTACTACTCGACTTGAGCGGATCAGTCGTCGTTCATCACTGTGTCGTTGGTGTCATCACCGTTCAGAGGCTCGTCCCCGTTCTCGGTGAAGACTAGGTGACTTTCGTAGTATTCAAGCATCTGCGACGTATTAGTGTAATCAACGAAGTCCAGAGAGAATTGGCAACGCACCTTTTGTGGACATTTTTGGTAGACGTGCTTGAGAGGGTGCTGTGTCTTTTGCCCATTCGTCCACACCAGATATGCGAACTTCTCCAGTTGGCCCGTCTTGGGGTCCTTCGTTTGCTCCACCGTGTCAATGGAGTCGACGTCGTGTTCCCATGAGCCTGGCGGTGGGCTCCATTGTGCCACTTTCTTCTCTGGCTTATCTGCCTTCGCGCGCTTCGTGGAGGACGACGGGGTGCCGGACTCGGATTTGACGCCGGCGGTCGATGGTCGTCCCTTCCGCTTCTGGCCCTTGGGTTCTGGTCGGCCTCCGATTTTCTGAAAGTACTCATTCAGGACGTCAATGGCTCCCTCCCTGCGAATGTCAGTCTCAACCAAGTACAGAGCAATGCCGCAACGTACATGTTCTCCTCTGCCTCCCAGGTCCGGTCCTTGGGGTCGTCGTAACCTTCCCATTTGACGTCAAATTGGAGGACGCCCTGGTGTTGTCAGTGTTTGCGCGTGGAAAAGAGTTGGTGTTTGCGCGCACCTTTTGGAATCTGTGGCCGTGAATCGCCTCCACGACGTATCTGGCGCATTGTCAGCGCGATGCGATCCATGCATGTATGGACATGCGCGTACTCGTCCTCTCCCACCTCACTGTCTTCCTCTTCCTCTTCGTCGTCTATGGGATCCTCCTGCACCGGCTGCTTTCCCTTTCCCTTTCCCTTTCTTGGCTGCGCGGGGGCGTCCTCGGCGTCCGAGGACCCGTGATCGCTAAGAGCAGCTGCGCGAGTTAGCAGCTGGATATTACGCGTATGCTGATTGTTTGGGCGAGCGGGCGCGACTCACGAGGCATGTCGAAACGCTGTCGCTATGAATGGGAATTGAAGATAACGCGGATGGATAGCTTCATGGAGCTTGAGGCGATTCGGATAAGCGCGATTATATGCCCGGGATGCGCTGGGGATGGGTGTGGCAGCAGCTCGGGGCAGCAAGCGTCAGGGCATTTCGGAGAGTTGGAGCTGGCGGAAGGCGCGTTCGCGACTCGCGGCCGTGCGCCTTGATGCCAAGCCCTTCTGGGGAAATTTCAAGACCGACATGGCAGCTGTTTGGCTATACCCCACCACCCCTCACTACAAAACATACCCGGGATTCTCTCCTAGTGTATGCCAGTAGTCTGATCTGTTTTCGGAATTGTGAATTTGTTACCCCAGCGAGCATTTTCACACCACAAAGATGCGTAAGTAATGCGGGCAGAAACAGCTCCAAACACCCAAACCCCAGCAGTGAGATATATATGCTAACTTTGTTTGATTACAGAGGTCGATCTTTCCAACGGTATGCGTCCGAATCTACTACGAATCGTCCGCGAACGAACGACTGACAAAGTGGGGTATAGCGCAGGTGATGAAGGATGAATCGGGCAGGCCGTTCATCATTGTCAGAGAGTATGTGGAATGATATGAATGGAGCTCCAGGCTCTAGTAAGAGGCAGTAGCTAATATCCGGGATAGTCAGGGCAAGAAGCAGAGGCAGCACGGCAACGATGCGGTCAAGTCCCACATTCTCGCGGCCAAGACGGTCGCGAACATCGTCAAGAGCTCTCTGGTAGGCAGTATTGTTGTAATCGAGGAAGCTAGGACATGGACTGATGATATTTAGGGACCGCGAGGACTCGACAAGATCCTAATTTCGCCCGACGGAGACATCACAGTCACAAACGACGGCGCTACTATTCTCTCGCAGATGGAGATCTCCAACCACGTCGCGAAGCTGCTAGTCGAACTTTCCAAATCACAAGATGACGAGATTGGTGACGGAACAACTGGTGTTGTAGTGTTGGCGGGCGCGCTCCTCGAGCAGGCAGCGGACCTCATCGACAAGGGCATCCACCCCATCAGGATAGCAGACGGTTACGACCAGGCTTGCGAGGTTGCCGTGGCCAAGCTCGACGAGGTCAGCGACGAGATCAACTTCTCCAAGGACAACACGGAAGAGCTGTTCAAGGTCGCAAAGACAAGTTTGGGCAGCAAGATCGTTTCCAAGGCGCACGACCAGTTCGCCAAAATCGCCGTAGATGCCGTGCTTTCGGTCGCGGATCTCGAGCGGAAAGACGTCGATTTCGAGCTTATCAAGGTTGACGGCAAGGTTGGTGGGTCGCTCGAAGACACATTACTTGTCAAGGGTGTCATAATAGACAAGGACTTTTCGCATCCCCAGATGCCGTCGGAAGTCAAGGACGCCAAACTCGCCATTCTCACATGCGCATTCGAGCCACCGAAGCCCAAGACCAAGCACAAGTTGGACATCACCACCGTGGAGGAGTTCAAGAAGCTGCAAAACTACGAGTCGAACAAGTTCACCGAGATGATTGAGCAGATCAAGAACACGGGCGCCAACGTAGTAATATGTCAGTGGGGTTTCGACGACGAGGCCAACCACCTTCTCCTCACAAACAAGCTGCCCGCTGTACGGTGGGTAGGAGGCCCAGAGATCGAGTTGATCGCCATCGCAACCAACGGACGCATCGTTCCCCGCTTCGAGGACCTCAGCGCGGAGAAGCTAGGAAAGGCTGGCATCGTCCGGGAACTGACCTTCGGAACCACCCGCGACAAGATGCTGGTAATCGAGGAGTGCGCAAACACGAGGGCTGTCACAGTCTTCGTTCGCGGTAGCAACAAGATGATCATCGACGAGGCCAAGCGGTCACTACACGATGCTCTCTGTGTCGTCCGAAACCTGGTTCGCGACAGCCGTATCGTATACGGTGGAGGAGCTGCGGAAGTAGCATGCTCGCTTGCAGTTGAGGATGCCGCAGTCAAGGTAGGCGTTTCGCGGCTCATACACAGTAACAATCACTAACACTTTGCAGAGCCCTGGCCTTGAGCAATACGCCATGCGCGCCTTCGCCGATGCCCTTGACGCCGTCCCCATGGCGCTGGCTGAGAACTCCGGTCTTAGCCCCATCGAAACTCTCGCTAACATCAAGTCCCGACAAGCCAAGGAAGGAAACACCAGGTTAGGTGTTGACTGCATGCAGACGGGAAGCAACGGTAAGTGCACTTCGCTCTTTGTTATCCAACCATCTCCCCACGGCTGCCTTTATCATTCCCGGCTGCCTCACCACTATCAAGCATAGCTGCAGTACGGACTATCTCCGGGAGACCCGAGACCCGTGATGCATTCAAGTTCCCGCATTCAGTTCCCGCATCCAACGCCCCCGTGGGGTACAGTGCATTACCCCACGCCGCGCCCACTTGCTGCGCTGGCATGAACGCAACTACAAGTGGAGATGAGCAGGAGTCATCTGAGACTTTTGCTTTGCTATCATTGTTATGCACAACGTCATGGGCCTCATTGGTGGCTGAATTACCGAAGATTGTGCTGACGTGGCGTCATCACAGATATGAAGGAGCACTTCGTGATCGATCCCTTGATCTCGAAGCGGCAACAACTGTTGCTCGCTACACAGCTGTGCCGTATGGTACTCAAGGTACGTATCGTAAATTTCCCCCCTTGTTCCGTTACGAATTGTCGTTTGTCGCACCGCACACCTTTGGTGTAACTCCCTTTCCGCTATCCCTTCCGCTTCCCTCCCGTCTGTGCAACCTCGCTTTGCTCACTTCCCCTCCCTTGCGTCCTTCCTCTGGATCGATTGCAAGGCCGGGGAAGCGGGGAAGCCGAGATAAAGGGACGCACGGGTTACGCTTTATGCAGGTTGCATTGTTCTCGTTCCACGCGAACAATCACACCCTTTCGCTTTGTGTCACCGATTATACTCACCGCTGGATGCTGCCTTGTTGCAAACACAACTGACACCAACGCACAGGTCAACAACGTCATCATCGCTGGAAACGACGACCAGGACTTCTAGACGCCGATCAAGTCACCACGCCGTACCTATCACACCGATTGATCTGTGCCTTGTGTTTGTGACTGTGCCTGTGCTTGATCGTGGGCGCATCGAGCGAGGCGCAAGGGCACGTTGGATGGAAACGTCTAGAAGCCATGTCTAAGGCGTTAATACCCATAGACTATTCAAAGTAAAATCAATACAAGCATCTTGGTGCTATCATGTGGCTCTTGCGTAGCATCCAGAGTGGTGATGAATGTGCACCGTCACGGTCCTGATGGCTGATGTCGACGTAGATTGTGTCGCGATCATCACTGCCTTGAACATTTAGTCACACTAGTGGTGCGTTTCATGTCTGCATCACACTGTTCCTCCGTAGCATGAGACGTAATCCTTCGACCCTACGATCGTCATCTATGAGACTCAATTCCGGCTCCCCGTAAGCAAATCCTGCGTTCCACGATGCAAAAATATACTGCATATATGCATATGCACATATGATCGCGCGTTAACCATATTGGAGTTCCGTTCCGCAACACGATCCTGATTCGCACTCTGTGCATTATGAGTCGTCATTGTTCATTCTAGACCTCTCAATGCCAATTGCAGAGGCCTTGTTCGTGATCTTGACGCGAGAATCCACTGGTGAGCGAGTTGAGTGGTTCATCTGACAGCGATTGGGATGATGGGCGGTGTATACTTTCGTATCAGCGTTCGGATTTTTTTAGTGTTTTTTTAACTAGGCAATGAACGCAGGAAAGAATTGTGAGAAAGGTTGAGTGGACGGCAATATTACTACTGGCTTCAGCAGAATGAGAGAGCATGTGTTCACGTGTATCAAGCCTTGGAATGGAAGATCAAGCTAACGAGATGAAATCGAGGAAATTCGACTGGGTAGTACAGTGCATGTGGATCTAAGGGCTCAATTGTGATCCAGTGAGGTGGAGGAAAGGGGGAATTATCGAACCCACTTGTGTTAGGAAGTACATCCAGATGTGTACATCTCGATGAGTATCCTCACGATGTACAAATATCATTCCATATGTCGGAATCCAAACCTGATCCTCGCACTGTTTCCTTTACAATACATGATGACAATTACAGTGACTACCACCAGGAAGATGTACCCGATGAAGCATACTACTTCTAACCGACTACTAACTTCACAACAAGTCTATCCCGATTCCTATAGCTAAATCTCCACTCATGCACATCGCTTACACCTACACTTGCACTCTCATATCTCATACACTAAGTAGTCATGCTCCTACTATTCCTCGCTTCATCTCGCCTCGACATTTGGCGACCGGGTAAACCGTCCGCCGCATTGCAGAAGCGCTGCACATCCGTAGCGCAAACTCTCTTAGATGAAGGAAGGCGTCCCTTGCGGATATGTCCGGGGTGCATGTGAGAACACGAGGGAAAAGACCAGGCTAGCTGTTTCGGTGGATAGGGCGCTGCAAGGCGTTTATGCGAATATTGGTGTCGTGTGTTGTTGAGGCTCGGGATGTGGAGAGGATATGGGTAGGTGGAGGGGAGAAGTATTGACGGGTGCATGAGAGTATCGAGTACTGTCAGAATGGATGGGTGAATGATAGCCGGTGGAAGATAATGGTATCACGGTAGTTGCAACGCCTTGTCGTTTCGATCACCGTCCGAAACCACAATGTAGCTACTGAACAGCACGCATGTTGTGTTGTGAACATCAGAGTCGCATGGTCGGTCTGTTACCCACGGCAAGATTGTCTCGAGCAGCATTACCATCCAAATCTAAACTTGCGATCAACAAACCATTCTTTCGGAACGAATCGCCGATTCCAACGTTACCATCGGTATGTTCTAGTTCCAATCGCCCTCCTATCTTATCGAGGGCGAAGTGCATCCAGTCTATATCAGACAAAGACTATACATTCGCGTAAGTATACCGCAGCATATTCTAAATGCAGCTAAGCGATCGCCGCAGTATTCAGGCACGCGCTCAATCTCACTTCCATAATGGGTCGCTGTTTACCTTGTCCATACATGAAGGATCTACTGTGAGGCGAAGCGGAAGCGCGTGACGAAGACACCCTGGACATGCTTTCATGCTAGACTGACAAATGTGCATGAACGTAACGATAAACAAAATAGCGGCATTATGATATACTGGGCGCCTCAATGTTGAGATGAACGTGGCATACAGGGGCCGAAAATACTCGACGACGGCACAGGTCAAGAACGGCAATGAGGAGGATCATGTGAGGGCCTTAAATATGTGTCCGGAAACATGGAGCCTTAGTCGTGACAGGTGACACTTTTCTCTTTGACTGCGCCCAGGTGTCAGCCTGAACCAGAGGTGTGGCGAGATGAAGATCTGGGGCTGATATGCGGGGGTGGAGATGGGGTCTCCAATTTTCCAGTTTGGAAAGAAAGCATGACACTGACGATGATGACGCTATTAGAGAAGTCAAGTCGTACAGCGCAGAGTCAAGTCATCCGTCACAGTAAGCAAGAGCCCCGAGCGTGCTAAACGCAGGGCAGTAATATCGCCCTCTCGCCCCGAGCCTTCCCTCCCTCACCGTTGGCTCACAGCCGTCTGCCGTCTGATGTCAGCATCATGTTCCGCCCCGAGGCTCGTGTTCCGAAAGTCGTCGCGAGATATGGGCCGCGGGGGAAGCTCCGCATGTGATGTGACGGAGATTGATCAACATAGCATAAAGTACAGCGAGATATAATACCCGATACGAAGGAAGCGCGTAAGCACCCGATGAATGTGCATGCAGAACCGAACCACGCGACGACGTTTGTCTGGGGTAATTGCGCCAGGCATGCGGACGCGGAGGCTACGGAACAGAACCGAAACGGAAGATATCGACCGAGTAAGTGTTCGCTGATGCCGAGAGTACTGTATAACTACGCCTCGACTGTCTGTTAGTGGAGGAGAGGTTCTGCCTGTTCTTCCAGAATGTGGAATTAGACGTTGTGTTTGATTAAGGTTGGTGTGCTACAGCAGGTGGACTGCGTAATCGAAATCGCGCTTTTAGTGCGACATCCTGCCGGCCACGTACGGGGTAATGGAGAAACCTGCAAAGATGGGAGCCGAATTTCTCGCTTGCGTCTATTACCGACTTTGGGAGTGAGTGGTGGTGGCTGGAAATGACATAGAATGCTGGGGGCTTGATAGGCTGGATATTTGTGTTTTATCCACGAACCATGCGAACCGCGACCACGGGATGAAGGGCCATGTCGTTCGGGCCGTAGTGAACCATGGAGGCGTAAGACTACCGAAGATCTTGGTAAGACTCGGGCCGTGTGATAAAGTACTTTGGTGCACATGTGGTTGTGTGATGAGTTGTCGGGCGTAAGACCGTGGGGTGTGCTGAGATGATACGGCAGTTGCGTTATTAGCTTGGGGCTCGTTAGTGATATGTTTGGGTGTTGTACGAGCATAATGTTGTGCGGTATAGCATTGCGATCTTCGTAAGCTATGCGCGACACTTGGATATCAGAGTCCAAATTCAGCTCCTTCTTCTGGCGGTGAAGGGGTATACGAGTATCCTGCCACAGCATTATAGCACCCCTAAGTTCACTTGTACGACCATAGCGTGAGACCTGGAATCAGGGTTGGTATCTGGGGTCAGCGCCTCGGTCCCGACAGCGTGGTAATAGGCTCTCGCTGGCTGAGTGTAATGACATTCAATATGGGACCGGGTACATCAGCGCACGCTGACCACCACTTGAGTTGACACCGTAAGCGCGTTCGGGTAGGACGAGATAGATGAAGACGCGCAGATGACAGTCAGCACGCAGTGTTACCGAACCAGACTGGGAACTGGGAACCATAACCCCGGGACGGGTGAAAGAGCCTCGCCAACCGCCTCTTTCTGCTGAGGCCTGCAACTACCATGTTCGAGACGTTATATTGGAGACTTTCAGAACGTTTTGTAAGCCGATTCCTAAGAGAAGACCAGGCATACAGTCGTCTGGAAGGGTTGCCAGAGATGGTAAGGTGTCGAGTGAAGGAATTGTAACCCGTCTTCGGTCCCCACGAGGTCTCCAGACTTTGCTCACGGCTTGACCGATAAGCTAACCAAGGTGAGTGCCGGGAAGAGGGCCCATGCAAGGCGCAGCCTGAATGCAGAAGGTGGAACAAGATGGCCGTTGGCGAAGGAATCTGCCACAATCCTACGAGAAAACATCATCAAATCCACCGCTCTCCATTCGCCCGTTACAAAAAATATTGGTAAGATATCAGACGTGCCGTTACTTTTGCAGACTTTTACCCCCATCTTTGGGTTTCAGGTACGGTCTCATGAGCAATGAGCCGGCCCGTTTGTCGCTGCAGAATCCTGCGGGAGTAGGGCGTTCTACTCGGATAAGCTATGATAAGCTGCACACGTGGGAGCAGTATACACCACACGGCGTTCGCCAAGCAGGAGGCGTGTCCATGTGAACTCAATGCCGGCTGGGGTAATGAGCCTGGAAGACTGTAGTTGGCCTCTTGGGACCTTCGCTCCGAAGTGCGGGATACTAGGTCGACATTGCACCGAAGTCCAACAGATGAATGACTTTGCTTGTGACATTCGGCGGAAAGACCGGCGCCTTGATCCGCTTGATGTCGCGTTGCCATCGGTGACCGGCGAGACGTCCGGATGTCATTTGGTTGGTTATCAGTGCGGTGGACGATGCAACGAGCTCGTGCGTGCACGCGTGGGATGCCTGCGCGTCGGGCCCCACCGCCAGGCACTGGGGAACGTGTTGCTGCTTTGGGCAGCCACAGCCCTCGTTCAGGCAATCGACGATACTGAATGCGCGCCAGAATGAAGACCCGGCTCACTGGAAATGAGGAATAATTTCTCCTATGCTATTTGTTGGGCGCAACGTCCGCTTCCGGGGAACGCACAGGACTACTGCGATTCGTGCAAAATACCTCATGTCGATTCGTGCAAGAAGGCGGAGACCAGCATCATGTTCCCCCCGTGCGCTAAAGATGTGATAGAAGGGCTGTAGCGACAGGAAAGGCAAATCTTCCTATCCTTTCTGATGGTGAGGTTTCAGTAGCATTGCGCGACATTGCACTGACCAGCGAAGCCTCGGCTAATTATCGCGCATGAGCAACACATGTGAGGGTGAGCACGTTGTTGCGGATGATTGGACAATGTACACTGAGAACGGCCGGGCGCCGCCACAGGAGGGGACTCTGTGATGCGCGATCCTGGAAAGCCCCAAGAAGGAGAGGGAGCTGCGCGACCCAGAACATGATCACAACGTGACACGGAAAGGTGAGCGTAATGCTATCATGACCAACCGATGTAACAGCCGGTGGTTGCAAGCCAGGCAATTGGTGCTCCTTGGTAACAGCCACGCGACGCCCGCGGGGAGCGGCTGGACGCCCCGGATCCGATATGGTTAGCTCGAACATGGTTTCCAGGCTGTCGGGCTCTTTGCATTCTCCAGTGTCCGGTAGAGTGGCACTGTCAAGCCGCCATCGTGGGTTCAGTATTATCATGTAGTTAGTGTGGGTTGTATGCGAGATCGATGTGTACGGCTCGATAGCCCAGCTCATGTTCACAGTGCAGAAGAGTCGTTCGTAAAAGGAAAACACGAAATGTACCGAGATCGTTTGCCGTCGAGCATGTGACGAGTAATCATACAGCGATCGACTCCCCGGCACTTGTCATAACCACGGATGACAGGCTGATGGCTACTCCCGACGCAGATACGAGCCCTCATCTCAGCTGGCCGCTGACGGAATCGATCGCTTCGATTTTGTCCCGAAGAGAGTGCGACAGCAGTGAATGGGTAGAGTCGTCGAAGTTGGGCAGTGCGCAGCGTCGACAGAATGTCTTTTGTGTTGCGACATGTGCACATACCGATCACGTAGGTGCCACCTTCGCCATATGGCCGTGCGTGCTCGTTGCAGAGCGAAAAGCAAGGGCAGAATCGATACCAAAGTCGCTTGGCAGGCGTCACAGCTTGCTATGTCGTGATCCGGGGTACAGTCATTGTCCTGCGGCTGATCAAAGCAACCCGATTTAGGTCATGGTACAACATATACGCAGTCTCGGAACAATGAAAGGTGGTTACGACTAATGCGAACATGAAATACACCTTTGGCATATCGCGCAGTCGTACCAGGTTTGATAACGGTTAATTCCATAGCGATAAGCCGATAGATGTGGGAGCTTATGGAAGTTGACGGTTGTATGAAGATCGTGAGAAAAAGCACACAACAACCACTGCGGGGCCACGGTCCGGGGAACTAAAGTTCAGCTCCATGTCATGTCACGAGCGAACGACAGACTTTGGGGTGGACATGACCCCGTCTTTCCCTACGCTGACGTTTGTTCTTTGTACCAAAGAAATCGCTGTGCATAATGTGCGATCGATTGCATCGTGAGCCGGGTGGCTTTCAGGAGCGATGACCGGTTGGATAAGCAGAGCGATAGGCACTCGACAGTCCAGTGCCACGTAGAGGTAGCTGCCGGTGTACAACTCATGAAACAAGCATCACGCCGCATTCAGCGATAATGTGTGGTCGCACCTGATGCTTTTGCGGCTTCGTGATTCGACAGGCGCCCCAGATGACCTCGAGAAATTGCCGTGTACTGGACTGACGTAGCATAACAGCCAAGTTGGAAGTTACTGGAGGACGAGTGGGCGCACAGTGCACCATGGCAGGGTACCTGTCGCTACCCCAAAGTCTGGAGCGGAATATCTGGGGTAGCTGGCATGTCTCAGAGGCGTCGAGGACAGCACTTTAACCAGGTGGCCACCGGGCTTGTACCTCGTGGCCTGGCACCCTTGCGAATAACCAACGCATCTAGGAACCTAGCGAACAATGGCTTGCCGATTCACAGTCGCAGGTCAGCGTTGGCGGTAGGCGGTAAAATTCGCAATCGCAGAGACAGAGGCGGAGTTGACCACACCGAAAGCAGCCCTGTCACCAGAGCGTGCGAAGGCTGCTCTTGACCGCCACGGAAGAATAGAAGGATCCCGTGTTGCCGACCCCAGTGCGGGGGATTTGCGCAGACGATGCAGACGGTGCAAACGACAGAGAGTCGGATGCGGACCTGAAAACAGGGCTGTCGTGACTTTCAGCGTACCTGTCTCGTCGAGGGTGCCAAGTTGCTCGTGAGGCTGTCTAGTTGGTGTGAATGGGCACGAGGGTTGACTCAGGGTCCAAGAGGCACAGCCAAGGGCGCAGCCATTTGGGCAAGGGAAGCACATGGGCTTCGAAGGCTAGACTCGTGCAGGGGGGGAATGTCGGAAGAGGCGAGTTAGGGAAAAGAAGCGCCGCGCGGAAGTTTTCAGCTGCTTCCGCGAGCGCTAACGGGATGCGACAAGCAGCATCACATGGCGTGCATAGGTTTTCGAAACCGCTGAGTTAGCGGTATTGTATTACGGCGGCGTAACTTTCTCCCAAGGTTCGCCGGGCAGGTGACTTGTAGTGCAACGGATCCGCCAGCGACAGCAGACAGTGCTACCAGTCGGCCAGGCAAGCCGACCATGGGCGCTGTAGGAGCAGAGGGTGCCGTGGTCAGCATGGCCCCGATGGGCTCGACGCAACAGCGCGAGTGATGGGCATGAGTCTTGAGGGAGGCGGTAGAGACAGCGAGTCAGGCAGTGTTCTGGAAGTACCAGCGTGCACGGCCTGTGTTGTTCAGATCATGTGCCTCCCCACGCCCAGGCCTTCACCACGCGGGCGGCGATGCAGAGGTGGCATTCGCTGGCGCAGGTGGCGGCGGCCCTGAATGCGTTGTTTTGGAAGTGTGAATGCGGCCATGTTTCTGGGGGGATGACGACGGGGACGAGGGCCACGAGCGTCGCAGAAACTGACTGAGAGGATCCATGGTAGACTCTGGACTCCGGGCAAAAGAGCGGTAGCCCGAGAAAGGCCGCACGGGCATGGATCAAGGCTCTGAGGGCAATCTGCCGGGGGAAGGAGCGCAGAGCAGGGTCCCCTGCACCTTCCTGTTAGTGTGGGTGCCCATCGCGCCCTCCATGTCGGCCCAGGTCGATGCCCCCCTGTCGTACCTAGTGGATCCGGCACGCACACCAGTACTGGGCTTATACATACAAGATCCACTCCCACTTACATGCTCTCTCTACATACCTCGCCCATAGCATTACACGCCTGCTCCCATTCACACACTACGCTCTCTTGGACCTCCCCACATATACACCCATTCACACACACCACCGACTATCCATGTATCTGTCAGCGCTGTAGCATCGCCGGCGACTCCCTCTGCTCGGCAACTCTCCATTGACGCACTCGGAACCTCATCGTCACTGACGCAAGCGGAACCACTGTTAACGATCTCCACTCTCAACCCCAACACAACGCCTACGATGCCTCTCCGCGCCGAACGGCCCATAGTGCGTGTCGAGCACAGCTCCATGCGCACCATCGAAACCCGCAGCACCGAGAACCTGTTCGGCCTCTGGTCTGGTGAGTGACATGCAGGCCCGATAGACGCATGACATATCGCCATGATAGCATGTGAAGCGCACAACAGCGACTAACTCACTTCTCAGTCTTTGCACGATGCTCGCCTGCCATGGAAGACGGCAAACGCTACGAGAACATGGCCTGGAGGTTGTGGTCCCGCGAGACCTTCTGCTGCCAGCCAGACCCCGTGGCTGCTCCCCAGTGGACCTTCCAGCGCCAGTTGTCAGCTAGCGCCGCGGACATGCCCGCGCTCTCTACCAGCGTCGCCTCCGACGACTCCAATGTGGAAAGCGCCATCATCACCACTTCCCGCTCTGATCTCTCGGCCGACCGCCCCGACCTGCGCCGCCACGACTCTGCCACCAGCCAGGCCCGCGGCAGGCACATGACGCCCATCGGCCTCGAGAAGGTCGTCAACTCGATCCAAGAGAAGAAGTTCATTGAGCCGCTCTCGCCTCTGCCCGCACAGCTTGCCCCGCCTGTACCCGAGCAGAAGCCTGCCCAGCACTCCACGCCGCCCACCACCGCCCGCCCCATCCCCGAAGCCTCCACTTCCACTGTAGCCACGACGGTGAACAGCGAAATCATGAGCCCCGCCGTCAGCTCCGAAGCGAGCACCTCCACCGACGTGAGTGAGCACAGCGTCGTTCGCGGCTTCGAGCCCGGCCACATCTCCACCTCGGTACGGTCCACCACCAACCTGAACCCCACCCCCATCCTCAAGAAGACCTCCAGCTTTGTCACCAAGCCTTTGCCTGCCAAGGCCGACTTGAGCAAGAAGAAGCAGCCCATGTTCACTCTCGGTGGTTCCTCTGAAGAGGAGAACGGCAGCTCCTTCGAGGCCTACTCTCTCCAGCGCAGCTCCCTCTCACAACAGTTGCGCAACGCCGCGCCCATGCGCAAGACGACCTCGTTCAAGAACGAGGTTAGCACCCGCACCTTCCACGACGTCTCCGAGAGCAGCGAGGCGGCCATCGAGACCGACAGCGAGGATGATGTCGACGAGAGCGCCATCGAGGACGAGGACTCGGACGAAGATGAGTGGGAAGACGACGACAACGAGGAGAGCGGTCCCCCCAGCGTTGCTGAGCACCGTCCCTTGTTCTCGCGCGTCGACTCAAAGCCCAACCTGACCTCCCGCCGTTCCCTACTCACGACCGCGCTCCACCAGGGTGACCGCGCATCTGCACTACAGAATGAAGCATCGCGATCATCGCCTGCTATCCGACGCTCACGCACCACCACACCCAACGGTCCATCGACCGGCAACTCTCCACACGAGGACAAGGGCCTGATGATGCGCGAGCCGGCTTCCCGCCCAAAGCCCATCATCATGACCACCTCCAACGTTCACCCACCAGCAATGTCCCCCAAGACATGCAGGCGTAACATGCTGACTTCCGAGCTGACCGGATCACTTCGTCAGAACCTGCTGTGGGAGAGGCAGCAAAAGAATGCCACCACCAATGCCGTAGCAAAGCGCGCCCAGAGCGCAGTCAACCTACCAGCCCTCCGCCGGGCCATGACCACCGGCGATGTCAAGGGCCTCAACACCAACGATCAACAAGCTCAAATTAGATCTACTACTTTCCGGGACGACAACAAGCCCGACAGCTCATACAACCAGTTCTTCGACGGCGGCGACGCCCAAGAGTACCACCGCTCCGGATGGTAGCACTTCATCATCATTTCTTCACATTTGCACTTCTAGCGGCATCTATGGTTTGGCATTGGACCAAGGCGTTTTGTTTCTTCACTTTAGCGCTCTGCAGGCGATGATGGGTTATGATCCTCCCAAAATCTTCTGATACTGCCAGGGCATCGATTATGCCCAATGAGGCTACGAATTTCTTTCATGCAGTTATACCGGACAATGGGTGCTTCTTGGTCTGAAGACGGGTTACGGCTCACGCCTATTTGGTCTGTACTATCACCTGCACTGTACTTGTATCGGACTCTTTGCCCGACCCATTATACCCCGGCATGGGACGGCTCCACGGAGCTGTTGAACCACAGCAACACCTTGCTTGGAAAATAGCAGGTGTTTGCCTAGATACCTAATGATAAAAAAGCGGATTCTTCATCATCTCACACTCCTACATGCTGCCTATTGTGACTGTGGCGGCAAGGTCATGCACTAGGCCGATGTACCTCGAAGCCTCATTGACTCTCTAGCTGTCACCTGTTCCGGGGTTCGAGGTCCCAACAAGACGCATGTTCGATTGTAAAGAGCCATTTGTTTGGCAGGTTCCTTTACCGCTCTTCTGAACCACTCCAAGCTAGTTGCCCAAGAAGCGCTTATGCACGCTTTGCTGGAGGCTTCATGCAGTGCCGGATCGCACCACCACACTGATTCCCCCCGTTACATCTGCCGCGCCTAGAGGGCACTCTGTCCGTGTCACGATGGCGATCAGCCTGGTCATTGTTTATTGATGATATGGCGAAACTTGGATCTGCAATAGCCGCGACATTGCTCGTCGCTCGTCACAGCCCGAAGTCAAATTGGATTGAGCCGCGCCGCCCTTGCTTCGGCCCGGCTTCCTGTTCACCGTCACGAACTCTGTGTGCCTGACATCTGCTGCTGCGCCGCTGCTCATCACAGGAGATCCCCAAGGGCATGCGGTACTCGAGGGCGCTGCCCCGTGAGGGCCTACCCTTGCGCCATATAGGCCAGGGCGCAGGCAACGTGCATCGTGCATCGTGCGTGCATCGTGGCAAGCACACCCACCCTTCGTTGTGCGTCGTGGGATCGCGGGCGAGACTTGACGGCTGCAGACGCCGCTCAGCCTTATGACTCGAGCTGCGAACTCAACACCAACAGCTGCCACCACGCAACGCAATCTCGACGCTCGAGGTTTCAGCAGGGCAAAGCACGAATCGGGCGGCGAGGCTTTCCTCAGACACTGACACTGACAATATTGAGCGACGCCACTACGTCATGCTAGCTGAAACTTACCGCACTTCCCCGCGCGCCGTTTTGCTCCTGCTCCAGGCTTCCTCGCCCTCGCCCCTCGCTGCTCAATATGCGTCTGCATCAGCATCACTCAACCACCATGCAAGCCTTGCCAGATGACTAGGGGAAGCGGTCTCACCAATCGTCCCTCAGTCGTCGCTCAGCAATCATCACGACCGGACTGCGCGGGCTCAATCAGCGCAGCGCAACGCGGCCCCAGTCGCTCCAGCAGCTTGCATTGTTGACGCTCACTATTACCACTGATTTCAAAGTCCTCTGATCATCCGGATGCTAAAAACAACATTCATCCCTGAAAACGGCGGAAGGCGACGCTCTATCAGGCACCCACAGCGCTACCCCGCGACCAAGTCGGTCTGGAGGTCGATGCGTTGGCATGTTAGCGCCTGCGAGTGGTCATCTGAAGCCAGCCTTGACGAGTCAACTTGGAGATGCTTCAGCCTCATGTACGAGGAACTCCGCCACGCCAAATGGCTCCCTGGCAATATCTGGATGAACCGCTTACATCCCTCGTCCTGTGACTGTGATTATCGCTTCCGTTGGCGGCTTCGGTTCAGTATCACTCCAGGCCTCCTGTCTCCGCGGTCTCATTTGTTGCCCCCGTGGGGGTCCCGTCACATGAACACCTATCGTCACACTTTGGTGACGTCCCTTCTCGCCAATGCCGCTGCGTGCAGATCTGATGTCTGCGTCTGCCTACGCGTCGAACGGATCTCGGGATGCTGGTGTCGCTGAGGCGGAGCAGAGATAGTCAATTGCCGCTGTGCAGGACGCCATTCTCCGCTGATCAGGTCGGCGAGAGCGCCGTCAAAATGTCGTGCTTGAGGTCGTGGCCGCGGAAGTCTTTCCCATTGCCTGGATGTAGAGTCCCACACGCAGCGCCCATCGTTTCGTCAATACTTCCCGCATTACACATACTTCAATCACAATACTCGGCTTGCGCACCTAACGTACAAATGGTTTTGGTCATACCAATGGCTTATCGGCCTTGAATGCAGCCATTGGCACTGCCCATAGCTTAGCAGGGCACATGGGAGTAGCAACACCAGAACCAAGGCACTACGACTTCTCTGTCGTTGTGGTGACATTCTCTTTGCTTCCTGTCGATGCTCGTCCCTAGTCTTCAGTCGTACCCCGACCCTTTGCCTATACATCGGCCTAGCAGTACACCATCATGCTTCATCCGGTGGTATTCTTTACATCAGGCGCGCGTTGCAAACGGCACCCCACAATCTACTTTTTATCAGTTCAACCGTCATATTACTAACTCGAAATAGTAGGAGCAGGCACAGGAACTACTTGCGCTTTGACTGTTTACAGCTGCATCAGCTGTCTCCAACACGTTTGAACGCCAACCATCCCCGCTCAAACCTCAAAACTTGCCAGCGCATCGCCCAAGCGCGCTCATACCGTCTGTTGACCTTCACGATAGTAGGTTGTTAGTCGGTAAGATCTTCGGTAGTGGCTCTGACTCCGGGACATTGCCCTAGCATAGCGTCAATTACCCCAGGCTTCGCTGGCATGTTTCAGTCAACACCATCACGATATGAAAGGGCCGTTTGACGACAATCAGGATATTTACATTTCCGAATGATCGCGATCTCTCGATCGTGTCTGCGATCAAAGGGCGCACCAGGATGATCACGATCAGTCTCTTGATTCCAGGACAGACTTGCAAAGATCGAGATCAGGCATGCACCATCTTTTTTTTTTTAAAGTCTCGGTAGGTGGACACCTGCTCCACTTCATAGAGGCGCCACGGTAGTATGCAGCCCTAAATCACCCACATGTCCATCGCCTTTACAGATGTACGTCATTGCTCACCAGCCTCTTTTCTCTCCCTGATTTCTCTAACATTATGATTGCGAACGGGAGCAGTGATCTTGCGGCTTTCGCCGTGCTGATGCATGCTCTAGCCGCCAGCCATGGCGACAGCAAGCCGAGGTATTTGCATGACTGCGCTATCGAAGCTCAACCAACTTGGGGTCTAAGAGGCGGGGGAGACATTGCGCTGGACAAGCGGAACAACCCCCGGCCACCCTTCGACAACACCGAGGCTTTTGGATATACGAGCACATGGACACCGTGCTGCTCCTAGCACTGCCCGTGAAGATGGACGGTCCTCATACCGCGCAAAACCCTTTTGCGACAAGCTCCGATGCACGCAGCCATGACGATATCGCAAGCACCCCGGACATTTGCTAAAGAAGGTAAGTCGCGATGGCCAAACACCAAGAAAAGCAAGACATCGTACGCAACGGTTATCACGAACCAGATAGCTACACGGCGATCTTGAGACTTGAGGCAAGCATGATGCAAGCCGTTTCTCAGGAACGGCATCCATTAGAACCGGTGCTGTGCGTTAAATCTACGATTCGATTGAGAGGCGAGTGACGACTTTGGTACACTACCGGTAGATCCAAACCTTGGAGACTATCCCCAGACCCCAGATTTACGTAGTATCGGATGGCGCTCCCGGAAACAGCATAACGCTTCTCAGTATTTGTTACATCTCATTTCTTTTCTCTGCTGTTTCATTACACGTCCCTGCATCGCTTGGAATCTGCCAGAAGGTTCGGGAGTTTGTCGTGGTCAGCTGTCTCCTGATCTTGCAGCGGGCACGTCTTCCCCGCCGTCGTCGCAAGCATGCGCTTGCTGCTTCAGCTTCTCCCACGCGATGCATCCTTGCGTAGCGTGCGCCTCAGCAATACATCGAGTGCGGCACCGCTCTGCTCATCCATCAGCTTACAGACATTATCAAGAATCTGGTGACTCACTACTGCTGCGGAGCAAGGACGAGCCTACTGACCAGCAGTCAGCACAGCCATGGACAGAAGCCGTCTCGGGTATCTTCGGATACTCAGACCTTCGGCGCAATACAGATCGGATGGAGCACTTTCCAGAACTCATTTTGCCCGTCAAGCCTTACTGCCTTACCTCATGATCTTCTTGGTCTGCAGACCTCCCGGCCCCGCACGTGTCAAAAGAACGAAAATGGGCCGAAGTACCCTGAAAATCTCACAGTAATAGTCGGCGAGAACACCGCTCCATAACGCGATTGTCCACCAATCCGCGTTCCTGCTATATCGTGCCGATTATATCGCGGAACGTTGCTTAGCTTCCCCACGAATGCCGCTTACCCCGCAAGGACTCGACTTGAGCGGTTAGCTAAACAGAACAGGCAATTTCCGCCCAAGCACTGATTCACGACTGACAAACAGAGTTTGGAGCGAAGGTTTTGAGATGTCAGGTGTGCTAATGAAACTTGTGGAACTGGTGGTTACACTTCCCCAGACTGGCAACCCCGGACGTCGCAGGTTGCCAAATCTATACGTGTCAAGGGTAACACTCCACACACCCCATAACTTTGACCCTCGACGCGAAGACCCTTTTCGCATCAGTTGCTTCCATGGTTGTTCGCTGCATCAAAGATGCTGTCATCAATGCGCCTCACTTGCCAGAAGCCGCGAGATCCTGGTCACGAACCTGTTACAATCTGGAGACAATGGGTCGCGACGCATCATGGGGTAGAAAGCATATCACTTTTCTGGGGTGAACCTGCTCGTGCTTCGTCATGGAGTCTGGGATCTATGACGTACACACCGGATCCAATGCAGGTACCAAGGCCCACGACGTCGATCACAAAGTTACTGGATTGGGTAAACCGGGTCAAACCTCTCCCCAGGCAGGCTAAAAGCAGAACACTGGTAAATTACAACGCGAAAAATATGTCTTTGTCAGCCTCGAGGTTGTTCAGCTCCCCAACACAAGACATGTTGCGGCAGGAATGTTGGCTTGCTTCCACAGAGTTGATCCTACGTCACACAAGAAGTCTAACAAGATCGCGCTGACGGAATAGCGATAGTAGTTTGCTGATTGGCATGTCTAGCCTTACTACCAATATCGATGTTTCTCTCAACAAGACCTCTGATGCCCGTAAGTGGTGTGGAGTCGCTATCGCCAGCGCCAACAGCCCCTCCGCTCCACCGGATCGATTGGCCACAAGCGGATCTCAGCCCTTTTCGCCTTTTGCCATCGTCACACACAAGCGAAGATTTTCTAGAAGCCCCAGAGAATATTACATCGTTTACGCCTAGAGCTATTTGGCATCGCCGCACACCAAGCTTTTTATACATCCGGTGGCCATCAGAGTCGAATTTTCCGTATTCGGCACTCGCGAGGCTGGCGACGCGTTGACGCGCATGCGTGCAGGGTGTTGAATGTATCGATTGAGTTGATTCATGCGTCATTCGTGTTTGCATTGGGATTAGGGTATGCACAAATCACACAAACTTATCCAGTTTATCACGAACAGCGTCACTCATGCGCAGCTGTCGACGCTGCAGCACTTTCATGTCGGTAAACCCGACGGACGCTGACTTGTGAACGCATGCATGCATGAACCGAGTTTCACGTGCCAAACCTGCGCGGGCGCGCATGTGTGCGTGCTTGCCGAGCTCCACCGACACGCAAGCAACGCAAGTTCACGAGCGCAGCAAGGGTTCTTGTTTCAACGGAATCAAAATGGCAGGTACGTACCTGCATTGCTACCCAAAGCACTGTCACATCGGACGTGATATCTGCACGAGTCTGAATGAAGGAGAGTTTTTTCTTTTCTTTAGTTGGTTTTCAAGTCACATTGTCATGATCCTTCCCCATCAAAGTAAAGCTCGCATGTAAAATCTTGGTTTCCACTCGCTCTACAAGGGTCAATATCTCCACCTGGGGGCGTAAATTCTCGCATAGTTCCCGTTGTCTTCATTGTCACATGTCTGGCTGTACTCCGCAATAAGGGTGCAGATGCGCGGACGAGAATAATTCTCAATCTCACCCGTACATTTCCGATAAAAAGGTCCACTGTAAAGCGCACCGCGAGTAGTTCCCGCAAGTCCAGAACGTCTCGGTTATTTCTGTATATGTGGATATGCATGGAGTTGAAATGCCATGTTCCATGTCGAGCTGACAGCGTCGCGCAACCCACAACGGTGAATGCTCGGCTCGAGCCTCTCGAGTATCTGAGCCACAGCATTTTTCACCGCCACGCAAGCGGTGGTTTGGGCAACGTTACACCGGCATCAACTTACTCGCAACGAGTCTAGTTTTCTTCCGTTCGTTTAGACTGCGATGGATGCTAGTGGGCTACTACTTCCGGCATGGTAAGACACGATAGTCTATCTTCGGAGGCTCGGTTCTGTTTCTCTGCTACAAGCGAGTAAACCCAGAGCCCTACAAACCACCGATGCCAGCTAACCTCCGATGCGATGCCTCCGCTTACGCTGCCTACGCTTAGACAACGTGTTCGGCGTATCGAAAACAACGGCAACTACTCAAGTTCCCGTCCAATACCAATCCTCCCGAGAATAATCGCGCGTTGAATAGCATGTTGCATGCACCCTCACACCCTTCTAGACTCTGCATTAGCGCCGCTTCGAGAAGAAGCATCACCCTCGCATAATGCATACAACCACCACGGAAGACAGACTACCTCCGCGCACTAGTTCACCGGCTGGGAATATCGAACTTTTTAACCTAAGCCCGTCGCGAACCACCGTTGCCATCGCTGTCTCACTCGATTCCGAGGTGGCTGGACTGTGGATACAGCAAAGTCTTTGCTTCGGAGTCTTGTGCGATGGCACACTATCGAACGATAGCTGGTGTACAAACCTTGCCGTCCCGACTCCGAACGAATGATACGTGAGACGATGGCAACTGACACTACTGTATATTGGATATGGAGGCGGCTGCAATCGGGGGTCGGAGGAAGGTGTTGAGGCTCTGCGGGTACGTGCATGACCGCCGATGTGGGTCCTGTCGGTGTCGCGAATTGAGCACTGAGGTGCGTTCGCGTAGGGTGGTTGGGTGTAGTGCTGACCTGCTGATGGCCAGGTGTGAACTGTTGAGGTATTGTATTTTTCGAGAATGAAGGTTGGGCCTTTTGTTACGTGCAGGGGGCGGGATGTGACTGTATGGTGATAGGGAAGGTGAGATGCGTTGGGGGTAGATTGTGTATCTGTGCCTGAGGCTAGGTAAGGAAGGTGCGTAGTGGGGTGTAGATATTACTACCGCTGCTTTCTGTTCGCGCGTATTGGTCACTTGGAGCATAGGCATGCGTGTATGTCATGTGGTTCGCGTCTGAACATGGTCGTTCCATGCTGGAATACCTTCCTTGAGTGTAGCCGTATATCGGCCGAAAAAAAGAAAACTTCAACCTACCTTTACCATGCCCAACTTGAACACCTCGCACCATACGCTGAAAGAATCTAGAACGCGTAGTGCTTCAATCCAGCCTCAACAACAGTCAATCAGTACACCTTAATTTTGCCGTAGCCAATATATCAGCCCGGCTAGCTCAATCGGTAGAGCGTGAGACTCTTAGCTTTCACGTCCTAACTAGACTCGATTGGTTATCTCAAGGTTGTGGGTTCGACCCCCACGTCGGGCTTGAGCAGCGTTGTCCTCCTGAGAAGGAGGATGAAATGTGTTTTTGGTGGTTGAGGGTGATGGTGTTGGATTTTTGATGTTTTTGAACTTCGGTGATTGCCAAGGAAGCGAAGCGAGGGCAGGGGATCATGAAGCGGCGAAAATACAATGGAGTACAGAAGGACATGTAGCTTTGATACGAAAGGTGTACGGGGTAGGAAGATAATAGACCTACTGGTCGCTGGGTCTGGTGCAGCCTGCGCCATGTATGGCACTATCTACTTCTTCTGCCGACTACAAGCACCAACAGGTATATGAAGATCACTAAATACTACGTGCTGTCATGCATTTTGCTACTACTGTGCGATAGTCCAGAAAAGATCAGGATAACACATCTGCACCACTGGATCTGGCGTTGAAGTGGTGACCTCCGGATGCTTGCCAGAAGTTAACAACATCCACAGGATCGTGTCATGTCATGTTTCCTTATATTGGGATTCGCCAAAGGTTTTAGAATGTACTCGTACGTGATTTGAGTACTTCGCGCATCTTCCCCTCTTACTTGCAACTCAAAAACCTTCCTTCGGAAGCAACGATTCAGTTCGTTAGAACGCATATCGCAAGCGCAATCTCTCTAGAACGCCTTCCATGACTATATATTAGTCGCATAATTCGTCTTCTGATGGTACGAGACAAAAAGGACAATATTTGTAGCATTTTAAGCACTGCGCGAAGGAACAACCAACGAACAATTTAGTTTCACGTCAGGGGGTTCTTTAGCGAACTCTCAAGATGTAACAGCGTTATGTAGAAGAATGGACATTCTTCTAGCCTATCTACTACCTACATTGACACCATAACTGCCTTCCTCCCTCCCTCTCACCCCATCTGCTATCTACATTCACATCAAAACCCCCTCCCACTCACCCCATCCACAAATAACTTCATGTCATCATTCCTTCCCTCCCTCCCCATATCCTTTCAAGTTCCTGTCATCACTTCCTCCCTCCCACCTTTAACAATGGATCGACGATCCTCTGCTCTGCCTTGTCTCAGCTTCTTGTGACTGCGACCTATCACATTCAGTCCATCACGCACCGTATCCAGTAGCTAAGATGCTGTAGGCTCAGCCCAGCCTGAGCTGATGTTGGCCAGCTCCTCATAAGGCATCTTGCCATCGACTAGCTGATGGTTTCCGAATCTAGCCACGACCAAAGCAGTCTCTTCGAGTGGTGAAGTCTGAGGTTCTGTGTTCCCTGTGTTGTTTGACGCTTCGATGAGACAATCATGCTCTTGTTCCTCGTAGCTCACAGAGACCAGGTCATCAATTGATAGCGCTACATAGTCGCTTCGATCGCGGCCATGTCTTTCTCGCAAAGTTGCTGCTTTAGAAAGGCTAAGGGCGGATCCTTTGAGTATGTTCCGGACGACAAAGCAATCTCGGTCGACAGACTCTTTCGCTGGTCGACCATATTGGAGCGCAGATACGAGCCACCTCGCCGGCCAGAACAGCGAGAGATAGCCAATGATCTAAGCAAACTCATGAACGATCATCAAGCTTACACTGATTATCCTTCGCGCGAGCTCAACCCTTGCCGAGAAAGTTGTCACATGCCCTGTGGAATCCTCAGCGTTATGGGACTTTAGATGGCCCTTTGTTTGCGCGATGTAGTTGATGGTCAGGAGCCAGAGCGGCTGCGTCACATAGAGTCTCCGACGTCTTCGACGACGCAATAGGTTTTCATTCATTGTTAGAAAGAGCTTGTCAGTTGGGCCAAGCGATACTCGTAAGGATATTAATCCAGATGTCAACGTATCTGGAAAAAGGCGCATACTGTCTGGGCCACGCAGATATCCATAGGAGCAACTTAGACAAATGAGTTGCTAAAGACTGCTTTGGTGATTTTCACGCTTCCAAGTGTGCGGAAAAGGCAGCCAAGATGCGTAGATTCAGATTTCAGTTAAATCACGCATACTGTTGTAACGGTGATTACTGTCCGAGTGTTCGAAAAAGCTTGTCCCTAAGGCCAAGCGACCGCCGTAACGGTATCTCTCTTCATAGTCCCCAGACCTTGGACATTGAACCTCACTCTCCCGCATCAGCGCGAGAGAGCGAGGAGGAAAACCGCAATTGGGCCGTCTATGCAAACAAGAGCGACGATCACGGTTTTGGATTCAAGTTAAGGAAGGAGGAAAGAGGTGGGTTTATATGGGCAGTGTGGGCGCGCGGCAGGGCATTGATCCGGTGCCGGGGCTGAGTAATGAGAGGCAATAACGTGATGGCTTGCGCATGGATGCTCTGTTTGCAGAAGGAGCGTGAATTTAGGTTCACTGGCGTAGTGAAGGTGAGTGACCGGGTAGCGAGGGACGCGTCAACGACGACGCGCGCAAGGCAACATCAAGTTTAGGCGGATTCATACGTTCGATCACTTGAGAACAGGAGACGAGAGTTACATGCTACAGTACAAGGAGATAACATTTGGTAGGTGTAGCCGTCCGGTTGTCCTTTTGGGTGTTATCTACTTCGTCCAATTACGCTACTTCCTGCTTCCTAATCGCTTCCAGCTTGTCCTCCCATATTTGAGGATTAAGCTCATCCCTTCGCATCTCGAGCGGCCCCATACTGGCGAACAGCAACTCTCCTTCGTTGCACGCAAATTCATGCTTTCGTCCCAATGCAGGCCAGTAAGAACGCTTACAACCTCTTTACAGTTACGCAGTCGTGACGATACGTTACGTAATGTTGATAAATGTCTCCAAGATACTGAAAGGGTGTTATATACTGCCAAAGGTCTTCTTCGTATTCTTCCTGAGCTGCGCCGGAGTGCACTACAACGTTGCCCAAAAGCAATAGACCTGTCTGGGGTCTTTTTGATCGTTAGCTATCAAAATCTGGAGGACTGTCCTTACTACTCACTGTTGTGCAATCTTGTGCCACGCACTATATTTGAAACTTAAGTTGAGATGTGCTGCTATTCTCAGAACCGGAAATGTCTGCAGATATAATTTCTAATAAACAAGAATATCAGGGAAGAGTGCGAGCTAGAGTAGTAAGAATAGGACAGCCAAGTTCGTTCGCATAGTCGAATTGGGGCTCCGGTATTACCATACACGGCGTCATCTTTGTACGCTTCTTCTAATCTCATCACTTCCATCCTATGGTGCTGCGACGGCTCAGGGACGGCGAGCCGACTACACCTCCCGAATTTCATACGACTCATACATGCTTGGTTATACAGGAAGTAGTCCTATACCACTCAAGTGTCTTGACGCATGTACTTTCGATCAAGGGTTTCACGTATTGGGAGCTGCGAATTTTACAAATCGAGCTGCATACCTAAAATGCCCGCCGCTATTGAATCAATACTCCATCGCATCCTCGAACAAACGTCATAACCGCTCCTTCTCCGTATCAATGTTAAAAGGTAGGAATCGAAAGAAAGAACTTCATTGGTATCAATACGGAATCATTACGTACAGGGACTCGCTGAAACGCTCAAAAAGGTAGAACCCAAAATCAACCCAACTCTGCTCACCAAATTAAGAAACCTCCAAGAAATACTCTTCAAAACGAATGTACGGTCTGATCTAGGCCGGCTTTACTCCCTCATACAGCGTGTTCAATTTCAGGTCATTCATATCTGACTTCCACTCGCTTGCACGAGGAAGCACGACACGCCAGCCGCGATCTTCAGTCTCTTCCAACAACATTGCCGCCTTGTCTTCTGCATCTGCTCGATTTGTTGCGCAGATAACGAAGGTGGTGAGGTAAAACATTACGAAAGGATATCTGGAATTGATGCAGTGTTGGACGTAGTATTGCCATGCATTAGCGGACCAAGGGCGATCAAAGGCTATCGTATAGTTAGCAACAGAGGCGGATGGAAGAATCATGGTGACGTCAACTTACGCATTGCATTCCAGCGATAGATGTGGCCTTCCCAGGTAGCAAACGTCAACCCAATGTTACCGAGACTCTTGATGAAAGGCATAGGCCAAGCGCAGTAGTGCGTCTGTATGGAGCCTTTGGCCATGATACCATCGGGATGCTGCTGTTTGAAGGATCGGGCGAAGTCCAGCAAGCAGTTCGGGGTAGGCAAAGGAAGCTCTGGTATCATAGAGATCTTGTCGCTGTGATCGTAAGGGAAGTATAGATCAAGAGCGCCATCCGAGCCTTGCATGATGATGGGACGGGTCTGAGGCTCCTCGTACTCTTGAACGAGGCTAACGATACCGCACCGCTCCATGTCGTCGACGACTCTCCGGATGAAGCGATTGGAATCTCGGGAACGAATCTCAGTCGCTGTCCTCTTCTGGTACGTGAGTATGGCGTTTCTGTCCGGCGAGTGATGGCGGTATCGATGGCATTCATACTGAACTTCGGGCGGTGCAGGAAAGCGCATGTCAGCCGAGCACTCAATGGACATTTCTTCCATGAACATTTCTTGTACGGAGGGTGGTATGACTTCTGATACGACTCGTTTTGCTATCCTTCGAGGCGAAGGATCGCCAGCGAGCATAAGCAGTGTGTCTTGAACAATGTCGATCAGCTCAAATGGCATTCCGACTTCGCGATCGATGATGATGAATTGCCAAGAGTCAACGACGATTGGGTCATACATAGACGTCTTGCGCAGCCGAAGGTCGTTCTTGATGTCTTCCAATGTGATCATGGTAGTCCAGGCTGCTTCAGGGTCTTGCGAAAAGTCCTGTACGGAGCGCGTGCGTTTTATAAATAAGTCGGCTTCCGTGGGATGGACCGTGGCATCAACGTTGGTACCTTCGTAGACGACCAGGTACAGTCTCTCTGTCCGCCTGCGTAGTTCATCCAGGAAGTACTGCGTCATCGGATCGCCGATAGCCATTTGGCCGCACAAGTAGTTTCGTGCTTGAGTCTGTACCAGTCCATGGTCCTTCTCGATAGTCTTGGTTGCCTTGCTGAAGTCTCCCTTACTTATAGGAATGAAGCCGAAGTAGATACCAGTCGCACACTCGCTCAAGATACCCGAAGGGTTGTACCAGTTGTCGCGGTACAGTCCAAGCATGAGTAACTTGCAAAGCGTAGTGTAATCTTCAAAGTTGGAACATATGCTTGCGACAGTCCAAGGGGTGAGCAGAGTTGAGAACCAGCGATGCCTAGCCAATTTTAGTAGATGACAGCTAGGATTTGAGTATCACTGACAGTATATCCCAGCACGGCTTGGTCATTCCAAGACCTTCGCTAGTACTGGGGACGTCTCCACCAAGTAGTCGAACAGTTTTGATATCGCCACCAGCAAGTGTTTGCGCGCAGATCGCCACCCGAAGATATTGTACAGCATGTGGTCTCCAGGCTTTCTCGAAGAAGTCGCAATAAGTTTCCAGTTGGCTCGCTTGGCAACCAGATAGGTACTCGCCTATGCTTCTTGATCTTGTCGCGCGCTCCAGTGCATCGGCTTCGCTGTCGTTGAGAATCATTATCCTAAACCAGGCGCATATGATCTCGGCTCCAGTATCTCCAACGGCATCGTCCTGTACTGAAGAATCTAATAACTGAGAGGAGAAGTGTAGATCGGGCAAGATATGGTACAAGCGACGGATAGCGTCCGCGCACAGGTCGGTGGAGAAGTGCTTGAGAACGAGTATGGTTCCGTCGTCTATTCCCTGTAGAGATCTGATGGGTATCGCAGGCTTGAGCGGAGACTGTAGTATCATGATTTGTTCCGAGAAGTTGCTATCTTTGAGTCCACCTGGTGTATCTGGTAGAAGTTTCCGGTTCAGGTTCGACACTAAAGATATCAGCATCACACGCAAGAGCGTTCATTTGGCGGGACACCTACTGAGGATCATGTTCGCCAACGTCCTGGCCTCTTTCTCCAGTTTCGCGATCCATTCTATAAAATCGACGGTGTCGATTCCTCGAGTATGGAACCTCTCCCTGATACGACGACGGAGTTCCACAGCTAGACGGAGCTTGAGAACCTTCTCTTTGGCCATGTGTACGTCGGATACCACAATCTTTTCCGCTGCAATGTGAAGCTTTTCCCAGCGTGTGCTCAAATCATTCTGTTCCCTGAGATGCCAACTGCACCATGTCTGGTCCTCGGTCGAAAGTAGGAGATGACAGCGTCGCCCGTCCGTTTCTATAGCATCGCAACGACTGTCCTGAGTCGCCGGCGACTCAGGTGGTTCGCATGTGTGGATAAGGTTTCGTGCTTTCTCTCTTGATCTGAATCGGCGTCTTTCGGGCTTATGGACGTATAACAGGAGACTCATTGAAAGTGACGAGATAAGGGAAGCAAGAAGCCCTCAGATCCACTAATGCTAGCTTGCATGCATAAAAACTAAATGAAATAACTAAACGAAAGAAGTGGTAAGAGAATGTAAAGTGAGGAAGTGGTATAATGGGCCGAAAAGATGAAGCCTTCCCAGCAGCGCGGATATCAGATACTAAAGGTACAGTGCCACAGGTCCTCGGAGGACGAAAGAGACGCTAGATGAACAGAGACGCACGTTGTAGCAACGAGATGGCGTAGGAGTCTGTGCAGACTACCGCCAACAGTCGTTCTCGGGTAACAGCATCTGCGATTCTCATTTGTCGGCTCCAGCGCGAATGTGTCGAACTGGCAACCCCTTTGCAGCTTGGCTCTTGTAGTGTTTTGAAACCGTCAGCCAACAGGCTATTTTAAGCGCTGTGGATGAATTCATTAACGCCGGCAAGGCACAGCAAGCAAACCAGAATCTTCAAGTCTTTGAAATGACGGCCCGCGCAGTTTGCGCAGGCGTGAAGGAATCACATGTTGATGCTGAATACATGTAAATACAAACCAGCTTGCCCGAAGATACGTTTAGCAGTGCATTGCAGTAGCCGCAAGCCCAGGACCAGCGTTCCGGTGTCGCGTGGTATAGATCGGTATCGCGAAATCAAGCGATCAGTGTTCAGGGCGGGCGGGTAGATGTCTTACATCATTGGTGGTCAGCGAGAAGGCTGGGGCTAAGCGCTCAGAGCCCATGCTCAAGATGCCTCCTGAGCGCAACAACACCAACCCCCAGGTAGGTAATCGACGATCGATTTTTTGTATTCGGCAGGCTCTCAGGGCTGTGTGTGACGTCCGCCTTGGTTATACTTGATCTCGAAAACGTCGCCACCAGCGCTTGATCGTGCCGCATGGTCGCTCAGTGGCCAATATCCGACGTAAGTGACGATGTGTTTTCACCGCCTCTGCTTGTTCCTGAGATGGATCCGGCAGAGGTGCGACTGATCGGTGTGTGGATTGTTGTCGTGAAGGAGCTTTGGCAATAGTTTCAGTATGCGCTGGCGCGGCCAATCCTCCACTCGATGCACACGATAGCGTGCGCGAAAGCCAGGGAAGTACACTGAATACTGTGACACCTCCATGCTTCGTTGTTGGCTCTTGATATGGCGCGAATATGGCGGGGAGGTGAACACTGGAGAAGTACGGGGAAAGGTCCGATACCTCCGATACAGACCCACTAGTCGGCATTGGTGAACAACCCCACATTCTCGGTATACCGAATGCAGGAATTGGGGTAGCTATCATCCGAGGTTGCGCTTTGGTGCAATGCATGGCAGTCATCATGGAGTTTCTCCACACGCTTTACACGCGGCTTCATTCCTCATCTCCGTTTCCAGCCGTTCCTAGATACTAATTGAGCGACATACCGTTCTAGGATCCAATTCTGCATCTCTCCAGAGACACGTACAACCCCCGCACTGCTCCCCACGTCTGTGTAACCTAGAAATAACCTCACGACTCCCTCGCCATGGTGATTTCGACAGCGATTCGCATTGCGCCCTCGCGCGCAGCTCGCGCAATGAACCTGCTTCGTACCGTACAATATACGCATCCTCCTTCATGTCCCTGCCATTCGAACCCCAACTACCACCAATCGCCGTCAACCGTTCAACAAGCACGACGACATCTCGCAACACCCCTCGATCACTCTCAACAAAAAGAATATGCTTTTGAGATGGCAGCATCGAGCATAAGATTTGGTCCGGGATGCACAAAAGAAGTCGGCATGGACTTCAAAAACATGGGCAGCAAGCGCGTCATGGTCGTCACAGACCCCAACGTGAGGAAATTAGACGCGATGAAGCAGGTCATTGAAGGCTTGGAAAGAGAGGGCGTAAAGTACGAGATTTATGACAAGGTCAGAGTGGAGCCAAAGGACCACAGCATAATGGAAGCGATCAACTTCGCGAAGCCGTGGAAACCAGACGCGTACCTAGCTGTTGGTGGTGGCAGTGTCATCGACACAGCCAAGCTGATGAACTTGTACACCACCTTCCCAGACGCAGAGTTCTTGGACTTCGTCAACGCTCCACTGGGCAAGGGAATGCCTATTCCATCAAAGCTATTCCCACTCATTGCCGTACCAACAACAGCAGGAACGGGATCTGAGACGACTGGAACAGCAATCTTTGATTTGGTCTCTAAGCGCGCAAAGACCGGTATCGCTCATCGCAACCTGAAGCCCACTCTGGGTATAGTAGACCCACTCAACACACGTACCATGCCATCGGCTGTCCACGCCTCTTCAGGTCTCGACGTTCTGTGCCATTCTCTCGAATCATGGACGGCGATACCGTACTACGAACGTACACCACGTCCAACCAACCCCATCAACCGCCCAGCGTATCAAGGTGCAAACCCAATCTCCGATATTTTCTCCCTCAAGGCTTTGAAAGATACAGTCAAGTACCTGCCTCGTGCTGTCAAAGACCCGGATGATCATGAGGCACAGTCTCAGATGTTGCTGGCTGCAACACTCGCCGGTGTTGGCTTTGGCAACGCCGGTGTGCATCTCTGCCACGGCATGTCATACCCTATCTCAGGCCAGAACCCTGGCTACAAACACGCAGGTTACGATGTAGACCACACCATCATTCCTCACGGTGTCAGTGTTGCGGTAACTGCACCAGCAGTGTTCAGGTTTACTGGCGCATCAAACCCCGAGCGGCATTTGGCTGCAGCAGAGGCCTTCGGTGTTGACATCTCGAATGTCAAGGCAGAGAGTGCAGGCGAGGTACTAGGTGAAGCACTAGCGGAGTTCTTGATCAAGCTTGGTGACCAACCTCGCGGTCTGAAGGCGCTTGGTTTCGGAAAGGAACATCTCGATCAACTTGTTGAGGGCACGATTCCTCAAGCAAGAGTGCTGATGCTCGCGCCGAGCTTGGAGATGCAAAACATTGACGCTGAAAGGGAGCAGTTGCGGGGCCTGTTTGAAGATGCTATGGAGTACTGATCGGGAGTTACGGTGACTACTTAGCATGTAGCATAAGGGGCCGCTGACGATGTGAGATGTAGAGTCGGCTGTATACGTAGTTGCAAGCTTTCTAAAGTTCAAATGTGACGTATTTCCATTGCATCTTAATTTTGCTCGCCATGCTCATCTGGAACTATGTTGCCCAACGCGCCGTACTTTGGCTGCATGACAAATATTTTTGGTATGTACCGAGCAGCAGGCGGACAGGGGTTGCTGATAACCTTGGAAGGTCGAAAGTCTTCAAACTCGGCTGTCAGGCTAATCAGTAGCACGTTGATGAGGCTTCTCGGTGCTAATGTGGGGGTACTATGCGTTGGGCGGAGACCCTGACAACCCTCTCACTCTGGCGCGCAATGGCATGAAGCCACGATACGTCAACGACCTTGGATGTAACCATGTGGGAAGGGTCTGTCCCGCGATCACCCCTAGGATCGTGGCGCAGCAGCTGTTCAAACCCTTTTCCTGGTGAAGATCCCGCGTGGATCTAGACTAAAGCTTCGAGCGTTGACGTCACAGGTCCAGCCAAACCCTCATCGTACCCTGCTTCTCCGTGAGTTGGGCGTGTCGATCTAGATCCGCCCACGGAGCTTGAATCAAACTTAAACCCCTCCCTGGACCCTGATTTTACCCTGAAAAATAATCCAACCATATAACATATCTTTATAAAAGACCCTCGTGCAGCACATACTAGACGGGCTCATTTCCGAAAGAACGCGAACCCCGCCTTCACCAACTAAATCTCGCTAGCCGCGTCGTCAAGCTTCACAGCAGCAACAACAACGTTACCACCTACACTTGCGAAGACACGTTCCACAACTGCACCCTGTTCCTCTAGCACCACGACACACCTGCAATATGTCTGCGCCCACCTCTGCCACGACTGAGATGCCCACGCGCAGCCTCACCAACCGATCTGCCGACGATGATGCCATCCCAGGAGAGGATACCTCAGAGGTGAGCAGTCTGAAGATCGATCAGAGGGAAAGCCCCTAACATGTGCTCAGGTCACAAAGCTCTTTGCGGAGCGATTGCAAGCTTGGAAGCACGCCGTCGCCTACCTCGAGGATTATGTCACAGCAACCGAGAAGACAAACCACGCACACGGCAAGGAGTATGAGCGCGTCTTGAAGGTTGGTCGACTCAATGCGATAGTGATACCGCTACTGACATTGAATAGACGGTCAAGGATCCCCTGAAGGAGGGCCACCACTTCGATCAGTCGCTCGGTGGTATTGCGGGCATGTTCGAGAACATCAGGTCAAACACACAGGTAAGGCATCTTGCATATCATGTGCCAGTTCTATGTCTAACCATGGCAGGGCATCTCCAACCAACACTACGAGACCGCAAAGCAGCTCAAAGGCGCCGTCCTCCCCATCTTCGACCGCCTCCACACCGAGATCAAGAACAAGAGCAAGGAGCTCACCAAAGGAGCTGGCAAGGGCAGCAAGGCCGTCGACAAGGCTCGCCTGCACACCCAGAAGCATATTGAGCTTCTCGGCCAGCACACCGCAGTCTTTGACTCGCACAGCGGCAACATGAAGGCTACCGACGACCCCTACATCCTTCAGCGCGGCGTCAACCACCGCCTACACAAGCAAGTGCAGGAGGAGAACAACAACCGCCAGGACTTGATCAGTGTGCAGAACTCGTTCGCCCAGTTCGAGGCCCACATCATCCAGACCATCCAGTCTGGCATGGGCCAATTCCTGCAAGTTGTCAACACCCAGGCCGAGCACACCAAGGCCGCATACGATGACATGGTTGGCACATCCCAGCGCATCCCCCAGGACTTCGAATGGAACGGCTTCATCCAGCGCAACAACACTGTCCTGATCGATCCCGCGGCCCCAGCCCGCACACTCTCCGACATCAGCTTCCCCAACCAGAACCACCGCGCGACGCAGCCCCTCATCTCCGGCTCGCTTGAAAAGAAGGGCAAGATCATGCGCTCCTATGACACCAACTACTACGTCGTGACGCCCTCCAAGTTCCTCCACGAGTTCAAGACAGACGACGACTTCGCTAAGGACCCAGTCCCCGAACTGTCTCTCTACATCCCCGACTGCATGATCGGCGCCGTCAACGGACAAAAGTTCAATGTCAAGGGCAAGGACGTGTCCAAGGGAAAGATCGGCGGTGCTTTCTCCATGACGCACGAGTTCGCATTCAAGGCACACACCCCACAGGCGGCAGAGCAGTGGTGGCAGGTCATCAGCGGGGCTGCCGGCAAGGTCACCAACGACGTACCCACCAGCCCCGTCTCTGGCGACACCAGCCCCCAGAACATGTACCCAGAGGAGAAGACGCAGCCTGCTCCTATTCAAACCACGGGTCTAGAGGGCACTGGTACAAACACGGCTGACCTTGCCGTCACGGGTGGTACTAGTGCGCCTGCTTCTGCCGTGCCAGGCAGCGCGACAACGGCACCTGGTAGTGCTGTCCCAGGCGAGCCGGCAAAATACTAGTGAGAAAGTCTCATGATCGTTACATGCACGTCTGATGAGGCTGTGGACGTTGATACGAAGGTGACGCTGTGGTCGTTGCTCGTTGATGAAGAGTTGATGAGATGATGACGGATGGATGGATATATATACATACATACCCCTTTTGCTTTGAATAGTACTAATACATGATAATGCTTTTATATTTCTCACTTGACTGTCTAGTAATGTCGAGTGATTGATTAATCCCACATCTGCCTCACATTCAAATTCACCCGTTTATTCGCCATCCACCCCCTCCACGCTTCATACTCTCCTCCTCCAGTATCTTCCCCTCTTCCTCCTCCTTCTGCTGCAGCAGGCCAATCTCTCAAACCCTCCGGACACGTCCCCGCTACTATTTGCGGAACCCCATGCCACGCAAACCTCGACTCCCCACTCATATACACCGCACTTCCTGACCTCAGTCTTAACGTTACGATTTTCTCCTCTATCCTCTCTTCTCCCTCCTCTTCTGTCGTCACTGTAGTCCCCAAGACGAAAATCGCATCGCACCCCAGACTCACGCTGATGAGTCCTGTGTTACTGGTTTCTGCGACATCGCGATGCACACTCAATGTATCTCCTGGTGAATACAGGTTCACGATTGCGGCTTCTGCTTTCGTTGCGGGATACAGTCCTTCTAATAGCTCTTTTACATCAGGAGGGAATGGCGGTGGAGGAGTGGAGGGGTAGCGTTTCAAGGTCCAATCGTACTGACCGCCTAGCGTTGTCCAGCGCAGTTTCTTGTTCAAAATTTGGGATATGCTGAGGGGTTTGTGGATGGTGGGGTCGATGGGGTGGGCGATGGGGACAGGGGAGGAGGGGGAGAGGGAGAAGAAAGAGGAGTAGGAGGAGGGGTAGGAGAGGGTGTAGTGGGTGTGTATGTTTGTTAGGTGCGAGGGGGAGGAGAGGGAGCGGTGGAGGAGGGTTGATAGGAGAGTGGATTGTACAGAGAGGGGGAGGAGGGAGGGGGTTATGTGGAGGCCTGTCTTACCCGTCAGGACCAAGTAAAGACAGATATGAAATGACATCGAAACGCAAATTCAGAGTGTCAAAAGAGAAACAATTCATTTTATTCAGAACATGGGAAGTCCTACCTGGAAGATCTTCGTGCTCGTAAACGGGTATTGATCTTGGCAGATCCGTGGCTTGCAGTTGTTCCCCGTCTTCACCGGCGAAAGACTTGAAAATGGCGGTCAGGTCTTCTGCGGTGTATTCTTTTACTACGCGCACTTTGGGGTTTGATGACGCGGAGGCGTCGCTTGAGAGGTCGATGATCTCGCCATCTAGATCTATGTCTTTTGCTTTCATTTTTTGGTACTTTTTGTATACGCTTCGTATGCTATCTGGAGGGCGTTCATGGGGGTCTAGGTGGTGCATTTTGTGTGTAGTCTTGCAAGCAGAGAGTCGTGGGAAACCGATTATATATGCGTAGATAATCGTGAGCAGGATCCACGGGTAGATGTTGTTGTTGATGATGATGGGGCTGTAGAAACGTGGGAGGTATTGTTGACTAAGCTCGCGTTTGTGGCTGACGGGTGCGCGTTGCCCGATGCGTCAAGGGTGTTTACATCTCGAATTTCCTAACACCAGACACCCTCGTCCCCTGCTCCCCGCTGCACCTTCCTCTCTGCCCGCACGTACTAACCACAGGTACACACGAGAGGCATCCAACGACCTCGCCTCACTTCGAATCGGGAATAATTCAGACTCGCGGCGAAACAGCATCTCCCGCGATCCACCTAAACACGCTTGACCGCTTGTCGTCTGAAGCAATCGCAATACCCAGCCCGCCACAATGGAGAACTACCAGAAGTTGGAGAAGGTCGGAGAGGGTACGCTATTCCTCGACGGCTTCCTATGCGCATACTTACATGATCCCAGGAACCTACGGAGTTGTCTACAAGGCGCGCGACCTCACCACCAAAGACCAGCGCATCGTCGCCCTCAAGAAGATCCGCCTCGAGGCCGAAGATGAAGGCGTCCCGTCAACCGCCATCCGCGAGATCTCACTCCTCAAAGAGATGAACGACCCCAACATTGTGCGCCTCCTCAACATCGTACACGCCGACGGCCACAAGCTATACCTCGTCTTCGAGTTCTTGGATCTGGATCTGAAGAAGTACATGGAGGCGCTGCCGGTCAGTCAGGGCGGACGGGGCAAGGCGCTGCCAGAGGGCTCTGGACTGGCTGGACAGAGCCTGAGCATGGACGACAAGATGGTTAAGAAGTTTATGATGCAGCTGTGTCAGGGTGTGCGGTATTGCCATGCTCATCGCGTGCTGCATCGTGATCTGAAGCCGCAGAACTTGCTCATCGACAAGGACTGTAATCTCAAGTTGGCGGATTTCGGTCTGGCGCGTGCGTTTGGTGTTCCGCTGCGAACATACACCCACGAGGTATGAATACCGCGTATGTGACTTGGGTTTAACTGACATGTAATAGGTCGTCACGCTATGGTACCGTTCTCCGGAGATTCTTCTTGGTGGCCGCCAATACTCAACTGGTGTGGACATGTGGTCTGTTGGCTGCATCTTCGCCGAGATGTGCACGCGCAAGCCTCTATTCCCTGGTGATTCGGAGATTGACGAAATCTTCAAGATCTTCCGGTATGCGCTCTGATACATCTATTCTATTATCGTACACTAACCGTATTTAGTATCCTCGGCACACCCAACGAGCAGGACTGGCCCGGCGTCACCTCCTTCCCCGACTTCAAGCCCTCGTTCCCCAAGTGGGGCCGGACAGACGTCGCGAACATAGTCACCAACCTCGACGAGGTAGGCCTTGACCTCCTCGATGCGCTGCTTGTCTACGACCCCGCCGGCCGCATCTCAGCAAAGCAGACGGTCATCCACCCGTACTTTGGCGGAATGAACGGTGACACACGACACGAATACAGCAACGGCTACCACTAGCCTGTCCCAGGGGGATGCTACGACTGTTACGCATTGAGTGGTCTGCATGATTGGTGAGCAATACGAGACGTTAGTGTCTAGGAGCTTTCCTGCTTTGTTCTGGTTACAAGGATTGGGGCTGTACCCTTATCGGACAGCAAACGGCGTTCCGGTCAGGATATGTTACAGAGTACATGCATACAATACTACATACAACCACCTACCGTATCTCTCATCGTCTTCATGTTTTGTGCTGACTCGCGATGATGCCCCTGGTGTCGATGAATGACGTAGCGCGGCTGCCCCACCTCAGCCCTACGGACCTGCAGGAACGCGTCCACGTACCAGGTCTCCAACCCCGTGGTCTGCTCACCACGCTTCTTCCACTTACTCAGCAATGACTTCCCTACCGAAACTACTTCCGCCATCCACCGGCCCACGTCTCATCGTCTACCACCAGACTTTCCACGACTCAAACGGCAATTACCACTCGTTGCTTCCGCTGCTTACGAATAACACGGGCATCACACATGTGATTGTAGCGGCGATCCACCTCAACGACGGTCCGGGGAATATTACGCTGAACGACCACCGGCCGGATGATAAGAGGTATGATCAGCTATGGGGCGAGGTAAATTGGTTACAGGGTAGCGGGGTCAAGGTATTGGGTATGCTAGGCGGAGCAGCGAAGGGGAGTTTCGAGAAGTTGAGCGGAGACGAAGAGAGTGTATGCTACCATCCTGCCTCACCATTCCTCAGAAGCATAAAGCTAACGATCCCACGGTTCGAAGCATACTACACCCCCCTCGCCGCCCTAATAGCCACGCACTCCCTCTCAGGCCTCGACCTCGACATCGAAGAAGAAACCACTCTGTCCACCACCACACGCCTGATCTCGCGCCTTCGGTCCGACTTCGGACCAGAATTCTTGATAACCCTCGCTCCCGTGGCTACAGCCCTAATCCCAGACCCCAACATCCCCGCACACCTCCGCCCCCCTCGCCCTATGCTCGCCAGCGGGCCCTCCCCCAACCCTTTACACCCAACCCTGCCCCATTTATCAGGCTTTAGTTACCCGGAGCTCGAATGCAGCGTCTACGGTAAAGAGATAAGCTGGTACAACACGCAATTCTACTGTGGCTGGGGCGACGCAGGGACGACGGCGTGGTACGATGCTATTATCGCCGCCGGGTGGAAACCAGAGAAGGTCGTTATGGGCGTAGTAACGAATCCACGGAATGGGGCTGGGCACATAGGCGTGGGGCGCCTGGCCGAGAATGTGAAGAGGTTACGGCAGAAATACAGGAATGTGGGGAAGGGGTTTGGAGGCGTAATGGGATGGGAGTACTTCAACGCCGGAGACTGCGACGACGATATCACACACGTCTCCTCCCTCGAACTCAACAACGATACTGTTCAAGCCGGGTGGGTTAAAGCGCTAGGACGGGTGCTACGAACGGAAGTCGACCTAGATACGACGCCTACGTCTTCGTCGAGTGGAGCCGGGGCTGGGGGTGGAAGTGGACTTCAGAATATCACGGCTGATCAGATTCGCAATATGGTTAGTAACCTTCCTGCTGCGAGGGCAGCTTGGCCGGATGAAGAGGTGCAGAAGTTGGTTGTTTTGGGGTTTAGCAGGCAGGAGGCGCTCGCGGCGTTGAATGCCACGGATGGGAATACGGAGATGGCGGCGGGGTTCTTGTTTGAGCATTATCCTTCGTGAGGATGGTGTTAGATTTGAGGGATGTAGGGGGGGGTAGGTATAGAGATGTGGAGGGGGATGAGTGTATATGGCGACGTTTATAATGAGTCATGATGTTGGATATACTGGACTTGGTACTTGAGATGACTTTGGCGGTGATGGCGAAGTTTCCCCTCAAGCTTGTTCTCCGTGCACATCACCGTTGCATCGATGCTGGGAAGTGGGTCAACACGACTCCAGGGTAAACGAAAAATCTGAAACATCACACGCTACCCAGTCCGGTTCAACCTCGCCATTAAGCCAAGACACTGAGGCTCTGGTTTGGAATGATTGGCATTGCGGATGTCCTACCAAAGCCATGCTAGCCCCACCGACAGTCACGTCTCGGTCTGCTGCCCGAACATCCCGGAGTTTACCCGACATACACGATCCGATGACAGCTTGGCGATGTGAGAGGTGGAAGATCTACTTTAATTCTCGCCTACGCGTGACCATCTTGCAGTGCTTGTTACCAACCTAGGTATACCAATCCCACGTTTACCCCAAGAATGACTATACGTCGAGTCAGTCGCTGTAAGACATGTCATTACCTACTTTGTAGAGATTGTGAAGCACGAGTCAGGCGACGCCAAGGTCATCTGCTACGTCACAGCCACCTTGTAGATAGTGGATAGTGGATGGAAGATGCAGATCAAGCAGATGTGATAGATGATGAATGGAGTGTAATGATGTATGTAATTACTATGCGTAGTAAAAAAAAAAGATGCGCGTGGGGTATCCTCCCTCCTCTAATACCTCTGTTCCAACCCAACCCAGCCCAACCCAATCGAGAGTGGTGAAGCCCTATGACAAGACCAAAAGTAAAAGTCTAAATCTATATCTATACAAATCTTGAAGTGAAAAAATAAACATACGTCTCTGCGTCTAACACGCGCTCGTGATCATGACCATAACGATGACAAGGAACGCATGCGATGAAAATAAAGTCGAAAAGCCAGCGGAGCAAAACAACAAGCCCCCTCTGATCCACCATCCAACGCAGTAAACGGTCCCACTACCTCCCGTCACTGCTCGGACTAGCCGTCCGTGGACTCTGCCTCCGACTATTCATCTGCGTATTCCGATACGTCTCCTCATTCAACGTATCGAGACTCCTTGTCGGACTAGGTGTCGTGCCCCTACTACCGCGACTCCTACTAGGAGAACTGGGTCTACTCATAGCAATCTCATAGCTTGGGAGATCCATATCCATACCACCGGGGGTACGTGAACCAGCAGGCGTACGCACAGCGGTGTTATAGCTGGGCGTGCGGGCTAGGGCGTCCATGTCGTAGTTCGAAGGGGGAAGATCGAAATATGCTTGTTCTGTATTGTTGGTGTGGGCGGGTGTACTTTCGCCAGACGAATGTTGGCGGTTGGGTTGGAAGCGGGTGGGGCGGTCGGAGTGATTCATGCTGAGGTTTGCGAGGCGATGTTGAAGGGCGGCTGCGGAGGCGCCACCGCCGGGTTGATGGACTGCTGCGTCAAGGGAGGTGAGGTCTTCGGCTGAGCCGCGCCGCGATTGCGCATAGAAAGGCGTGTTAGCCCCGCTGTTCATCATGCTGTGGACGCCGCCGGGGGTCATGAAGCCAGAGGGGTCGATGTCGTTGTAGAGGGAGTCGAGTTGGTGGAGCCCGTATGTGGGAGGCGCGTTTTGGTTGACTTCGTCTTGGATGGCTTGTTGGTTTAGGATGTTTTGGTCGACAACTACGCTTTGGTCCTCGTTTGGTGGGAGGTTTGGTGAGATGAAGAGGTGGACGTGGTTCTTTACTAGCAGTTGGCTGGTGTGGCCTTCGGGGTTCTTGAGGTTGACGTATAAACGCAGTTTGTGCGTTAACCGTATGTTCTCTGTGTCCACGGATTGCCGGCAGTTCTTGAGTGACTTCGGTAAGTCGAGCGTCATGGAAAAGCGATGCGACTCGTCGAATAGAGCATCTGTGTCTTCTGTTCCGTCTGGGACCCTGCGCGCAGAGTTCTCGGGCATGTCGCCTTCTGTAACCGCAACCTGGATGTCGTTGTTGTGGCTTATCCGGCGGCCAGCGTAGTCGGCAAACAATTGCCGCGATTCTATCAGCTCCATCTTGATTGTCGAAATCTCCACGCCCTTGCGCAGAGGGATCAATACGAAATCGGCCGTTATCGACGTTCCGACAATGTAATTCTTCTGCGGGACCGTAATCTTATAGGCCAGCTTGTTCGCCCAGATATCCTCGTTAATCTGCTCCATAGGCATGGATTCGAGCATGTCGCGTCCGAGCGTGCGAATGACGCGGATGTGCGCCGTAGCACTGAGCTGCTTGCTCATGTACCCTCTATCCACGTGGGCCTTCAGACTATATACCACCCAATTTGTCGGGAGTCCCTCGACGCTCTGGTCGAGGTTGGGCGGCATCTTGAACTTGAAATCCCACTCATGGTATCCGGCGTTGAGCTTGTGTGCTTTGGTCTTGCTGCCAACGTCGACGGGAAAGAGGTGGAGTTCTTCGACGAGGAAGTTGGTCTTTTGCGTAATCGGCTGCGGGCTGACGGTGTTGGTCAAATGCCATCTGCGCGGACGGCCAATTAGCATGCGATTCTGGTAAACCTCAAGAAAGGGGTGTTACCGTACGAGACTTTCCGTGTGCCAGTGAGAGTTATTCGCAAGCTCCTCACTGACATGGACTCTGGGTTGTTTAGAATCAATTTGCCCCTCAGCTCCGTCTCATGCGACTCGGACGACTCTCCATAGAAGACCACAAAAGGCGACTCCGGCCTGAGAGTGTGTTAGATATCGCCATGTTGAGGTTTGGCGGTGGTAGAAGCGTACTTGATCTCCAGGGTGGGCACGGCATGTCTGCCGAAGACCCCGACACCTGGGCGAGGCATGATGTAACGAGGGTCGTTTTTTGTGAGTCGTACCAAACACCACCGAAAAGGTGTTTAGAGGTTTCTCGGTTGTAGAAATGTAACCAGCGACAATGTACCCTTCTACTTATAGCAGGCGTAGGTGGTATAATATGCGAATGGGGTCGGCGATGCAGTCAGCAAGCTGAGAGATGCTGAGAAGAAGAAGCGTGGGAGGAAGTAGACACAGACAGCGACGCACGTCACAGATATGCAACCAAAGTAAAGTATGGGCGGGACTCTACTCAGCTGGCCGCGGCCGCGTGTAGGTACCGCGTTAGATATACCATGTTAGCTGGTGCGCGTGGGATAAAGCGGGCAAGGGCGGCCTGCACCCTGATGAGCTCATGGGCAAAAGTGGAGACGACAAGTCTTGTAGGCCTGCTCGCATCATTGTAGTCGCTGGTCTAGCGCGCTCCTGGTTGCGCTCTTGTCTTAGAATTTTCTGGCGCACCCATTAGGCGTCGCATTGGCAGGCCAGGGCTGGCAGCAGGGGCCGTCCCAAAGAAGGTGTTCCGATAAGAAGCCACCGCGAACGGCGGCCATGGCGATAGCAGCGCAGCCTTAATCCGCCTGTGCAAGTAGCCTTCGGAGACATTGATTACGCGCGTCCAGAGTAACTCACTCGAATACAATCATGAATAACTCCGTCTTACAGCCTATCCAACAAACCCGACATCACCCACTATTCCTCTCCCTCGCTTGGAGTCACATCGCCCTCTAAGCCCTTCAGGGTTTTGCTTGCGGCTCTCCCGAAGTATCTCCACATGGTACCCAGCCTTCTAGTGCTTCTACCTCTTACGCATAGCCTGCGATTGCGCCACACCTGGCATGGTTGCCGCCCATCTTGCAGCATCGGCCAACCTGCAGCTGAAATTCCGAAACGTGCGAATGCACCTCGCCGGTTCCAACGTCGACGAATACTATCGTCGAGTCTGGCATTCTGCTCGAACGAGGGTCGCCTGACGTGGAGGGATTAGGTGGAGGGTGTGCATGCGTATTGCGTGTCGTCGCACGATAGAGGGGTATGGCTATCTAGGTTTGAGTTGCGGTGTTATTTGCGTGTGAACCATCGTTCGTGCGCGAGTTTCTCTCACGGCAGTCTGACTCCGTCTCAACTCAACGCATCACCGATCCAGTCACGCCGTCGCCGTCACAGCTGTGTTGACCGCCACGCTGAAACCTTGGTGGTAGCCACCAGCCTCTCCTACACTACGACACCACTCTACGCCTACCTTAATCTCGGTCCGAGCGGGCACGGTCACGAAAATCTGCGGCTAGACCTGCATTGCCGCAACTGTGGGTAATGCAAGCAGAGCCTCATCATAGCCATGTACATGTACGTACCTTATACAGACCCACAGTCGCTTCTCTCAAAGCGACTACAGTAATTCCCGCATGCGCCGCCGCGTGTATCCACCGTCCTAGTACATGCTCCGATGTCGTGAACGTAAGAGACATGGTTAGTTACCGGCCGGAAACCAGTGGTCCTCATGGTCGTGATTTTTGCCGTAATGGTACATGGTGGAGATAAGGAAACTTGATTTTTGTAACGGATATGTACTGGGTGTTCTAGAACAAAGAAGCTTCTTCGCCCGCGCATGCAAGGAAGACGTGCAGGTAGGGCTGAACCGTCTGGCACATGTCAAACTGATATCGGAATATATCGGAGGTCCAACCTCCTCCGATAGAATTCGTGTGGCGCGCCGTTCCCAGAGATCCACAATTTCAAGGATTGCATTTTATACTTTCAGTGGAAGTATACATTATCTTAGAGACTGTTTGCTTCCTAGACTGTAGTGGTAAGTATGCAGCAAAGTGCACACGAATGCTGGCTCCGACTACTAGGAGCGTCTACCAAGACCTCCGATCCCGCCACTACCACCACCAAAATTCAATCGCGCGATAACGTCTTATGCAGATCCAAATACCGCGTCCTATGCATGGTTCCCGTTTGCGGTCGCAGACGTACTGCTGTCGTCATTCCCAGCACCCTCTTTCGGTCGGTCCCAAGTCCGGATGTGGCCTGCGATACAAACTGTCAGCGATCCACTTCCTTATCTCTCGTTTTTGCCCATCGCGAACTCAACAAATGCGTCGGCGGATCCCTGTGTGCCACTAGACGGGTGTTCCTGCGCACGGCCACCTGCGCCGCAGTAGAAACCCGCCCTTATCGCAGATCATGGTGCAACGTGCGCGTAACGGGTGGATATGAGGTGATTTGAACGAAAACTTTGCTCATGGGACTCACCGTTCTTGCATGAGGTCAGGATGCAGTCCTCTTCGAAGCCTAGCCAGCACAGTGGGTGCTCGTGGACGGATTTTGCCTATGGGTATTGGCGGTTAGAAATTGATGTTGAGGTTTCAGGCCAAACTCACCAGCACTGGAGGTAGCATGGCCGTGCGTGCCCGAGGCTCCACGGGATGCACCACTATTTCTTCCTCGTCCGTCATGCTGCCCGATGTGAGGTTGGAGTTCGACCGTAGCCTATTTACTGAACTGCCTCCCGTTTGTGTGCGCTGCATCTTGAGGTTCGACGAGGCGATGCTACCGCGCTGTCGCACAGACGCCTACATCAACGTTAGCCATCACAACTGTCGCTTTCAACGACTGCACTTACCGCTCGCGGCCTGTGCAGCATACCGACGCTGAAGTCCCACAGCAACAAGCGACAGTCCTCTCCTACGCTGCCGATACGGTAATTGCGCTCGTCGCATCGCCATGGATCGAACTGCACTGCCGTCACCCATGAATTGTGGCCTTGACAACGCGCTACCAGCATGCTGTCTTCCAAAGACCATATCGAGACGAGATCGTCTTGCCCTCCTGTGACGACATAGCGACCGTCAGGCGACCAGCACACGCACATCATGCCGCCATAATAGCTCATGTAATGGTGGAGCAGCTTCTCGCGAAGGAAATCCATGATCCTGAAGGACCCGTCCTCGGACACAACAGCGAGATGACGTCGATCGGGCGAGAACTCGAAAGCATTGACCTTTGACCTGGAAACTTGCCAGTAAGACACAGGATTCGTTCTCTGGTTCTTCGAGTTGACAGACTTCTTAACGGTTAAGAGGTGCTTCAGCTTCTTCTCCTGATCCGTCAGCCCATTCTCGCTAGGAGATGTGACGGCTTCTTCTGGCACGAACACGGCGTCCTCCTTTTCCTTGTCATACACCACCAGACTGCCGTCCATGTGCGCTGCTAGGAACAGGTTCTCACTATTCGGCAACCACCGTATATCCGACACGGCGGTCTTGTTGATGACGCCGTTCTTGTTGATGCGCGCGTACTTTTGCGACATGGGCTCGTACCATATTATGTCGCCTGTCGAGAAGCCCATGATGATGTCAAGATGATTCGGACCTTTTGTGATCTGGTTTATATCGTGACATAGTGCGTGCGCTTTGGTGAAGAGGATCTTGGTCAAGTGTTCGTCCTTGGTAGGCGATGTCAAGTCCAGCCACTGGAATGCGCGGTTGATGTTTGCAAAAGCATAGAGACCATTGGGGTTGTGTTCCTGCAATCGCTTCGTCAGGGCCTCATGGGGAATGACTCTGGATACGAAGGACGAGTTGCTCTTAACAATGTTGCTCTTCGGTTTCCGCCTCTTAGTAGGATCCTTGGAGTCTTTGCCATTGATGACTGCCAGCGCCGTGTTGCCTTCACCAAACACGGGTGTTTTCAGCCCATCCAGCGGAGACGACACGATGCCATTGGCGCTGTATGAACCGCCATCGCTCGCCTGGCTGTTGCTTTCGTGCGGCGACTCCTGTATGCTCGCGGGCACTTGCGACCGGGTGCTCGTTCGCGTGCCGAATCTGTGGAGTTGCGACTGCGAGGGCTGACGGGGCGCGAGGGCGACCAGCGAGAGCTTCGTGCCAGCTGTGGGAGGAGAGACTGTCGTCGCAAGCGGGTTCGGGTTATGGATGGGAGCCTCTGAAGGATGCGGCGGGGGCGTAGCTAGGTGGAGGTCGTCGCGCAGCACATAGGTACCTTTCATAGCGTCAGTGAGGGCGAGGACTGCAGGGTCCAGGCTGGTTAATTACCTTCTCCAACGACCAGCTGGTGCTCGGGACCGGTGGGATGGGTGAGGGTGTTGTTGGTCTCGATAAGCTGGCCCGGCTGCGCGCCCGGGTAGCCTCCGACAGGATAGCGTGGAGGTGGAGGGAGGACGCTGTATACTGATCAGTCGCGCGTCCGATGGGGGTGGAGCATGATAGGGCTGCCATTGGTGGGTGACTGGCGGTCAGCTGGAGATAGGACAGGTACTCACAACATAGCTGCTGCAGTGTAATCAGTTGCGGACTAACTAACGGCTTTGAACCGGCTGGAATCGGGCCTGGTGGAGTCGCGGTGCCTGGCTAGAAGTGACAGGGTAGAGTTAAGGTTAAGACATTAGCACCAGCAAGTACCGCGGCTATGGCATCGGCGTGTGAAGAGGGCAAGATACGTCAATTTGGGCGCGCGCGGAGAAGGAAGCTTGTGGCCCGCGGCAGGTAGGCTGGGACTGGCATGGGAGCGCGGGCCATGGAACCATTGGGGAAGTGGAAAGCGGAGACGAGACGGACGCCTTATGGCTCCGTGCACTGGGCAGTGTTATTAATTGTCTGCCATGCCGCTGGCCGTTGGTGGAGAGGACGAGGCATGACATGGGTTCGGGCTATCTGCAGGGCCACTCTCCAACGGTCGAGGCATCGCATCTTCCCAGCAACCAATCTTGCGGGGCTGCTGGCGGGGAAGCTGCGATCGTCTCCCACGTGTGCCAAGCCTTCTGACAGCCCACTGGTGCTGCCTTGACCACGAATCGCTCGGAGTCTTAATGAACATTGCACAAGTCTGAATATTCTTCACGGCAGGTCCGACCCAGTTTCCCAACCTCACTCGCTACCTCCATCGCACCTGCCCCGATGCACCAATAATGCCGCCGAGAAATGGCGACCGGTATGTGGAGCTCCTTCCCGACAACACACTCTCTAACAGCCACAGTACGGATCTGTCTTTGCGGTGACGATGGCGTCGGCAAGAGCTCCATCATCACGTCTCTTGTCAAGGACGTCTTCGTCACAGCCAAAATCCAGCCCGTCCTGCCTCAGGTGACGCTACCGCCCACGCTTGGGACGCCCGATAATGTCACCACCACCATCGTCGATACCTCCGCCCTCCCCCACGAACGACACACTCTCCGCACAGAGCTCAGGAAATCGAACGTCATTCTACTCGTATACTCGGACCACTACAGCTATGAGAGAGTGGCGCTGTTCTGGATGCCCTACTTCCGCTCGCTGGGCGTCAATGTGCCAGTCGTGCTGTGCGCAAACAAGTCCGACATAGCCTCGAATGGCACAACCTCGCAGGTCGTGTCTGAGGAGATGCTACCGGTCATGAATGAGTTCAAGGAGATCGACTCCTGCATACGCACCAGCGCCAAAGATCACCACAACATCAACGAGGTCTTCTTCCTCTGCCAAAAGGCTGTCACGCATCCGATAGCGCCTCTATACGATTCCAAGGAGAATGCACTCAAGCCAGCAGCCGTGTCTGCACTACAACGCGTCTTCCACCTCTGCGACACGGACAAAGATGGGTACTGGAACGATCAGGAGATTCACGACTTCCAGATCAAGTGCTTCGAGAAACCGCTAGGGGACGACGATTTGATGAACATAAAGAGGTCGATGGAGCGCTTTGCCCCTGGTCTGACTGGAGAGCATGGAATGGACGAGAAGGGGTTCCTGCTCCTGAACAAGATCTTCGCCGAGAAGGGGCGGCACGAGACCATCTGGATCATACTGCGGAAATTCCACTATACCGACAGTCTTAGTTTGCAGGATACGTTCCTCCATCCCAAGTTCGACGTGCCTCAATTCTCCTCCGCCGAACTCAGCCCGTCTGGCTACCGCTTCTTCGTTGACCTCTTTCTCAAGTTCGACATGGACAATGACGGAGGACTTAACGACAGAGAACTCGCGAATTTATTTGCGCCTACCCCTGGCATGCCGATATCGTGGGTGGACTCGGCGTTCCCATCATGTACAGTGCGCAACGAAGCGGGATACATTACACTACAAGGTTGGCTCGCGCAATGGAGTATGACTACCTTTGAAGAGCCCAAGACGACTCTGGCGTACCTAGCATACCTCGGATATGAGAGCGGCGAGCGCGGAGGCACGACCAGCGCACTCAAGGTGACCAAAGCTAGGAAGCGACGGAAGAAGCCTGGACGCGTTGAGCGCAACGTCTTCCTATGCTATGTTATAGGGTCGAGCGGGAGCGGAAAGAGCTCATTGCTGTCTGCCTTCCTACAGCGACCTTTCAGCCACACCTACCATCCCACGATAAAACCGCGTTCGGCTGTCAATAGCGTCGAGTTAAAAGGTGGCAAGCAGTGCTACCTAATCTTAGAAGAGCTCGGTGAACTTGAACCCGCGATTTTAGAAAACCAGGCCAAGCTGGACGCGTGCGATCTGTTGTGTTATACATACGACTCGAGCGACCCCACAAGCTTTGCGCATGTCGTCGAGCTGCGGAAGAAGTACCCCCATCTCGACCAACTACCAGCGGTCTACACAGCCCTGAAGGCAGACCAGGACAAAACGATGCAGCGATGTGAGCAGCAGCCCGACGAGTACACCAGCGCCTTGAGAATGGCACCGCCACTGCACGTCAGCACGACGTGGAACAGCATCTCGGAGCTGTTTGTTCACGTACGTACTACGTCCTCTAATTGATCTCACCGAGCTAACATTGTATAGCTGGCTGAAAGCGCCACCCACCCCTCGACAGCCTTCCCCAAGCAGGAAGAGGACGGATACGATTATCTCAATCTTTACCTAGCGCTTGGAGCCGTCACGTGCGCAGTGGCTTCGGCGATGTTCGTTTGGAGACGCAGCAGCGCTTCGACTTGAGAGATCTGAGACCAGGGGCCAGGCATGAATGTGAATATTTGCTTCTTGTATATACCATGGGCAGCACACCACTTCCACCCCTATAGACAAACTACTCGCAGTAGGAAAACTCCCAAGCTTCGGAGATGATGGCAATGCAGCACTCACGATAATGGCAGCGCGGAGGGTCAGCGCTTAAGCATGACATCACCTTGGCGTGCGGCTATGTTGTACAACAGACAAGTCTCAGTGGCACGAGCGAATAGCTAGACGCAGGGACATTTACCCCTGGCGCTTCGGCCTGACGCGGAGTAGCGCCAATATGTGGATAGATGATATCGGTGAGTTAGCATCGGATCACGATGTTGGGCTGGAGCGACGGAGGGTGACAGCTCGCTTGACAATGGTGTGGGCTAGCGACGTGCTTCATGATGCACTTAGTCCGGGGATCTGCGAGTAGTCTGAGACAAGACGGCTATTCTTGTCTCTCCCACGCATCACATTCAGTGACAACATGAATACCCGCGTGCTGCAGAAACCGTGAAAACTCCATTAGGGGTTCCTTTTGGTTGTAGACGTTGAAACGGTCTCTGGTTGTTTTTGAGCAGGACCCTGAATGCGGTATCAAAGTCGACAGGTTGGGTAAAGCGGACATGGATTGGCTGTTTGGCGCGCATGATCGTCGGCGGTGGTAGAGGGCGCCTGCTGGCAGACAAACACTTGTCGCAGTGGTGATGCCCCCCTGTGTGGCGGAGCAGCTGAAGAGCGCCGAGTCGTGCATCTTGGGCGCGCTCAAGGCTAGTGACTTTGTAGTTAGTGGAGGTGCTGGACATGTGCATCACCGACCGAATGTCTACCTATACTATTTCTCCCTGATATCATGGTGCTTGTTACTCCTTCGACGCAGCACGCCCAAGCCCGACTCGTCCGCCTCGCAAACCTTGGGCCCTTGGATGCCCGCACCGCCTCGGCGCCCTAAGCAAGCCGTGGCAATCGTGCTAACCCGCACCTCCGCACTCCTCGCAAATGGTGAGTTAGCCGCGCACGTGTCTAACCTCAGGCACGCATATCATATACTGTGGTGGAAGTCTGAGGTCGCCATTGTTTCGTTTCTCTGCGTATTCGTCCGGCAAAGGCCCGCGGCGCCAACCCGACGTTCCAAGGAGCCCCCAAGCTGACCAAGTCTCGTACCCCACAGGCAACCGACAGAGCCAGAGAGCTGGACCGCCTATATCAGATGCGAAACCCAGGGCCGCGCCGGGGGCATGCGCCGCAGATATCCATCAGCGATGACAGTCACCACGTCACCGAGGCCATAGGCGACATGTACGGCGGCGACAGCGACACGGAGGCCCCAAACCGCCGCAGCCTGCGACCCCTAAGCTTCGTCCCCAGCCCCAACGGCGACTCGATCCAGTCCTTTGGCGCCTTCGAGGCCTTCGACCCTTTCCCCAACGCGCCCCCCGCGAGGTCCCCGCTGCGTCCCCAGATATCCTTCGAGAAGCCCGCGACGCCCACAAGCCCCAATGGCACCACCACCATGAGCCAGAAGCGGGCCTCTGTCGGCCGACACCCGTCAAATGGCGGCCAGATATCCCCTCCGCTGTCCCGCTCCAACTCGAACACGGCGTCGCATCAGTTCCCGCTGAATAATCTCGACTACGAGAACAGTCCTGCGGGTCTCGCCCAGGAACTGAGCAACCTGCAGGCGATACGGAGGATGTCCATGGGCGTTAACAATGCCGATCCCGATCTACCTTCGTTCCAATCCGCAAACTCACCGCCCTCTCCACCCGCCATGTCGGAAGAAGACGAATCGAAACTTTTCTGGGTACCCGCACGGCTGCATCCCGAACTGGCGCCCATGGAGTTCAAGACGTTCATTGAAGATAAGATTGACAGGACAAGACGACGCTCCGGAGACTCCGACTCGCTATCCCCGGATGGCGCCATGGGGCGTCAGGGCTCAGGTGGAGGGCTGCGGCGGAAGAAGTCCATGCTATCCAGACAGATTGATACTGGCTCTGGCTACAAGGACGGTGCCGAGAGGCTGGAGAGGAAGCGATCCGGCGCGCAGCCCAACGGGGGCTTGTCGAACCTCCAGGAACTTGAGCACATACAGGAGGACCCGGTGGCCTTGATAAGACGGATGAGCATCGATCAAAAGGGCATGGTCGGGGAAGGGGAAGAGGGCGCCGATGGCATGCCCATTGTGCCGGGCAGCAAAATGCGTGGTCTGGGGACGCTCAAGAGATCAACACACACTACATACAGACGAGGCAGTCTACGGAAAGGCGGCCCGCCTCTCTCACGGCGACTCGTCTCCGGTCGACAAGCAGACACAGACACAGAAGACTCCCCCTCCACGTCGCCCGTCCACTCTACCGAGAGCATACCCGAAGTCCCCCCACTCCCAGGTCTCGCACGCGTTCAGTCGGAACCCGTTAACTCGGCGTTTGAGGGATCGTCCAACAACTTCTCGCGGCCTGGGGCAAAGCGGACATCTCCCAGCTATGGCGGCGAGAGACCAGGCTCATCGGAGGAATACCCCAGGTCAGCTTCCACAGAGCCCATATCACAACAGGAGCGAAGTTCGCCGCAACCCAGGCAGTTCCATTCGAGAATCGCCTCCAACGGCCGGACGACAGCACCTCTGCCAGGCTACACCCCTCCGTCGCAGCAGGTACCCCAGATCATCGAGACACCACCGCCACAAGAACAAAATCGAACACCTCAGTTTCAATTACCCGAACGTCACTCCTCCCGCCAACCTCCGCCTCAAGCCCAGCAACAACCTGCAGGCCCTCGCCATTATCCTCAGCCTCAGCAACAAGCTACGCAACAACAGCGCCAGCCCCAGTCGTCGAGTCGACCGAACCGTCATGCTCAAGCTGCGCAGTCGTCCCCGATCAAGCCCGCGCAATCCTTCGATGAGTTAGTAGCGCATCCTTCAGCGATGCCCGGCCAGAACAACAGGATCGACTCGTTGTCCATAATCCCAAACGCACCAGAAGAGAAGAAGCTCGAGCCGAAAGCGAAAGACAAGAAGGATAAGGATGGCTCTGAGGGCGGGCAAAGGAAGACGAGCTGGGGCTGGTTTGGCGGTGATAAGGAGAAGGAAAAAGACAAGAAGTCAAAAGACAAAGACACAGAAAAGGAAGCCCCGAAGAAGGTCAAGAACAAGCTTAGCAAGTCCCAAGAAAAGGAGAAGGACAAGGGTCACGATGACACGAGACTGGACCTTCTGCAAACATCGATACAGGGAGGCGGTCGTGGTCGAGAAAGCGTAGTGCTGGATCGCGAAAGCGTCAAGCTGGAAGAAGAGCGGAAGAAGGAGAGCGCCAGAAAGACATCTAGCGAAGGCAAGAAAGAGAAGGAGCCTGGACTACTATCCTCCATCTTTGGAGGAGGAAAGAAGAAGGGCGAGAAAGAATCGTCTCACAAGAAGAACGCCTCACGCGGATTATCGCCCGAGCCCCCGCCACGCATCCTGAAGCCCGACATCGACTACAACTGGACCCGATTCTCGATCCTAGAAGAACGCGCGATATACCGCATGGCCCACATCAAGCTTGCGAACCCCCGCCGCGAGCTCTACTCCCAAGTCTTGCTGTCCAATTTCATGTACTCGTACCTCGCCAAGGTCCAGCAAATGCACCCGCAGATTTCCATCGGCAACTCCAAGCAAGCAAAGCAAGCTCAACAGGCTCAGCAACAGCAACAAGCCGCGCAGCAGAAGAAAGAGCAGCAACAGCAGCAACATCAGCAGCAGGCCGCTCAACAATCTCAGCAGCAGCAGCAGCAGCAGCAGCAACCGCAGCAACAACAACAACAGTCGCAGCCTGAAGAGTTCGCTCAGTATCAGCGGTACCAGCAGGTAAGACATGACGAAATTAAGTATGTAGTTCCGAGCTAATGAATATATAGCAACAGCAACAGCAACAGCACGAGCAGCAATCCGAAAAATCCCAGGAATGGCCAAGTGTACATCAACAACAAGCGAACGGGGGTCTGCAGCAGCAAAACGGCCAACATGCAAGAGGCGGATCCCAGGGTAACTCTTACAACCAGAACCCACGCGACTCCCACCACTCGAATCATAGTGCGAACGGTGGTGGTGGTGGTGGATATAGTGTAGCGAATACGCAGAATTATCTGGGACAATCTGGTAAAGGAGGGGGAGGAGGGTATAGTAATTATTCGGACGAAGAGAGGAGTCAGAGGGCTGATGATGATATGTGGTAGTTGAGTCATGGACAAGTTGATTCGGTCGTATGAAGGGGGCGGAGTAGGGATATACAGCCTCTTTTGAACTACGCCTTCTTTTTCCTCTCTCAGTCTTTGTTCTTTGTACATTTATCTGGGTCTATCTAATTTTCGGGAGGGATTGGTAGGCGTATGGGGGTTTTGGATGGGGATAGAGAGATGGATGAATATTGACGGTCGCAAGATGGATGTGTCGACGCGGAATGGGAAGGAATTACAGATAATGTAATTTTTTGAACCTCGAAGCCCTCTCATCCCGTCATCCGTTTGTTGTTTTATCTTTCCATCCATTTCATTCGAATTGGATGCAACTTCGTCGTTCCAGCGATTTCGAGAAGTAAGGGACAGAGGAAGGTGTTTGTGGGGAAGCAAACTCTGGAAAGAAATGGAGCAAAGGGTGAGTATTTATCAAGAAGAGGGGAAGCGTGATATAGGATCTTTCATCAAATCTACTACCCAGCCTTTACGAAACAATCGAAAGAATACCAAGGACACCAATTTCAGAATGTCGCCGAACGAGAAACCCAAGTTTGATATCTCGCTACGGGAGGAGAACAAACGACGAAGACGGAGGTAACAGGTCGATGGTAACGAGAATCACGGTAACGGAGGGCCGGTCGCACCAGATCAAGACAGTGAGATGTTGGATGATCGAGAAGATATGGGGGAAGAGCAAGCGAATGCAGAGCCGGATGTACCTGAGGAAGAACAACAACAACAACAGGAAGAAGACGAACGAGGGCCAGACCACCCGACCGAACCTGATGACGACGTACCTGATGAGCCTCTTCCTGCGTGTGATGCAGATGCATCCGCGGCTGCGGACGATCCTCCTCCTCCTCCTCCTGTGGATCATGCAGCTGCACCGGCGGCTGCACCCATCCCGGCCCCTGCTCTGACGGACGCTCAACGAGTTATACAAGAGATGGCTGCCATCACTACGAACTGGGGTCCAGAATTCCGTGACCTAAGAGACTGCATACCAGCGAAGACTTGGCTCAAAGGTAAAACAGAGCATCTAACCGAGAAAAGTTGCGAACCAGACACCCTCCATCAACTGCGGAAGCTGTCCAACGTAACTCGTAATCTCGGCAAAGAAGTCAAAAAGAAGATTGGGTTACGCTGGACCGGGAGAAAAAAGAAGACTGGAGACATAGGCAGTGAGTCGGATGAAAAACAGCGGAGCTTGCGCGAGGATTTGAAGAGGATACGAGAGGAATACACGACAGCAGAAGATGATGAGGATGAAGATGAAGAGCCGGAGAAGCCCACCAAGAGGAACGCCAATGGGAAAACACCGGATCGTACTACGAAACGCCTTCGCAAGTCAACGCAAGATGACGAAGACGAATATAGCTCAGGAGAAAGTAACATACCCCACGACGGCCCTGGGGCAGAGTCAAAGCTCAAGGGAAAAGGAAAGGACAAGGCGACTGAAGTACCGAGCGACGACACTGAAGCCATACCCTCCACACACGGACAGCGAGACCTGGCGCTCGGCCAAATCTACCACAACTGGGAAATGGCTTCGGACGAGCCACTTGTCCGATTCTTGCCAGCGCTCCTGCTTCCACCAGACATGACGGACGAATCTCTTATCGATGGCAGGATTCTCGCGCGCCTCCGTGATCTGTCCAATGTCACCGCAGGGCAACGTGTCTTTGTTCAAGAGGCGTTGTTGAGCGAGATGGCTGACTTCATGGGGGAAAATGTAGAACGAGTGCTTGACCTTCTTGCGCGGGTTCGTGTTCAGATTCAAGAGACGATACGAGTGCTAGAGCGAGCATCAGAGGAGGCAAGGGCTGGCGAACAGGCGGTAGGACCGAGTCGTGGTGCTCTTCTCCCAACACTAGGCGCCGCTAGACCTAGCATCTACGACGCCATGGGAGGGGGTGATGGTCCGCTTGGACAGCCGATGCTACTCACCGAAGATGAGAGAGCGCGCGCGCGCCGAGCCCGCGAACTTTATCCGCCAACAGCACCTCCCTTACCAAACCGATTGTTCCAAGCTTCGCAAGCACGAACACAGCCTGCAGCACAACCAGGACTATCGCGTTTCGAAAGCGGTGTACTGATTATAGGATCGAGCTGGACGCTACGCCGTGCTCTCGACGACAGCAGACAAGCCGATCAATGTATTCAGACAGCCCGGCGTAGATACGAGCAGGCCGTTCTTAATGGACAGTCTGTCCAGGATCAAGCCGCTCTGCTGTTGGGAATAGAAGCCGCTAGGGGAGTAAGCGATGAAGTGTATGCGAGGACGGACGCGTTGCAGGGACGCTGGGTAGGAGCACGATCGACGCGTAGTATGAGGGGTGACGGTCTTGGGGGTCTTACCGGTGACTTTGGATTGGGACGTCGCGCGCAGGCTGAGGGTGCTAGTGAGGAGGAATGCGGAGACGGACAACAGGGAGGGGATGGAGAGAATGGTGGAGGTCTCGGAGAAGGGACGAAGAAAACGAAGAAGAAGCCGAAGAACTAGCGGAAGCATGGCTTGCTAACACCTAGTGGGTGTCGGTAGACCGATGTAATTTCATGTCACTCTCTTTCTATTGCACTAGTAAAACTTTGACGAGTCGTTATCTCATCAATAGATTTAATCGATGTGAACTAAGACGTTCTATCGTTTTTATGTGTGTTCGAGAACATCAACTGCCACATTTGCGTCTTCCCATATCATCGACAATGATGCTGACAACGCCGCGGCACACTCCAAAGCACCATTGTCCAGATGTTAGATTGCTCCGCTGAACACTAGTACTGCTTTGGAAACGTTCGAGCGATGTCTTGTTTAAAGTTCAAAGAGCGTGCTTGCTCGGATGCAAACATTGGAACGATGTAGATGTGTAGCGGAGGATCTTAAAACCTTCGGACTGCTCTTTACTTGTGCCATGCCGCCGAAAAGGAAAAATCAGGCTAAGATGCCACCTGTTGGACAAGCGATTGATGACGGGGTGGTGAGTGACGGTGACGATGATCCTAGGACCGTGTTTGATCAAGAGATAGCTTTGGGGCTAGTGCAAGAAGACGACGAAGAAGAGGACCTTGATTGGAACGAGAACGATGATGAATCCGATAATGAAGCTCAAAATGAAGGTTCGGCGTCCTCCAGCGTCGATTCAACCTCAAGTTACGTCGCGCGCCAACGACAACGAGCAGAACGCGAGATACTAGAAAACTGGGCATGCTCTAGTATTGAAGGTGCCTTTCCTTCGAAGACATGGCTCAAGGGAAAGATGGACGTGGAAAAGAAGAAGTTCGACCTGAGAGATCTTAACACAGCAATACTCCTGCTATTTCGACGACTGTCGCGCCTAACTGTGGGCGCTAGTGATGATATCAAGGAGAAGATAAGAGAGAAGTGGAAGTTCAGGAATCATGATAAGGTAAAGCGTGTAGGAGATGACCCGATTACAAAGCAGCAGAACCTACTCGAGGACCTCCAAGACCTGTATGACGACGCAGAGAAAGAACAAGCAGAGTTGAGGCGCAAAGCTGAGGAATACGAGGCCAGAACAGAGGAACAAGCGGGCATGAGTGATGACGAGGAAGAGGACGAGAGCGATGCTTCTTCTGAATCGAGCATACCAGTAGCGGGGTCCACGATACAAACCCTAAGGGGCCGATACTCTGCGCTGGAGCAAATCTACGAGAACTGGGGCATCCAAACTATAGTCGGACACTTCACAGACGGGCTACATAGAGAGGATGTCAAAGACGACGACAAACTTGACGCCGGCGTCATTGAGCGACTTCGTGACTTATCCGAAGTCACCAACTCGGCGGCACACGGTAGGAGGATAAGACGGAGGCTATGGAGAAGCTTGCGAGGATTGGAAGAGTACGATGTTGAACGGGTCGTAGCCAGGGTAGCACTAGTCGGTCATTACTACGTCAATATCCAAGCTGAGAGAGAAGAAAGACGAGCGAGGGGAGAAATTGTTGGCGATTCGAGCGATTCCGAAGACGAAGAACCAGGCGAAGCGGATAAGGAAAAGGAGAAGGGAAAGGGTAAAGGGAAGGCACCAGCGACCAGGGCAGAAGCCAATGAATCAGCAAACCCCAAATCCAAGCGTCGCCCAGCGCAACAAAAGGTTCAGAAGAGGAAACCGGCAGCTCAAAGCCGAATAGATGACCCGGATGCGTCATCGGAGTCTGAACGGCGTCGCTCGGAGCGGATTTCCAATCGCGAGGCAGGACGTAAAGGCAGGCCATCGCTAGTGGTAAAGCTCAAGTTGCGCAACCTTCGCGGTACACCTCAAAGGAACAGCCCCTCTACCAGCCAGTCATCCGTTGCTTCAACGGCACCATCCAGTGCATTGCTAGTCACATCAACTCCGGGTGATCAGCCATCCTCATCCGCCGCAATCGCGCGCCACCATCATGTCGTAGATGAAGCCACTGCAGCGTCAAGACGTGGAGAGCTCGCTGATGCAAGAAGGACACTTCGCGAAGCTCAAGCCATGGAAGAATTTGCTGAAGCACAGGTTGTGTCTACGCGGACTGCACATGAGAGAGCTGTTAGCTGGAGAGAAAATGCGCGCACTCACGCCACGCGTGTTCGAGAGGAGCTGCGATTGATCGAGGAAGTGATGGGTGGTGAAGAGAGTCAGAGCGAAGACGCTGAAGATGCGGAGCCAAGACGAGACGAACGCGAAGACGAAGGCTAAGGGGACGAACAGTGAGGAAATCTAGAGCAGCGGGGTATGACTTAGCGGGAGGTTCGAATGACGCGTCTCACATCAGTTACTTCAAATTGAAAAATGATATACTGTGATGTGCATGTCATTGGTCCTACATGTGAGTTGCTTTGACAGCTAGTCGACAGTCAACGCTGCTAGAACTCAATCAAGGCGACAATACTCATGCTATGCAACTGCTTCGCGTGACCACTGGTTCGCGTGTACGTACACTAAAGAAGACTTCCTGCAAAAGGTGTTTCTTGTCTACCAACATCGCAAGCTTCGCATTTTGTATCCTATCCAGAACAAGGCCATAGCCTCGATGTACAACCACCAGACTAGTGAAGCGAAACGCCTGCCATATCGACGTCCTCCATCTCTGCCGAAACCGGTGTAGGAATATCGCCGGAAGCACTAGAGCGGCGAGTGCGAGAACCACCGTTGGATGCGGAAGACAACTTCGCAGTACCGTACTTCTTATTCTGGAGGTCGCGCAGAATCTCTTGGCCTTTGAGCAGAGAGTCACGCTGACCGCTGAGCTCCATGCGTAGACTGAAACGGTGTGCGGATTCCGAAAGGAGGCGGACGGCGTTGTGGTAGGCTGCGTCGTGATATTTAGTATCATGTTCACATAGTCCAAAAGGTTAAGACTTACCTTCGCTGCCGTCGTTCATGCCCAGCCCGTTCTCAAGTTCGTCGGGGAGTTGGGTGCGAAGCTGCTTGAAGAATTTCGACTCGATCCTCATACACACAGCGTCGTGGAAGCGGCGGGCTGCTAGCATGTAGTACGTCGTGACTTGCGCGATAACTCCTAGCTCGACAACGTAGGGCTCATGGTTCAACACCGCCATGACCCTGACGTCCTTACTCATCCTGTTTTCTTCTTTTGGGGTAGTCTCTTTCCCTGTACGCTTCAATCTATCGCGCTTGTAGATGTTAAGGCGAGTCTTGAACCGAGCTTGACGATAGTGTTCTAGTACTGCTTCCTTCTCAAGCTCGAACAGCTCGTCGTGGAAGATAAAAGGACCTTCCTTCTCGTCATTCAGGCTCTCGTTGGCCATGGTGTTGCGCTGTTCAGTAAAGTTCAAGCTGACCATCTGTTCTACGATCTGCCAAGCAGTACGGTAAAAGGTCGATCCCTGGTACTTGGAGAAGTGCTTGTGGAACACAGCCTTCATTTGATCAACGATCTGACCTTCGAGTGTGTTGAAGAACTCGTGAAGCGGTTGCGACCAATGTGCAAGCGTTTCGAGCATCATGTTGTCAACCACGCGCGGCTCAATCTGCCCAGGCACTTTACTCTGTGAGTTCTCCGCCAGGTGTTGTGTAACTTGATCAAGGAAGAACTTCTTCCTGAGCTCACTGAAGTCCGGGCTTGTCACCGCCGGCCTGCCTTCAGTAGTCTTTGGTGGCCCGCGACGGCTGGGAGTCTTAGCAGGCGAAGGCCCTGGGGCGTCACCGAGCTTTCTCTTCTTGGTCGGAGTTTCCGGGTTGCTAGACATGGGTGTGTCGCAATCTCCATCGTCCATGTAGTCCTCGTTGTCATCGTCATCATCAACAGCAATAGCCTTGCTAGCTGAGCTGCCGGGTTGAGCGCCCAGGACATCCATGTAGACAGTCGCATCCCTGCTTCCGCTTGTCGACATAGTAGGCTTCATGCTAGCCAGCGCATCGAAAAAAGCCTTCTGCAGTGTTCTCCAGTTGTTGCGCCACGCCTTGCAAGGAAATGCAGCCTCCAGCTCCTTGCGTACATTGTGTGAGAAGTCGAGTACAACATCCGAGATGATTCTGGGGGCGTTGTGGGTAGGAGGATCCGGAAATTCTCGAAGATCGGCGAGGACCTGTTCCAGTCTGGCATTGATCTCCTGGTCAATAATTGGAAGCATCTTCGTCATCTGCTCAGCAAGCTTTCCGGAAAGGAAGCCTTGCAGGTTCAAAGTGCCAAATCGGTGTTGATAGTGGCTGAACTCAGTTGACCAGGGTGTTCCTTGACTGAAGAACTGGTGCTCTTTGAACCGAGCTTGCGTATGGGTCAGGCCGCGCCCCATCTCCACCTGATTCAGATTCTTGACGACGAAGTAGCCATGCCCCAGTGCGAAGCGCTTCTCGTCGAAAACCTCCATAAGCTTGTCGTGACGGGATCCTTCAGGTATAAGGTCTGGCTTAGTGAGCACACCTAAACCTATTAGCAAAATGTCTACTGTGAGAAGCGAGAATACTTACCAATGCACCGGTCTGTAGCGTTCAGCTTCCGCGCAATGCCACCTGCAGACGAGTTGGCGATATCGGTATCTAACGAGCAGGTCACGAGGATGAGAGCTTCTTCATCCTTGACATAGTCCGTCACAAGGTTGCGAACGAAATCTACCAGGAACTCCTTGTCTTGAGTTTCTGCTTGATTGATAATACCTGGCAAGTCGTAGAAGCTGAGCGCCGGGAGTGTTGGATGAGAAATAGAAATGCAGACGATGTTGGGGCTGAAATCGCAGTGCGGCTTCTCTCGAAGTGTAGCAACGGTCGATCCAAGGAAGTCAGTATAGTCCATCATAGGGTTGATGATCGCCAGTTGAGCGCGTGCGATGATATCCTCCAGCTCATGCGGGTCTTCTGTATCCGCGAAATGCACGACGTTTGGTCGAGCCATCTCCACCCAGCCTGGGAATCGGTGCTCGAATCCTCGACTCTTGTTACCATCGTAGCCAAAACCGCGGCGCAATGAAACGCTTGCACTCCAGCCGGCGCGAGAGTCCTCAGAAGGCTCAAGCTTGATGAAGAGTGGGCACCTGGTGCACGTATCATCGGCTCTCGGTGTCTTAATGCCTGAGATGGCTTCGATAACTGATGACTTGCCTGTAGACTGTTCCCCTGAGTACAACTTTAGTAAATGTTAGATGAATGCCATTACACAAGACATACCCAAAACTATGCATTTTGGCAGAGGTATCTTCAGCCTTTGTAATCCAAGGCCCTCCAGTCGATTGATCGTCGCAATCACTTCCTTGACTTGTTGTCCAAGCGGATCAATCTCTCCTGCTGCGCATGCGTTATGTGTCTGTTGTGGATCTGGATAGTAGTAAGTAATTGAGTACTCAGCTGCGAATTCTACTTTATAGCTCACCATCTTGCCCCACCAGGTGAAGCGGCTCAAGGCCCTCGCTCAGGCGCGATACGTCGTCGCGTGCGGAGTGAAGCTCAGGTTCTTGAGAAGGCGTGTACGAGTTGCTTTGAGTGCCGAGATTGGTGGTACCTCCAAGTGGTGCGTCCGCGATCGTACCGTCGTCGCTAGGTGAAACTGGTCGCTTCATAGACTCCTTGCGAGTGCGGCTACGAGTGGTACCACCCGCCATGTTAAGAGGTTATACGTAAAGTGAAGTTGGCGTGGTGGTAATGGTGGGTAGGCGAGAGAGTATAGGTAGCTTAATTGATAACAACGAGAACGCGAGCGCCAAGACTTGACTTTAGGCAGCAAATTCGAGGTGACACAGATTTTAAAGCAGGGTCCAAGAGCCGTACGCAAATGGAATCGATTGGACGAGCGTAGAAGCGCGGGGACGAGAAGGCAGGAATGTCGTGGTGAGCGCGAGTCTAACACAACTTCTGGAACGGTGAACGGTGAACGGTGAATGCATGATACGAATGAGCTCAGCTTGTAGTGAGAGAAGAACATGAGTAGGAATGAACGACAATGGCTTTTACGTTACCAACACTGTAGGTGTGAGAACTCCGTCGATATATCATTTCTTTTGTACGTAGTCTGCAACTGATATTCAGGACACATCTGGAGTTCGAAGACGGTACGCATATGCCCGGAAATACAGTGAAAGGAACCAATGCTGGAGATATAGAAACCACAATCAGTCAGAGGTGTTGAGCAAGCCGCGCACTCATCGCGTGAGAAAGAGGCCGACGGCGAAGAGACTCGTCACCCAGATATCGAATAGCTGTTAATATCACAAAACGGACGTAAGAGACTTCGAGACGAATTGGTCTGGATGATGCAGTATGGATTCATTGGCCGTGGCGGATGCACTGTCGCAGGCGATGCGTGTTGTGGACATGAGCGGGTTGTAGCTGCATTCTTCGACAAACCTGCTATAGCTGAAAAACGAAGGAGAACGAAGCATATGAATCCAAATAGGCGGAAAGATGTTACCACATAGATGGTTCTGATGATGAGTGATGAGGCATGGCAGGAGGTTTGACGGCAGAGGTGGACGCGCCAGTCCCGAAGATTCGCCGCTAGCGCCAAAGCAGCAAGGGTGCTCAAGAAATTCCATCGAAGCACATCGTCACCGGTGGCTACCGTCCGACCACGAGCTCGCCCACGCCCTCTCCTCACCTCCGGAATCGCCCAAAACACATCCTCTCCTCTAATAATACATAATGGATCATTCGCGCGATCCCTGTCCCTGGGTCATTCTCAATGACTTTGGCGGTGCCTTTGCCATGGGTGTATGTCCCCTCCAGCGCTGCATCTCTGGCCCATATACTAATACCGCACTAGGCCGTCGGAGGAGCAGTATGGCATGGTGTGAAGGGTGTAAGTACCTTGTTGCTACTCTCTATAACTTGCGCTTATACACCCATAGTTCCGTAACTCACCCTACGGCGAGCGACGCATCGGCGCCATCACAGCGATCAAAGCCCGCGCACCCGTTCTCGGCGGCAACTTCGGTGTCTGGGGAGGACTTTTCAACACATACGACTGCGCAGTCAAGGGAATACGGAAGAAGGAGGACCCGTGGAATGCCATCATCGCAGGATTCTTCACGGGTGGATCGCTCGCAGTACGAGGAGGCTACAGGTCGATGCGAAACGGCGCGATATCATGTGCCATCCTGCTGGCTGTCATCGAGGGTGTCTCAATTGGCTTCAACCGCATGATGGCCGACAATACAAGGCTCGATGCTCCCCCACCACCACCGAGTGACGTCGGTGCACCATCTGGTGGCGGCGGCATGGCTGTGGCCGCGTAAAACGTTTTCGATTCACGATTTATACCTCTTCAGAGCGAACCGCTACAAGGCCACGGGCGGGCAGCGACATGTCTGGGCAAGCGGTGTTTTTGGGATGTTTGGCATATACCGCAGGCAGGTTTCGGCAGCGGGCGGCGTTCACACTCTCCTCAGCTTTGTGCTATACCTGTATCATATACGCGACACGACTTGTACAACATCTGGAGGCGTCTCTAGACGAAGGCATGAGTGTGCGGAATTCAGAAGATACGACACATCTCAATGTTCATCAGCTATTGCGCAACCAATCTATTGAATCCAAGCTTACCGCAATAGTTTAAACTCAAAACCCGCCTAAAATAACTTGATGACATCATCAGACCCACTCCTCAGTAAACAAACCTCTGAGCTCCCCCGGCATCCTGCAACGTTTGGGACACTTCTAGTGCCTCGAAGGCTAGAACTTGCACGTGGGGAAGCCGCTCAGAGAAGTCTGCTATAGCTGCAGATTGATGCTAGCTTCTTCGAGTCGGCGTGGCTGACGGCAATGAGCATTGACCGCCTTTTACCCTGGAAATACTGCTACCTTCCCGCTTCATTCGATGTCTTCACCCCAAACCACGATGCTGCCTCCACACGCGCCAGAATTACGAAACCCATCTCCTCCATCTCATCGTTTGTATGTTCCGCACTCGACCATCCAATAACACCAATACGACCCAGAATCTTTACTCTCAGATGCGAATATGGCACCTACAAAGAGTTTCGATCTGTCGAAAGCCATCCAATCAGAGCTCAGCTACATCTTTCCAATGTCCTTGAAAGATCATGTCGCGACCATCATGACCAACTGGCATCTTGAAAAAGCTACAGATTGCATTCCACCTCCACTATGGCCCGGACAATATTTTCCTCAATGGGGCGCCGATATCATCATGCTTTTAAGCCAGATCTCGTCAACGCGTGGCGCTACCCTTCCAGACTTCACAACAAAATTGAGAGAGGCTGTCAAACTGCGCCAACAAAAGAACAAGTCTGCGACTGGGAGAACGAGCCGGGTCAAACCTATAGATCTGAAAGCCGTTTTGAAACAATATGAAAGAGAAGCCGAGACGACAGGAGCTGGGGCAGCAAGTCCGGTATCAAACGCAAAGGAAAGGAATGGAGGCCGCACGACCCGTAATACCCGTATACAGGTGCCCAAAACACCCGTAAACCACGACGACGAGGATGAGGAAGAGGAGGAAGAAGGTTCATCCGAGCCCCTCGCCGGCGGAAAATACCAATACCTCAACGGCGTGCGACCCGTCAAAGTCGACCTGAACCCCGATGCATCAGCTGTGAAGAAGCCAACGCGACCCAAACCACCACCAAGGGGCAAGAGACGGAAAGCAAACGAAGCCGCGAATCCTGGTCCTCAAGTAGTCGAACTCCCAACTTTAGTGCATCAAGATCCCGATCCCCGGGTACCGGATGATACGGGTTTTCTGTCGGATCTTGAAGGCAATGAGGTGAAAGAGAAGGGCAAGAAGAGGAAGAAACGACTTTCGAGACTTGAGCAGCAAAGAATTAGGGAACCGCATTGGCAGTTGGATAACGATAACATTACTCTTGAAGTTTTGACTCCTACTCGGCCTCTCGATGCTCCCGGTGTTGAGGATGAAGACGAAGGTGCACTGGTACCCGACTTGGGGGACGATGAAGACCTGGCTATGGACCACACGGAAGACCCAGCCATGCAATATGGAACGGACGTTCCCCCAGATACTACGGAGGAAGCCGAACTGGAAGCTGTCAGCTTGCTCAAATCTCTACCTAACCTACCCGCGAATGCGACGGCAACGGAGAAGAGGGAATTAGAGGAATTGAAGTTGAGCATGGAGCAACGGATATGGCGGATCAAGGTTTTGAGGATAGAAGAGCGGGTTCAGAATGAAGGGCTGGGGAGACGAGAAGAGAAAGGCGAGGAAGAACAAAGTGGGGATTCTGAGGAGAACGCTGGTAGAGGCGGCAGGTTGTCGAGGATAGAAGAGCCGGCTCAAGACAAAGAGCGGGTCAGGCGAAAAGGGACCAATGGTAATGTAGAGGATGATACAACTAGAGGCGGCAGGGTATTGAGGACCCGTAGGGGGAAGTAGCTGCAGATATTGGGTACGTACGCAAAGCTTTGCGCGCATCAAAACTATGGTTTCCACAAGGTGTGATTGCTCCATCGCGGCTCTCATTGGCGCGATCTGGATTTTGCTACCACGGACGTGGACGGTAAGGTTACGAAAGACGAGTAAGAGAACAGCAATACAAGACCACTATTACAGCTATATGGGCGATATCAGATGCCGTGTTTCATTATTTAAATCCTCATTTCCTTCTATTTCTACAACTGAATTTTACATCAACTCTCATCCTACTAGCAAGTTTTAGGCCCGAAAATAGCAAGAAGTTCATACAACATAGTGTATTGCCGCGAGTGATATGGCGTACCAGTGAGTTACTACGACAGTCTTCTAGGTCTTGATGACTGACATGCGGAAAGACCGTCAGGTTCCTCAGATTCTTCAGATACGGAGATGTCTGATGTCTCAGACGATGGATATAAGTAGCTTCCACAAGACAAATGTGGGCTTCCAGACCACCAATACGTTCCGCTTCTAAGCGATGAGAACGATGGGCTTCTGGAAGAGTCCGCTCAGCTCCAAGACGAGGAAGCTGGTGTAATTCTACACGAGGAAGCCGCTGAAGCTGCTGAAGCTAAGTGTTGCACATACCTTACGGAGTACGTATAACTCTTTCATCATAGACAAGGCAATTGCTGACGGTGCGTAGCGCGACGACACAACTAGGACACACTCAAAACCTTCTGATTGCTACTCATTCAGCAAGGTACCACAGTCCAACCGGACATGCAACAAAAGCAGAGGTCGAAGCTTTCCATACAGATAAATGCATGGATGTAAGAGCCATGTATTGTCGTTTGGTCTTCCAGCACATGCAACGTCACCTACCCATCGAAGTCCGCAAAATGGTCTATAGATACATCTTCGAAGACTCTCATGTCAACATAGACAGAGAGGGCGAGCCCGAGTGTCGTTGTGCAGGCTCGTACAACCATCTGTTACAGTTCAAAATTTTTACTGCCAACGCCGCGGTAAGAAAAGAGCTAGTTGAAGCATGGTACCGAGCTACGACCTTCCACACCGCAGATCCCAGCACTCTCGCTTCCTCCCTCTCTTGGTTTGGATGGCGTCGTGGTCTGAATCCAGGTGATTTGATCCGACAAGATTTGAAGCCACTGGATTTAATCCGACACGTGGAAGTCGATATACCTATTAAACTCCGCCACGGCACTACCTCCCAAGAGACCCTCGTCCTGAGAAGGCTTGATTCTCTGTGCCAGCTCAATAAGCGTACGATCATTCGGATCGCTCTAGAAGTCCCCGATCGCGATGAATACACCTGTTTCGCAGAGCTCTTTCTCGTCTTCGGGTGCGACTACGCGCAGAAAGTAGAGTATCTATTTGCACCATTGATGCGCCTAAGAAGTGAGGGCTATAGGGTGATAGTCCGAGCAGACCAGGGCCTGGAGTTCGTGGTTGAACCGGAGACTAGTGTGAAAGGGTGGGCAAAGAGATGTCGTGAGGCTATCACTGAGGCAAGGCGCTCCTGCCATTGAATGGGCCGACAGTTCGGCAGGTCTTTTTGACTAGACGTGTAGGTTGTACAGCCTACATTGTACAACCCTCAAGTCGTGCGTTTGTTGCGGATGAGGGTCACATGGAGGAGGTACACTAAATAGTTAAGCAAGTCGGGTTCAATTAGGGTTAGTTCTCTTGAGTATTTTTGAGTAAGATATAATATAAATTCATGCCACCGGATCTTCTCTCCCAGATGGCTTTCCCTCGAGGGCCTTGCAGCTTTACGTACATCGATGGCTTCATCCGGAGCACCGCCGAAAATCGTTGCTTGTATGAGCTTGATGGAGTGTGGAATAATTGCCGTTGCGTTACGCCTGGGAGTTCCGCTCATATTACACGAAGTTCTCAATCCGATGATAAGAGATGACGGGCTATCCACTGAACGTGGTGGACCTGTGTGGGGGTGCACGCTTCCCGACAAAGTTCCAGGTGCCAGGGTTGGCGCTAGTCCGAACCAGAGTTAGTAGGCAAGTTTCGCCGAGGCAAGATCGCGCTGCGGTTTCACTCTCGAAACGCGTTATGTCTTCACTTAGGTGCACCCTCCCGCCGTTCCCCGCGTCCTCATGATCCGACATCTTTGCAACATCTGTGGCAAGCAAGTAACAACAGGGACACTCATCTTGTGGACTCCAGTGACTCTTCAAATAAGCAGTACGACTCCCGTGAAGACTACTTCGGCTGCGTTGCTTGAGCTTCGCGACACCCGTCATAAGTACACGCCCAGCTGAGCTGACAACCATCCCCACCGCTTAGCTATTCTTGAGCGAAAGCTGGAGGCTCTTACCCAACATGTTACAGGGTCCATGTAGTAGCTCCAAAAGGTAGCTGCAACGCGACTGGGGGCGGCATGTTTTGCGCAATCGTTTCACCTCCAGCTTCACGATCAGGTCGCGTTTCAAGTTCCCATCCAAAAGTTCGAGACCTCTTTATACAAAAACGAAACCGCTACCCATACTGTTCTTTTGCTCATGCATCTTCACATTGACTGAACACAGAACCCACTCCAAATTCCCACCCCATCATCATGAAGTCAGCTATTGGTCTGAGCTTGCTAGGAAGCGCGCTCGCACTATCGAACGAGAAAGTCGGCTTTGTTGCACAACAGCCTCTCATACAAGATGCTTGCCCGTCAAATCATCTACTTGACAACGGCAAATGCCTGCCTTTGGCATATGGCAACTCACCAGCATCAGTAGCATTCCAGTCCAACACCTCCGACCCCTCGCCTCACACAAATTCCCTAGAAGACGCCCGGGCGTTAGCCTCTCAAACAGAAAACTTCCCTTGGACATTCTGGCCAGAATGTTTCACAAACGAAAAAGTCGCAGAGCCCTACTGCGTCTTCAGCAAACAAGACTTCGCATCAGGGCGAGGCATCTTCATCGTAACCGCACGTACCTTCGCCTACGCCATGCTACAACACGACGCATTCAAGCGCCCAGAAACCCTCGAGCGCATCAACCACTACGAGAACCCACCATTCTACCAACATGAATTCCCAGGAAAAGGAAGAGGCCTAGTCGCCAACAAGACCCTCCAGCGAGGCGACCAGATCTTCGCTTCCACCCCCATTCTCATCACAGACCCCGATCTATACGACCTACCCGAATCTGAGCGCCTTGCGCTGATACATCGCGGTATCGACACACTTCCGAAGTCGACGCAGTCGTTGTTCTGGGAGCTCATGGGCCACACGCCCGATGCCGATGAGATAGACGACCGCATCACGACCAACAACTTCGAAGTCGCTATCGACGGTATCTCGCAATCCGCGCTCTTCCCCGAGATTGCTATGCTGAACCACGACTGCCGACCTAACGCTGCGTACTTCTTCGATGAAAAGACGCTGACGCACTACGTCCATGCTATCCGGCCCATCTACCCCGGCGAGGAAATCACAATAACATACATCAACAACGAGCTACCGCGTGCAAGGCGTATGCGCGGTTTGGAAAAGAACTGGGGGTTTAAGTGTTCCTGCTCAACGTGTACTGCACATGCTTCTTTGGTTGCAGAGTCTGATTCGAGGCTCGAACAAATCGCTGCTCTTGAAAAGGATGTTCTCAACGATTGGACGGAATCTTCGTCTGCGACGCCCGCCACAGCAGAGCTTCTTGTTAGTTTGTATAAGCAAGAGCGTCTCGATGCTAGTCTCGCGACGGCGTACCAGCATGCTGCGGAAGTGTATAGTAGTTTTGGGATGAAGTGGGAGGCAGTTCGGTACGCGAGGTTGAGTGTAGAGATGAGCATGCTAGACAAGGGCTGGAACGACAAAGACACTGCTGTAATGCAGAAAATGGTTGCCGACCCGACGATGACGTGGAGTTGGAAGAAGAGGGTCGGGGCCAAGAGCGGATGCGGATGTGGCAAAGCCCATTGAAGTGTACTACGAAGAGAAATAGTGGTATGATAAGATACAGTCTAATTAAATATAGATGAAGACATGTACGGTATTCAATGTTCTACAAAGAAAAGAAAGTGCAAAGTGCGAAAGGACTATTTCTGCTCGATCGTCGCACCACGAACACGGGTGTTGTATACGTTGTTGCACTTGGTGCTCGCGTCCGCCGCGGAGATCTCACCCTTCTCACCAGCGCAGTTACCGCTCGACTTCCTCTTGCCTGCGTCGCAGAGCGCAACACCAGCGGCGGGTACGGAACCCTTGAGGAGATTGGGCGACTCGATGATAGTAGCAGCCATACCGCCAACAAGATGGAAATCGATGTGGCAATGGAAGAACCACACACCCGGGTTATCAGCCTTGAAGCGGATGACTGCGTAGCCGAAAGCCGGTACGACGAAACCATCGCGCTTGAGAGGTACGCTGGGAAGCGAGCTTTCATCGCCGTTCCAGAAACCGAGGCCCGTGGCCACAACTTGGAAGACGTGGCCGTGGAGATGCATGGGGTGGGGGTACATGTGCGGGTTGTGCATGACGATCTGGACGATTTCACCGGACTTGATGACCCAGGGGTTGATACCGGGGCCGTAGGTTGCGGGGTCCATGCTGCCGGTTGTCAGAGCAGTGTAGAGGGTAGGTACTTGAGGTGGGACCCATGGCTGAGCGTTGAGAGGTGTGCGGGTACCGACGCCCTCGAAGTAAGTCTGGTTGGTGGTGAACTCGATGTGGTTATCGACGGGGCCCATAAGTCGCTGACCATCAAGCGGCTTCATGGTGAAGTCGTTGAGGATGGTTTGTGGTGGCGGCGTCCACTCGTCGTTGAGGATGCCGTCAATTTCATCGGAGATGCTATCGATGATATCATCTAGTTCGTCAAAGATGTCGTCGTAGACTACTTCTCCAATGATCGTTCGTTCCTCTTCTGAGGGGGCGCCGTTGGTCAACATATCTGTCATCATCTGCGCAATCCAGTTGGAGGATCCTTTGGGGTCTTTCTTTCCTTGCACAATTACGCCATAGCTCTGGCCGGCGCAGATGATGATCGTCTCTGCCTCCTGGGGCTGCGTTTGGACACCGTCAATCTCGACTACGCTCAGCGTGTAGTTTGCAATGTGGAAGCGAGCGCATGCGACAGCGGCGGTGTTGACGATACGAAGAAGGTACCTTTTGTTCTTGGCGATCTTGAGGTCAAAAGGCTTGGCTGCATCGTTGAAGAGGAAAGAGTCGGGTGAGTCGAAGTTGGCATTCGTGTTGTCAGGGCTCATGTACGCCTCGATCATCTCAGGCATGGGGCGGTGGTACCTGATTACTGTGAGCTTGCGCGCCTGCAAAAGCCTGAGTTCACTTACCAGTCCGACATGGAAAGGTATACCTGCTTATCGATGTTCAAGCTCTCCTCCCAAGCCCTATCGTGAACAATCATCTTGCCGCGCAGACCATCGGGATATTGGCCCTTTTCGTGCGCATGGTACCAGTGAGTGCCAGCAGGATTCGCGATAAAGGTGTAGGTGAAAGATGATCCAGGCTGAATGGGGCACTGCGTAACTCCACTAGGGCCGTCGTAGTTTTGCGTCCCCTTTTGCCATATTCCGTGGAAATGGAGCGCCGTTGTTTGATCCGGAAGGCTGTTGTGGACCGTCACCTGAACGGTATCACCTTCATCGCATTCTATAGTAGGAATAGGCCACTCTCCATTGATACCAATGACCTGTCTCTCGAAGCCATCAGGCGCAGCCTACAGCGAGTTAGCGTTGTCATTTGGTGGAGGACGACTTGATCTGGGACAGTATATGTCCGATCTTGTTAGTGTCAACAGGTAGGGTAGAGTAGAGTACTCACAGTCACGTAGCCGACCTCGAAGTCATAAGTGACAGTCTTTGCGCAAGCTACTCCAGCGTACACCGCCAACAAGAGTGCTTGAGATAGACCCAACATGTTGCTCAACAAGTAACGAATGAAATATAAAGAGTGAATATCTAGTTGAAGAAGCAGCGCTCCAGGGAGTTTAAGTATGAATGTATGCTTTTCATGGAATTGGCCGACTTTGTTGGCCCGTTCGACCATGCTCTGATCGATCCGATCAGATATGAACGCGTATTCAATATTTCGAAGCTCTCAACCCCTGCACGACGCGCTAAGATCAACGGCTTTGAACAGACCGCCCTTCCAGAAGGGATAGAATGCGCCTGCGTGCCAGCACCCGATACACGCAAAAGAAGCATGCCGCACAGATGCAGCAAGGGTCCGACCGTCTCCATGCGAGTAGCGGGCTGCAACGCGGGAATGGTTTGATCGTTTTGATCGCCGTGGAATGGCAAAGCTTGACGGTACTGCGAGCGGCCATTGGCTCACATAGGGTGTTCGCAGCATCAAGAAAACCCACATGCACATGCAAGGAGCGACGGATGCCAATTGGAATCCCGTCCGAAACGCATTCTCGCGTGCTGGGCAGAAAAAGAATGGAAGACAAAAGTGGCGTGCATCTCAATGCTTCTATGATGGCTTGCCTAGACTAGGAACAGGCTAGCGTGGTGCGGTTGAGGCAAAAACGATGGTGATCTCTCGGAAACTTTGGTATACCATGTACCGACAGTCGGACATGTGTGGGAGAGCCGATGTGGTACAGCATGTCCAATGCAGACGCCACGCGAAGTTAAAATTGCAGTGCTTTCTTTACGGCGTGCGCTCTTGATCGCTCTTGGTAGCAAGACGATGTTCTTTTCCACAGTCTGCTGTTACGTGGCGTCAATGAGCTCGAAATTGAAGAATGCTCGGGCAGCTCAGTGTCAACTTTGGGAGGTCTGACAGGTGTCATCGTAAAGACTGCATGCTGCGACATCCAGCTTGTGCCGCTCATCCCGTGGTCGTGGTTCCGTATGTCTTATATCCGAACCTGAAGCTGTGCAACCCTGCGCAACAATTGCTACACATCATATGCTGCCACTAGGGCCCTGAGAAAGAGAGGAAGCTGTTCCTGAAAACCGAAGTATGACAGATCATCTTACAAGTTCTCTAGCGTATGTCAATCTTGGGTCTGGGATTTAGTAATCGAATGGTAGTTATTGAGGAGCAATCTCCTTCAGGTTTCGCATCCTTTTCGACATCCATTGAATCGACCGTCATTCGCATGTAGCGGTGAAAGTACACTGTTGTGAGATGTTGCGTGATCGCGCGATGGGAGATGCAAGTTTTGGGGTAGCTGGAGATTAAGCTGATGCGACAGATGATGCAGGCATGGTGTTGACTTCGGCCCGCTGAAGGATGCTCTTTCGCACAACATCGACGCTGAGTCTAGACCGACGGATATTTCCTGGGCAAATTTGTTGAGATACTGGGAACCGTCGCCCTATTCTTGCGCGTAGGTGAGAATCGCGATCTTTCGGTGTCGCGCGTGACGGTGAGCGAGCGCTGCGAAAAAGCCCCAGAGAGATGAGATGCGACGCACGGGATTTGCTCAAGATCGTCGGGAACGCGGAGGCCGAAGCTCCGGGCGGGCGCTCCAGATGTCATGTTCGCTACGGCCGCGTCCACGGTTTATCGCAACACCTTCATCAGGTGCATCCCATTCCATTCAGTGTATCGTTCAATGCTGGTTGCTTGGTTTCGGTATCGCATGTACCACTGTTCCTGAACTGCCCTCTACTTCTCCCGTGGTTACTGACGGTGACTGCGAGCAGGCGCGTTCCTCCAGCATGAAGCCGCACGCGTGTTTCCTCTCGATGCTACTGAACCTAAAGGGGTAGAGACAATGGGCTCACATTTCATTGCGCCCAAGATGACGACTGTTCAAGCGCAGACATCATGGCTGTGCAAAGCTTGCTCGTTGCAAACGAGCAAACGAGGAGGAACTGTCCCTCGACCGAAGACCGAGTAACCGGGACGATGAGGTGCCAAGCCCTATAAAACACGAGAAACCAACTAATACCGCTAAGAAATCTTTTCTTGTCGACTGGTAATTTGTCTGACTTCTTTGTGGCTTGACAACTCACCGTATCTCTGCGGTGGCCTAAAGTTCCTCCGCATACTGCACCAAAACGTCAGCATGGCGTTGGCCGTATGCCTCTGAGGTCCACAAACTTGGGCGGAACAACAATCAAATCCATACTACGATTGCTACTGTAGTCTCCATATTTCGCGCCGTCTCAGCTGGCGCATCATTTGCTGTATGCTTGGCATACTCGGTGTTGTCTTTCGCGGCTATCGTGTCGCGCGAACCCGTGTCCAAGACTTTTGACTGGCCCACACCTTCACATCACCTACGTAGATGACTTGAGGATGCGGATGAACATGCGGACATACGCAAACACATCCGGTGAAGTATGTTCCATCACCGACATCTGCTCAGCCCACAGCACATGACGCATCCAATCATACCCACATTCGGAAGTCTTGGCTACCGAAGCGATGCCGCTAAACCTATCCCGGGGCAATCCGCGAAACATGATGACTTAGAACGTGGCTTGCAAGAGAAGGCTTCCTGCATAAGCTTGTCAGATTTCGCATCCTTGGCTATTCTAGGACTAGCAAACGGGTCGTTGAGATACGCGTAGCCCGCACTGCCTCAGGCTGGGGCTATACTTGCACCATGTATGGATTCGGTGCATGGTGCGAAACACCATCTCACCTGTATCTCCGACTGTAAGCTATAAGGCGACAGAGATTCCATCTTCAACATCTCATCATCACAAACCAACGCACCTACCTCCACCTTCCCCAGAGATCACTCATCTCAATCGCTTTGGGAGTATTCCACCCTTATCGCAACGACTCCCACCTACAGAACCCCCTTTACAATGCCCGAACGTGTACAAGTCCCTGAGTGGTGCGTCGAAGTTGGCCCCGAATGTCCCGTAGAGGGTACACTGTACGGCTACTACCCCAGTATCGGTGCCAATGGTTTCTTTGCGGCCTTCTTTGGTCTCTGCCTAGTCATCCAACTGGGGCTGGGTATCCGATACAAGACATGGACGTACATGGTAAGTCACTCTTCTTTCTAGCAAGACGTATCTAACACCCGATAGATCGCTCTCAGTCTAGGCTGCTTAGGCGAGCTCACTGGATACATCGGTCGCATCCTCTTGTACAACAACCCTTTCGACGAAACCGGCTTCCAAATGCAGATCTGCTGCTTGATCATTTCTCCCGCCTTCGTTTCCGCTGGAATATACCTTACGCTCAAGCACATTGTCATCAACTTCGGAGAGTCGTGGTCACGCTTGCCGCCGGTGTGGTATACGCGCATCTTCATCACCGGTGACATCTTCTCGCTTGTCCTCCAGGGTGCCGGCGGTGGTATTGCTGCTACAGCAGATAGTGGCTCGGATCTGCAAGACCTCGGAACAAACCTGATGGTGGCAGGTGTCGTCCTCCAAGTCGTCGTTCTATCCGTCTTTGGCGCCCTACTCGTCGAGTACACTATCCGCACCTACCGCCGCCGCGAACAACTCCCCGCCAGATCAATGACGCTCTTCAACAAGACGTCGTTCCGCTGCTTCATCTTCGCCATCGTCATTGGCTTCTTGGGTATCTTCATCCGATGCATCTACCGTATCCCGGAACTCACCGATGGTTGGGGCAGCGAGCTCATGCGCGACGAGACGGACTTTATCATACTGGAAGGTGTCATGATTGTCATGAGTGTGTTGGTACTTACCGTATTCCATCCTGGTTACTGCTTCCCAGCGCTCGGTGGCACAATCGGCAAGAATAGGGTGAGTCGCGGCAAGAGTATGGACACTACGTCGTCAGATGTCGAGATGGTATCGGGTCGGGTTTAAATACCACGGGTGTTTGGGTTCCGGATTTTGCCTACCACAGGCCGTTGGCATAGCGCTTCCCTTTGTCAGTTCATGATGTTAGACACGGAAATATACAGTGGAGGATATACCAAGAGAATTTCATATGTTAAGCGGTTAGTCCAAGAACTTTTTAAATCCGCTTGTCATGTGCTAGTAACGCACCTTGTCCTACAAATCCGATTTCGCGTATGCACATTTTCCGCACTTATTCTCGCGTACAAAGTTCGTTACGAAGTCAACAGCCTAGACCCCGCAGATGGACTCTGCCCAGCCTGGACACGAAGCATCCTTCCCGATTGATGAACAGCTTAACATACTTGGACTTCGCATGCAGCTGTCGCTCGCGATAGATTGGCGGTCGGCGTCGAAGGCCGAGATCTCGGCGGATGGCCAACCGAGGTGGATCCAAGGTGAAGCTATCGAGGTATGAGTATGCAGTTTGCAGATTTGCATGGGCCTTAGAAGGTCTGACTCATACCTGTTTTCGACAGCTGTCTCCGCATGTGTACGCGACTAACGATCGGCAAGACCGGTAGTGTTGTAGTGGCTAACCTGTTCACACGTTATGATCTTCGAAACCGGGGCTGAGGAACCTTGGAAACTCGTTACGAGAATCACGTGTTGAAGTGTCCAGATTTCCCTCAACCTCATATTAGATATCATCTCTTCCTGCAATGGCAGTTCAAAGAAGAAAAGCTCATCATTACCTGCTTAGCAGACGTAGGAGCATCCATTATCAGCCGCCCTATTTCCAAAGCGCCGACTCTGGACTCGAATAATGAGGCGGTTCGGCCTCAAACTCCGGACCTTCTATAGCAAGTAAAGGTGGACGCACGAACGTGCAGTGCTACGGGCACATGCTCCTGTTGATGGTGTTGCGATCTCTGTGCAATACCACGACAACCAACGTATGTCGATTCCACCCAACTTGCAGATGCGTGTAGCCAGTAGCATCTGTCGGACATTTCTGCAGAGCGAGGTGGTCTAGGCTCTAGTTTTGCAATCGTGGCACCTCAAAGTAATCTTGGAGTTCACCCTGCCCAGTGACGTCAATCACGCATTTTGTATTTGAACCTCGTCCGCCACTCCTCCGATGCGCAATGCGATTTCGCCTTTTTTCTTTTTGAATGTACGGATGGCGACATGAAGAGCCCACCGAGCAGGACCGGTGGCGACGATGCTTTACCGACCTAACTGCCGCGCCTGTTGGCGTATATGCATGGTATACCTACTAAGGTCAAGAGAAGGTTGTTTAGCACACGCTGTGGATGGCACGACGTCACACTTCGATACGAGATATTTCTCGGCTGCAATGTACCAGTCTAGCAGTCAGCACGACACGCACCGCCACCTCCACTCTACCACACCTGTCGCTGCACGTCGCCCAATCATGGCCAGTCTTCACCCACACCATATGTAGTCGTTTGAGGCTCTCGAAGCGTCGGGGAGCCTGGAACCCCGTTGAATGCTAGCGAGCAATACATCTGGACCCGAACCGCCGCACAACTGCCGCCGAAGCTAGCCTATCCGTCTGGAACGTAACCTCGGTTTCCACCCTCATGCACTTTTCTCTTTCGCCTCTTTTCTATAGTAACAGTTTTCTATGTATTATTCTGGACCGGTCTTTACAGCACGTGAGATGGTGCGCCATAGCGTCTCATTGGTCAGGAGAGCATTCCCGGACGAAGCTTGCTGTCGGCCTTTTGTACCGAGCTTTCGATCAAATTCGATCTTGGGCTCAAATGCGATCTGTTCAAATATTCCAAGGCCAGGGACCCGTGGCGCATCGACCGGTTTATCTGTGTAACAGGGAGTGGCAAACCGCTGCAGATGTTGGCAGGTACAGGAAGCGCAACTCCAGAGCGCGAGGCACGCCCAACAATACGGTCTGCGGAACACGCTCACGCATCCAACACTGCCTAGGCTCCACCGGCTCCACACGCGACTTTGGCATCTCTGAGCACTGGGGATCTCGCCCACTACATTAACATTCACGGCATGGATCACGCGGAGCGATGGCAAAGCATTGCACCAGCCTCAGATGAGCCCGGTCAGCGACGCCCAACATCAGACAGGCGGAAGAAGCGACAGGCGGTTGCCGTGGCGTGCGTGCAGTGCCGAAATGGGAAGGCCAAGGTACGTAGGACCGAGTTACACTCAATAGCAATGCCCTGGACCATTCCAAGGTATTTCGCTCAGCTATCAGGCATTATGCCATACTACCCAGCACTGCGAGGCACTGAGGGACACTTCCAAGTATCCAAGGCCCATGCATTCCTGATTTGCGCTCTTCTATAGGTACTCACATCATGTGATACTACCTGTACGTAGGCCTTTTGCAGCTTTCATTGGCCCCGCGGACATTGCTGATTGCTTATTTGCAGTGTGACGGTACCAGACCCCAATGCAATCGATGCAAGGAGAACGAGCTATCATGTCAATACGACGTCGCCGAAGGTGTCTCGCGAGCTGAGCGGATGAAGATTATGAAGAGAGACAGTATGACTGGTGAGCTCGACGACCTGAAGCGCATAGTCACATCGCTACGCTCTGGGACCGACGACCAGGCCGCCGCTGTTCTCGCTCGATTAAGGCTTGGTGAAGCACCCGAAGAGGTTGCAAAAACCCTCCCGATGACAGTATCCCCGGCGATATCCGGCCAACCCCCCAGGTATGCATTCGATCACAGCTTCCTCTGGCTACAACAAGTTGATAACCCTGGTTCAGCTTACTGGGTCAGGAGTCTACAGACACTTCTGGAAGCGGTATGAGCCTCGAATCGGCGTTCGACACGAGTAAAGCTGCCTCACAGTTTCGAAAGGGCTCTAATATCTCCATGGCATCGCCCACGAGCCAGAATAGAGGCTGGTCGCCTTCAGCAAACAACCCTGCATCGTCGTTTGGGCCGGGTAAAGGGAAACAGTCAGCAACGGTGGATGGAGCGAACGATCATCACTTCTTAGTCCCGCTGTTTGACCGAGAAGACTATCTCCTAACAAGGGATGAGGCTGGAGAAGAGAGTGAAGAGGAAGACAAGATTCAGGACAACCAAATTGACCCACGACTTTTGCAGCAAGGAACGAATTTCGACGGCGTCGGGAATGCAGCATCATCATCGAAGTCATCTCGAAGCCGACGACCCTCACCGCACAGAAAGAACACGATACGGTCGATATATCCCACGCATCTCACTGGCCGACAATCGATAGTGAACACCATCAGGATACATCCAAATCTCAACCTCCGCAACCTCTTTGGCAACATGCCCTTCTCCAGTAGTATCCGAAGTAATCATTATCCAGGCGACATTCAAGAGACTCAAATAAGCAACTTGTTTTTGCCGACGTGGTCCATGTTACCCATCAACACAGTACCTGACCCTGGGTCGTTGAAACGCGCATTTCCTGGTATCTACGAACAAGCCACCGCACTAATAAACATGGGCATACCCGCAGATCAAATCATCGAAACCCACCCCAACATCGCCGCGCTCTGGGACGAAGACGTATACAACAACTCCGGCATACTCACCAAATGGGCAGTCGGCATGGTGCACGGCGTGTACATGAAGGGTACATCTCACCGGGCCCGTCCCCCAAAAACACGTCATCGCTAACAACCCCCGCAGGTAACACCTTTTCCTGCTTTGGCTCCATGTACCTCTTCTGGTACCTAATGCGTTGGATGATCTCCCCCAGCCCAGACACCTACAACGCAATCCCCGAATGGTTCCGGCCCACGCCCAACCAACTCTTCATGCCGCATATCAACATCGTCGACTTCATCGTCTGGCCCGCCTTCCGCGAACTCGTTACGCAAATACCTGCTATGCAGGAGCGCATGGAGTGGCTCATGGATATGAGTCTTAATATCCAGTGTGATTGGTCATTTGCGACGGACCAGGCGCTGTGTAGTAATGAAGAGACGGGGCAGGTCGATCTGTGTGATACGGCGAGGGATGCGGTGCGGGAGTTGGCGAGTTGGAGCTTGGGACCGAGTTTTAGGGGGTATGTTAGTAATGCGGATAGTTATGTTAGGATCAGGACGGAGGGGTATTGATGGAATGGGGGGCGTGGACGGGAAGATCGATCGATCGATCGATACGAGTTACATTATAGGGAGGATGCGCACGCGCGAGGGGGATTGGCGTTGATCGCTAAGCCCGGCACGCTGCGGGGCAGTAGTCTTTGTCGGATGTGTGCCGCGGAGATGAACGACATAGCGGGAGGAGACGGAAGCTTGGCGCTGCGATGGACGAATGGGAGGGCCACTTGTTGTTGTTACTAGCGAAGCATATTACACGGAGTTGCTTTTACTTCAATGGTCTTGTTGAACGAGAAGCATATGGGGCGACCCGGCGACGACATACGAAGCACATTAGACGAAGAATCAAGGACAGGAGTGCACTCTGCTCTACACTACGTTTTCTCCGTAATTGGTCATAGTGTGCTGCGGGTCTTGTACGATATGCTGTGTCCTGTATCACATGTTCACGTGTGGAGTCGCTTACGTGAGAATGAAGATGTATGATGTGCTCTTTACCATGAACTCAAGACCCAGAAACTCACTCACATACTATCGCAACATCCAAGTCCTAAATGAATGTAATGTATTGATTATACTAGTATTCGTAACCATCGTGTCGCGTTCAGCGTCATGAAAGCGTATCCGTCGTGAGCGAATGTGTGCGTGTAGCACCACCATAACCGAGTGAGTGTCGTGAAAGCAAAAAACAACAAAAAAAAAAGACGAGGCATTTTTCCACCACTGACCATTACCACTGCCATGAACCATAATTCACAGCTGTAGCGAATCGCTACCCATTACCACCACTAAACTCTGACCATTACCATCATGCTCATATTCATCGTATCAACCGTTTGGAAAAACACACTGGTATGCCACAGGCGGCAAAACCCTGTACACAACTCTTTCCAGTATCTCTTACACATACCCAGCATTATAGTCGTATCATGATCATCGTATCATCAGTGTGACAACAGCACCTTGGGGTCTTAGACGACCCAGGGGATAAGACCGTCGCGGTGGTATTTGATACGGAGGTCCTGCAGAGGTAGACGTACGACGTTAGTAAATATCTCACAATTCTTTCGTACAATGGGAGCTTACCTTGTCCATCAACATGTCCTTGACCGCGTTGATCTGCTGCATGTCCAGTGTAGCAAGCTCCTTCTGAGCTGGCGCAACCATATCCGGGTGAGTTCTACTAGCGACCTTGCGGTAGGCGAGGTTGATACCGATGGAGCTGATCTTCCAGTTCTGCAGGCCTAGCATGTTGTAGGCGAGCATGTTGACCGGGGGCAGGAGGTTGGCTGCCGAAGAAGCATGGGCACGGCGAGGACGAAGGGCGCGTGTGGACAGCGGAGGCGGTGGGCCGACGGGAGCGGTGGGACCGAGGGGCGTGGAAGGGGGACCGAGTGGAGTCGTAGGAGGAGTCTCGGTGTAAGGCTCGTAATTCTCGAAGTCCTCCCAGAGAGGGTCGGCAGGTGAGAAGCGGAACGGGGTGTCAGGAAGACGGGGAGACGGCGAGGGCGTTGAAGCAGTGGAGAAGGTCCTGTCGCTGAGCGGAGTGCGTAAGTTGTTGGTCTTGGACCTCTTCGGTGTCTTAATGGGCCTCGGAATGTCGTTGGCTGCGTAGCTATCGACGAAGATGGTGAATTCGGGCTTGCGCTTCTTGCTTGGCTTTGTAGTTGACTTCTTGGCAACGGGTGCTGGAAGAACAGTGGGCCGAACCGTGAAAGGTGAACGAAGTGCGGAGACTTGAGAGCGAGTACGAGGTCGAGGAGGGTCGAGGTTGCCGTTACCGGTGAGTTCTTGGCCCTCGACGGAAGGAAGCGGTGTTGCCGCCGCGATCGCGAAGAAATAGTTGTTGACAGAGTCCGACATCTTGACAAGCTCACTGTAGAGCTATAAACCACTGAAGCTCCCACCAAAGCAAAACGCTGAACGCTAAACAGAACAGAACAGTAGAGAATAGAGAGACTAACCTGGAAAACGTAGAACAGAACGGTTGACTCGTCGTCTCCGGAACAGAAGCAAGGGAGAGGGAGTGGCCGAAGAAAGGGAAGACGACTATGGGAACAGTGGCCTTTATAAAGAATGACAAGAAGATGAACTGATATTTCGAAGCTGAATGAGAGTCGTAAGAAAAGAGTACGATCGAAGGTGACCGCGAAGACGAATTTGAACAGGCAGGGTGGGCGCTCGGGCACCGGACCCGGGCTCCCGTGGTGAAGCCGACAAGAAGCTTACAGAATCTCACAACGCGTAAAAACGCGTAAAAAGCGCGCATAGAATGTTTTGAGAGCGTTTGCATGTTCTTAAATGGACCTCAGCGCGTCAGAAACAGACGTAGATGACGTACTGATAATCTCGATGGACTGAATGTCGTCTTGATCAGGGAATACGGAGGACTCGACAGCTTTGATGACTCAATGAGGTAGCCGTGACGATGAGTGTGAGTGGATAATGTCTTTCTCCGCAATACAAGGGTCTCCTGATCAGCTAGAACGTGGTCAGGTTCCCATTCTAGATGTGTGTTACGTTCTCAGGACATGCTACCAGTAGTGAAAGGAAGCCATGTGACTGTCATTCCTTGACGAGCATCTTGTAGGCGTTTGTTTTCCAGTATGGTTGCCGACTTTAACGCGGTTCCTTGTAAAAGGCGATATGGTATCGTTTGTGTTGGAATGGTCGTGAGTGGCTCGCGATATGTGAATTCTGGAGAACCAAAGCATGGCTATGGAGATATGGCATCGCGAATAGTAAACGCATACAATGACTGTAAGATGTACGCGGCGAGTCTCAGCGAAAGGGTTGATAGCCCAGAGCCGATCAGGGTAGGGCAGTCCTTAGGCTGAATACAATTAGATATGTGGTCTCCGGAGGTTCGACGCAGAGTCGGCGGATCTGAAGCCAGACGCGATGTCAGTAAGGGGATCGTGCAGTAGTACCGAAGGAATCAAGTCCGCCGAGACTTGACTCGAGGATGTAACCATGAAGATCAATACGTATTGCGTGAAAGCCTAGGTTGGTCGTTAGCTATGAGTTTCTCCGTTGTAGGTGCATGGTTGAGAAAGATTAACTGACAGCTTCGCAACCCCACGAATGATAGAGAAGAAGTGTGGAGAGGTTGATGATACGCAACGAGCCAAGGACGAGGAAACTTTAGTAGATGAAGTCCGTAGCTGGTAGCCTGGTACTTGGTGGTTCCTTACTATTACCTGTATCTTGATTGAAGTTGTCGATCCATAGCTTACTGCGACAAATCTCTTTGCCAGGCAAACACCAGTAAAGTCGTATAGAGTACAGTAGCATCACTAACCAGCGGTAATGGTTGAGTGTTGCACACCAAATCGAGCGTACTGTGTACGTCCGCGCTGGAGGACCCAGAGTAGCGAAGAAAGATGAGAGTGGGATTTGCTGTTCATAGATCAAGTATCAAATTCGTTTGCGAAGTGTTGCTATCGACGTTTGATGATAACGGCATGACATGCCCATACGGACACAAAGTAAAGTCGGCAAACGATCGTGATCCGATGTCTTTTACTAGCAGAAGCTCAGCCATGGCCAGACAAGCTTTCTGGAAACCCGGTGACTGCTTATCAGTGTCCGTATAGCAAGAGATGTGTCAGTCGACTGGTAAACAAACGCACTTGTACGAAGCAGCTTGTTATTAGAAGTTGTCGTCAAACCTCCTCCGGACTACTCTCCGATGTGTTTGCCGTTAAAAAACCAATCCGGTGGGGGTGTATACCTCCAGCCTACGGTGTAATATTGGTGCAACTCATTGGAGCCCAACGTCTCCGTCCCGTGGGTGGTGGAAGCTAGAGGCTTGCAAAGGAAGGAGCGCAGATCATGCCGTTATTCTTGAGTGACGAATAGATAAAGCTTTTTGTGACAATTGCCTCTATTTGCTGCAGGGAGATGAGGAAGTTGTTGTTGTTGTTGGCAGACACGCAGGAGACCGGACGAAAGCATCGGTACTTCGGCACTTCGGCCCGGCCGGATTGGCAGTCGTGATGAAACATCGCAACTTCACGCCCTGACGACATCACAACGTCGCTTCAGATATATGTCTAAGTCGATACCGACGATGCCATCCATCTTCTCATTGAACCCAATTGATCTTCTACTAACCTGGTACACTAACGTTGCAGCTTCCATAACAGGACGTACCGCGGCTGCTGATGCGGGGAACAAGCTACTCGCTGCTGAGCCGCTGAGCTCGAGTAAGCGTCAGTGAGGCATTACGCGTCCCAAACCCATCATTCCACTTCTTCAAATGGATCTTGGGCCATCCGTCAACTCCGTTGGAAAAACACCCACGCAAATATGGCTCTTGCTCCTGCTCCAACGCGCCTACGCCAGATTGCACTTGTCGCGAAGGATATCGAACGCGCAAAGCAGCAGCTTGTAGGCCGTCGATGTCAAGGCAGACATGTCGAGAACTGACGGAGATGCCAGACATACGTTCTAGGAACAGAAGTCGTCTTCGAGGATCCAGCTGTCGAGCAATGGGGCTTGAAGAACTTCCTCGGTGCGTTTAGGGTACATTCTCTTCCTAGCTTCAGCGACTAACATTGCTGCAGTACCAATCGGTGGCGACTTCATCGAGGTGGTTTCGCCCATTAAGCCAGGGACGACTGCTGGACGGCTGGTCGAGAAGCGCGGCGACGGCGGATACATGATCATCATGCAGACCGAGGACGCGAAGAAGCGGCGAGAATACATCGAAGCGAAGGGACTGTCGAAAGTTATCTTTGAGCATAGTTACGCGGATTCAGTGTGTATTCAGTACCATCCAAAGGGCATCAAGGGTACGCTAGGCGCCTACCAATTGGAAGGCTGTACGGCTAACGAGGTGACAGGCGGCATGATGCCTGAACTCGATTCCCACGTACCGGGTCCGAAGAATCCTAGGCCAGTTCAGTCTCGCTTCTCCCCATGGCATGCGTGCGGTTCAGACATCGACCGCTATAGGGACGGCATGGAGCGGACCGAACACCTTACGCTAGAGGGCTGTGTACTGCGCCTGCTGCCCGGCGACCTCGGCCACGAAGCGGCCGCACGGGAGTGGGAAGCGATATTTGGCGTCGTGCGCAGCCGCGACCTGTTGGCCTTCACGAACGCCAGGCTGGGTTTCATACCAGGGAGACAAGGGCATCCAGAGGGCCTTGTGTCGATCACGATCGGCGTCAAGGGCCAGGATGAATATGATGCCATACTGGAGAGGGCCCGACAGGCGGGCGTTTGTGGGAACGACGGGATCGACATGTGCGGTGTCAAGTGGTACCTTGCCCTGACAGGTCACAGTGCGACTAAGGGGAAGCTATAGCTCCATGCATCATCACATCGCACGAATTCTGGCCAGAACCCGTTTCACGTTGCTGACTGCATGCAGCGTGCGATACGCTTTGACACTGCGATGAGCGTGCCACGTACGAATCGTCTGCAAGCCAAGATTCTCACCGAACAGTGTTGAGATAGCCTTAAGCGCCGTCTTCGAGCGTCCCGGAGTCGGTACCCCTCCCCCACCGACGTCATCTGCCATACAAGATGAGTTACCAGTCCTTCGCCAGTATGTTTACGAAGGACGCGTCTCGACCTTCACGCATTGTTTCATGTTCAGAAAATTTTCATGAGCGAAGCCACGACGCCAAGCTGGCTGGCGTGCGCAGGACAGCAGTTGATGGAGATTACACGATCCACACCACCCAAGAAGCTTTGGTAAGAGTCCCCCAGCCTGGGCGCAAAGAGCATCCCACAACACCAAACAGATGCGCGCATCCTGAAAATTTGCCACTATCCTTCGCTGCTCCGCCTCCCGCTTACCTACACGATAGGCCTCTGTCGCGGTCTGTGCACTGCACACCCCGCTTGCGGTGACGCCAGGCACTCCCGCGCTCGCGATGGGGACGCGTCCATGCCATTACGGATTCTCTCATTACTCCCTGCTGCATTTGTCGCGCCTTTGCAGTGCGGCGAGCGGAAATGAGATCTGAGGCGCAAAAAGCTTCTATGCTTCCACGCTTGGTGGCTGCCTTGTTGTGCACCGCCTCAACTTGGAGTATGCTAGCCTGGGTGGCTCACGCTTTTAGTACCACGTCCTCATACGACAATTCCATGTGACGTACCAGTTGCGTTTTCCGCAGTTGCAGAACTGCTAAGCTTCCTGCACAGCTGCGCATTCGCCCGTCTCTCCCTCTACGAGATAGCAACACTCGACGTCAGATTGACCGTTCTCATTGCTCCCATCTTGCGAGGTCATCCTAGTTTCGATCTAAGCTCCAGAGCTCTCGGCATCCTTCCGGCATCCTTCCCCTAGCCTAGCCCTACGAGTTCTCCCCTCATACATCAGTCCCCGCACGGGGCATCGGCTAGCCTACTTGCGACGATAATGCAGCTTGGGAGGACGAGCAAAGGAGCAATTACACACTTACGGGGAGGAGGCGCACCACATTGGCTGCCGTTGGGACTGCCTGTGTTCACGGCTTTGCAGCACCCTTCGACGCATAAAGTCTGCCGCCCCAGCCCTCCTTCGGACGTTTGTTTCACCCACCGATGATGCGCCTCGATCAGATCGCATTGGACCAAAACGCGACACATACCCTCACGCCCTCCGCTGACCACCCTAAGTGGTCCAATCACCCTTCGTCCTACTTCATATAGGACTAGAGGGTACACGACATCTCAGCATGGCGGCGTCGATGTACCTCAACGATGATGAACGATTCGACCTTCCCATACGCTTCCCAGTGGGCTCTAGCGAATCTGCATACAGTGTCACTGGCGTAGGTTCGCAGCGTGTCACGGCACCCCAGCATGACTCTTGGTCACAGCATGATACTCATGTAAGCCTTGCTCTGCTTCGCTGCGCATTCACCTCTAACCTCCCATTCAGCTCGAAATCCCTCCGCCTTCCGAACATCACGCCAACAACGAGCCCCCACCCGTACACTCGCACGCATACTCCAGCCAAGGTCTACTACTACTACAACACGCAGACAGCTCAGGCAGCCGCCTGCCATCAGCTAATTCGCAACATGGTCTGCAGGTGGCTGATGCAAACACACCCGAGGAACCTGTCTCTCCTTCGTCTGCGCCGCTATTCTCGATCCCCAACAAACTTCAATGCGAACAATGCCCTGTGTTGTTCAATGGTAACGACAGAAAAAACAACCTCGCGCGACACGTACGGAATAAACACACGTTGGCCAACGTGAGCACCTTCAGGTGCACTAGGTGCAACAAAGTATGCGGTCGCAAGGATGCCTTATTGAAGCACGAGCGCAAGTGCCAGCCAGGCCTACATTCTGATCCCGTCAAGAGAAAGAAGGACAAAAAGGCCACTGCTACAACTCCATCACGCAAAGCCAACAACCGCTTCACCCCCCGTCGCCCACCAGCCAAGAGGCCTGCCCCAACCAATGTCGTCTCGGCACCGCAGACCCCTCGAACGCACGCGCCCACGGTGTTTGCGACCCAGACCTCGTTCACTGTGCCGGACCTACAGCAAGCACCAGGCATGGGCCCGCTTGCACTCGACTTTTCAAATATTCATACATCAGCACATACAGACCATGAACCCTCAGTTGCCAATGTCTGGGGTGTTGGAAACTGGGTACCGACTCCCTCCGGACCGTCTGATCCTGCAGCAGGCGAGGACCAAGCCTTCAAGCAACTCCATTACGCTATGCAGCAAGCCGTAGAGGCGGTGCCATCTCACCAAGCTGCCGATCCCTTCCTCTATCTTGGTCAGCATAGACTTGCACCGTACAATGCGGCCCAACAGGAGGGCTGGCCGTCGCCACAGCATCTGCATCCTCCTTACCCTGCCCAGGGTTACAGACGCCCGCTTTCGCCAACCTATGTAAGCGTATGTCTTGAGTCGACGGATCTGAGCACACTACCAAGCAACAACGTTTTCGACGCCGCCTCTTCATCGTACTTCCCTCTGACATACCCATACAATGGACCGACCTCTGTGCACGGCTCAGTAGATCCCGCCCATCGCAGCCCTCTAGCATCGCCGATCTCATTTCATTCAACATCGCTACACTCCGCAGCATCGCCTTATGGTACGCATCATAACATCCCATCTGCCCAAGGTTCGCCTCCAGGGCATCATTGCCAGGCTATTCCGAATTCTGATGCAAGCTTTATCTACAGTCAAGAGGATGAGGACTTATTGACAGATCTATTTACTTGGTCCCCACCGCTGTAAGAAGATCTGGGGTAGCAAAATTGGAGCGGTCATTAAGTAGCGTTTCGTACCACCTCATTCAAGAAACGGAGAAGGTGCTCTGCAGTCTACATCGGTATAAAACAAAGATTAATGAGATCACGAAGGCAATGTAGACTTTTAGCTTAGCTGGCAGGTGTTCACTTTTTTCACAGTGGGGTTTACCGTATTCATTTTCACATCACTTTATCTCATAGACTTCACTTCTTGTATATATATCACGTTCTCGATACCCGATCACCAACACATTCTTGCAAGCTCAACTTCATGCCACCATCTACCGGCCTTCCAGGTCCACGCATCCCTTGCTACACTATACCACACTCATAACCCCACCATGCACCAGAAACGACTCAAGATGCTCTCGATCCGGAACAAACAGCCCAAACTTATAATACCAATCTTCGGCCAACTCTAACAGAATCTCCTTGTTGAAGTACACAGTGTTGAAGAACGCCTTATCCGGTTCGTACACCTTGACATCGCGGCGCTGTTCCTCAAACCCCGAAAGCGACATCGGACTATGCGCTTCTTCGTCGTTGCAGTCATCGGAGAACCCCGGAGCAGCACACCATATCCAACGGATACGCCAGGGCTCCAGTTCCGCCCAGAAGATTCCGTGTATCATGTCGCGGAGTTCGCGCGGCAGCTTGGCTTGCATGAGGTTGGTCGCGTTGCGGGTGATTGGGGGGCAGAGTTGGTTTGCTTCGACGATGAACGCCTCTGTCCTCTCGGCGCCGAGGGTGTGGTGTTCATTTCTGTAGCGCCGGGCTCGAAGCGCGGCTCTTGGGGAAGAGGTGGTAATAGCCATTTCGTCTTTGTAGGTAAGGTGGAGCGCGAGTTGCTGCTTTTGGAAGAGGAGGACGTGCTGCCGGTTTGCGTCGGTTATGCTGTAAGATGAATTAGTGGATGTGCGAGGTGGTATGCATAGTTGCATTCACGCGCGGAGCTTTTGCTCGCACGATGCGATTTCTGATGCGGACAACATGACGGGCAGCGCGGTTGGGATGTTAATGTCACAACAGGCTGATGGTTATTGGGATGTTCGAGAGAGCTCAGGATAAAAGGTATGTTGTTGATATCGAGACTGCAAACGCTGGGGTTGTTGTCGTTGCGCGTGATTGATGTAGGGCTAACGCGACCGAGGCTAGTGGCTCGCGGTGTCACATGTCGAGCTCTTTTGTAGGGTCTACGTCGACTGTATGCTGACTATTGCAAGACGACAAGCGAGAGGTCACCAAGCATCTCTTCATGTTGATATCTGACTTGTTGTAAGCTCCAGTATGGGTAGTAGCGGAGCTGTAGCAGTAAGGCAGTGTTCATCTCATCTCATGTGAGAGCGTGAACGATACATCCAATCTACATCATAAAACCCCAACACAAGCCCATATATTAGCCCAGAGTCCTTGACAATTACTTCCCGCCGCAGGGTTAGGATTCCAGGCCAAGAAACTGTTGGTGCTAATGCTATACTGCTTCTCAATAGTGGCGCACGTATCACCGCTCTTCACCAAGTGGAATGTTTTACAACTGTTCGCTAGCTCATTCTAGATCGGGCTTGATGTTTTTACACCGTTTCCCGGGGTTGAAGGCGTGAGGTTGTACCCAACAAGGGACATGCAAGCGTTGACACCTGCCTATGGACCTGAACCAGACGTTCCAGCACCCGTGCTACTCCCTGACGTACTGTAGCGATTCCGTTCCAAGAATACGTCGAAGACGCTACGCCTGATGTCGCAGATAACGTAGTCATTGGTGGTGCGAAAGAAGATGCGGGGGCAGTTGTGGTAACTGGCGACGTAGTGGGAGAACGAAGGCCTGGCGTGGAAGACAGCTTGGAACTTGAGGCAATCGGAGATATCCTGATCGATGAAGTTGTTGTAGAAGAACTGATCTTGGTACCAACTTCAACACAGTAGCTACGGCCAACCTGGTAATTCCCGCATTCACTGGTAAGGGAGGGGTTCTATCATCTTGTCAGTTCTTCCAGATCCCCTAAAATCGAACACCCTGCAGCCAAAATTGGTGTCAAAACGGAAGTTGGCAAAGTCTTGACGCGATGTAGACGCCAGGGTCGTTTACTTCCTCCATATACTGGTACTTACCCACGCGAACAATTCAGGGGTTGTAATGAGATAAAAGTACGCGACGAGGCAACAAGAAATGTTGTTGTCCAGGTTTTCGTGCCACAATGTGCACCCTGGGTGCGCACCCGGGTCGACGATACCAACTGGTATTTTGTTTCAGGGACAAATACCCGTGCCGCGCGGGCAAGCAATGGTTGTACAGGCTGGGTCGTAGGCTTGCGAGAGCATTTTGCTTGCGGATGAGTTTGAGTTTCTTAAGGTATTGGGGACGGAAGAGTATATGCATGAGGAGTGGCTCTCTCCTTTCTCAAGCGCATGGCACAGCTATAGAACCAACACAAAACCTCTATCGGGATATAGCCGATGTCTTCCAGTCAAAGTGACTATTACCAGACGACAGTGTTGGGTTTAGATTACGGGTGAATTGCAGTCAAAAGGAAAGCTGTAGACATAAAAGAAGAACGTACCACCAGCCCTCATGTCATCGTTCCCAGTCTCCTGAGATATGCAATTACCCATGAGTCCGATAGTGTCCGGCCATGTCAGATTGGTACAGGAAGCTGCTTCGGACATTACAGCCTCCGCTCGTTCCGTCACTCTTGCATCAATGGGTAGCGCACACGTTTTCGTGGGCTTTATGCAGGGGTTGAGAACCTGACATGCTTGCTCCGAATTGTTGAAGGGCCGCTTCTGAACTCCGATAGACCCAATCGGTCTGCCGCAGCGTCCCTTCCTCGCGAGCGTTATAGAGTCGTTGTCTTCGTCTGAGTAGTTTCCTAATAGTCCAAACATGGTCTCTCGCTCAAATCGCACAGTGGTATCCGGGCTGTCTGGCGGCAGCCCGGTTGTATTGCCACAGGCGTACGTCAGACCGAAGGTGTAGCTCAGACGGAAATCATCCAGAGTATTGTTCCATAATAGCGAAACAAGCTCGATCGTGAGCAAAATAACGGGGGAAAGTTCTACCTCAATGGTATCGGGTCGACTTTTACCGGAGGCCACGATGATGCGTGGTTCATACCTTGCCGTGTCGAACCCATCAGTGATGTTCCACCTCCAGAAGACAGTTTTTTGGCCGATGGCGGAGAAGTTGTGAACCGCGAAGATGACGGATGATGGGTAGTAGGGCGTGATCAAGGAGTAAGGCGGGGGGGGGGGGGGGGGGGGGGGGGGGGGGGGGAATACGAGGTCGAACTGTACTGTAGCCGGTGGGTCTTCCGATTGAAGCCCAGTACATGCGCTCGGGAGGCACAGCAAAATCGCTGAATGTTGGACATGGCGACGCATGATCATGCAATAGCGGTCTGGTTAGTAGGAACTACAGCTCGAGAGAAAAGAGTAGAAGAGTTGGTGATATACAAGATAGATGGTAGTTGTCGTATATGCCTTTAAGCGCTCTATTCGTGACACCAACACAAGATTATAGTAAATGCGCTTGGCGACGCCGCGTAGAGGTGTCCGGGTAAAGGGTTTTGCTTGGCTTATCTTCGCGTCTGCTCGAAGCGTTCAACACCATATCGACGAGTTGTCTGGTAGATCTCGGCAGCGTGATATAAACGCAGACCAACGTTCTATGACTGGACAATCTCTTCTCTAATATGCGTCTATACAGACCATGGATGTGATCAAGCTACTAGGGAAGGGCTCTGGAGGGACTGAGACTCAAGCCGTCAAGACTATTGTAGGTACCATTTCGGCTTCATATGTACACCGAGTTCGTTACGAGGGCAAGCGCTCATTGCTGACACGAAAGCATGCTGCAATGGAGAAATAATAAGGACCGATGCAACTCGGGGTAGATGGACCGCTAATAGCTTCTGGCAAGCGTAAGTACATGACGACTTTCTCTCGTATTGAAGGTGGACATCGTTCTAGAGACGGAAGTGAGATGCGTAGAAACCGAAGTTTGGCGACAGGTGGTGCTCGTCGTCTGGTATATATAATTCAAACATACTTATACCGCCTCCAATAAGCCATTGGTCCGACGACCATCTTACTCAAGACGGACCCTAGCCTCCACCCTAAGGCTACATCTCCAAAAGAAGCATCGTTCAAAGGCTAAGTAGCGTCGTGTCAGAACCTGCTAGCACCGGGACCGGGTGCGCCAACCAAACCTGCCAATTCCAGCGTCCGGCGCAATCCGAAGCGCTTCGTATAGATCGACAAGCGCAGTCATCCTATTTCGGGCGACCTGTCGCGAAAGTCGCCATGCTTCATCCCCAAAGCAGAGCGAAGTGTCTCCGCACAACAGACCGCCTGAGCAGTGGCACCGCCGTCGCAACCCCCGTCAGCCAACCTAGGACGCCGCCCTGCCAGCCGAACCCAATTTCGAGGACGTGGCTGACCGCCGATCATTGGCGCTAAGCATGTTCTAGTGCCTTGGCAGATATGTAGTCGCGTGGCTAGGGTGAAGTGGCGGTGATAAGCGGCTGGGCTGGGCAAGAGATCCTGTTTTGCAGCTCTCAGGCGTGCCGTTGGTGATGCGCTTGACGGGCGTCTCAATCGTGGTAAGCTGTAGGATCGGCTGGGGGAGTATACCTCGTTCGGCAGGTGATACTGGCCCGAGTGTCACAGCGTCGGAAGCCAAGCGCAGCAATTCGAAATAAGGCAAAGTGATCTGGCGCAGTAACGGATATCAGTCTTGTGTGAATAATATTGATTGTGTGAACTGGAGACTCGTATTGGGGTATCATCGCGTCGGAAGACCCAGATCGAAAGTGCGACGGTACAATGAATCGGGGCGAAAACCACCCAGCCCGAACCGAACCAAACCAAAACCGAAAACATGATAACAATGAATTCCCCCATCCCAAATTTGGAAAACGCCTTGGTAATGCAACGCTATGCTATGCGATAAGCCCTTGCCTCTTTCTTCGTAAACGTATTATCTTTGCTTTGCCAGTAGAGCAAGCCGTTGCTATTGTAGTATGACATTCTCTTCCTGCTGGTAAACAACGCCACTCGTATTCTGGGCGAAGATCTTTTGTATCGGAAGCGTGAGTGCGTTCATGATGTTTTCGCGGAAGTCCATCTTGACGTTGCTCTTCTCGAACCAGTAGTGGCGGATGAGCTTGCCCTGGCAGTTGCTGACTTCGACACCGGGGAAGCCATTGGCCTCTCCGCACTCAAGCTCCTTGATGTATTGCTCGTAGTCGTAGCGGATGTACTCGCCGAAAGCGGATTGCTCGTGGAAGCGGGGTTGTTTCCATTGTGAGCAATTTGCGTAACGGGTGTCGTCGGGGCACTCGTGCCATGCCTTCAAAATGGGCAGGGTTTGTTCGTTGTTCTGGACAATCATGAAGCCGGTGTTGGTGTAGGTGCGGTTGAAGCGGTCGGAGTTGTATTGGGGCTCTTTTGCGCTCCAAGGGTCTTTGGCCATGACGAACGAATGGTGCGGCTTTACGTCCCAGTGGTTGAGCATCCATTCGACAGGGACGTGCAGGAAGCGGAAAGCAGCATCGGCGTCGAGGAAGATGATGAACTTGTAGTCCTTGATGTGGTTTGCAAGTGCAGAGGGCTTGATCCAGGTGGCGTGTCGGTCTTCGAACTCGCGGGCTTGGACGAACTTGTAGTCATAGCCATGGACGAGCGCATACGTGTAGTGGTTGAAAATGCCACCAGAAACGTGGTTGATGTTGCGCCAATCGTATTCGCCTTTTTCGTATTCCGCAGTAGACTTGAGGGGGCGGGTCTCCAGATCCAGAATCAGGACGTCGCTGCCTAGGTTCTTCTTGTAGCGCGGGTTTGGTGGCAATGTAATGTGGCTGCCATTGGGTTCGCGAATGAAGGGCTCAGTTGGTGATACCTTCAAGTTCTGGTACAACAGCTTGATGACATCGCCAATGGTCGAGTCGGTCTGCGCGCTGGCTGCTGCTCTGTAGGGTCTGTTAGCTTCCGCCGGAAAAGCATAGATTAAGCTATGGTCCTTCCGTCCCAGCAACCACGAAATGACAGCACGTACAAGTTGGACTGGCCATGTGGGAAAGTCACCCGGGGTGGACTCTGCCAAGCCATGAAGGCGAAGATGAATACCAGGACACAGCCAGCGCTCACCGAGAGCGCGAGCAACGGGCTCCGACCTCCAGTTGACGGTAGCATCATCTTGGGCAGCGTAGATCCGGGAATGGGAGAAGATCCAAACGAGCGACGCGACGAAGTGCAGACGAAGATGTCTAGATGGCGATAGGGGGTGCAGCGTGCTGTGGCAGGGCGTCGGGGGATCAGCACATTTAAAAAGACGACCGACCCGCCAGCTCGTCAGCACCAGCCAAGACGCGCAGGAGGTAGCATGGGGCGCTGGGGGCCGGCGAGATTGCGCTTGGCAGGCCCTTCAGCCTTTTGCGGTGTCCCTGCAGCCAGACGCCCCCGAACCTGGATCCACTGGCGGTGCAAAGTGGCTTCTGGATCCCGTCTTGGAGCGAATCAGATGCCGTCCCGCTGCTGAGCCGTGAATCTTTCCAAAGCGTGTTGATGCACGGTTCCTGCCGCGCTGGTAAACGGCTGGCACGGCATCACAGTGCAGTTGGCGGTCATGTGCTGCTGTGGCTGACAGCGCATCGATATAGACAAAGTCGAGGCTGTTGATATTTTCCGAGGAAAAGCTATTGTTGTACGTGTTGGGCTTGAGGCCTTTTGCAGTGCGACCGGACGATCGAAGATGGTGGCAAAGGGTCCAAATTGGGGCGACGCCTACCAGAAACTGGTAATCTCCCCGCCTGACTACCCGCCCCACTCAACATCTCCATCCCGCCTCCTGACATCTTCGCTGTTCCCGATAAGCCAACGACTCCTTTCCAACATGCAGAACCACCCCGCATCCGACGCCGCTGTCTGTTGCTGTCTGAAACGAACCTGTGTCCACTGCAGAGAACGCTGTGTTTCCGAGGCGGTGCCACAATATGCGGCTGCTGACTGGGCGTTCCGCAGGCCCGTGGAGCAATTAAACGCTCGACGTAGTCAGCATCAATGCAATAAGCTCGGTGATTACTACACTACATGGGGCTACGATGGATAGCCTGCCGCTGCTGGTCCTGATCAGTGATCATCTCTGGGGGGCGACGTCTATTTCTTACGTTCTTGTCAGCCCTGCCGTGGGGCGTAGTCGACTCGTCAAACCTCGAGTATGCGACACAACTCCGACTCTCGGTAACTAGCTGCACGGGTGTTCTTAACTTAAAACTGACTTCTTGACGTTGCTTTATAGACCTGATGCGGCGTAGCCTGGTCCGCATTGTATGCATGCAAACGCCAACCGATACTCAGGTCTACAGGAACTGGATGCCTGATCTGCCACTCGGGTTTACCCACCCTAGCGCAAGGCTTGAATGGACGACAGAGAACTGACTTGCTTGTGGCATGGTTGTTTCAAGAGGGTTTGTTACAGTCTTTGTTTGTCTGGAAGTTTTCCTCGTCTCGCGCCCACTTTCTCGCGCGTTCTCTGTGAGATGAAGCAAACTTCTCCGTCCGCTCAGTATGTAGATTAGATTGCGCCACAACTTTCCCTACATACTCATTACATAATAAGCCATACAGCTAGGTCACAGACTCCATAACGCAATGACAGAAGCAGGCTACCACCAATTCGAAAGCTCACCAACCCCAAGCCAGTCTTCGACACCATCTGCGTCAACGAAGTCTGATCCTATCGATACCAGCAACCAACAACGTCAACATGAAGAGACCCAGGCTCCCCCTGCCGACCACAGACACGATTCCGAGGCACGAGCCGAAAGAATGCCGGCCCCAGAAGATGACACTTCGGGCAAATGTATCCCCTCACCACTACGCATGGCTATGTTTACCGCAGTGGCAGTTTGGGTTATACTCGCGTGCTACCAGGGCATTTTATACATTACTGGTGCTCAGTCCATCACCGCTGCGCTCGCCACGGTCTTGATCTGTACCGCGATCACTTCATTGCAACCCTCCTTCCAGGGCAGCTTCATCTACCTCATATCCTACGCCATCGGCTTCGTGGCGACAGTCATCGAGACAGCGGTCCATGAGGGTTATGCCCACGGTTCAGAGACTCACTCCAGAGGCTCCTCACGGCGGCATCGAATCAAAGGCTATCAGCAGAGAAGACGTCCGCCCCAGAATACTACGAGCCTGCTCCATGATGAACATACGTGAGCGGGTGCATGAAATACGACAAGGCAGCGACAATCTCAGCGAGCGGAGATTAGGAGGTATTGTAGTGTGGTTTAACAGTATATATAGTGCGTAGAAACGTATACTAGTCTCTGAACACGTGTGTGTATTCATCCAGCTTTTGCGACAACACTAGAGACAGGCATAGAACAACGTCTTTGACCGGTAAGTACCTGCTTGCTTGAGTCAAACGCCCACCGCATTTGACATTGTCGCGAACCAAAATCACTAACACCGGCTTTATTCCCCTACCCATTAATTCCCACCTATACTTCTAGTCACACCTGCCGTTCACATCCTACACCACTACCCGCCATGACATCCCCCGATGAACAGCACAGTCCCAGCCAAAACGACATTGGAATCACCACTTCCTGCATGACTACGCATGACTCTTCGGAAATGGCACAGGAGAAGACTACACGTCTTTTGAATCCTTGCGCACAAAGCTTCACACCACAGACACTACCCACCCCTGCTCCCGCCGATCAACCACGCGAGCGAGAATACCCCATACGACAGCCCTCTATTCCGCCTTCAGCTGAAGATCTGCGGGAAGGCAAAGCGGTCAACTTCGTGTGGCCGTGATCACGGTTAACAAGACTAGCGAGAATGGGCATCTTCCATCTTCAGACATGGTATAAATATATCGACACAGCAAAACCTACTCAATACCAAATTAAAGCCACTTATAATCCCCCTCTCCACTCGTCTGATTAGTAGTAGCACTAGCCATCTCCTCGTACTTCCTCCGCACCTCCGCCATCATCTTTTCCCGCTTCTTCTTCGCCCTATTCTTCTGTCTCACACTCCTCACTACTTCCACAATATCATCAACGTGGCCCTTTGCCGTCGTGTATAGGCTGAAGCAGTCTCCTCGGCTGCCACCACCACTGTGGAATTTGCCATTCCCCTGCTTGGGCGCTGTGGGTACGCCGTCGTTAACGTCAGTGGTCTTGCGTCTGCGGAGCGCAAGAAGCTCCTCGAAAGCCTCGTCTGGATCGCGCATCCGTTTGACGGTGATGTGGTGTGTGTTTCTGCGCTGTGGGAGGGTGGGTGAAAGACGTATATCCGAATCTTTCCGCAGCTCATGAGAGCTTTTTTGCACTGGGAAGGTTTGCGCACGCCGTTGCTTAGTGGGGGGCGGTAGTACGCTTTCTTCGAGAGGATGCGTGCTTTTGTTTGGGAGCAATGGCCCGCGCACCGTGATACTTCTGCCTCTTTTGCTGCTTTTACGGGGTATAGGCGGTGTGTTGTTCCGTGGCTGTGTTACCTTTGGCTGTGCTACTTTCGTTTCTTTGGGGAACAGACTCCATCTTATCATGGATGCGCGTGCTGGTCGGTCTTTACGACTGTGCTGGTGACTCATACGTTTCGTGTAACTGCGACGGTTGGAGAGGGGTTCTGGTGCAGTTCTGGGGTCCGCGAAAGTTGTTACTACTTGCAGTGAAGGACGACCGCCTAGCTCTAGCTTGTTGTACTTGTGCGCCGGCGGTAAGGCACTACCACGAGGAGAAGACTTGGACTTGCTGGGTATACGCAGGGGTGATGGCACGGCTGAAAACGTCGAGACCTCGTCTAGCAGTTTCTGACGCGGTAGCCGTGCTGCTGTACCGGTTCCAATGATCTCGCTGAACAGGTCGGCGACAGTATCACGCTTTGCAGCCTTCGTCTCGACTTCATTATCGGTGTTCCGCGGCCTAGCATCGCTGGAGACTACAGGACTGACTACATCAACCGCACTATCTTGGACACTCTCTCGGAGGGCTACAAGGCTTCGTGGGGGTAATGAAGTCGACCTTAAAGTTGGATGTATCCGGCAGGCCGGTGACCCTCCCTCCCGAGTTTCGCTTTCATCTACCGCCCTCATACTCTTTGGTGAGTATTCTTGCTTCAGCCTATCTTTATATACCGACGTCGGCTGGATGCAGTCGTTAAGCACCCACTCTTTCTCCAAAGCACTTAGAGTATTCCTTGCCCCGCTAATCGCGGATGAAGTGGACACCGTCTTATGCGGCTCGTCTTTTGGTGGAACTGGCGGCGCAAAAGGATTTCGCGCCGTAGGGCTTGTCGCTGTATTGCGCCTGACATCACGGTCGTGGAGTGGGATAGCAGCCGACTCGGATCTGCGGCGTGCTTGGGAAAGAAAGAAGTGAGCGAAAGGATTCTCCAGCTGCGGCATGGTTGCGTTGTGCTGAGAATCACGAGGCTCAGGAATGCGGGGTTTGCGAAGTCTGCATCGATCATGCCCCATGTCGCTGACCCCCGAGAGCTACGGTGGGGATGATGAAGGGAGAATACTAGTGCTGCGAGAAGCTGATTAGCAATGAGGATGTAAGTTCATAGGAGTCATTCCCGATGACTCAGGTATGATGACATCCAAAGGCCGAGGAGATATGGGATGAAAGTATGTTTTCGATTGGTAGATTGTATAAAGAGACGTGGTGGTTCCGTGCCAGTCTATCGTCGTGGGATGAGGTGGAAGTACGTTTGAACGCTGGTGGTAGCGACGCGCGGGTATCCGATACACGAAAAAGACAAAGAAAACGTCGTTAACAAATGCTAGCACTCGCTGGTGTGAGGCGCGATAAGTACGCTTCGGTGCTGAAGATCGCTGTATGCTGAATGCAGAAGAAAGGAAAGGTACCATAACCACAAACTGGACGCGATATTGCTCGCTGCAATCATGCCTCATCATGGTTGCCGTACAAGACGCACTGACATCATGGGAAGTCCACACATGCCATATCGCGAGACCTGGTAGTACCGTGTGAGCCTCATTTCAGATGACCAAGATTGTGCCGAGTCAACAGCAGCTCAGGCGCAAAGTTAGTCATGTATGACATGTCAGCATCATTCGCAACGTGATGAGCGGTCTCCTCCAGATTGCCAAATATCGCCTCCATATCGTCTTGCGATATATCTTCCATCTCTTCATCCTCATCCTCGTCTTCGCCAAGTTCGATGTCGTACTGATGCTGCGGCTTTTCCTGGTCTGCCGCCTGTGTTGAGGCCTCCCATTCTTCGATGTCGGCGCCAGAGAAGAACGATCCTTCGTTTGCGTGCTCCGTAGACTCTTCGTAGTCGGCAGTGGTATCTGAGTGGAGATCGAACGACGTCACGGAGAACATGTCTAGATCCTCGAATGCTGAACAGATAGAAGACGGAAGAGAAGCTGGAGTCTGGGGAGTGTACGCATCGTCCGAGCAAGAGTTGGCCATGACCTCGTCATCGACACCTAAGGTGGTCAGATGAGAGCCTGCATAAACGCCAGTGAGAGACCTTTCCAAGGTAGATGGGGCAAGAACAGCATTCCTGTCACCCACGAACTGGAGTCGAGTGCCGTATCGCACGTGAAGTTCTTGGGCGATACCGGGCGCAAGCCAAACATTGTGGAGATCGAGGCGCATAAGTTTTGCCACTCCGGAATCGAGCAGTCGTCGCAATGAAACCGTGATGGGATGGCTCGCGTGCAGTACGGAGTCATCGACGCGTGAATTGGTAAGCCTTGATAAGGAGGATTGAATGCGAATGTGCAGGTCCTCGAAGTCTGCGCCGATGGTAGCTAGTGATGCTATTGTATCAGCGATCTTGCGCTCTCTTCCCAAACCCGCTCTCCCAATCGTGGCATTCACGGCGAGTCGACCTAGGAATCGAAGATACCTATCGGGGATAGGAGGAAGCACGGTGGCGCTGTTGTTTGTAGGTGACGACGGGGTGTGGATGCTGATGCAGATGTTCTTGTAGAAGTAAGATGTGGACTCCAGATGCACCTGTTTTGAGACGGTGAAGAGTGCAAGAGCGTTGTGAGTTTGTTGAGTATAATGATCGCGGAGAACGTGATCGTATACCATGTTGCGCAACTCTGCAGGAAATTCGTCAAATCTCGTCATGGCGGCTACAAGGTGTTTGAGTATTTGTCGCGATCGATTGAAGTATGTGCGAGACAGATACGATCGGAAAGGTGAGCGGTGATGTCCTTTGACGATGTTCCTGTTTCAGGTGGCGCGATGTGGGGTGGGCTCAGCCAACGCACAACAGGGGTGAAAGCATGCGCTAATCGGGAGCACTAGGATTCACCAGGTACAATGCCGCGACAAGAGTGTAGTCGTTGAGGTACAGTGCTGTGTCGAGAAAGCAGGTCGGCTGTTGCTTTGCGTGTGGTGCAGTCGTACTTGACGCGACAGCGCGGAAGTCGAGCAGGCTTTATGTACGTGGTAGTAGTGCGATGGGGTTGGAATCAGCGAGGACGGTGCGGCAGGTCGAGCTGTTATGCGGCTTCCGAAGACTGATCTACGCTAGCGTGCACACGTGAATGGCTTGGGTCTGGCGGCTGCACAAAGCTATCAAGGGGCGAGTATACTCGCTAAGCCACATTTACCATGGAACGGGACTTTATATGTACTTCCCTACCACACTTGATGACTCCATGGTTCCACGCAAATCGACACAATCTCAAATCGCAGCTGCCTGATAGGATGTGCCGCATGCCGCTGGCCTGTTCTGGAACGAAGGCCGTCAGGGCTGAACGCTTTCTTTGCTACTACATATTGAATGCGGAAGGTATACGCTGCATGCTGCGCTGACCTGCAGCGGTATTTATCCTGCTGAAGCCTTCACGGTGTAGACTACTCGGATGCGACTTTTGATAGCGAAGCTTGTTTGAACTAGCAAACGTGACCAACTGAGGCAAAAGTTCTGCGTTCTTCCAGCATGTTGCAATGCGCCAATCGGGAAGCGGGATATAGCAGGCGTACGAAAGGAGCATAGCACAGCCGCCCTTTCTGCCTTAAGGCTTCCTCGCTCTTGTCTGCTACCTAAATGGACGGCCCAACAAGGTGCGCTCCGCACTGTGATTATCCAGCATGACTGGAAAGTCGCTATCGCCGAGTGTGTATTGAGGATGGTGGGGCCCGCCCTTTGACGACCTCAGCGCAGAAGCGGCATGCCTTCAGCATGATCCCGCGAAGCGATCTTGCGGCATTTACCAACAAAACCCGGCTTCCCACCACTCGAGCAAGATATTCCTATCCGAATGCGCTCCCATAAGCTAGGCGTACAAGACCGATGCGTCAGCGGCAAGCGAATAGGACTCGATCGTGCGTTCCCGGCGGTGGAGCTGGTAGCTAGCGGAACAGGAACAGGACAAGCGCGTGTCACCCGCTCAGGGTTTCATAACATACGCGCACACTGCCAGCGGGAGGGGAAGCAGGTGTCGTTGGCATATGGGCAGATCGCGATTGGAAACAAGGAGGATGAAGGCAACCATGGCACGCGTCGTGAGGTGACGTTTCGCGGTGCCCGCGTCAGGACGTTCCGGCGCTAGCTTATCGATAAACGTCCACGTGACGTCTCTTTGTTCACGCGTGTCTCAACACGCACCTGCTGATACGTCGTCCTTCAGCATCACGATTGCCTCGTGTGACTCGAAAGCGGGCCGACGCCTGATCTAGCCGATTACTACGTCCCGCACACCATCTCCGATGTGACTCACGCGCTTACTTCCCTGACAGTTCATTCTGCTGGTGGGCATGTTCAGCAACACGACGTCATGATCATGAGTCGTCAGTGCCACGCCGCAATCAGACAGACGATATTGCAGAGTTTAAGCTATTTTGCAAGTGCTGTAGAGTAGAAAGCTGTTATCGGCTGCGGAGGGTTACACAAGAGCAGCCCATGATATACTTACGCCTGCATCGGAGAGCCCGAAGGAGACGGTACAAGGATCTGATGAGGGCCATTGACTCCCAAAGTCTATTGTGAGCTATAGGCAATAGCATCTCCTATCATTCCTCATTGGAACCCAGATCGTGGCCCCTGACACCAGTGTCACTACGCTTGGCACGGCTAACACAGCCGACACCGCTGGCCCACATCCTATCTTATACTGCTATGTCTGCGCATTCTGGGTCGAGCAATGTCCTGATGTAAGTGGTCCGCAATTCGGATTCCCCTGATGTATTTTCTAATCAACACTAGACACAAGCTACCTCCGATATCTGCAGCTGCTTGACAGCTTATTACGGCGACGGTAAATGTTGTACCGCAGAATGTGGATTCAGTTGCTAGTGAGGTCAAAGTAAGGAGGCTGTTGCCGACTCATAGATTTCACATTAGCGGCTTCCTCATATCATGGAGACCTTGGTTAATTGAGTATTACGCATGACGCGTGTTGAATCTAGAGAATAAACTTTTTCAAGAGATTGGCAAGCTTCTCCGGCTGCTCAAGTGCCAAACTATGCCCACATTCCTCAAAGACCTCCCAGATATGCACCTTCTCCGCCGCAGACTCCATCTGCTCCTTGACTAGCGGTCCAAAGAATCTAAGCCTCGTTAGCTTCAAGCTCCCATCAGCACATTTCTCGTCATCAAACTTACTCCGGCGCCCCAACAGTCATAATACTACACCTCAACTTCCCCCCAGTCAGAATCTCCTCCTCAACATCCACATTGACCCAATGCGCCCTATAACTCTCGAGCACACCCCTCAACCCGCCCGGCGCCTTCAAACACCTCACCCACTCATTCACAGCAACCTGATCTAGCGCACTAGGATTATAGCACTCAGCCTTCATGAAATGCGTCCAAAACTCTTCTTCCTTCCCCTGGATCAACATCTCAGGCACGTGTGGCAGCCAGAAGAAGGGAATATGCCAATTCCACACACCGGCCTGGTTATACTGTGCTGCGATGTTTTTGCGTGTGAAGAACGTTTGCTTGGTGAGCGCGTAGGAAAGTAGCATCTCGCAGAAGGAGAGGTGGGTCACGCGTTCGGGATGCAGCCCTGCGAGGCAGAAGGCATATGTTGCGCCGCGGTCTTCGCCATGGACGGCAAATTTCTCGTACCCGAGTTGGGTCATGAGTTCCGCCATGTCTTTGGCGTTTGTGCGACCATCGTAGCCTTCGCTTGCGGGGGGCTTGTCTGTTGCGCCGAAACCGCGGAGGTCGGGGGCGATGATGGTGAACTTTTTGGTTAGAAGGGGGGCGATGCGGTACCAGTAGTAATGTGTTTTGGGCGTGCCGTGGAGAAGGAGTAAGGGTGGACCGGCTCCGGATTTGATGTAGTGGAGGCGGATGCCGTTCACCCGTGCCATGTGGTGGTGGACGGGCTTGCCATCGTGATCATGTATTTCAGGCATTATGAAAAGGTGGTATATATTTTGGGGATGATCCTATTGGGCCTGGTAGTGTTGTGATACGTGGGACTGTTTGAGCATCATGGCGGTGGTCCTACCCCACATCCCAACGTCATGGTTCACCGATGTGTGAGCGGAGCGATTTCCGCACTAAGAAAAGCAATCTCGTCGGCATCACCTCCGATAGGGTCATAACATACTCGAAGATAATGGAGAGACGTCCTGGAGGTAAACAACAGTTATATACGACAACGACAACGATATCTCACAAGAGGATTAATGATGGTGGCCAAGTTGCATCGATTGTAAAGGTCGCGCCTCGCTCGTACAGCCTGAATAAATATGTCATAGGTTCTATCTTTTCCTTTCCAACTCTTCCCATACTCATGAGTCCGGAATAGCAGCGATAGCCTCAACCTCAATCAAGAAGTTACCCGGAAGCTTGCCAACCTCAACAGCAGTGCGCGCAGGCTTCGGTGTGGGCAGCATAGCAGCATAGACCTCGTTCATCGCGCTGTAATCTGACATGTTGGCAAGGAAGACGGTGGTCTTCATAACGTAGTCCCATGATGTACCGGCTTCTTCGAGAATGACCGCAATGTTCTTGATGACTTGAGCCTAGGTTTAGTTAGTACGAATCCATGATGAAATTGGACTTGGCTCATGTACCGTTTGAGCTTCGATGCCGCCTGCTACAATCGATCCATTGAACGAAGGGACGGTTCCTGAGGTGTAGACTATGCCCTTCGATGTCCATGCGCCGCTCGCTTGACGTGAATCAGTATATAGTCATCGAACATCATCCAAGTGGCATACATAGAATGGGCCCTTGGGTTCCAAGGTAGGTCACAACTGGTTGCTCAGCGAGCTTTGGTGTTGGCTTGGCAACTACAGCACCAGTAACAGCGAGGAAGGTGGTGACGATGGAGGTGAAAGAGACCATAATGAATGAGTTATAGCGATTGAGTTCTGCAAGGTTATGGACGTAGAGGCAACGAGTACGATGGGATGAATATTCTGATCTTTGGCCCGTATACGGTCTTATAGGATTTGACAATACTTGCGGATCATCATTCCCCGACTCTTTCGTGTTCGGTCAAGTCTGACCGCCCGCGTTGTACCGAATGCCATGGCTTCCAAGAGCTGCGAGTGTCCATGTACCAGGTAAAGCTCGTTGCCAATGTCACTCCGACATGCAGCCAGTATTGTTGGATTCCAGCCACAGCTGAAGATCCGCGATACAGTCAGACCCGTTTGTAATGGTTAACGGTCCGCCGCCGGCTCCAAGGTACCGGTATGTCCACCAGGAACCGTACTACCTGCACTACACTCAGGTCGGCAGGGCCTCGCGCAACCGTTTCGGCGCCATCGTGGGGTTCAAAATCGCGTAGATATCCAGAATGCACTAGAAAAGGAAGGAGGATAGCACTTGTGGCGAGGTGGAGCAGAGCTCAGTTAAGCTATCGCGAGAAGGGCCGTCGAAGATGTAGTTCGCCTGGGCGCCGAGACATCTCTGCATTTGTATCCTGCGTTTAACGCGCATTGTGAAGCGCGCATTCGTCCTGACGTAACGCGAGATAGCGGTTGCAGGGTGTTGAGATAAGAATCGGGTTTTAGGCCAGCCGTTGCGCGTTATCGCAATCGTGGCTCCACCTGGGGTATCCATGGCTTGCCGCTCATTTGCCGAGAGGATCTAGACCCCTGTCTGAACTTCCCTCCGTGAAGGACAAGCCTTTCCTTGCGGAGTTTTGACATTGTTCCCGGACGAAGTTCTATGCCACGTTTTTGGCATATCTTGTATCCGACTCATGTTTGTAGCCTAGCCCCACATGAGGGCTTCGACGCTTTGTTGGGTCGCACTGAGGGAACACGCAGATCATCGTATGCACCTCGCTTCTGTGACACCTTCGTGATTACAGAGTCAATATGGTGCGTGGTCTTCATCTTGAGGGTCTTTTTTGTGAGGGTGGTACTCTTTTCCCTTGCTCGAGAGACTTGACGGCCCATGGCGTCCCTGGGGTCGACGGGGACCACATTGGATGGTTCGAGGTAGCATCGTGAAGTTGCATACGCAGCGCTGATATCGGAGCCGAGATTGCTCGGAATGACGGTCATGGCTAAGCCGAGACTCCTGTCTTATCCGATGTGGGTTATCTTTCCGCTGGTAGGAACCTCAGTCCACAATGCCATCTCTTCCGTAAGCTGAATCTCCACACTATCACCCGTACTGCGTAGCGCTACTGCACCTCGCTTCGAGGGTATACTGCGGGTCGACTGTAACAGGCATTTGGGCGTGTCGCGTACCCCATCTATCTTACGAAAAGTCTTGTAGAAGTCGCGCATGGCGACGCCTTGTAGTCCTTATCGCGGCCGAATGCATAGAATTTTGGTCAGGCCAACGGCAAACGGTCCGTCGCAACGACAACTTCCGATGATCGTAGCCACGCCCTACGACGATAAGGCTTGGTGACCAACGGGAATGCGAAAGAAGGTGTAAGCCAGTGTGGTACTGCCCGCTGTGTTGTTCCATGTAGATCTGTATTTGAACAGGGCATCTTTCCTTCTTTTCACCTTCCTCATCACATCCATCTCTTCTTCACACCATAATGAAGGGTCTTTTCACAGCCTCTTCGGCTGCCCTATCTTTGGCTGGTGGTGCCATTGCCAGCCCAGTTGCCTCTCGATCAGACGTCCTCTTCTTCAAGCCTCTAACTGTCACATCCAACTCGGTACACAACGTACATGTCGGCTACGGAGACGATGATTTCGAGGGCGAGATCCGTCTGGTATATGGAGAGTGCGGCATGAAGAGCCACGCCGATGGTCACCACGATGTGGCATCCCACTACATCAAGCGATCAAGTCGTCCCGAGAGGTTCGTCTGGATCGTACCAGATGATGCTGTCCACGGCGGATGCCTTCATGCCTACTCAGGGTCTAACTTGATCGGCCGCTCAGCGCCCATCTCGATTCAACATCCACCAAGGAAGCGAGAAGAGATCTCCGACGTCGCTGATGCCATGGGTCCTTGGTTCGATGGTGTGGCCTACATGGAGGCGAAGCAAAACAACGCATCGTACGCAGCAGTCGAAAAGAGCAAGAAGATTGCCATCGTTGGAGGAGGTATGTCGGGATTGATGACCAGTCTTCTCCTCGACTCCGTAGGCATCCACGACTGGCACATCCATGAGTCCTCGCAGCGTATCGGCGGCCGTATCCGGACAAAGTACCTTGCAGGCAGCACGCCAGAGCAGTATCAGTACCAGGAGATGGGGCCTATGCGATTCCCAGTCTCGATCACCTACCCAGACCAAAACGAAACACTGGAAATCAATGACCACAAGATGGTTTTCCAGCTCGGAGACGTCCTCAACCAGATGAACGGGGGCAATACCAGCGATCTTGCCGTCAACTTCATTAAGTGGATCCAATCAAGCCCAAACCTGCCGGGTAATTCGAATGGGTACCGTCTGCCAAATGGCCGTATCCCTAGTGCAACGCAGATCAAGAGCAACGCGACAGCCTACACATTGCCAGCAGCTGAGGGCCCAGATGAGGAGGCCGTGGAGCACGCGGAGGAGGCATACGAAGACTTCGTTGGATACACACCTGAGGTCGAGCGGGAAATCGCAACCAATGTTTTCAAAGCCCATAAGAATGCCGTCGACAAGGGTCTCTTCCATTGGTCTGAGGCTGCGTACATCAAGTACGCGCTGAACGCGAGCGATGATGTTGTCGACTACATCACCGGCAATGCTGATGCTCCAATCTGGGAGTACGACACCGTGTACTTCAAAGCCACGGACTGGCGAACCATCGACAAGGGTCTGGAGTCGCTGCCTCGTGCATTCTACCCCCACGTTCAGGATCGTCTGACTCTGGGACGCAAGGTGACCGGTCTCAAGCACGACGAGAGCACCGGAAAGATCGCTGTCCAATGGCGCCAAGATCCCTTCGCCATGGAGCCGGAGAGTGAGGAATACGACTACGCAGTCGTCGCAGTGCCCTTCTCCAAGGTCAGGCTCTGGGATCTCCCCCAGTACTCCTCGCTTCTGTCGCGCGCCATCAGCGAGATGAACTACCAGCAGTCCTGCAAAGTCTCTCTGCATTATAAGACTCGATTCTGGGAACACCTCCCAGAGCCCATCATCGGTGGCTGCGGCTCAGTCGATATCGCAGGTATCGGCAGCGTTTGCTACCCCGCGTACAAGGTCAACTCAACTGGGCCCGGTGTCATCCTTGGATCGTACATCTCTGGTACCTTAGCGCGCTCGGTGGGTGCGCTCAGCGAAGCCGACCACGTAGCAATGGTCCAGCGGGCGATGGTGGAGATTCATGGCGATGTGGCTTCCGAGCAATGGACTGGTGCATACGAGCGCCAGTGCTGGGAAACCGATGAGCACCAAGCCGGTGCTTGGGCCTCCCCATTCGTTGGCCAGCAAGACCTGTTCCTACCCGCCTACTACAAGACCGAGTTCCAATCCATCTTCATCGGTGAGCACACAAGCTACACACACGCTTGGATCTTCTCAGCACTCGACTCCGCTGTGCGCGGTACTTCGCAATTGCTGTTGGACATGGGTCTCGTTGACGAGGCGAAGCAGATCGTGGATACCTGGATGGGAAGGTGGATCTCCATCTAGATGGGCTAATAGAAGAAAGTAAAAGCTAGATAAACAGCATAACAATGAATAATGTCTGATCAAATGCTATAATGCACTTCGATGATGGTGAAGTAAGGTCGCGAGAATTATTGAAAGACGCGTGGTGCAGAAACGATGGGGTGCGACTCCCCTGCGATGGCGTCATCGCCCCTGACAGTTTGAAACCGAGGCTTTCACATGCACGTCTCCAGCCACCCATATATACATCTTCGCAGAGCTTTATTCGATCGACGAGGTGACAACAATCGCGCCCGGAGTCGTCCTGCATCGGCGGAGGATGCGATCGTCACGTTGAAAACCACTTCGTCCATGTCGGTTGCCAATAACAGACCACAGTGCCGATCATGGAAGATTCCTTATCGATGTGTGGTTCACGTGATCATGCGTCGAATGATCCCCAAACACGCTCACCAGCAGCTAGGCAACACCACACGCGACAATCGAAGCCGCGACCCTCACTATCTGAAGTCTTCATTGCTCATCGTACTACGCGTCCAGACCAAGCAACCTCAAAGACGTTGCCATCTTGTTCGAGGAGCAAACTACCTAGGTAAACAGGTGCGCTGCCGTCGATATAAGTACCTAGGTATAGAAGAAAGAGGCTCATGAAACCATCAGGTGTTGTAGCCTTCTAAGATGTAAACGCTCACTTTTCTTCTGGTACAGGGTTTCGCTACCACCAGAAACCCGATCGATGAGCCACCTCGTCATTTCTGAGGTTGTGCCTAACTCTGACAGCAGTCTGCATAACAATCACGAACTTCACGTTGCGTGTGCCCCGACACCCTCGCGTACTCCTCATGCTCATCAAACTATTTGCACTATGGCGACGTCCCACGTAAAGAATCCGGTACGGTCGGCGAGAGCGCTCAAGCGATTTCGTGGTATGCTTGACGAGTCAGATCATGTGTGGGATGTACGTGTTCTTTGCTGATGGCCCAAAGGAATTGGGACGATACAGAACCTCATACGAAAAGGACCAATATCACAGTCAACCAGGAAGTACGCCGTTCTGTCTGTGAAGGACTTCTCGAAAAGATCACAGCGCAAGAAATTCGAGACCAGATATACGGATACCTTCTGGAACCGGGTACTGTAACGCTGCGTGAGCCCTTGGATAGCCTGAAATACGTGTGGCGATGACCATAGATGTGTGGGTAACCGCCCTCAAGCCTGTACATCTTCGCGAAGCCGCGACCGTTGGAGCTTCGATTTGCTTCGCAAGCAGTCTGACTTACCGGAAATCTGGCTTTGCGAGAATGTCGGTCACACGTTCTCAGTCGAACTAGTCGAACATTGGTACAGAGTCAATACCTTTGCCATCGAGCATCCCGATGACTTGTGCCGCATCGCGAACTTCGCTATCCAAGATCGTTGGCAGCTGGGTATCGTACCACGCGACCATATCAAGAATCTAATTTTCCCCAATCACATGGCGTTCGTTGCTCGAGATGACCATGGTGGGTCTCCATCACAATTGCCGCTGCTACGCAAGGGACTGGAACAGTTCCTACAGTTCAATCCTAGTGCCAAGATCAATTCCAAGATTTTGACCAGCGCAGCACCTAGGACCAAGTTCAGGACGAGCGCTTTTGCACCGCACAAAATCGGCTCACGGGCAACAGACAAAGACAAAGTCTTGACGCGTGACATGGCCGAGAAATTGGAGTTGTGTAAGGATCCTTGAGAGCGCACTTTTCGATACATTCAGGAGACTATGTGCTGCTGGGCTTCGGTTGATGTTTACTGTGGATGATGGTTTGGAGATTACCGCTAACAATGAGGAGGATATCACCTATGAGTTTTGGGTGGAGAAGATACTGGCGTATCAACAGGCGACGAAATAGCGACACTGCAACTCCAATTGGGGAATATAAAGGTGCAAATCTGCACCCAAGAAACGTGATAATCACGCCTGAAGCGCCTTAGGGACTTTTGCTTCTCTCTGTCGCACCCTTTCATCACCTTATTATCTCCAACACAAGCTATTACCTTGCCCTTCTTCCTCTTTCATCACCCTGTCGTCTCCGATGCAGACTCATCAGACTCATCATTGGCCTCTGGTTCACGGCGGGCGCGTTGCGCAGTCATAGCCTGGCGAATTAAGCGAGTGGCCACTACCACACCGTGGGACTTACTTTGTAATGATCGTCAATTTTCTCCGCCCAACGCTCCTCCGTCAGATCCTCGCTTACAACCTTGAACTTCAAGTGGTAGCCCAGCTTCACGGTGACACGATATTCGGCAGCAACCAACTTCTGAATGCTTGGGAAAAGAAGTGCAAGATCCGGAAGCGGGATTGCTGCGCTGGGGTCTGCCACCGCCACTACCACTGCCCTTGTCTGCATAGCCTGGAAGCTCAACAGAATGTTGACACGAGTCTTGAGAGTATGAAGCTCGGCTAAGTCTTCGGCTAGTGTGATGCAATCGCCTGACCAGTTGACCGGGGTGAACAGCTCGATACTCCGGATCAGCTTCTGCGTGTCAAGGCCAAAGCCATGGAAGTCGGTTTCAAGAAATAGACTGACTTGATGGGGCTCAATGAAGCGAAACGTGGAGATCCTGTACCACGCGCTAGCTAGCTCCAGCATCGTATGCCTGGGTATCGCCCTCGCTTCGAGTAAGTGACCGTAGCCTCTTGACGTGAGTGTCTTCTGGAAGTGCTTGGAGCGGCTTGCCCTCGTGTGGCCGGGAATGGCGAATGCTGGCGATGCAGACTCGAACAGGTCATAAGTATTGATACTGATCGCCCTTTGATCACCGATTATATAACCGTATACCTCATCACGAAGTTCTTGGGCAAGCTTAGCATTTAGTAAATCCAAAACGATTCGATGACGGTATGTTATGAAGTCCTTCAAGTACTGCTGGAGAACTCTCTCGAGCTGGTTTACTTTTGCTGTGATCTTCGCTAGCTTTTGCTTGAGATTCTGGAATCGTTGTCGGGTTTTTGACCTCAGATTACCGCGCTTTTGATGGGGCCTTGTGCGGTTGAGCTTGGCTCGGTCAGGTACTTCGATGTGCTTCAGGATCTGGATGTGCCTGAGGGTACTGAGATTATTAGCAGCTGCTAGGTTCGTAGACTCCAGACGGAACTTACTGGGAGACGTAATCATGGTCGAGAGTGAATTCTATAGCGGACGGAATGCACACCTCCATGATGACTGGACAAAGAGTAGATCAAGAAATTGGTTGACGAAAGGTCGCGATGTGTAGTTGAGGCTGTAGGAACAGAGTGGTGGGTTCGTTCATCAACGTAGCGTCGCGATCAGTCATCCAAAGAGAATGTGAAGGGGAGGAACACACGGGCCAGTAACTGGACCTACACTACAGCAATCGACCTAGAGAGTCACAGAGTTAGATGTCAAGACCAGGTCCAGGCTCTCACAATGTCTGTTACGATTCACTTTTCGCTCAACGCTAGCCGACGACCAGCTCTTCCTCGAACATTGGACCCCACTATCGGAGATCCTCGAAAACGAAAGCAACATGTCTCAATTAGCCGAGTCGGATCGTGGGAGCGTTTACAAGTAAGTTATCGAAAAGGCGATACAGAGGTACATCGTAACGTGAAAACTAGCGCAATCCGGAAGTTCGAACTCATATACCATGTTTTGGTAAAGGATATCAAACTATTTGCGGAACCTCATTTCACAAGGTTATTGAATACGCAGTCACTGGCCGAAGACCTGGCCTACGACGAGACCGAAGCCTACGCACAGAAATGTTGCCCAGAGTTGTGCGCTGCCATGTCGAAGTCGAGGTGTGCGAGAAAGAAGACGAAGACAACGTCACTCCACTCCAGCAATGTCCTTTCAAGCTCGCGCCTGGCGCATCGGTCATCTTCACCTGCGAACAGAGTTCATTGTTGGTAAAGGTGAGCAATTGTGTGACGGGGAATACACCATGTTCCTCCTCTCAGAACGCGTAAGCGAGCTATTTCCTCTGATGCAGCAGCTGATTGAGGCTGCCTATGAGTTGTACGGGGCGCTGGATGGGTATGAAGACTTCCGCGTCACTCCCGCCACTCTGGACCGAGAGATTTGGAAGCACACGCTGATGGAGTATTGCGAAGGCCGCGATTGTGGGTAGATCGTGCTGGTCCAAGATAGCTTCGCTGACCAATAACAGGGTTGTGACCGACACGTGACTGCAGGTGGTCATCATGCGACTTGGGAGTAGACATCCCTCATAGCACGGAGGATGCATTGAATTTACTGGATGTGAGTGGGTGAGCACGATCGAACTGGCGTATGCTATATGTAGCGTGCAATCAACTACTTGTGCTCATTATTTCGACGGTGTACGCGTACATATGCACCTTCCTCATACAAGTGCCGTCGTTTGAAGAAGGTAGTCGCGGTGACTACCTCCCCGCCTCTGCATCGTGGCATCCATTCGCGCATGCCGTATGTTCTAGGTTCAGCGACGAAGGTGGAGGTGAAGTCGTCGCGTTGTCGCACGGTGGTTGGGTGGTGTCGGCGTCTAGGGCGCGAGGGGTCGCCAATCTCTCCGAACATAGGACCTGTTGACTCAGAAGATATATTGGGAAGCTGCTCACCAACATCTACAACCACACACTTTGAATCATCGATTCAAGCAAAAGATGGACACAAAAATCTTTCAATGGGAGCGCACTGTCGCTTCGGGCATCTACCTCATATCTTCCGACCGGTCGCTCCTTCCGTACACCTTCGTTCAGGAAGCCTACGGCACAGAGGCAATGTTTTGGGCGAAACCGCTCTCTTTCACGGACCTGTCGACCATGCTTGACAACAGTCTCACTCTCGGTGTATACTCTGTTTCGGACGGCACCAAGAAGCCCATTGGCATGGCGCGCATGGTTACCGACTACACGACGCTCGCCTACCTCACAGACGTCTACGTCGTCCCCGAACACCAAGGCCAAGGAATTGGCAAATGGCTCATCGCCTGCTGTCGCGAGATCTGCGTCGGAATGGAGAATCTCCGGTTCATGGTCCTATTGACCGGCAGCGAGCAAGCGCAAGCGCTCTACAGGAGGGAGTTGGGAATGGCAAAGCTTGACGGGGTGGAGGAGGGGCTGGTTTGTATGGGGGCTCGGCGGGCAAAACTCACCGAAGCAGCGGGCGCTCCGCCCTCAGCATAGCGGGACCTACCGGTTTGCCGTGTACGCACGTATGCAGTTCCCTGCCTTAAACATGGACGACTATTCCTCGCGATCAGACGCTACAGTGACAGAAACGTGGTTTGATGGTTGGTCTCGACTGATGACAACGGCTATCTTTGCTTCCGGCCTAGTCGCGGGTCCATGCTGCATGCATGTCATCTCTAGCGTAGATATCGCCATCCATTTTTCTTTATCACCATAGACTACTGGTCTGGCTCGCGCCCTCGGCCTTCTGGTATGTTCCGAGTAAGCGGACGAGGCCTGAAGCCTGTTTGGTGCCGGCATGCGACGAATTGTCATCATGGAGGGGCAATCAGGCCTCTGTTGGAACTCCGTCTGGTGGTTGTGTGTCGCGTCGCGCTGTTACATCGAGATTCGATAAGTGTATTACGCCTACTAAACTGGGATCCGCCTCCGATGCTGCCCGAGGAAGACTAATCTAGATCGCGCATGTGTAGACCTGTCGCATAGATCGCCAGGGACTTGTTGATATACAGGAGCAGTCGACCCTGCGTTCACGTCACGTTCGCCGATCTCTCACAATTCACACCAACATGACCGCGACATTTGATACCTCCCCACTATCACGCACATCGTCCCCGCCAGCATCACTGAAGAGAAAACGAGCGGGTTCTGATACACAACCGCTTACCCCGCCTCTGGCCGCAAGCGACTCTGAAGGATCGCGTCTGCTCTCGCGCGCCGTCAACGTCCTCTCAACCGCTGCCACTGCGCTCTCGCAGGTAACTTTCCTGTACGAGTCCGACCATGTGGCGCGCGATGGCCTCCTACAGGCCGTCGAAGCCATAACAAAAATCAATCAGACAGGCGGCAAGCTCATAATATGCGGAGTGGGCAAAAGCGGACTGGTGGGGCGCAAGATGGTCGCAACGATGAAGAGCTTGGGTATAGCGAGCTCCTTCATGCACGCTGCTGAGGCATTGCATGGGGATCTCGGAGACATCAGGAAGGTGAGTTTCATCTCAAACCCCAAACGACGAGGACTGTACTGACAAGAAGTAGAACGACGCAATCATGTTCATATCCTACTCCGGCAAGACAGCAGAGCTCATGGCCCTCCTCGAACACATACCCTCCCACACACCCATCCTCGCCATCACATCGCATACGAAACCCTCAGATTGTCCGCTCCTCGACGACCGGCCAAACTCCATACTGCTGCCTGCGCCCATACATGAGTTGGAGGAAGTGTCGTTTGGCGTCTGCGCGCCGACTACCAGCACCACTGTCACCATTGCGGTGGGAGACATGCTGGCGTTGACGGTCGCGGAGGCACTACATCAAGATGAGACGAAGGCTGTGTTTAGGACGAACCACCCTGGCGGTGCGATCGGAGCGAAGTCGAGACGGATAGAGAAGGAGGATGATACCCAGGTGGAAGCGAAGGAGTGCGATGGGCTGGTTACGCCGCCGGCTACCTGACCGTGTTCAGGAAGATACCATAGGTGCAATAGGTGAGAAATTCGGAGACGTGTAGATCGTGTAGATCATGTACATGCGCAAGGAACGGCCGTAACAAACCAGAGAGACTTTTCCTCATGTCTTTCAGTCGAGAAATTGTCATCGCTGACTGACCCTGGTGATGTTCCACGGCACTTTGCAGGCAGAACAGTACAGTGATGTTGCGACCCCACACAAGCTAGTGGGTGGTGCCTTCCCGTTCCATCTGCAGCCCTCTGTCCATTCAACCTACCTTGAGTATGCGCCACCATACAGGGTTTTCTGACATAGTCTCCATTACCGTGCATAGATTGGACACCAGCGCTGATCGACGCGCACACTTGGCATAGGTATCTCGTAGAAAGCCTCCATTACCGCGCATGGATTGGATAACAGCGCCCATCGACGCGCTCACCTTAGATGACTGCATGACTGCGGCACAGCCTCACCATGGTGGTACAATGAGGGGTTGCCTGCCGCAACTTTCATCTTCCATCTCAAGCATCTTTGGGTTCCTTCACGCACCACAAGGAAATCGATATCTCGAACACGACCCATCATGGAAACACTAGCAGCCATTGGCTTAATCGCCAATATTATTCAGTTTGTCGACCTCGGCGCAAAGCTCATCGGCTCTGCGAAGGAGATGCGCGACTCTGCTAGCGGCATGACGATGCAGAACAAAAGTCTAGAAGAAACTACCACTGAGATGCGCTATCTGGCTGTGAGGCTGGACCCACCTGCCACGGAGGCGAAGACTGACGATGAACGAGCACTCCGTCGGTTGGCTCAGGAGTGTCGTGAGCTATCGGACCAGATACTTCGTCTTCTGAGTGGAATTGCCCCTACCAAGCCAAATTCATGGCGTCAAATCTGGGGATCTACGATGAAGAACTTCAAGCACAGGGACGAGAAAAGAGAACTCGAGAGGAAGTTAGCCAACTGTCGTGGTCAGCTACATTTTCATTACAGCAAGTTGACCAGGTTAGTTAATGTCATCGCTCTTGGGCACTTTTCTGATATGTGGGTAGTTCGGAAGTACAAGCGCAGCTCCAGACTCTCGGAGATCTTGCGCGATCGAATCAAGCCATTTTGCAAACGCTACCGCAACATATCGAGCAATTTCATCAAGGTACATGTGTTGATTCGTTGGGTGTTGAAGCACAGGATCAATTGAAAGCGCTACTTGGATTGACAAAAGTAGTCAGAGAAGCGGTCATCGACTACAGTTTTCTCGAGAGTCTTGCATTTGAAGGAATGCAGGCTAGAGTTGATGTCATTGAGAAAGAGCACAGAAAAACCTTCCGATGGATTGTAGAGCAAGATGTAGAAGTCGACGATGCCACGTTGAAAACCAACGCTCGCGAACTGTACGTTTCATGGCTACACCATGATTGCGGAATCTTCCATATCGCGGGAAAGTTGGGCTCTGGCAAATCCACACTCATGAAGTTCTTGTACAAGCATCCCGAAACACGCACGCAGCTGTTACTGTGGGCAGGTTCGTTATCCCTATCTGACGTGTGGCATGCTCATTTACAGTCACAGGTCAAACGAAACTGGTGGTGGCCAGCCACTTCTTCTGGAAACCCGCGAAAATGCCGTTACAAAAGTCGCTCGATGGATTGAAGAGATCACTACTCTATCAAATTCTGGAATCACATCGGGAACTGACCAAGAAAGCATTCCCGGAAGGTTGGGAATGCAGGATGAAATCACAACACTGCCCGGTAGGGCTAAAACGAAGACTCTCCCCGGGTGAAATTCACGATGGCTTCATGGCCCTCCTAAAAGACGAGACCATCCAGCGATCATACCGATTCTGCTTCTTCATCGATGCTTTGGATGAATTCGAAGATTCCCGCCAACACGATCACAGATCATTGGTCGATGCGCTGCGTAATTGGACCCGGATTTCTTCAAGAACCATCAAGCTATGTGTCTCTAGCCGAGAAGAAAATGTGTTCGAAAACGCATTTTCTGGTGATTCAAGGATACGATTACAAGATCTAACAAGACACGATATGGAGCGCTTTGCCCGTTCTAAGCTCGAATCTATACACGATGATGCGCTTCGGGAGCGCCTCGTGCTTGAGATCGTCAACAGATCGGATGGTATCTTCCTGTGGGTTGTCTTGGTCATCAAGCAGCTTCGTCAAGCTTTGGAAGACGGACGCGACACATCGTCTTTCGAGCAGGAGTTGGGAGCACTACCTACTGAGTTGGAGGAACTGTTCAAGCATCTGCTCGACTCTATACCAAAATCGTATCTGAGAAGAGCGTATCAAATCTTTGTCATGACTCACAAGCACGAAAGCTTGGGGACCAAGCTGTCTACACTGTCCTGTCTGTATCTGGACGCTTATGAAGTGGATACCGAGTTTGCAATGAAAGATACATTCCGTTTTCCTAAGCCAGATACCAATAATCTCCACGATCTGTACATCTGGTACAATACACAACTCGACAGAGCTCGGAGGCTGATACAAGGCTATTGTAAGGGACTAGTGGAAGTTAGACCCGACATTTTGCCCACGCAATCGCCTGCAAGGTCAAGACATGTCGTTTTCGTACATCGGACCATTGTGGAATTCCTTGAATACTCAAGTATCCTCCAAGTCATGAAACACCCGTTGAGCGATTTCGATACGATTGGGGCGATTTCACAGTTACATCTGGCTGAGTACCAATCTTTACCTGCCGGTCTTATCGATCTAAACCATTGGTGCCAGATTTACAGGGGGATACTCCACATGAGGTTTCATGGTGGCATGGACAGGTCGCAATACCATTTCTTGGAGCGGCTAGAGTGTGTCATCTCGAGAAAATTCCCGGGTTGGCTGGAAACCGAACAAAGTCAGTACTACTTGCCCATCTACAATGTTGGTCCCGACCCCTTCACCATCGCGACTACCTTACCCAGGAACTTGCACTCACCAGGGAAGACTGAACTTACCCTTAGAGCTCCCCTCTGCATATCGGCATGGCTAGGCAACACGTCATATGTCCACTGGAGGTTAGTTGGACCTTACAGTAGAAGGATACCCAGTCAATCCATCGGCATTGTTCTCCACTGTTTAAGGTACCGGTTACAGGAGCTTGAGGATGCTCAAGATCTTGAGTCAACTGTGTCTATATTCGAAGAGCTCTTGGATGACTGCACATCCCCAGAAACGAAATTCCTGTGGCCTAGACTCATCTTAGATTGTGTCAAGAACAAACGTGACGGCATTCCAGCTCGCTCTCGTATTACAGGCCAGCTCATCGCGTTGTTCTTGAGAAAGGGCGCAATGGTAAAGCTCTATACGACTGAGATGGAACTTTACCCGTGCGGTAAGAAGAGCATGTCCGATCCCAGGGATGTTCAGATCTGGTTTAGAGGAACGCCGTTGTTTAAGGAGGTCGAAGTATATGAAACCCCTCTTCGGTTACTCACCTTTCTGAGGCTTTCCAAGCGCGACGAAACATATATTCCATTGGAAGGTCTCGTGAAGTTCTGCAATTTTGAGAACGAAGCGGAAATACTCGAACTGATCACGCATGCTCGTAACGAAGACGGCAGTAACGGACAACGCACTAAAATGGCCGATACTGTCCAGAATATCTCTTGGAAGAGCTACCCCGATGATGCATCGGTTATGCACGCAACGTTTGAGCCTGCTCAAGAGCTTGGTAGTGCAGCCGGGCCTGGAAACCAAAACAGCACAACACTGTCTCGAACGTCCACGGAAGCAATAGCAAGGAGCGCACTGGCCAGAACGCCGGCGGGCAAGCGTCACTTTGGTCGCGCCTGTGGCATGTGGGTAGCGGTGACGTATGCTCTGCTGGGTAAGGAGACTCCATCGAGAAGCTGAGGACCTTTCACTAATATGTACCTTAGCCTTGCTGTCAGCTTTCCTGATTATTCATCAAGACTATTTCGGATTGACAGTCTTCTAAAACTTCTCATAGCGAGGCGCCCCCATCACAACGACGGCATCAAGGACCGATGTCATATCGATTGTTGTATCTAAGATCACTGTCTGGCGGAGGTCAGGTCTACAATGTGGTCGCCAACGCCGGATACTGAAGCCAGGTATGAGTTCACATTCTACAGTGTTATTTGTAGATCACACAAGACATATGGAAAGTCTGTGTAGTAGCCAGAGTTGTGGATAGTCCTAACAATACGTTGAAAATGTGGGTATGTAGCCATCATACTTTGGCGAAACTACAGGTAAGGGGCTTTGTCTTGAGAAGCGAGGTCTTGGGCCATTTTCAGTTTAGTCGAGTCTTTGTTGACATCAGTATCGTAATCGGTGGGAGAAAGAAAGAAAGCGAGTGATTGTCTACCAAAGGCTTGTAGTGAACAAAGACTTCACCATACATAGCAAGTGAGCGGGCATTGTCTTCATCGCAAGAGTAGCCTCATCCTACTGCGCGCCTACATACTTTCGCACAACGACTATCATGATCCTCATGTTAGACTCATCATGACAGACGAATATTCGCCCATCGCACGTCCGTCTCGTCAAGAGAAGAATGGTTTCCTTTGCGTTACTCCTACGCCGGCGGACAAAGCTAGTGGTAAATCACAGCTACAGCTAACCAGTTCACAACCGCAACTAAAGACTGGCAAAAGACCATTTGGAGGCGGTGAAATACTCGGAGAGCCTCTCACAAAACGATCCCGGCTCGACGAAAATGATGAAGCAAGGCGCACCAAAGAGCGCAAACCAAGGGTACTAGACCCGGCAATGTTAACCAAGCACTTCACCATGGCCAACAAGAAAGAGATAGAGAAAGTGAAAGCACGCATCGCATCAGCGACGCCATCGAATCCAACTGACATTCCGCCTCGCACCACTCGCCATGCAGAACCGGTGATACTATCGATGGCTACTGGAAAACCGATACTATCAAAGTCATTGCGCGAAGCACCGCCGCTTCATAGAGATACGCCGTCTAAAGAACGCCGAGATGCTCTGTTAATCCCCAGAGAGAACATATCGAAGCCACGTCGAGATATTTCCGCTCTCCACAAAGCCAGGATGTCTGAAGCGCAGAAAGATACGCCAATACAAGGAACCAAAGCCAACCCCATCTCCTTCAGTCCCGACCTAAACGAGCTAGACCGTGAGTTCCGCGAGGGATCAGGATATTACTCGCAGCAGGAAGAAGATGAAGTGTCTTTCATATCGCCCTGGAGTGAAGGGCCGCGGGGTCCTAGTGCACGTCAGGCGCTTAAACGAGATGAGCCGCTTAAAGACCACTACCAGCCGCCCCGGCGTACCTCACGGCCTGAGGAGAGGAGGCGGAGGGATTTCAGCAGCGTAGAATTGGAAATGACGGCGAAGAAACGCCGGACGTTGTCGAATAGCTGTGGTGTTTCTCCTCGATCGGAGGATAGAAGTCGCAGTCGCAGTCGGTTGAGGTCGCTGGTGAAGAAGCATGATAGGTATAGGGGTGATGGGGCGGAGATGCCTTGGGGGCGTAACGCGAGGTTTGATCGCGCTCTATCGCGACGGCCCCCGCCGGCATTGCAGCGACCACGTGACAAAACTCCGCCGCCTTCTAGGCAGGTTAGGAGAGAGGAGAGGTCGAGGAGTAGAGGGGCGAGAAAGAACCGAGGGCGGAGCCGTGGTGCAGACCGAGAGCGTAGCCCAAGGCGAGAAAGAAGCCCAGAGCGGAAACGGAGTAGACAACGTCGTCGTAGCTCATCGCGCCACCGCAATCGAGATCGTCGTGATAGTCCAGACCAACACAACAACAAACGCCGCAGCCGCAGCCCACGGCCCTCCAAACAACCCCCATCAGCCTCCCCTCCCCAACCACCTCCGCCTCCATCCCCCTCCGAGTCCTTCTTCGGCGCCGATGACATACCCGAACCCCATGAGACTCTCGGTGTTGGCGAAGGCGAGTACACTCTAGAGCAGGAAATGGCGTTATTTGGCCTGGCGGTTACTGTGTATGTGCAGAGAGAGAGGGTGGCGGAGCTCATGTTGAATCGCATGAGACTACAGTTTGATTTAGATAATAGGAAGAAGAGGTGTGAGGAAGGAGATGGAGTGGAGGAGAATAAGGATAGGGGGGAAAGGAACGGAGATGGGAATGGTGAAGGAAGGAATGAGAAGAAGGATGTAGGGAATGGGGATGGTGGGGAGAGGGGCAGTAAAGAGAGAGTTAGCAGGGAGAGGAAAGAAAGTGGAGGGAGGAAGGAATGTTCCTAAGGATGGATCCTCGTGTGATTGTGGTAATGGCTAGGTAGATGTATGCTGGTAGCTTCATACTATTAGACGAGATGAAAGCGAGCCTTGATTGGGTATAATCGTTGATAAATACATGCCCTGTGCCTCTACATACCTTCGTTGACCATTGCATCTCATCTCTTATTCGCCCAAGGTGCCTTCGTGCTCTCTGGCTCGTTCGGGACACTCCCAGCGTTCCCCTTTGCCCATGGCGCTGTGGTACCATCTCCCGGCGGCGGCGGTGCAGGCGTTCGACTCGCCCAAGGTGCTTTCGTGGGCTGGTTCGGACCACTGGGTACACCGGCGTCCGCACCTCGAGCACTAGCCCAGGGAGCAGCAGTCGCAGCTGGCATACCACCACCCGGCCCTCTGGCACCAGTAGTAGCCCCTGCACTAGCCCATGGCGCTGCGGTCCCTACCATACCGCCAGGTGGGCCTCGACCTGGCATGCCAGCAGATGGCTCAGCCATCGGATCGCGCAACGCGGGCTGGGGTCTTGCAGTTGGTGCCGTATTAGATGGGGTACTCGACTTTGGCTGACTGGCTGTGTGGACACTTGCTTGGATGGTCTTCGCGTTCGGATCGGCAGAGAAGGAGAAGAGGGAGCCGAAGGGGAAGTGCTGGACTACCGGGAACTTAGACAGGACTTCTGCGTTGTACATCTTGATCATTCCCTGGTATCAGGGTTAGTGACTGCTCGTGATCAGGTGTGCATTGATACTAACCTTGTTGATCTTGGCCCATCCTGCCTTTACGCCGGAGACGTCGTAGAGTATGTTGCTGTGTTCCCAGAATGGACCCTTCTTGACGTCGTAGATGAAGCCGATAGCGCTGAAGTACATGTTCCGGGTCCGCTCTCTGGCTACCGCGGGAGCTTTCGCTACATCGCCGGGGTGGGGAGCTGATGGCAATGAGCCTTCTGCTGCTACGTCTGCTGGTGTGTTGATGGCTGGTGAGAGTTGTGCGCTACCGAATATATATGGTATGAAAGAGTGGTCGTCTAGTCCCCATACGCCATGCGACCCAGCAGGCTCCAGAGTGTATGTCATGATGAGTCGGCGTATCAAGGCGAGGTACGGTTCGATAACCCCCAGGACAATGCCGCGTTCTTGCTCTCCATCCTGTGACGTAGGAAAAGCTCCGAGTTTCCAAAGACAGCCGAGGAAAGCGAGAAAGCTCAGTTCATGACCTGAACCGTAGTCTAGGCGTTGAGAGCTACCAAAGCTGCCGATGAGATAGGCTTCCAGCTCGGTCTTGGCTGAGACGTCGGATGAGGATTTGAAAGAGAGTACTTCTTCCGGCAAATATTGATCTAACAACCCAGGAACTCTTTCTCTGACAATGTCGTACCAGGTCCTGAAGCTTACGTTTCCGAAACGACGCGGTCCAGGATCTGGTGGCGCTTCATCGATGATGGAAGTCAGGGCATCGATAAGCTTGGCGAGGCTTTGCACCACGGGTGGATGGGGCATATCTGGGTCGTTCAACTTCCATTCTTTCGCCGATTCTGTGCTATTCTTCTCTTCGTTTTTGATCTTCCGTGGTATCATGGCCGTGTTAAGCTGGAAGACGAAAGTCATGATATCGGCATAGGCTCTGCTTGCCAAGAAAAAAGTGACGTCGTCGCCATCGTGGATGCGTTTGGTGGGGACTTCGAAACTGTGCGATGCATCTCTACTCAGTACTTCCAGCACAGGTGCTTTGGATGGATTCGATGACATGGTGGGGTGCGTGGTGTTGTGGTTGTTTGGGGGGTTAGTGGGCAGGGACGATCTCATGTGATAGCGTGTTTTGGCCCACTCTTTCGCGCCTTGACAGCGTTCGATGCTTTTGGCCGCGGGGATGACTTCACTCTCCCCCCACATCGCCGTCATCGCTCGGATACCCTCATTAGGACAAATGCGCTAGTGTTGTTGACGCTCATTATATGGCGCGACTTAAGGATGCGCCCAAGCAGGCAGGTGCGTAGTGTCGCAGCTGCTGTCGAGCTGGCAGGTAGATGCGCGAAGCTCTCCAACATGCTCACCAGCTACACAATCCTACATGAAGCTTCCATCCGAGCTTATATAAACTGACATTCCATATAGCATTCCAAAAACCCGCCTCGCCTTCCTCAGACGACAATGCTGCAACCCAACAGCTCCTCGCCGAGTCCAACTCTCCAAGCGCCAATCCACCCTCATCGTCTGCAATTCTCGGTGCCAACCTCCTCAATGCAGCGCGTCCTGGAAAGCTCAAGCGAGTCAGCATACTTCCCGAGGGAGCCAGGCAGAACCTCGCGATAAGAGGTGACCCCTACGAGATTGAGCTGAGCCCTGAGAAGGGTCGATACGCGTTGCCAGAAAAAGTCAATCACAAGCCGTTGAAGATCAATAGGAAGAAGAAGGAGGAGGAGGAGAAAAAGAAACCAGCTAAGAAGAAGGAACAGACAGCAGAACAGGCGGAACAGGAGAAGAGTGAGGCCCCTGTGCCTTCTGCAGAGCTCCCAGTGCACGACGAAGCTGGGCCTCAAGTGGTTGAAGATGAGCGGGTAGAGGATTTGACTGTAGCAGAACCTGAGATACGTTCCTCGCCGCCGGAGCTCGCACAGCCTCAACACACCCCATCCAAAGCCACAGCGCCTGAACGCGACAACGGTGTGATCGACTCCACTGGCACCACCAGCGGAGGTGGAGTACCTGCTGGAATACCTGCTGAAGCGCAGGAGGACAACGGCAGTACACGACGAACGTCGAAACGAAAGTCGGAGTCGGATCACAGCGAGGAGCAACCCTCCAAGATCCTGAGGAAACAAAGGCGGACGACTGGCGAATCGGACGCATCGAGAAAGAGTCGCCCGCAAGTACGCATACCGGTCCGGCAAAGCTCGCAACAGCAGGATGTCGCGGACACACTAGGACACAACGATGTTCAAGTCACGCAAGAAGGCGCCAAAGTCCATTCGGCGCAGACAAAGGAGTCCCACCGAAATCCTGCAGCACGAAAACTGAAACCTCGGAAGCATCGTACCAACGGCACTGCTGAGTCTAGCCAGCAGCTACTAGCTAACAGGAGAGGATTGCAAATACGCGCAGAATCGCCCAATCAAGCTCCAGAAGTTGCTGGTGTTTCAGAGACTGAGAACGCGCCTGTTATTGACGCGTTTCAGGATGATTTAGACGAAGACGAGGCTAGTAGCGTCGCTGAAGAAGCTGATAACATAACGCGCCCTACAGGAAGGCCTGGGAGTATCGAAACCGTCTTTGAATTTCTCAACCTTGAGGTACGGCCAGGAAAGTGCCGGACTAAGCTGGGTAGCACCATCAGACGCGCATGCAATACATACAGGGCACACCTTCAGGAAGGTGACATTTCCATGGACACTGTCGTCGATGAAGCTGATGACTTACGAGGAGCGCTCGGACAAATCAGTATAGGAGTTGAAAAGAAGGACCAGCGCGCCTTCAAAGGAGATGCCTATAGCCACGTCTTCCGGGCTCTTACATTATACCTCGAAGCATTGTATAACTGGCTACTTGAGAACGGTGGCGAGGTGACCGAATCTCTGGATGCTATGCAGGTGCTGTCACCTCTGATACACCAGATACTTATTTTCAAGGACACCATCGCTGAGTGGAACGTCGCTGTACCTCAACGATTGAAGGGCGATCGAGTCATCAAGAATGTTGATATTGGTCTCATTGCTCATCTTCGACAAGTGGCCAAGACGTATCGCGGACACCTCAGTAGATTAAATGTCAGGGAGGAGCATCGCAAGCTCCAAGGAGACTTCGAGCGCAGGATGCAAGAAAGAAAAGAGGAGGAGAACCGCAAAGCCGAACTTGTGGAAGCGCGAATGCAGCGGTGGAAATATTGGCAGGCCCTGCACATTGCGCGCTTGACGTGCGAGCCCGATGCGCGTAGAAGGAGCAAGCTGGCTATCACGAGACTCGAAGACTTGGAGGAGAGAGACGCCAACGGCGTTGTCTTCGAACGATTGCCAGTATTTAGGTCTCGTACCGCTCCACCGCATCGTCAAGCATCCGCGTTGGACAATAAGCCGGAGTGGACAGAAGAGGAAGAAACTGCTCTGCTTGAAGGCTTGAGACATCTCGCTGGTACGTTCGGTGACATTGTTCACAGCTTGCCATCCTCGCCCTGACATGTGTTCTAGGTCCTAGAGTCTTCGAGAAGATATTCACGACGTATTGCCGCCCCGATTCATCTCATCCACTTAGTGGCCGTTTGCGCGATCGCAGCGTCGCGGAGATTGTCACGAAAGCAGCACAGTTCCGATCAGACTTCCAGAAGTTATATCAAGATAATGGCTGGGAGGTCGAGGAATGGATTACGAAGATTCCAGTATTGCCGTAAGTCCGGGTTGTCTCGATCCTTCGATCCGCCTCTGCTCGACGTGCGATTCTGTCCCTTTTTCGCTGGGCGAAACTGGGATTTTGCCAAGTCACGCTATTTGCCGTTTGTCTCTTTGTGATACCCCTCGTATGCTATCACTCTTTATATCATCGCAAGCATTATTATCAGCGTGTGTTTCGTGCAGTGCGCACCCGTAGTCTAAAGTCGCACATGTCTAGACCTGTCCTCACAGTGGCCCACCATCCACCACATCCTCCTATGTGCTTCATAGATACAATCACCACACACTGTCGCATCCAGTGATATCTTAGAAACTACAATCACTGCTACTTATCTGGTGAAATCACGAGTCTGTTCTTACGCTCGTGGGTGCGTGGCCAGATTACTGGACGTGAATGACAATTACGCGAATGGTCAACCGGCGACCGGTAGACATAAACTTGGGAACTGGTAATCTGCCTCCGCTTCTCCACCCGTTATCGCACCTCTACACAAAAGGCAATATTCATTTCGGATTATTTTCACCTTGGGTTCCGCGCACTCGTCCATCAACCGCCCACGGTCGCAAAGTCGCCCTCTCACTTCAAATTTCTTGCACTCTCTCTCTTCCCTCCTACGTACTCCAACGCGCCTCTTGCTTTCAACCGCAACCGCGACCCTGAATTTGAATATTCACCAAATTCAGGTCAACGATCTTGACGCATACTCAATACTTACCACGATGTCAGCACCTATAATATCCACCCCTGCGGCTACAACGCCCTTCTCCAAAGCGGCTAGCCTTGCACACTACGAGATCAAGAACTCGTTCGAGCTCATGATAATGGCCAAGCTGCGTTGCATTTCTGACGCTGGTGGGAACCAAGAGATTATCGCGCGTCTCATGGCGCAAGATAAAGAGAATGGAACTTGGCCTGGTAAGCATGAGGAGCCTGGGGCAGCTGCGACAAAGACCGGTGTTGCAGCTAAGAAGAAAGACGAGGAAGAACTGGTTGTCGTGCCGGTCAAGCAGGTCTTGGCTAAAGAAGAGACGCCTTTTGAGACTGAAGTCGCTGTTGAGGAAAAAGCGGATCACGCGCCTTCTGCAACTGTCTCCAAAGACATTACCGTCCCCACTGCGACCGCTAGCACCACCATAACTGGCACCAGGAGCAGAAGGCCAATAATCCCTTTGTCACAATTGGCACACGAATGGGATGAACAATGGGGTGCACCCTACACTTTTCCTCAGGCCGCTATCGCCGGCTCGAAATCTCAAGACAAATCTGTGACTCGCGCCGAGTCCGTTTCTAGTGGCTCGAAGTCACCCGTCACTCCCACCTCTACCGTCTCGCAAGTCTCTCCCGTGTCTCTGGCAACTCCTGCCTCGTCCCTTCCGACCATCCCGGCTTCTTTGAAGTCGAATCCATACACCCTTCTCATGAGCGATGAAACGGATGATGTAGAAGAAGAAGAGAGCGAGAACGAGGGGCTTATCACTCCGGTGAAGAAGAATACGGGGAAGGCGCCCATTGTGCACAAGAAGGTTCAGAAGACTTCTTTCGTGCATCAAAAGAAGAAGGAGATTCCTCTTGTAAGCAGCGATGATGTGGACGCTGGGTACGAGATTAAGACGAAGAAGAAGCGTGGGAAGAAAAGCGGAAAGCAGGTCAACGAGAACAATGCTGCTGCGGTGTCCACGGGCGCTGATAATGCGGATGCGGTAGCGGCCAGTGATGATACTGCTGCTGCTACTACAAAACAGCCTGAGAACCTCCCGGATCCTGTTTCGCCTGCCAGATCTGCGCATGCTGAGGCTACGTCAGAGTCTAAGGTCGATGTTCTCTCAGAGTCTGCCGTGGTTGTGCGAGACTTTGGTGCTGTGAATTCACCCTCGCCGTCGCCCTCGCGGTCACCCTCACCCGAAAAGGCAGCTCACAAGCACGACGTAGCCGATTTCTACAACATGCCCTCGCAAACGCAGGAAATTCCCGCCTTCGGTGAGACCTTTGCTCAAAAGCAGAATCTGGGGCAGAGGATATCCTACCTTACCCCCTCGCCACTCCAACCAGTTCAATCAGCGAAATCAATGAAGAACACTCCGGTCCAAATCTTCGTTGGCGCTCCTCCATCACCACCGTCACCGCCACCACAGTATATTCATGCTGCTCCGTCGTTCTCCGCGCCCACAATGGCAAAGAGCCAGCGGCGCAACGAGAAGCGCAAACAGGACCAGGCTGTTTCCTCGTCAAATATGTATGACGCACTGGTCGCCGACGATACCGTTGACGCTGATGAGACCGCTTCTGCTTCTGGTGACACCGATGATGAACGTGATGGCGATAGCGACGGCGAGGCTGCACCTGCTCCGAAGACGAACGCGAAGAAAAATAAGAGGCGCGGGAAGAAGGGTGGGAAGAAGGTGCAGGCGATGAAGCAGAAAGTGAACCAGGCTGTGGAGGTTCCTGTGGTGGTTCAGCAGACGGTGGCGATGCCGGCACCGATGAAGATGGAGATGTCGCATGTGGTTGGTGCGGTGGCGATTGTTATGCTTCTTGTTGCGCTTTTGGGGGCTCAGGTTTTAGGATAGAGTAGCAGAGCGCGTGTTCAGCTGCTCGATAGGTGGATGGCATCTTGTGTTCGGTTCTTAGCGGCATTTCCTGGAGTATCTGGGGTTTCACGAAGACACAGTGGTTTACAAGGAATTCTGGCGTTCTGATGGGATTAGCAAAGTAATTTTAGATACTTCTCGTAACACTTTGTGTGTGCAACGAAGAATCGAGTGCGCCATTGGATCAGACTATGGCCTGGTCTTAGTTCAAATTTGTCTTTGATATACTCCTTTGGTACCCAATATGACTGCGATAGACTGATGTTGTTCGCTGTGTGTCTGTCAAGGTGGTGTGTGTTTTGTTTCCGCGATGAGTTTCATGCCACTTCGTTCGCGTTGTATCAAATCTGAGAAAGTTCTTGCGCCTTCGACTGCTCCGCATACTGCGTTACTAGAATTGTGTTTCGAGGCTTCTACGAGTGCGAAAGCGAACAGGTGCGTCCGTCGAACGCGATGGAATGGAATCGGGAAGTGCATAACCGTCACCAACTGGGCGGTGTGAGCTTAATCAAGCGTGAGTAGCCAGGAAGTCCCGTCTCATGTTGCGCGAATAATCAGAAAAGGGTGAGGTTTCTAAACGTAAAGTCTTCCGTTCCTGGACTCGCCCTGGACAAGATGGCTACGGCTGAATGGAATGCACTAGCACCGCACGCCGTGGCCCTTTTGCGGTCATTTGAACTGCCGTGGACACCCTCAAGGCCGTTACCAAGCAGTCATCCCACAGGCTCCGCAAGCCATCGCGAGCTACGCGCGACTGTATCTGCATTACCACCAGCAAAGCCCACGAGTATACCATGTGGAATAACACCCCCACCGTGCAAGCGATCGCGCACCTGCATACATGTAAATCAACCGACCAATAACAAGCTTTCACGCAGCGGGAGGGGTCCGCGCTAGTCCGCAGCCAGAAGCTTGTAGGGAGAGCACCGCCTTCCCACAACCACGACATCATCACAATGCGCGAATTATCCCCCCTTGGCGCACGCCGGCGAAGCAAGTAAAATGTAGCCCATCCTACTTTCACGTGCGGTTTCGTGGCCGCAATAGGCAAAACCAGGCCCACGATGGCAGTGGCTGAGCAACACCGCTGATCGCAAGATAAATCCCTCATACAAAACATTTTGCTGGGCTTTTGTACCCAGGCCGTATTGCGCTGTAGCTCACGTGTTTTCTGGGCGATTCTACACCCCTCTCCTTCTCTTTTTATTCCTTTCACAATACATTGGTAGCTTTCTGTACTGTGCTTTGAACACGAAAGAGTTATTTTTCCTTTCGCTTACTTCGCCCTTGCGCTTTCGTTGCGTTACTGCACGTAGCGATAATCCCTCAGTGTGTCACTGCGGATTGAGCGCATAGCGACAAAGGCAATATGTGGAAGCCGCCAATCAACTTCATCACGCTGCATTGTAGGTTGCAGAAGGTTCCGTCTCATCCGGGAACGGCATGGCTAACGCGGTGTAGATGCATACATTCTCAGTTTCGGGATTCTGGCCCTGATCATCATCTATCCCTATGGAAATCTCTCGGCTATCGATGCGTACTACTTTGGTGTCAGCGCGTCGACTGAATCTGGCTTGAACCCGTATGTTTGGGTTGATGTACTGAAATGGATGCAGTGCTGACGGGGCATTAGTGTTGATGTCAAGGCTCTCACGACATATCAACAGATCTTCGTTTACATTACGCCTATTGTTACAAACCTGGGTTTCATCAATGTACTTGTCGTTGTTGTGCGACTACGCTGGTTCAAGCAGAAGCTCAAGGGCATTGGTATGTTAAGCATCGCTCTAATCCTCCAGCTGAAGCTAAACCTCAATAGCGGCGGCACATAGTAGACCCAAGAGCTTGCAGCTGTCTATGAGCCGGGCTCAAACAATCGACAACACCGCCGATACACGAAAGATCGAGGAGGGTCTCACCGGCGAGACCACAGTCTCTGAAGTGAAGCCTGCTCCCACTGCAGAAGAGTCAAACGATCAACCTCCCGCTCCTCGCATCACATTCGCTCCGGATCCTCGACCCCATGTCAACGAAAAGGGCGCTTTGTATGTCCCTGGTCCACGAGAACGCGATAATGGCGAACGCATCACTTCGATGTCAGATGGTAAGCCCTCTAATCGGATGTCCATAACGACATGCCTAACACAATGACTACAGATGAAGACGAAGATGAAGACCGCATCAAGCCAGTCGCAGAGTCAAGCAACCCACTACGTCGCCTGAGATCAGAGACTAGGAGTATGAACACGCGAACCATGAGCAAGGCTACCTCCGTAGACCGCGCTGTGTCATCCATCTTCGTCCTCGGGAGCACCGCAAGCGGCGCCCGTCGTAGCGAAGACAAGCCGGCACGCAGAACACCTACCATTGACCTGAGCTCCATGACCCGGGAAGAACTGGGCGGTGTTGAGTACCGCGCACTGCAAGTCTTGCTTAAGGTCACCATTGGTAAGTAGCAAGAGCTATGTATTGGGCCCGCTCATGCTAATCATCACTTCAGGATACTTTGTCGGCCTACACACACTCGGAGTTGTTTGCCTACTCCCATGGATCCACAACGCACCAGCCAAGTACCAAGACTACCTCGCCTCTCAGGGTCAAGACAAGACGTGGTGGTACGCTCCAATCCCCTCTTCACCACCTCACTCCCATCTCTAACACACCCCAGGGCGTTCTACTCCTCCCAAACCATGGTCGACAACCTCGGCCTAACCCTCACACCCGATAGCATGGTAACCTTCCGCGACGCAACCTGGCCCATGCTGATAATGTCCTTCCTCGCCTTCGCCGGCAACACATTCTACCCAGTTTTCCTGCGCCTCCTCATCTGGACCATCTACAAGATCGCGCCCGCCGCTTCTTCCCTCAAAGAATCCCTGCGCTTCCTCCTCGACCACCCACGCAGATGCTACACGCTTCTCTTTCCCAGCACCGCCACCTGGATCCTAGCCTCCATCCTCTTCGCCCTCAACTTCATCGACACGCTCCTCATCGTCGTCCTCGATCTCGACAATCCCGAAGTAAACAGCCTACCAGTCGGCCCCCGCATCCTCGCCGCCATCTTCCAATCCGCATCTTCGCGTCACACGGGTACCGCGACCTTCAACCTTGCAGCCGTCAACCCGGCCGTGCAGTTCAGTCTACTAGTCATGATGTACATTTCCATCTATCCCATCGCAATCAGCATCCGCATGAGCGAGAGTTACGAGGAGAAATCCGTGGGTCTCTACGCCGGGGATGAGAATCTCGATGAGCAGAAGGGAGGCAAGACGTATCTCATCAGCCATATGCGGAACCAGCTCAGTTTCGACTTGTGGTATATCTTTTTGGGCGTGTTTTGCATTTGCATTGCGGAGAGTGACAGGATTATGAGTCGGGAGGACTATGTAAGTCGCCTTAATCCCCGTAGCCGGTTTCTCGGTTGAGAACGGCAAACTAACGAAATCGCTAGGCTTTCAATGTCTTCGCCATCTTCTTCGAAGTCGTGTCTGCATACGGAAACGTCGGTCTTTCACTCGGTCACCCGTCGAATTTGACGTCGCTATCTGGCCACTTCAACACATTCGGTAAAGTGGTTATTTGCTTCATGATGCTGCGTGGTAGACACCGCGGTCTGCCTTATGCGCTTGATCGGGCGATCAATCTGCCTCATGACCTTGTTACGGAGGATGGACAGGAGGAGAAATATAGGGATGAGGATACGGCGACGTCGGAGGGTGGAGCTGGGAGACAGAGTGAGAGTGAAGGGAGGGGCAGGAAGACGATGAAGAGTCTTACGCAGTAACATAGACATGCATGATTTCAAATAGAGGCGACTGAGAGGTTCAGTTGTATATATTAGAATAGATCGCATCGAAATCTCAGAGACATGTTCACAAGGTTCCCGCGGGTCTTGGATGAAAGATCTCCGTGCAACGGCCTACAAGCAAAGATTAATCAACTAGTAGAGGAGGCTCAAGCAAGGCTGGCAAAGATATTAGCATTAACTAAGTTAACCGCGAAACCTTGTGGGCCTTACAAGCCTACATTGCCTGCTCCTGCCTCTCAATCTAGCAATAAAGGCATCTCTAAGGTTAACAAGGTTGTGGTGCTAAAGTGCAAGTCCAACTGATGATACTTTAATTGCACTCAACTATCTAGTCATGGAGCCTCAACATGACGCTACGATACAGCATGAAAGCGCTTATACAATCTCAACCTATCTACTCCTTAAACCAGACACGAAAAACAAGGGAAAAAAAAGGAAGACAAGGATCTATGAGGGTTTCCCACTGACAAAAGCCTAAAAGTCCATCCAGTTGAACCCCCCGTTCTGAAAGTTCGATCCCATTTGCGGGCGGCGCTGGCTACCCAGATGCGCTCCATACTCACCATCGCTACCCATACGACGAGGAGCCTCACCCCCACGAACAGCGCTGCTACGATATAGACCCCCACCGTAACCACCAGATGTCGACGGTCGCTCATAGCCGCGATCGATAGTAAAGCTAGTCTGTTGCGGTTCGCGGAAGTTAGACGCGTACGACGGTGTAGCGTATGAAGAAGCACCAGAGCCGTATCGGGAGGAGGAAGAGGAAGTGCTAGACCTACCCATACTACCCAGAAGCCTCGAAGTGGTAGACGGCTGTTCAAACCGCGAACTACCAAGCGGACTGACAGAGCGATGGTCATCATAAGAATGCTTATTAGTGTAAGCGCGCGGACGCTCAGACGTGCGCATAGGACTCAGGTCGCGGTACTTATACCGGCTGTCGTATGGTTCGCGCTGGGATGCAGCGCGGCCAAGTCTAGAGCTACCCGTTGTCTCACAGCGGGACTGGCTGGTGAAGTCGCCGTAAGGCTGGGAGAAGGGCGAATCCATTATGCTTGAGCTGGAGGAGCCGTAGCTGTAGGGGTCGGAGCTGGAGGATGAGTAGGCGTCGCGACGGGAGGAACGGCCGGTGCTAAACGGGTTTTCGCCGCCGAAGAAGGATCCGAATGGCATGTTGGTTTGATTGATTGAGAATGGGTTTGATCTGGTGTGTTGTTGGGATAGGGGGATGAAGACTGTATTGGTCTTCAAGGTGTGTAGGTTTGTGTGTGCGTTGATGTGATGCCTTCAACTAGAAGCCATACTGGGGACTCTTTTATGCATTCCAATCCATCCCAGTTGTGACGAGACAGTACCAGTGAGACCATGGTGTTAATGAACGATATGTTCGGTGACCGTGTGGTGTCGAAGAACGTACAGCAAAGTTCCAGATCAATGTGTGGTGTGAATGTATATCTGGATCACTGTGAATGAGGGGTGTATGTGGTGAAGTGATAGGGTGGGAGAAGTACTGGAGCAAAGACGCGGTTATGCACTGGAAGGAGAGAGAGGCTGTCTCAGCGATGGAAAGACATTCATCAGATTATTTGGCATTGGATTGATTTTTTGTTTCGTAGGATTACAACATAGTCTTTGAGGGATACAGGATCTTGCCTGTTCCCAACTGCTGCCAGACAGCGATGGCTGCCATACGACCCCCCTTCTACACCTCCGACACCCACACCACATCTACGCAACATTCTCCATCAACCCCGCACCCACCGTCCTTCCCCTCTCCCTAAGCACAACCCTCATCCCCTCCTCAACTGGCAACTCCCTCTCCAATTGCACCACCACCCTCGCCACCTCACCCGGCTTAACAATTCTGGGCTTCTTCTTGACGACCTCACCCGTAAACTTATTCAGCTTGGCACTCAACGTCCTGATACCCGCAGGCGAGTTTAGGGTGCTTCGGAAAACTTCCACGGGCATGGGTAGAACGTGTTCGAAAGCGAGGAGCTTGGATGTGAATGCTTTGACGAGTTTGACTGGGTCACTTCGCGCGCAGACAATGTCCCCTTGGCGGAGGTGAACGGGGTCGATGTCCGTGAGGTGCAGTGTGGGGATTTGACCGCATACGGCCCAGTCTACGGGGGCGTCTTGTACTTCGATTGACTTGATAGTGGCGGTTTCGTTGGCGGGGAGGGCGAGGATGACGTCGCCTACTTGTAGGGTGCCGGCGTCGATGCGCCCAGATATACTGAGTGGGGAGCGTATGTCGCCGCGGAAGACATCGGCGACGGAGAGGCGGAGGGGCTTTGTAAAGTTTCGCAACGGGAGGTCGATGCGTTCGAGGGCTTCTAGCAAGGTCTCGCCGGTATACCAGTGGGCGGCGGAGTTCTCGATCTTCTTGACGACGTTCTCTCCCGTCAAGCCTGCGAGCGGGATGAAGGTTATTCGCTTTTCGAGAAAGCTGGCTTCTGTAAGGAAGGCTGTCATGCGTTTTGAGATGTCGTCGAAGCGTGATTTCGACCATCCGACAGTGTCCATCTTGTTTACGGCTACGATGATATGTTGCATGCCCATGCTTCGTGCGATCAAGATGTGTTCTTTGGTTTGCCCCTTAAGACCAGACTCGAAGCTATTCGTACTTGCGTCGATGACTAGGACGGGAAAGTCGGCTTGCGATGCACCTGAGATCATGTTGGGGATAAAGTCCTTGTGTCCAGGCGCGTCCAGAATGGTGAATTTCGTCTTGTCGGTCTCGAAGTAGTTGGTAGCAATGTCAACGGTGACACCACGACTCCGCTCCTCGCTTGTTTCGTCCATGACCCAAGCTAGCGCGAATGATGATTTGCCGATAGTTTCTGCTTCTTTCCGTAACTTGTCTATTGATCGCTGGTCGATTACCTTAAGGTCGTAGAGCAAGCGCCCCATGAGCGTACTCTTGCCGTGATCGACGTGACCTGGGGAAGTTAACAGCAGATCTTCACACCCACGATTGAACTTGATACTCACCAAGTACTACAAAGTTCGCCAACCGCTTCGAGGCGCTCTTCTCAAACTCATCCACAACGTTCAAGTTCTTGCTCTTCACTCTCGGTTCGTCGGCCACGGTAAGCTTCTCGACCGATTCGGTCAGGTCACCGTTCGTTTGCTTTTTCTTCTTCTTCGGTGTTGTGCCTGTATGCCTTAGAGATATTCAAACAGAGTGTATCCGAATCTAGTGACGTCCGCCGCCTGCGCCCTTTGCCTGTGCTGCCCGCACAATGTCATCCGGACTCGGTCCAGCAAATGCTCCCGAGCCATCATACGATTTGTACGCAGCAAAGGGTAGTGGAACCTCTTGCAGAGGTGCTTGGGGGTGCTTCGATGATTCGTCAGAGCCGCAAAGGGTAGAAGCGAACATTGACGCGGTGGCACGTTGGGCTGGCGATTCGACGACTACGGCAGGCTGGGGTGCTTGGGGCTCTTCTATCTCGGGTTCTTTTGGTGTTTCTGGTGCTGGCGATGGCGATCGTCTGCGGATAGGATATCTAGAAGGACGAGCTGGACCAGTACCACCGCCGACAGAAGCGTTGCCCCCCTCCTGGTTCTTCACCGAAAGCTTGTCAAGCATGGCAATGGCCGAATCCGCGTCGTGGTTGGCTTTCGAGGCAGCAGCTTCCGCATCTTCTCGATCTTTTCTCCGCTTCGCCGCAAGAGCAGCCAGTTTCGAGGAGCCCCCAAGTAGTCCGCCTTTGTAGTGTGGAGGATCAACGGTGATGACGCCCAATCGTTCGGGTGGTACGTTGCCCCAGGGCACATCCCAGAAGAAGTCTGTGACAGCAGCGTTGGTAGGCATCGAGATGGGAGCGACGGTATAGGGTGGGCAGCAGAGCGGGGCAGCAGATGCGTCTACATAGCTAGAGTGGAGTGCAGTGAGCGTGCTTACCTGTAGTAACCGGCGCCTTCTCCTCCGCCACACTAGCAGCTTGGTCGAACCTCGACACTGTCTTTGCTTTCTCCTGCTTGGGCACCTCTGGCTTCGGCTCCGAGACGCCTAACTTATTCTTCAGATAGATGACGCTCTTCCCAATGTCATAGTAGTAATGCCACAACGCTTCCTGTATTTGCTCGTCGCTCGTGAAGTCGCTCTTATCTCCCAGCGCCTCCCGTACTCTTATCGTGCCTGCACGCATCTGCTCCTTGTCGTCTTCGGTCATGCCATCTCCTGCGTCGGCTTCGCCAGCTTCTTCCTCGTAGTAGTCGTCGTCGTCGTCGTAGATGTCGTCGTCATCGTAGTCGATGTTGCGCGTGCGCGAGAAGCCGCTTTTGGGAGGCATCGTGGCGATATTGTTGCGCTGGTAGGATGAGGAATTATTGATTGCGCGTTGTGGGTGAGTCGTTTCGCAGGCGTGTAGAAACGTTCTAGACAGGTAGCTTTGGATTCTCGATCTAGTGTGAATTATCGCGTCCCTTGGTTGACGTCGGTGGTGGGGCTTTCCTTGACGTGTAGCGCGGCTGCTGTTGCCCCGCGCTAGTTGGAGCTTTGGGCAATACAATGACGATGATTCATTTACATTCACCAGACATCAGAGCAGGAATCATCATGGAAATCGTTCGATTCAAGGCAATCTCGCCGACAGCTCAATACCCGTCGAAAGATACAGCAGTGGGGTATAGTATTAGTGGAAAGAGACAATGCTGAAAACCTAGCCCGACACTCGCGCCCTTCGCCCGCTGTATTCAAGAGATTTTTTTTCGTAGTTTTCTGAACCGTTTTCTGATGCGACGTCCCCTGCAGAAGATGCTCTCCAACTTTACTTTCATGCCTGTGGACTATTCTCAAGCCCAGACGCAAGCTTTCTATTTCTCTGCCTTCTCCTCAGCGGCGGCTGGGGCAGCAGCAGTAGCGGTAGGCTCCGCAGCAGGCGCAGGTGCAGGAGCATCGGCAACAGGAGCAGTAGCCGCAGGGGTCGGGACAGGAGCGACGGGCTCCTCAGCCTGCGCAACGGGAGCTGGTGCCGCAGCTGGTGCGGCGGGCGCAGCAGCCTTGTCCCCGCCAAAGTTGGGCTCATCAAACATAGGACCGCTTGTCGCGCTCATGCCGGCAGCGGGCTGGCTGTTAGGCACGGCAGGCATTTCCACGGGGGCAGCGGGTGCAGGTGTATCCGTCACCTTGACCTCAGTATCCTTGGGGGCCTCGGTAGCAGCGGGCTGAGCTTCGGCAGCAGTCGGGGGAGCGGGCGCAACGGCACCAACGGGTTCGGGGGCTGGAAGATGATACGTTAGTCTGGGTGTTTTGAGTGATGCAGAAGATATGAGAAGTACTAGTGAAAACAAGTGTCGTATCTGGCGTAAGTCGTAACAAGATGTAAACCTACTGGACGTGGCTTGCTTGACCTCAGTCAGGGCCGCAGCTTCATCCTTCTTCACCTCGCTCTGAGCTGGATCTGAAGCTGGAGCTGCAGCAGGCTCAGCAGGCGCTGGCACAGGCGGAGCTGGCTCGGCGCCTGTAGCCACAGGTGTCGTCTCAGTCTTCGCGGGCTCGGGCGCAGTTGCGGGGGCTGGGGCAGCCGGCGTAGTCTCGCTGGGCTTGGTCTGCGCAGGCGTCGCAGCAGCAGCCTCTCCAGTGGCCGTGGGCTTTGGCTCCTCCTTCTTGGACTTCTTGCCCTTGAAGAGACCCTTGAAGGCCTTCTTCATCTGGTCCATGGCGTCGAGTGCTGTTGGAATTGTATGTTAGATAGCGCTTCTGTGGGTGTGCATGTGATCACGGGGTAACGTGGACATAGTGGCTTGTGGTGAGTGGGAGTTTGCGCAGATACAAGCTGACACCGAAGTAGCCAACTGCCACGAGGAAGTGTGCAAAGATGCAAGCGCATCAAATTCGGAGATGGACTCGATTTGAAGAGTGGAAATGGGTGAGGATCGCACTTACGAACTCCCGGCATGCTGATGACGAGTCTAGCTAGCTGCTAGATAAGCTATTGAGGGTTGAGGGATAGCACAAGCGTGCGCAAAGAGAACAGGGAAAAGAAATGCAATGGATGAGTCGCTAACGGCGGAGGATATCTAGGTCGCGAAGGAGCGTGATGATGACAGCGAAGCGCGCGGAGGATGTCGAGTTGACGAAGCTCTGTTGTTCTAGCCGGGACCCTGACACGCTAGCCAATCGTCTCCACCTCCGCACTATGCACGCCAGATGCACACCATGCCACCAAAAATAGCGCCATTCATGCACCGCTATCTGCACGCAATCAGCCGCCGTTGGTGTTTCAGCTGTCACTCGAGTACACTACAGCCATGCGAGACATCCTCCAGTTCAGATGTCGCGCCTACCGCTCCCAAGGCTGCCAACGAGGCCGCCGATGCCATAGAGATTAGATGCCGCTTCTGGTTAGCGCTGACTCGCCCTGCATCGACGACGATCGGAGATTTTGTGGTTTATCGCCAACACGTGAGCTGCACAACACCACTCACCCAACCCATGAACACAGGTTCCGGAGTAGATGTGCTTTACATCTTACAGAGATGTCGCCAACTAGTCTTTGCCGTTGTTGCTATGGCATGGGCCTAAGTTTGCGCAGCACAGAGAATACATATGGATAACGTCACCAAGCACAGGGCAAAGGCCCTAAAGTTTGGCTCATGCTGATGAAGATGTACCGAAAAGGCCCTTTTTCTCTAGGTGTCCATCCATTGCGGAGGCCACGGAAGTATCAAAGGATGTTTACTCCAAACTTTGCAGAAAGGTCTTCTTCCGGTCTCTTTGCGCTCTCCTTACAGCAATATGGATGTTGGCAACGCGACAAGTGTGGATGACCAATTGGGGTCGGCGTTTGCAGTATTGGAGAGTAGCCTCATCGTGCAGTGTATCGTGGCGATTGCTGTGATATGCATTTGCACCCGGATATGGTCGTCGCACGTCTTCAGATCCATCAGGTACGGCAAGGGGCACGATGTCCTGCCACCAACACTGCCGTATTGGATACCTGGGCTCAGACATGCTCTATCTATGGCCTATGATTCGCATGGTTTTCTCGCCCAATGTCTGTAAGTAGTCCTTCATTACCAACACAAGATGTCGCATCGCAGTGTAACTAACTATACGACAGGAACCAATATGGTGACGGCTCGCCCTTCTTCCTCGACGGTGCAGGCGAAAGACTACTCTTCATCCTCGATCCCGAGCACATCAAAGGCGCACTCAACAGCTCCGCCGAACTAGACCCCAACCCCTTCATCCACGACAAGATTATGGGCGCACTGATGAGCAGTCCCAAAGCCGCTATTGACTACTACAACTCCCCAGAAAGCAACACAGACTACATCCAAACCACGCACATCCGCCAGCACACCACCGGGACGAACCTCGGTCTCCTCGTCCAACGCCTCTTCGACGTTATGAAGCGCACCATCTCCGAAACCCTCGCCTCGACCCCTGATGGCACCTGGCACGAAATTCCTGACCTGTACGCCTTCCTCGAATACCACCTTTCGTACGGAATAACCGAGACCCTCCTTGGCACCTCCATCATCGAGTCTTACCCAGAAATCATAACAGACCTCTGGATCCACATCGAAGCCACGGATCAATTCTTCATGAGCCTCCCCCGCTTCGTCATTCCGAAAGCATACGCCGCCCGTGACCGCCTCCTCTCCGCAATCCGCAAATGGACCATCAAGTCCGAGGCTCTGCGTCAAGCCAACGCTGTGAACACTGTGTGGGACCCCGTCGCGGGGAGTGGTCTACTACAAGAAAGAGAGAAACTGTACAGTGAAATGCCTGGCCACGGTATCGAGGGCCGGTCCGCTCAAACTCTCGGCTTACTCTACGGCGGAACCAGCCTAACTGTGCCAGTCACATTCTGGTATCTGTTTGAAACGCTGCGGAACACTGAACTACAACAACGTGTGTTGTCTGAGATGAAGGACCACGCGAATGAGGAGACAAAGGGCTATAACTTCATGCAACTCACCTCCCGCCCCCTTTTCCAGAGCCTCCACGCCGAGACAACGCGAATGTATAGTTCCAATCTGGCAGTTAGGGAGGTCACGAGTGAGACGTGGAAGTTGGACGGAAAATACAGTGTACCAAAAGGCACCCAGGTCTTCATCAGTCATAAGTTCGCGGGACAGTTTACGCAGGGGTGGAAAAGCATACGGCCTCAAACTGTTGCCCAACCTCTAGATACATTTTGGCCGGACCGGTTTCTCGTCAATGCTAGTGCTTCAGACGACAAGACTGGGAAAAGAGAAAAATTTAGCGACGCAGGCCTGAGCGGAAGTTGGACTAGCTTGGGCGGCGGAGAGCACAAATGTCCCGGTAGGCATTTTGCACGCAACATAGGGATTGTGACGTTGGCGGTGTTGATGGGCGTGTTTGAGATCGAAGTGGCTGATCTGGAGAGTGCGAGGAGATTGGATCCGGAGAACAAGAAGAAGGCGTTTGGCACGATGAGGCCGAAGAGAAAGATTGCGGCGAGGATTAGGCGGAGGGTTTAGGAGGGTTTGGAATAAAATTCTGGGTTGGAGTATGCATAACCTTTGACACTGTTGATTTGGTACAGTTTGATACGTTGTAGACGGCTCGCGTCTTAAATCCAAGTACTCTCTTGTTTCCGCTCACTCTCGGCTTCTGAAACTGTTCACGAACCCCAGCTTCGGTCTGCATCGAGGCTTTCTCTGGCGTATCATACACCTCTACATACACCTACTGCGGCACCTACGTTGCGCTTCTCGTTGTCGGGCACCTCATCCATTGCACTCCTCGCTACAGCTACGCCGTCCGATATCGCCTCACATGGCTCCCCTTCTCTCCGGTCTGCAGCCTCTGGTACAACCACACCGGTATCACATTCCCCATTCCCTGGCACAACCGTACCGATATCAACGCCGCCATCTGCTCGAGCGCACCCCACAGAGCTAGCAAAGGATAATCGACACTGTACTTTGCTCACCCCGTGGCCAAGATCATCCACCCTCTTCCATCACCCTATCAAGTCTCTCACCAGATGTTGGTGCACGTATGCTAGAAGTATCCGAGATTGCGTTCCGCACTCTTAACGATTGACCGAGTCATATTGACTCTTGCAATCGCATTCGCAGTGCTTACGTGGCTTTCGTGAATCTGCTACATTGAGAAAAATGAGTTAGATCTGGGATCTGTTTGAACGCTCATATGTTCCAGTCTGGCTGCAGTGAGACTACAGACTCTCAAGAGGCGTGTGAGAAGTGTCGGACTAAGGGGTGAATGTGCGGACGCATGCTTCATGTATTCTCCCTGGGTGGACCAGCGACGTATAAGTTGGTGATGTTCCCATTGAAGTACTACAACGAGTATGTTTCGAAAGAGACTTGGGACAGTGTCGGGTTCTGGATCAATCTTTCGTATCTTCGTGTGCTGTAGCTTATCAAATTCAACAATGATAGAGTTATGTTCAAATCTGCCCCCAAAGATGCTCGTCACAAGTACCAAGCCTTAGTCTCTTCACTACGGGAATCTGAGATGCATAAATCTCCTGACAATAATGCCCTCGAAGCGTTTGAAAGACTGTGCTGAAGTCAAGTATCTACTCCTACTTCTCCAGTCTACCAGCCCTCTTCTCATCCCTCCACCACTCACACTGCCTCCTCCTAATCCCATCCCCCTCAACCCTACTATTGCCAAACGGCTCCATCCTTAACTGCAACCCCGGCCTCCCCTCACCTCCATCTTCGTATTTCGGCCAAACCGGCACGCCAGTCCTATTCCCCGCATTCGGATCGCCCAGCGCCACAAAGTCAGAGAAATACGCATTGAGTAACTCCTTGCCAACCTCGGGGTACTGCACACCCCCCGCACCGGCCGGTTCAGCCCACGTGTACTTTGTGTCGGCGGTGTGAGGTATACCTTTCCAAGTGGGGAAGGTGTTGTTTACGGCGAAGACGAGTTTGTAGACGGGGACTGAAGCGGACGACATGCGCATGGCGGTTTCTTGGCCGGGGCATACGTACATGTAGTCGGTAAGAGCGGCGGAGAGGCGGTTGTACTGTGTAGAGTTGGGGCTGTGGACGTAAGGGCCGTTGATGTCGTCCGCTGGGTCAGGGTAAAGCTCCTCGAGATCAGATAGATCATCAGTGGTTAGGCCGGGGATCAGGTTCTTCATGAAGGCGAGGAATTCTTCGTTCGTGGAAATGTCGCCTGGGGAGTAGTACTTCGCTTCGTCGGGGACGTTTGTTGTGATAGTGGGGATGCGGTAGAATTGTTCGTTGATTCCGGACGTTGAGCCTGCTTGCTCTAGAAGAGGGCCGCCCCGCGTGGGTTGGAAGGGCCATGTGATGGGGTATTCTGAGGCGCGCCACAGCAGGGCACTGGCGTTCTGGATGGCATCGATGGGAGCGGAACGTAGGCAGCTGAGTATTTCGGTGTCGGTGCTGTTGGCTACTGCACTGCATCCCGTGTAGCTCAGGTATTGCGCAAACTGCTGCTGGTACAGCGGGTAAGATGCATTGGGGAAAGCTCGGGCAGTCACACTTCCCGACTGGAGAAGAGCCTTGGAGAAGAGTGGCGCGGCGCCCTCGGTGGTGTTGTAGTTGTGGAAGAGATGGATACCGACTGAGTGCGCACCAGCCGAGCGACCTCCAATAGTGACGCGAGACGCATCACCGCCAAAAGCCGAAATGTACTTTTGAACGAATTCGAACAGTGTCTCCTGGTCGCGAAGGCCAAGGTTGAGAAGTCCTTCGCGCTCAAAGACTGGGGAGGGGAGGAAGCCCAGAGAATTGACCTAGACATCGATATCAGCGTTATTCGTATGGAGAGAGTGGATATGCGTACTCTGTAATTAAAATTAACAACAACCAGCGGCTCCTTTGAGTTAGCCACAAAAGAAGCACCATCAAAGCTCCTCGCACTGCCAGCAACGAAACCCCCACCATGAATCCAGATTAGCACCGGTAGTTTCGCGTCATCCGCGACGCCCTGTGGTCTAAAGACGTTCATGCTCAAGCAAGCCTCATCCATCTCATACGTGATATCCAGTGGATCCTGGAAGCAGGAGTATCCATAACTACTCGCGTTCTTGACCCCGTCGAAAGGCTCTGGCGCGCCAACAGGCGTAAACCTTGCCTCTCCGATGGGCTGAGAAGCATAGTCGATACCGAGCCAGGCGTCTACGGCGCGCGGTAGAGGTTTCTTCGTCAATGTTTGCGAGACCGTGGTGCCGGCAAAGGTACCGTAGCCAGGAAGCGTGACTTGAGATGATGTGTTGTATGTGGCCGTTACGCTGGTGAGCACCGCAAAGGTGGTGAGTAGTCGCTGAGCCATGCTGGTGTGGCCCATAATGGCGTCGATGCGGGTAAGTAGAACTGACGTGACGCGTTCGCAGAACGCTGAAGCTACATCCAGCGGCGCCATGGTAGAAGCTCATATACCAACATCCGACGTATGTCTATACTTCCGAGATCGGTCGTATACCTTGCCCTGCAATGCATTCGCATCGACATTCGTCTCCACTTCCGTCTCCACTACCCCACAATCACCTAGTAATCAACGGCGCGATGGTCTTGGTACCTGCTACATACGGCGGCGACGTACGACAACGCGGAGATACGCGTTATGTCGGCTGTTATCTGTCATCGGCAATTCGTCGGTACTTTATCTGACAGCCGATCGGATGGCATCCGACGGCGACGGATGTTGATAAGTGAGGGCGGATGTCAAGAAGTGTTGAGGTTGGGAGATGCAGGTTGCGCGAGCGGAAGTTTGCCGGATCCGGGTAACGAAACCCCGGGGGCCGAGCGGAAACATACCCTCTACTAACTCGCACTCCCATTCGTGTCAGGACTGCAGCAGAAGGCGTACGAGACACATGACTTGGAGCGTGGCTTCTGCTCTAATCTGAAGCGAGTGCTCGTAAGAAAGAAGCGACTCAGGGACATCCTTCATCCGCATCTCTAGGCTTGGCGTGGGGGCTCTCTTTTCTATCTGGCGCCGGCGCTCCATGCTTGACTGTGTCTCATGGCTGAGAGTCCAAAGGTAAATACACCATATGGATGCTTTCCGGTAGACTCGTATGTTCGACCTCTCCGACCCTTTACACGCGCGAAATATGGTCCTTCGTGAAGCTTCAGGAAAGCTGATTGTTTAGCAGATATCTCTCCAATATCTGTGACTTGAATCCAGATGAGCAGGCGTCCGTAAGTTCCGGGTTTATCGCGGTAAGGAAGTCCATAATTCTCCATCTCCAAGAAACGCCCAACGTTTGTTGAACCACCCGCGTATATCTCAATCATTTTACCGCTGGGGTGGCGTATCTCTCTCTCCCAGCCCTCAATGGCCTCTATGGTAGAGATTTGGATCGTATGCGTCAGATTTGCGTCACGCCCTCCGAAAACAGCTTGTTTCTTCTGGGTGATCTTCAGTATGTTATGTTGAAATTCGAATATGCACATACTTACGCATTGCACGACGAAAACAAGGCTTTCGGTGTACCATACACATCGATTACCAGCTTCGCAATATCGCATCGTGTCGTTTTTACGAAACCCTTTTCCGATCTGGACGTTGAGTGAAAGTTCTTCGAAGGAACTTGTGTCATAGCCTTTCATCGGCGATATCCTTCGCACTACATCAAGCTGTCTTGAAGCACCAGAATAAATCTCTTCTAAAGAGAATTCGAGGACATGAAAAGTGTTCGTTGCGTTGCTTTTGCCGAAGTGCAATAGGTTAGGCCAGGGTTTACCTTTCACCCATCTCTTTTCCTTCTCATGAAAATGGTGCTCTTCACCAAACGATCGGTGAGCTCTAGCTTCAAGTGACACAGCATTCGATGCGATCTTCAACTGCCTACCATTGTATGTGATTGAGGCAAAAGTAAAATTGTTTGCAGTTGCATTGACACCTTCTCCCAGCGAACGAGAGTCCACGCTGAATAGGGACAAGTTATCGTCCAAATAGTGAGTTGGGGCTGAGGAATAGCCTTCGCTTATAAGTGGCAAGCTGTACCTGTTGACCTGGTTGATCCATTCGAAGATTTCCAATGAGACGTCGACGTCCGGGTCAGTCATATTGTCATCGAGGATCTCATCTTCCAATGCCACCGCTTCATTGGTATCATCGACTGCCACGGCATTGCGTCTTCCAGAGGATATGTCCATGCGGATCTTATCCAACTTTCCGTGAATCTCAAGCAATGAAAGATAGTGTGCCTCAGTGTTCCTCTCAATCCTGGAGAACGTCGCGACATTCAGGCCACTGAGAAGCTGCTGTAGCCGGGCACTATGGGCACCAATCTTGTCCCTTATCGCAGCTTGTTTTCCACTCGTGAACGCAGGCTTGTCGCGATACCGTGACCGTGCATCGCCAGTGTCGAGCGAGCGGAAGTCGTGCAATATCGCCTTCACCGAACGAAGATCCGCTCTGCAGTCCTGTAAGCGAGCTGCCAACTGGCCTTCCTGCACAGGCGTAAGATGTCGGAACGAGGAATGAGGCTTTTTGTACTCGTTGTCCAGAGCAAGAAGGAGCGATCGTAGTGAGTCGACTAGATTGTGCCATGTCAGTACCTGCACATGCTGGTTCGCTTGCAATCTGCTTACCCTCCACGGTGATCTCACGGAAGCTGTCGCCTGCGTTCTTGCACGACTTATAGACCGAGTATGCGTAGTTGCTAATCAAATAAATGTCACTGATCGAGAAGCCAAAGTTGGCCATTGTGTTGTGAGTGAGCGATGCTAGTCCGAGCTGAAGAGGAAGGAACGGATGCGCCCACATCGAAGTCGGATCGAGGCTATGCTACCAGTGAGCCTTGGAAGTGATGCGGCAAGGCTGAATGTTGATGGCGGGGTTGATTGTGGCGTTCGCGTTGCCTAAGCTAGCGCTTCTCATGGCCATGTCAAGATGTGGATGATAGTTGGAGCTGTAGGGGCCTCACAAAAATTGATGGACGATGTAAGTGGTGTTAGCGATGTCATCTCAACACGGAGTGGAAGATCTACTCCGCGAGGGCTATAGGCGGAGTGGACGTACGGACCACCACGCTAGGCTCAAAACCATCGCATAATCACCTGAGCGTCCATGTATGCATACCTAGGTAGACCATGAATACTAAGCCTGGTTCTAGGACGGAAGGCACACCAAGCATGACATGCCAAGTATCACGTGATAAAATGTTCACTTCGCCATGCAGGTGAGAACACAGGCTGAAAAACAATGGTAGAGACTCGACACGAACGCGCGCATAGCAAGACATTTTCTTGGCAAGTATCCGCTCAATAACAAGCTTCAAAAGCGGCAGAAGCTCGCCTCAATTGATCCCAACCTCCCTAAGAATGTCCAGAACCACTAAACTCCCTATCCAAAAGAATGAACATGCTGTCGATGAAATCCCGCGCCCCGCATCCTCCCCATTCACCTACGACCCCCCATCAAACCCCTTGTCCAACTTCTTCAACGCCTCCTCCACCTCCACCGCCCTCTCCTCCCCACCCCTAAGCCCCTGCAACCTAGGTAAATTATGCATAACGCGCTCGACCATCTCCTCCAACGCCTTAGGATCCCTCACGCCCGCACCCGCACCCGTCATAGTACCCCCAATCCCACCCAAGGCAGTAGCTCGCATGTTATCCCAAACAGCTTGGGCAGAGTCTACTTTGGCCTTGCCTTTGGCACTACCACTACCGTTGTTATTGGTATTGGTAGGGAGGTTGCTATTGTTATTGATGTTTTGATTGCCATTCCCACCCCCATTATCTGTCCTCGGCGTCAGCGACACATTCTGAATTGGCATTTGCTGCTGCATCGACGCCGAAGACTGCGGCACATGTTGACGTTTCCTTAACATGACCTGGCCTTGTTTGTCCATGTAGGTTTCGTACCCTTGTTGGTCGAGCACTTCGTCGGGGACGCGAACGTTGACTGGTGATCGGTTGCTGCTGCCACTCCCACTCCCACTGCTCTCACCAGAGACAGCAGGATTAGGGTTTGGGCTGGCTGCTGGCGCTGCGGGGGTTTTTGCCTTTGCGTTGGCGTCTTGGTTGTACTTTTCCAGCGCGTGGATGCGGTCCTGGTTTTCTTTGTTGCCTTCCATGAGGAAGCGGAGACACATTATGGCGTGTTCGCGGATGTAGGGGTTGTGTTCGTCGTAGGAGCAGCAGTTTAGTACGGCTTCGATGCCGCCGAGTGGGCGGATCTGGTCTTGGACGTGCTTGTTCTTCCAAACCAGGGAACTGAGGACGAGAACTGCGAGCTTCTTCAGATTGCGCCACTCGAAGTCTGAGGGCTCGTCAGCTGCTTCGTCCATGTATGGTCGGGGTGATGGTGATGTAGGTGGCGGGATGTATGGCTCGGCTGCTCCGGCTGTAGTATCGTAGGGTCGTTCAACAGCGACAGGTTGTGGTTGTGATGGCTGCTGCTGATCCTGCTGCTGTTGTTGTGGCGAGGGGATGTTAACCTCTACTGGTGCTGGAGGTGGTGGCGCGTGCTGAACATTTCTCAGAGGAGGCGGCGACAGCTGACCCTTGGGTATCGCTGCGTCCAGCTCTTTCAGTAGGGTGACCAGTTCATGTGAGATCTCCCAGTTGCTCAGCATTCTCTTCCATGTCTCGTGTTCTGTAAGAATGGCGAAGAACTCTAGGTATTGGTACACGCCCTCGTACATGCGTTCCATGTCCCACAGATTAAGAGGAAAGTCCTCGGGTTGCGCATGTCCCGCGCGGATTTGGCCTTGCAGGAAGATGAGGGCGCATGTTTGGGGAATGATATGGCGGCGGAACTCGGTGAGTAGAAAGTTGACCATGTGGACATCGCCTTGGTCCACTTGCGGGTGGTTCGCCTTGAGATGGCCCTTGGTGGGCTGCGCGCGGGCTTGTCTGGCACGGAAGATATTTGTGAGAAGCTTCATGATGACTGCCTGGGCCGGAGAAATGATGTCCTTAGATCTGTCGTAACATTAGTCAAATTCCGTGCTTCCAATGGGTATACTTACTCAGACTCTCTAAAGGCATGGTAAGCGAACGGCAGCAGCTGGTTCGCGAGAATAGCCTCCATGATCTTGACCATGAATTTGAAGTACAACTCCTCCTCGCGCAGATCCCAAGCAGCAACAAAGATCAACAACTCGCGCAGCAGATTTCGGCCATTGTCCTGCGCAAGAAGCAAATGACAGCGAACGCCATGCATGCTTCTGACACTACTGAAAACAGTCGGGTCGGAGTGGTGACCTGGCTGTCCTTCCGTTGGCTCAACGATTCCAGCCATGATGATCATAGGCAGAACCTCAATCTCGGTAGGACCCAGAATAAGCGGAACATCTGTGAGTAACCCTCGGCCTTCATCACCAGGAATGTCATCGTAGTCGTCATCATTGTCATCGTCATCCTCTGGCGGAGGAGAGGTTGGAGACGCTACGTCACTGATTAGCCCTGATGGACGGTCGGGGTCTGGCTCCAGACGCTTTAGCAGATCTTCTTTGCCATTTTGGAGGATCTCCGCACCGAAGGATGGCGGGTATGTCACACGGAAATCGATCTCACCTGCCGGGGGAGACCGTTTGATGCTGGGATCTAGTAACGAGTCATCCAATGCTGGTTTTGGGGATTGTTTCTCCGCTGTGGGTGGGGACGTTTGTTGCTCGCGGTTGGATTCGTCGCCAGGGAGAGCAGTGATAGATGATCGCATCCTGTCGACCTCCACTTGGAGTTGGTTGATGCTTTTCGCCAGTGCTTGTACACTTTCTTCGTTCTTGGCATGCTGATCCACGACTTTGCGGTATGTGCTGGACTGAGTGATCTGGTCACGGTATCTGGCAACGACATCGGCATACAGCATGTTCCATTTCTGAGAGGGTTAGCAGGAATCGAGTCTTAGAATAGACGTAGCTTACGTTCTTCTCCTCTTCGCCCATGGTCTGCCACCGCCGCCGGCACTCGGCGGCAATTTCATTGGCGCCTGCCTTGACACCATGATGTATCAGGGCCTTCTTCACGTCGTTGCCAGTCTCACCGATGTAGAGAAGGAATGGCGAAGACGCAGGCTGCTGTGGAATCTTGAATGCATCCAAACTACGCGCCGCATGAGTGGGCAGAGGCTGCTCTTCCGGTGGCGGGCCTTGATCTTGTTGCGGAAACTCATCCATCTTGTACTTCATGTCTGCGAAATTGGGTAGTTCATTATCGAGATGACTATCGAACAGTTCGATCCAAAGCATGAGCTTCCGCTGCTCATTTCGTGCGATGAGATTATTGAGGAATTGCAGACAAGTGATGAGCAGCTTCTTGTACGCATTAATGACGCCCTGCCATTTGTCTTCGTCCTGGGTTCCAGCCTCACCATCGTAGCCCCGCGCTGTAACGCGTACGCAGACGTTTATGAGCGCGAAGATGTCCTTGTCGAAGAGCCTGTCTGCGCTCAGGTTCTGCACCCTCTCGCCATGGACCTGCACATTCCTCGCAATGCACACGAGCTGGTTCAGCCGTTCCAGATCCCTAAGCAGACTCGGCGAATAGCTTGCAATCAGCGGGCCCGATAAACCCTCGTATTCTGGCGCAGCAGGATCCGGCGCAGCGAAACAACGGCGTTCGAGCGAGGGTATGGCGGCTTTGAGCACGCCAGCAAGATCGTCCCAGAACTCCCACGAGAGGCCGAGCTCTTCGCGCAACTCGAGGCTCTTCCGCGACTCTTCCAGCGTCTTCTTGACAACATCCCGCTCTAGCATGCGCAGTGTATCATCCCGGACATAGCCTGGATTGTGGAAATGGACTGTATAGGGCGCGAGCGCAAGGCGTAGTCGGGTGAGGTAGGGTCGCGCGGTCATGCCAGTCGAGCTCTCGGGCCGCTCTGAGTCGCCCACGCTCTCCGTGTCGTTGATGCTGCTTTCGGCCATGGCTGGCTCCTTCTCAGGCTTCACGTCGGGATCTAAAGGTGCGCGGCGGTCCCAGTCATTCCACAGTTGATGCTCGGCGAGTAGCGATCGGTAGACCCATACACGAATGGGCCCGGGTGCGCGGAGGATGCGGTAGAGGTTGTTGGAGGCCAGTTTTTCGACAATGTTGTGGTATTGCGCCAGCGCTATGGGTGCAAAGGCGAGGTGGGCAGACTCTTTGGCCGTGTCTACAAACGGCGAGGGAAGATGCAGAGAAGCAGGCGGCGAATCGGAGTGCGTGGAGGAGCTCGAGGCGGACGGCATGGTGAGCGGCGTTGACCAAAAATTTACTTGTCGGCCACCAAGACGTTGCCCCACCATGCATCTGATCCCCGCCATCTGACGTACACGCCCGCGGTCAGGCAGATGGTCGCGATTGCCCAACTGTTCATGGCAGGCATCACTCAGGTTTCATCTTGTTGCATTCACGTGTTCACTCACATCGAAATGATAGATTTAAATTTGGTAATCTTGAATTGAAATATACCAATACTGGCATCATATATATGTACGGAGCATATGAACCTCGAGTAGGCATAGTATTTGGCCCGGCGAGTCTAGTGGTACCGCTTGTTTCGATCTTGGAAGCAATGTAATGTGGTCATGATACATGGTAATAGTATCTCCCACGGACATGAATTGTTCCGTTGGCAAAGCTTTTCAGCTTTGCGCCGTGCCAGAAGGCATGAGCACGCAACCCTCGCAGTGGAGGCGGTCACGGTGAATAAAGGGAAGCGGAGATGGGAACGTGGTGGCGACGTTATACGGAGATATTACATACCCTCGGCCTTGAGTCTAGCCGCCATGAAACGGCTCACCTTTTTGGTCTTGCCATCTCGTTCTTCTACGATGGGGCTTTCTTCGTCCTCTTCAGTTGCCTTGAAACCGCCTTGACGCTGGATGAACCGATTGCGCGCCTTGTGATACTCTGCTTTGATCTCGCGGTCCAAGAGAATTGGATCAAACTCATCAGGTGCCTGAGGCTCTGAGGGCAGAGGGGCATGCTCGGTAATGGTGTTGGCTAGTGTTCGTCCAGCAGGGCCACTTGGCACAGGCGGCGCTTCCGGGACATCAGGTGTCGGAAGCATCTGTGGAGGAGCGTTTGCGCCAGCCCGGGCACTCTTGAACCTGGATACTTTGCCCGGTTTGGGTGGTTCTACTGGTGCTACCGGGGCTGCAGACCGCTCGACAATGGTATCGGATATGGTCGTTGTCGATCTAATGGGTAACTGCGCGGCTCGAGTTGGTTCTTGTACTGGCTTTGGTGCTTCAGAAATGTCCAGGTCGTCAGCAAAGCGCACTCCCTTCTTCTTCGACTCCTTTGTATCAGCCGGCGCCTGCGTCGACACTGAAGTGCCCAGAGACTCGTCAAACTGATCGTCGCTCTTGACACGCATAGTGCGAATATCTCCGATGTGGTCTTCGAGAGATGGCTTGGCCGACTCGGGCCCTACATTCTCAAGCATGCGAGCGCCCAACTTCTTCTCCAGTTCCATCATCTGCTTGCGATAATCTTCGGTGATGACAGGCTTGGTGCTGCGGCCATACTCGTCTTCCTCTTCTTCGTCCTCAGTATCGTAGTCGCCGTAGTCGTCATCCTCCTCCTCGTCAGAGTATGAAGCAGTAGGCTGGTCCAGATCGAGTTCAGCGACAATCTGTCCGACTTCCGACATGCCATACTGAAGCATTTGCCTTCTCAGCTCGGCTTCCTCTGCAGACTCGTCGTCTGGTATGATGGCATTGACCAAGCTCTCGTAGTCGTCCTGTGTGAGCTCCTCATCGACAGCGAATTTTGCATCGTTGTCAGGTTGTGCAGGTTGTGGTGTAGCTTTCGGAGTTGATTCAACGTCGACCTCCTCAGCGAAAGACACAGACTTCTTTGCGGACGCCGGGTCTGAAGGTTGGGAGGAGGATGGAGTAGGTTTCGACTCCGGTGTGGTGTGTGAAGTTTGCGCAGAAGTGGACGGCGTATCTGAAGAAGCTTCCTGCGCCTCCGCTGCGTTCTTCTTCTCCAGCTCCGCTTTCTGGACACCGGCCTTGCGCAGCACCTCAACAAGCTCAGCCGCAGCCTTGCCTGTCTGGTTGACCGAACTTGAAACTTCGTTACCCTCGTCATCCAGTTCTTCCTCAATGTCCATCATCGGCTCGCCCTCTTCATTGTCCATGCCTGGCTCTAGCAAGACATCGACACCAGCAAGCTTCTTCTCGGCAGCATCGAGGTTCTTTTCGATAGTAGCACTACTCGTCCGAACATAGTCAATGCGTCTAGAGATCATGTCAATAACTTGGTTAGCAGTGCGTTCCGACGGCGAGTTCTTGCAGAGCAGCTCCTCGACTTCCTTATGGTCCAGGAGAGTAAGTTCGAGGTCGCGTGCCATCTCACGTATTTGTGAGGGTGGGGGATCGCTGGCAGCTTGGATCTCTTCCTTGAGCGCCTCATACTCAGCCTCCCAGGTCGTCCAGTGGGAGAGGGCTTTGCGCAGCTTATCGACATTTTGCTGCAGCTGCACACGGCGGCGCTCGATCTCCTCTAGAGCGCTCTGTGTTGAGGCTGCCATTTTTTGCTGATGTGGTGAGTGGGTTGGAGAGGAAGGAAAGGTGAAGGAATTTTGTGTACAAGAAACAGCGTCGGTCTTGGCAACTGCCCCACAAGGGAAACCATGCAAGCCATGCATACGGATCGTCGGTATGTCGTCTGTCAGACAGGAGCAGTTCGAGATCCTCATATTAAGTCTTGGCTCCCCTCATCTACATTTCTATCAAGTCCCGGTCATGCTCCATACCTCGTAGAACGACCAGCGACTTCCACCCGCTGAGTCAGCATCAAACCTCAAGTTCCCGAGGCCCCATCCTCGCAACTCCATCGCCTCATGCCCGCCATGTCGAAATCCGCGCGCGGCGCCGACGCGTCCAAGCCAGATGGCGGTGCGTCTCTCTCCAAAACCCTCTACAATTTGTCTTTACAGCAATCACAACTCCCTCGTTCCCTCGCTGACGATGCATCAGACTCTTGCCCCGTATGCAGGTCGTCGCGCTTCCTCAACTCCAACATGCAGTTCAAGATCAACCCAATCTGCTACCACAAGATGTGCGATACCTGCGTAGATCGACTGTTTGGCAAGGGAAACAGCATATGTCCTGTTGCTGGATGCGCAAAGACGCTGGCATATAGGAACTTTCGGAGGGCGACCTTTGAGGATCTGAAGGTGGAGCGGGAGGTGGATCTCAGGAAGAAGGTCATGAAGATGTATGTGCGATCGATGGTTAGAATTGACGTCTTGCTAACAATCTATAGCATGAACAAAACAGAAGACGACTTCGAGTCCCTCCGCGACTACAACGATTACCTCGAGCAGGTCGAAGAGATCAACTGGAACCTCATCCTCAACATTGACGTAGACGCGACCTGGGCAAAACTAAAGAAGTTCGAGACACTTCAAAAAGCCGAGTCAGAGGCCGCCGCCCGTAACAAGAGCACCGGGCTCAAAGACGACGTGGACCCGGGTTTCGCAATCCGAGGACTGAAGAAGCGCGTCGCGCCACCCGTAGAAGCACCCTTCGACCCATTCGGCGGCTACAACATCGCGCCACAATACTACGTCCTCCAGGACAACTACGACGTAGACTGGTACGCTCGTATGAAGCGGGATCCAGCACATTTGGTGGGAGGACACAGTTTGCAAGACTACTGCAGTCGGACATTGCGCGAAGCATTCGGCGGCCTGGGTGTCTTTGTTGAGGACGAGATTCCCGCGCGGGAAGCTCCGTCGATGTCCATGGACGCGGATATTGGCACCGAGCATGCCGCGACAGCAGCCATGAGCAGAGATGTCATCATGGACGACGTTTTCTAGATTTCCTGCACTGTGATACCCGGCTTCATGCCAACATTTGGGCGGCGTTCGAGATAGCGTTAGAGTAGATGAGCTTATTCTTTCATGGCATCATTTTGTAGTTTACATCCTGCTTTGCCCAACTTCCCCCGCTGCCCCGTGATATCCAATGTCGTTGTACTCAAACTGCTCCTCAGGCAGCGCGTACCCGTCTCCGCCCCTACCCCGTTGTGTTCGCGCAGCGATAGGATTTGGATTGATGTCCCTTCCAGCATCCTCTTCATCTCTCTTCGCCTCCCCGCCATTTAGCACATCCAACTGCTGGAACACGCCCCTCGTCCTGGCGCCCCTCATGACCTTGATATCCAACCCCAACGCACAGCTCGTGGCAACAAAGCCCAACAAAGCGAAGCTGAACAGCGCCTTATACATCCTGCACACGCTGACTCCAGTGTCTGATTCCCAGCTCTCTGCGTCGCATACATGTGCCAATGTGCCCGAACACCACCATGCGAGCAAAGCGAAGGATACAGTCCAGAGGAGCGCGAGAATGCTGTTGAGGAGTAGGTTCAGCGACGCGGACAGGCCGTGGCGGATGTGTAGAATGATCGTGGTTGTGAGTGTCGCGAGGGTTAGGAGGGATACGGTCATTAGCTAGGCAAATATTAGTATTGTATGTAGTAGGTAAGTAGCCAGGTTGGAATGGGGTAGAAAATACCAGAATAAACGTCCATGGCAACCTATACCCATCATGCGATAGTTCACGTAGGAAGTAAAACATGACACTTGCTACTACTAGGGACGAAAGTAGTTGCGCGCATCGTATGATGTGGAAGGGTAGGAACGGGTACGCTGTTGGTTTTACTCGCGTCTTGCGCGGTGCCATGGTGGGCGGTTATGTGATGTGTTGTTTGGCGCTGTAGGGACGACTGCGGCACGTAGGAGATGATAGTAGAGGTGTTAATGGTAGAGCAAAGACCGCATCCCCGTCATGCGCATGTTGAGACGCGGAGTTGAGACTAAACTAGGGGTCCAGCTGGTCTGGGCAGCTCAGCTTCTCGTATTGCAGCAGCGGTTGCGCCGAGATGGCACCTTTGTGACGGTAGACATGTGTGCAAGCTACAGTTCTTTCGATATTTCGTGAGAAGAGGTGGTCTCGTAGTTGCGGTGTGTATTGTTGTGAGGATAGCCTTGTTCGTTCCTGCTGATAGAGGACCTCAGGCACCCGACTAGCGCGCCTGCCCACTTGGGCGTTTCAATGTTCTACAGCCATTGATCATGATTTCATCGAGAGCTGATTGCGTTTCTACCACCTTTTCCCAGCATGCGGCTCTACCGCTCGCGTAGACTCGGGGCAACGGAGAGATGGCTTTCGCAACAGGATTAGTTGAATGTGTTCTACCAATACTACCAACGGCCAGGGCCCATTGCCACCAGTGTGAAATACGGCTCGCGCATCATGCACTGCCATACAAAAAAGCCTCTAGTTCCCGTTCATCAACTCCCGGACCCACATTGCGGCTGATTACTCAATGTCTTCATCATGCCTCAAGGAACGATAGCATCTTTTCAACGGAACGGCTATCAGCATGGCTACCACGCCAGCAATCGCGACAGCACCCAAGGAAGCATTAGTTAAAGGCTTCCATGAAGCATCCGGGCTACTCTTCTGCTGTCACCAGTAGATGGGCGCAAAAGTGGATGTTGTGCCCATCCCCTGTCCCGTCTCGCATCGGATAAAATCGATACACGATATCAGGCCCGCACCTGCATATGGAATCTTGGATCTCGGCCCAAGATCTCGATGTCGCTAGTATGCTTTTCCTAGTTCAGTAGCGCTGACAAGCAATTTATATTCTGCTGTTATGCTCCAAGGCGACCTTTTGACGGTCTTCAAGTCCTGCGTCGGCTATTCATTCTTTTGAGAGAGCGCTATCTTTCCACAAGACGCGATTATGAAGTTACATACTTCCACATTGCTAGCCTTCGCGCTGTTGGAGTATGGCAGTGCGGCGGTTGTCGAGCGGGAGGCAAAGGGATCAATTAATTCTAGCTCTTACGACTTTGTACGTTGCCTCTCGAAACCAACAGGTTCCATCTTGACTCCCAAGTCTATCTAACAGACGATGTAGATTGTAATTGGAGGCGGAACTGCAGGTCTCGCCGTCGCTTCACGCATCAGTCTCGGACTCCCAGAACTTAGCGTCCTGGTCATAGAAGCTGGACCCGACGGCCGTCAGGAACCAGGTATCTCCGTCCCAGGAAGAAAAGGTTCGACACTTGGTGGCAAATATGACTGGAACTTCACCACCATTGCACAACCTGGCGCCAATAACCGCGTCTTTGCGCAGAACCGTGGCAAAGTCCTCGGAGGTTCCTCTGCGCTGAATCTTATGACATGGGACAGAACTTCCGAGTACGAACTGGACGCTTGGGAGAAGCAGCTCGGCAATAAAGGATGGAATTGGAAGAACTTGTACGCTGCGATGTTGAAGTGCGAGACATTCTTACCGTCGCCTGCCTATGGCACTGAGGGGGTCGGCACAACGGGGCCCATCCGCACGCTCATCAACAGGATCTTCCCCCGACACCAATCCTCGTGGTATCCCACCATGAACAGCCTTGGCTTGGCGACGAACCGAGAGAGTCTGAACGGTAACCCGATCGGCGTCTCCACCCAACCCAGCAACGTCAGCCCCAACTACACTCGCTCTTACGCCCCAGAATATCTCAAACTCGCCAAGGATAACCTGGTCTTGAAGCTAGACACCCGTGTGGCGAAGATTAACTTCAAAGGAAAGACTGCCGTTGGCGTCACCCTCGAAGACGGTACAACAATCACCGCGCGAAACGAGGTTATTCTCTCGGCTGGATCTTTCCAAACTCCTGGTCTTCTGGAACACTCCGGTGTCGGCAACACAACTCTCCTCAAGAAGCTCGGTATTCCTGTCGTCAAGCATCTGCCTTCGGTTGGCGAGAACCTTCAAGATCACATCCGCATCCAAATCTCCTATCAGTTGAAGCCCGAATACCCTTCCTTCGACGTCCTCAAGAACGCCACTCGCGCAGCCGCTGAGCTAGCCCTCTACAACGCCGATGAGGTGTCACTTTATGATTACACTGCCAGCGGCTACGCATACTTTCCCTGGGGTACCGTCGGCAATGAAACCACTTCAAAGCTCCGGAACCTTGTTGATAGCGACGCGAGCTTGACTTCCGCCACCGACAAGTTGAAGAAGTCATACTTTTCACCTACTCTAAGCACAAAGGTGCCTCAACTGGAAGTCATCTTCTCGGACGGTTACACCGGTCTAAAGGGCTATCCCGCCGCCAACTCCTCGCAATTCGGTATTGGCACTTTCGCACTGATCGGCGTTGTGCAACACCCCCTCAGCAAGGGCAACGTACATATCAGCTCCCAGAACATCAGCGACAAACCTCTCATCAACCCAAACTACCTCTCCCATCCATACGACCTCGAAGCCGCTACAAACCTCGCCAAGTACCTGCGTAAGATCGCTTCCACAGCGCCCATGAGCGAGGTCTGGACGCAAGAGTACGAACCGGGCAGTGCTGTTCAAACTGATGCGGATTGGCGCAAATATGCACTAGCGAATACGTTGAGTATCTATCATCCTATTGGTACTGCTGCATTGCTGCCGGAGAAGGATGGCGGTGTTGTGAACTCAGAGTTGAAGGTTTATGGCACGAAGGGATTGAGGGTGGTGGATGCGAGTATTATTCCTCTTTTGCCCAGTGCGCATCTGCAGACGCTTGTTTATGGTATTGCGGAGAGGGCTGCGGAGATGATTGTGAGTGAGCATAGTTAGGTGGTAGGGTGTTAGTGAATCTATGCATGATGTACTGTTGTATACTGAGCGGCAAGACGGCGGCATGAAGATCTCCCATTTGTTCTCGTATGGCGCGTCAGACGATGCCGGTCGTGCTTCATAAGCGTGGTATGTCTGCCATGTAAGGCCTCCCCACCCGTTTGGGCTAGCTTCCTTTCCCCCGCATGTAGGGCCGAGTCCAATCAATACTACTTAGATGCCGCCGATGCCGACACATCGCGGCATCACCACTAATGCGCCCTGCGGATGACACCTCAACAAGCCACAGTGCTTATCAGGATGAACGCCGACGGCAACAACGTCAATGGATGAGCCTCGTCACCAGAACATGCCACCAAGGAATTATATCTAGCAACACAAGCTACATAACCTAAAGCTCGAACAAAGGACTTCGATTAACTGACTTTACATACCACGAAAACGTTCCTTAAGGTTCACTTCACAAGCTATCAACATGTCTTTCTCGATAGGCATGCCTTGGAATAAGGGCGAAGAGAAGATGCACCGCCTCCTCCGCGTTCCCCCTCAAGACAACCCGACTTCTGCCATGCTCACACCACAAGCTGCCTTCATGTTCCAACGCGCTCCTCTGCTCGCATTTGGGACTTTGGATGCGGAAGAGAAACCTTGGACGGCACTATGGGGTGGCGAACCTGGTTTCTCCGAGCCGCTTGGTGGAGGTTTTGTCGGTACGCGTACTCTTGTCGACGGCAAGCACGATCCTGTTGTACAAGCCGTGGTGGGCAGTGGTGAGAAGAGAGATATGAGTCGAACGAAAGACGGGAAGTTAGTAGCAGGTCTAGCCATCGATCTGATGACGAGGAAGAGAGTCAAGACTGCTGGACACATGATCGCAGGGACGATTAAAGACGTCGATGTTGAAGTAGAGGGCGAGGAAAACAGGAAGCAGACACAGCTTCAACTCGTCACCAAGATCGAACAAAGCCTAGGAAATTGCCCAAAGTATCTCAACCAATACGATATCCGACCCGCGCTCGTAATGCCAGAACTAGTATCGCAAGCCTCATCGTTGTCTGAAGAAGGAACAGCGCTGATATCCAAATCCGACATGTTCTTCCTCTCCACCTGCGCAGAAGACGACATGGACGTCAATCACCGCGGCGGTCCCCCCGGTTTCGTCCGCATAATCTCCCCAAAGACGATTGCCTACCCCGAATACTCTGGGAACCGGCTCTACCAATCCCTCGGAAACCTGATGCTCAACCCAAGAATCGGTATCACATTCCCTGACTACGAAACCGGCGACGTCCTGTACATAACCGGCGCGACCGAAATCCTCGCCGGCACAGACGCCTCCGCCCTCCTCCCAGGCAGCAACTTAGCCGTCCAGATAAGGATCTCGGAATGCCGTTACGTAAAGACTGGTCTGCCCTTCCGCGGCACGAAGAAAACACCAAGCCCATACAACCCACTCGTCCGCACCCTCGCTACAGAAGGCAACATCCGCGCCGCACTATCCTCCGCCACCTCCACCCCTCGCCAAACAGCCCTTCTCACAAAGAAAGAGCTACTCACACCCAGCGTCGCGCGCTTCACTTTCTCCGTCTCCGACGGCCTGACGTACCGACCTGGCCAATGGATCGCCCTTGACTTCAGTCGAGAGCTTGATGTAGGATATGAGCATATGCGGGATGAGGATCCGGGGAGTCTAAATGATGATTTCGTTAGGACGTTTACGATTTCCTCTACCCCTACTGCAGGAGACGGGGGTAAAGAAAAGGAGTTTGAGATTACTATTAGGAAAGTCGGGACTGTGACTGGGTTTCTGTTCCAGCAGAATGAGCGGGCGGGGTTGGAGGTTGGTGTTTTGGGTGTGGGTGGGGAGTTTAAAGTCGAGAACACAGGGCAGGGTGAATCGGTTTTTGTGGCTGGGGGTGTGGGTGTTACGCCCCTATTCGGTCAGGTTGGTGCGCTGGATTTGGCAAATGGTGGGTTCATGTTACTTTGGGCGGTACGGGGAGATGATATAGGGTTGGTGAGGGATACGTTTAAGCGGTATCCTGGGCTGGGGAAGTGTACAAAGGTGTTTTTGACTGGAATGGCTGTGGAGGGTGAGCTTGCTAAGACGAGAGATGAGGTAAAGGCGGAGGCGGAGGTGGTTGACAGGAGGATGGTTAAGGGCGATTTGCAGGATGTAAAGGCTGATACGTGGTATGTGTGTGCTGGGAAGGCGATGAGGAAGGAGGTCACGGGGTGGCTTGAAGGGCAGAAAGTGGTCTTTGAAGACTTCGATTACTAGGAACATCGACACGATTGAATTGATGTATTGCTGCTCATTGAATGGTTTGAACTCGCGGTGTTCACCAACGACGCTTGCCAGAACGTGCCTTCCTCTTCACTGTGTGTGACTGCCAATCAAGCAGCTCTATGACAGCATTTTCCTCATTCGTCTCATGACGTCCACATCTTACGATGGTAACTTATCTGCACCTGCCGCCAACTATGACAACCGTTCCGAACCACATGAAGCCACTTCCGCATGCCCACCTTCACTTCTTCTACATTACTGTTACCGCCGTGTATCACTCAGCGTACGACATTTCCGCAACCAGTTCCTTCGAATTCACACAGCATGACGGCTACCACTACAGAACAGACAACTACTACAACCATTAGCAAACATGGGACGGCGAAGAAGTGGCTACAACGGCATCTGCGCAAAGTGGCATCGCGACAGACGTTGAAGAACGATGACGGGCCAATTGAGATGCGGCGAAAACCATCACTCAGACGACCACGCACAGCACCTTCAACAGGAGCGGCACTGAGCCTGCAAGATGCACCAGCAGTACCCCCGCTCCCGATACTTGTAGAGCGAGTGTCGCCTCGACCGCCGGTTCTGCCCCCTCTTCGGCCAGCGAGACCAGATTCCGGCGTGATACGAGATGTCAATGCATGGCTCGATGCCAGCATGAACACGCCTTCACCCCCGCTCATGGGAGGCATTTCGTACTGGAGAGCAGCGACAAGTGTAGGTACCAAAGACTCGGCCGTGGCTCAGCACGCTGTTCCCGTGATTGGAGCGCCCGGAGTCGCCAGACCATCGACAGCCACCAGTCAACAGGGAAAGTCATTTCTTCATTGCGCCAAGAAGATGCAGGTCCAGATACCTTCGCTTTTACGCAACAAGTCTCAACGGCAGGCAGGCCGGAAACAGATCAACAGACAGTCAGCATCGATGCCACTCTTAGCTATTTCCTACGAGGACGTTCAGGAAGCCCCTGGCCCGATGCTCATGTCCCGATCTAGATCACTTCTTCGTCCCGCCACGCGGCCATCGACGCAACATCCCTCGACGCGCGCCAGTGCGCTTCTATCGATCGATCTACAGTCGCAAGGGCAGTTATCCTCCCGGATGGGCACACCAGCGAGTGCGCGACCTAGCGACACGGAGAGCGTCTTCGAGCGACGACTCAATGCCATATTCATGCGCACGGCTCGAAGCGCAGACAGCACCCGGCCATCGACAGCAGCAGCCGGTCTCATCCGCGAAGACTCCATGGGCGATCTTTCCGATGCCCCGACGTACTTTTCTGGACCTCCACCACCGTCTTACCGGTCGCGCCCTGAGTCTTTACTCAGCACTTCTTCCTTCGGCTGCATTGATGGTATGAACCCCACACAACGACAGCTCAGTCAGCAGAGAGCGGCATTACAAAAGGGAACGAGGTGCAGGCTGAAGAGATTCGCTCAAGGGTTTGCGACGTGAGAAGCGGTGACAAGGCGGAGGCGAAGTGAAGCAGCAACGAACGACTTGTACTGAAACACGAGGCCACGATGATGAATGACGAAGAGATGACCGGGAAAGATATACCACATATGAGTACATGACTATACCATTGTTTTACCTTGAAGAGCTGGCATCTTCATACCCAAAACCGGGAGGTTGACTCTTTCCGTTGGCACACTGAGGGATGCGCAAAGGCGCATGGTATTTAGCAACGAACAACTACATGATGTATAACACAGAGCGCTAGATTATATAGTGTGTAATGCAGCTACAGAACAACGGAATGTGTCGTGAAGTCATGTTGATGAAGGCGCGGTAGTGAGGAGGTGAGAGCACCGTCATATGACGTGGGGACGGGCCGCGGTGAACCTAAAGCGGTTGGGGCGTTTTCACCGCCTACTCATTTGATGGCCGCCCATGCACTCCACCATCTCCATCAAGATCATTGGGCCCAACGTGGCACGCTGTACCACGTCTAACGCTCCAACGCACACAATTGAATCTCCATGGCCGCCCGTTGATCCACTCGGCTACCAGCACAACGAAACCCAGCTGGCTGCTCCACTCCACTCCTACGATCCGCAGACTCGCATCATTACGTGCAGCACCCACAGCCAAACGGCTCCCCGACCTCACCTCGACAACGCCGCGCGCCCGCGTAGGCGAACTCAAGCATGGCCTCGGCAGACGAATCTAATTCGCGGCCCAAGAGGCCAGCCGCAATGACCAGACAGTCGTCGTCGCAGTCGCACATCTCGCAGTCTCCGTCCGAGGGCGCCCAGCGCTCAGCCCATCAGAAGAGCCAGCGCCATCATGTCGTCGGTCAACGCGTGCAGAGGAATACGTCCTTCGGCAAGAATCTCAACAAGCTGAGCAAAGCCGAGAAGCAGGCCCAACAGGCGCTTCAGGGCGCAGAAAACACTGGGCGACACCACCGCCGCTCGCAGTCGGGCAATTCCATTTCGGCGCCCAGCAGCCCACACGCACGTCCAGGAATGAAGCGCCATGCATCTTCTGGCGCCGTTGTGAGAGCAAACAACCAGCAAGCAAATCTGCGCAAAAACCACTCGAGCGGCCACCTCCCGCCGCGGCAAGGGCATGCGAAACACGCGCTGAAGGGGTCGAAGAACGAGAACGCTGCTTCCAAGCGGGCGCTCGCAACTCCCTCTCGATCTCGGCAAAGTTCTCCGGAGCCACACGCCGCGGTGCACTTTGACATGCCCAATGACGACGAGGAAGGAGACGAGGGCGGATGGACCGAAGAGAGTGCGTCACAGTCGCCCACTACTACCCGATCCAACACGCGCTCCAACTCGGTCATACTTGAGGCACAACACAGAGCGGCGGAGATCAACATGGAGAAGAATAGAGGAGAATCGCAAAACCCGGCGGGCACAACTCGAGAAGCGCCCAATCAGGCGACCCAGACACTCACCGACCGCACGCGCACAAACACGCAGGTCAATGGCGGGAGCTCCTATCAACATTCTCGACCTCCAGATGCTGATATAATCACATCACGACTACTACAGCGTAGCGCCTCGCATCATATCGCTCCTCAGACATCGTCAGTCGCCGCAACCGTCGTATCTTCCTCCGATCGTCATAATCTGCTCAGTCATACAGCTGGGTCTGTTGGATCTACCTTGGTCGACACGCCAGGGCACAACCTAGTATCGCGCTTCATGGATGGAGACGGATCTGCTGGGACACCTCACGACGGCGAGTACATGGCTGCGCATCAGCTCAAAGAAGATACCGATGAAGGCGAGCTCGACAAGATCAAGCGCAACAAGTCTATGCCCAACTTCAAGGGCGGCGCAGACACACCCTCCAAGACGCCCCAGCGCTCTGGCACGACCACGCCGACCAATCTACCCCCTTCACGAACCCAACAGAAGCTCATGCTTCAACGTGCGTCGTCCAACATTGAACCGCAGAAGCTTGTTCCCGTAACGCTCCCCCGCACGGGCGGTCCCACATATCTTCAATCCAGCATCCACTACAACGGCAATGGCGAGGGGCGTCTGGACCCACGTCTACAGCAGCAATTCAATCACGTTGCGGTCGAGTACAATGTTGTGCGAAGATACCGCAACCCAATTGCAGACGCACTCGCACGAATCTACCAAACCCCTGGCATGTCACGCAAAACACGCATACCCAAGTCGCACGGCGCGAACGGCTTCACGACAGGAGCCAGCAGCGTGAGCACAAGTTTGAACGAAAGCGGCGTCGAAACAGATGGGGCGAGCTCTCGGAGATCACGAGTCAGTTTTGACCATGATGCAGGGCGCGGCAAGACTAGTCGCGACGAGAGCGACTTTGAAGGCAGACAACAAAGTTTCGAGAGTGACCAGGCGCGCAGCCGAAACGAAGCCGAGGAGATCTGTCGCCGTTTATGGGAGAGTGCCGAAGTAGTCGAAGCCGACTGAAGACAATAGTGTGGTTTGTTTGGCGGCGCTGATCAAACATTCACGACTCGCAGCGAGGCGCTCTGTTTGCGTCTTTGCGACTATTGTGTGAGAGATTGCCAAGACTGTTTTACTGTCCAGGTTCGTGCGTTCGCTTGCTTCCCTTTCTCTGCAATTTGCCGTAGTCTGCTCGGGGGGTGAGGGAATGAGGGTCTTTGTTCTCTCCATAGTGGACTGCACGCACGGGTTGCTATGGCGCAAGGGGCTTTGTCTAGTCTGGCTGGAAACAGCATGGTGTTGGGGAAGAGCGCACTTGCGAATATTGCTGCGCCGGCAATGAAGCCGAAGAGACATGAAGTCATGGTGGTGGTGGTGGTGGTGGTGGTTGTTGCTGCATTTGCATTCTGCGCTCAAACTAACTTTTGCGCGTGGCACAGAGTCGTGGTTCCCCGTCTTAAACCTTGCGACTGGCGGAGGCGTCGGCGCATTTGGCATGACACAACACGCGACGGTTGGTTCGAGGATTGAAAGCGAGTGCGATGAAGATGATTTATTGTCAAATTTGCGCGCGCGCCCTCGCTTTCAATCTGCCGTCCCGCCGAATTGCAAGCAAGCAAGCCTTCAAGGTCGATTGCACAGGCGCGACTTGCTTGGCCTGAATTGATTCATTTGAGAAGAGCGGACGTTAGGAGCTGGATTTGCAATGGCGTTGCCAATGGCTTCAATGCGATGGATGGGTCACGATGGAAAGGCGGAAATGAGCAGAAGCCCATATTGTGTACTAGTAATGGTAGGGGTAGTGCGGGCTATGGAGCCAATCAATGTGGATGCTCGCTTGTGTAATTGTAATTTCAATCTTCCAGCGGAGATCGTTACTTGTTCCTGTGTGTCAGTGGTTTTTGATTTTCCCACGATGCGACTTTGCATTGATGGGGCAAGTGCATCTGGACTGGCTTCACATGTTACTGCGCGAGGTCTTTGAGTCACAGGATGCATGCGTGCATATGTTGAGGGATACTACGCAGCAAACTCTTTGCAAGAAATTCTCTTTGCGTTCCACACCACCATCACAACACTTCTCTCATCGCTTTGTTGTACCGTCTCTTCCGCGTCCAGCACGCCAAGGTGTCCAGGCAACAATAGCCTCGTCTTGCCGCCGGCCACGTTGTCGAACTCACCCATGGTCTATAGATGGGATGGGTCTGAGACGCGGGCGCTGGTTGGCTTACTGTGCTACCCAGAACACATGTCGCAACGGGTAGCGTGCCACGAGTGTGCGAGCTGGAAAGGGTGCGGTGTAATAGTACGGCAATTTGTCGTGCTGGCTCCAGTCACGTTTCCGCCCTGAGTGGCCGTCGCCGCCGTCGGTGTACAGCGTCCGCCAGTCGTGCTGGCCTAGCTGCCTCCAGTCGCGTTTCCGCCTTGGAGGCCGACAGACGGCACGATTCGCTGCGCATTGTTTCAGCGTCCGTGCAGCGAGGCGCGACACTGTGGACTGAGGCTGGAGTGGAATGTGGAACGCATGGGGTGTGAGAAGTTGCCTGGGGTGATGGCCGTTGAAACTTGATCTTTAGTGAGGTGAGGATCATGGGGCGTGAACCTTGAGTTCGCAGATGCGATGACAGCATCACAGCGACTTTCTCAAGGTTGCCCCTAGCGATGCGAGTGAGAAGTGAGGTCACCACCCGCCCGTCACGAGGATGCAGCAAGCGTGCAGCACGTTGGCCTTAGAGTGGGTACCTCGGTAGTTCAGGTCCAGCGCGCACCTCAGGCCAACCACAGGACGAGCGCGGACTGGGATGCTGTGCAGAGATTTGCCGTGGCAGCCATAGCCAAGGCCGCACAGACTCCACTCTGCCAGCTAGATCGGCAGCTTCCCTGCTCAGGTACTCCCGTTAGACTGCCCGAACCTGCGTTAGCGCGCCCAGGGGACCGAAATTGCGCTTTAGCAGTGGGAAATTGCACTGGCGGCAAGGATGCCAGGACACGATACAAGCCCGGGGGCGGCCCACTTGCCCTGCCCGTTGTTTCCCCTTCACCCTCCTCAAACGTGCGAGACAAACCCTCTTTTACTCTCTCTCGAGACCTCACGATCTTTTAAAGCGCCTTGCTTACCCACACTCATTACCACCAACGACTACTATCTTTGATATCTCACTCTCTCTCTCTCTCTCTTGGTCCAAGACTAGCCACACTGCTCTCTCGCATTCCAAACAAAAACAAATCACCGTTGCTCATCTCAAACGCACCTGCATAACACCTGCAACTCACCCATCTTCTGATTCGACATCGAAGCACTGCGCATTCACAGTCGCATATCCAACCCACACAACTACCTTCCTTCACCAACACCAACACCAAAATGCGCTCCTTCAGCCAAATCATCATCGCGCTCTTCGCGCTCCTCGTGTGCGCCTACGCCCAGGAAGACCAGTACGACGCAACCGTCTACATCACCTCGACCGTCTACCGCGTCAACACCGTCACCATGTCTTCCTCCACCCCCGCCGGCTACACTGCCGCAAACTCCACCTCGACCATCTCTGCCACTCACCCCACCATCATCCCCTCGTACAACGCCGGCAACACCACCGCCAGCATGGCCATGCCTACTGCCTCCGGCCCCATGGCCAGCGCCAGCGCCTCCAAGCCTGCTCAGTTCGAGGGCGCCGCTTCATCTCTCCAGATCAACGGTCTCATTGTCGCCCTCGCAGCTGGTGTCGGCTACCTCGTTCTATGAACGTGAGAAAAGAAGTGAAATTGCATCATCGACTGGTGCGCTGTCTTTGATTCAACAAATACCCTTTTTTCTCATGTTATATTGTTTCTAAACAACCCATATCACGAGGATGTATGTCCGTTTACGTCTTGTCTTGCGTCCCGAGTTTGCGACTTTGCATCATACCCCCTTTTCAACCCTTTGGACTTGTCCATCGGAGTACCTTTTGTTTCTACATTCACGTTCCTAGGATCACCCGAATCCTCCTGTTTTGTTACCCACAACCACACTCCTTTTGTAATCACACACCATCTTTCTCTTGTCTGCGACGATTGACGAAACTTGTGGGATTATTATCAACAACAACAAACTTACTGGGTAATACTGGAGCATTTTGGGATTTCCTATCTTTTGTTTGTGGTCGACCGGCATTTTCTTTTGTTAAGTTGGTCGACCTTCTGTTATACCCCCTTTTAGGCGCGCAATTAGGACGCTGCTTTGTGTGCGAAATGCGAATGCGATATCTATCATGCATTGGAGGTCCATACTTTGTACTTGGTTGAACGCGGCTTGCTGCGCACCTCTGATTGTTCTTCGCTTGCTTTCTCAGCGCAACAGATGATTTGCTGCCTTCTTCTCTGGTGGAGCTGGAGTTTGGTGATACCCCGATACCTACTTTTTTTTTGAGAGTGCGATTTAGCTTGGTGTTTTGATTGAGAGAGTGGAGGGATAGGATAGGATAGCATAGTTGAGAACGAAGAACTACTTGTTCCATCGATTTGACTTTTTGTTCAATGTGATTGTGCGACCATCGAAGATCCATATTGTTACCCGACTTCCATCCCAAAATCCCGCATCTTCACCGCCCATCTCTCACCTACTCACCAGCCATCACCGCAATCTCCCTTCGTCCTACCCTCTCGGCACCCATAGCCGAACACGCTCCCTACAGTCTCGCTTCTAGACCTCCGTGCCCTGGTGCTAGCAGCTTTCTAGCTCATGCTCAGTCCACTCTTTCTTTCTTTCGGTCGCTGCCGTAATAGCGATCGACATGTTCGGCTGTTTTTCTCTTTGACCAACTCGGAACCGCGAACTATTCGGTGATATGCGCTTTACGGTGGATACGGTCGGAGTTGTGATTGAGTCGAGATAGGGATGTTGGGTGTGGGTTGGCGAGATGAAGTTGGTGGGATGAGGGGGGTGATGAGGAGGGTAATGTGGGTGGTGGAGGGCAGGGAGGGTGATTGTGGGAAGTTTAGGTACCCGCCACAGAGTCCCGGGGATGGAGAGATTAGCAGGAGGAAGAATGTCGGATCGAGCTCCTTTACGTGCGAGGACGTTAATATTTAGTAGTTGTTCGCGATCAAGCGTATAGATCCAACGGCCTAAGGAGGACACGCGACCCCTCAAGCCCATTCTACGGAACCATCAGGTATTGTATCGTTTTGTTTTTTCTGAGATGGCTATGATTCGTGACCACAAGCACATGTCCGTATGACCTTTGTCAATAATTACGATATGTTCAGACTCCAACATCCTTCCATTTCCCTCCCAACCTGATCATTCACATCTTCAACTATAACTCCCACCCACAGGTCCCTCCAACCCAAAACAACTCGCGAAATAACTCACCGTCCCCGCCCAATCCGTAAACAAGCCCTTGACCCCCACCTCCCTAACCAGCACATCCAGCACCTCATAATACTGTCCATCATGGTCGACCACATCCGCAATACTCGCAAAATAATACTCCGCATCCCTCTTCACATTCGCCAACGGCCCACTCCTTTCAAACGTCCAGGCAATAATATCCATGCCATTCGCTTTGATCGCTTTCGAGTAATCGCTTTCGACGACGGTGTTGTTATTTGCGCCACCGACGGATAGTAGCATGGGCAGCGATGGCGCGATGATATTCACGCCCGCAGCGCGGGCGTCGGATAGATTTGCGAAACCGGCTGCGAGGTCGGCGGGCGTATCGAATTCTTGTAGGTAAACGGCCTGAGCGCCAAAGTCTTTGTCGTTTTGTATCCAATACACGACATCATCGAATAGGAAAGATTGCGGCCACACGCGATCCGCATGGATACCCTTCTCGCGGAATGCAGAGATCATGTCGGAGGCGTATTGCTGCTGTGTGTAGTTTCCCTGGAAAGGCATGGGGACGACAGCGGGTGGCGTTTTTAACTCTGGAGTGAAGTTGCGGTAGCCCGGGTAGGAGTCTACGAGGTCGATGTATTGGTTTAGGGTGAGGGTGCGGGCGCACGTGTCATAGAGTTCTGTGCGCCAGAGGGGGGTACCAGCTTGGTAGGTCAATGGGGTTGTGGCTGAGGCGTTGAAGCCGTCTTGTTTGCTGCAGAGGGTGCTGACTGTGTTTCGTTAGTAGATATTGGGGATTTGGGTTGTTGAATTGGAGGTGGAGAGCGCACATTCATCGATTGTGATGTCTGATGTACAGCATAATGCATTCGCGGGACTCGTTGCATTCGCTGGTGTAAATGGTATAGTGCATTTTCCTGCCAATTCGGGCCTGAGTAGGATATCCGTTGTTCGGTGCAAGTCGCATAGATCGTGTCTGCACACTAACCCCAGATCGCTTGTGAAAGCTACATCGCATTCCAAGATACCGGCACCCATCCGCGCTCCAGCATCTTGAGACCGGATGGATTCTTCTGGGAATTGGAGTGTACCTCCACCGCGGTGACCAATCGTGAATGGAGAGATTGAAACCGGAGTGTTTTCACACGACTGCAGTTTCCGCTTCAGTGGACTGTCGGTCATGTTGTTGATGATGTAGTACGGTCGAGGACCGACGGAAACGAGGTAGTCAGTCGCATTCTCGAGAGAAGTATGGTGATGCTTGCTGACAGCCGGGTAGCCCAGAGCTGTAGCAGCGAGTCCCAGGACCAGAAATTGATTCATATTGACGAAAAAAACGATGACTTTTTGGAGGAGCGAAACGACGACAAAAACCAACACACCACCCCTCAATCACAGCCAAAGCCATCCATCTTTTATACCCAACGTCGTCAGCCTGCTCAAGCTAAACGGCATTCCCCTACGTCAACGACAGGCTTAATCGATGACCCTAGCCGTACCTAGGTAAGCTGCAGGAACGGACGCATGCTAGCCATCCATCTATCCCATGTGCGCGGCACGCAGCGGGATCACCCCAGTCGCCAAAGCTTGACAGAAGCTTGCGTGAGCTTGCTCGAGCTTCTGCAGCGACCGCGGAAAAGCTTAGTGTGTTCCCAAGCTGTGTAAAAAGCGGAAGGTACGGACGGATTAAGGTCACACGTGGGTGAGTAGGCGGACGTCGTTTAACGCGCGCGCAGGTGTAATCGGTTGGGATTGCGCCAATCGATTAGCGCATGTGGGGCGCATGCGGCATGCATGTACCTACGTGGGCACGTTGATTCAACCCCGCATGTATCCTGTCAACGACGATGCGTTATGATAAGACGTTCCGGCCTAGTACGCTAGTATTTGTGAGTATGCGTGCTTGTTAGAGGATTCGAGATGCGGTAGGAATGTCGAGAAGCACATCTCGTTAGCGACCTCTACAGGCATCATCCTACTTTCCACCGAAACCCATCCAGAGTGTCAACTTAGTTCCAATTGCTTCTTATTTCACTTCATCGTCCGAATCTATAGGATGGAATGCATACAGCATTGGTCTAGCCACGCTCAATATCTCGCATCTCAGCGCCCAGGCTTGGACCGGACCATGGCGGGACCAGCAGGCCCATGTTACGTCCACGATTTTCCTGCCAACCTTGCTCTTTCTCCTCTTCAGTCTTGTTCGGGTCATAGAGATTGCCATCGTCACTCTGCATTGAATCCGACGGCGTCGGCAACGAGCTCGCACTCACCCTGCGAAACGTCCTCTCCGTAGGATTGGTCGAACACGCTACTCTCCCAGGGGTCCTGACAGATGAGGTGGCTGTTGCTGGTAGTTGATTTCTTGGCGGTGAACGAACTCGCGCTTCCTGAGCTGGAGTAAGTGAAGGGAGAGAAGAAAGGAATTCCCGTTCTTCTTCGGGTGAGCGTGAACGACTGTGTGTCGGGGTAGGATGTCCGTCTTTGTTTCCTCGACGCGGCTTCATCTGTGTGGGACGTCGATGCATGTATCCCCGTCTTGCAACATCTACGTAGAACTCTGGTTTAGTTTCTGTTTGCTGAGTCTTCGCCAGTCTGTCAGTTTTTGACTCCTTGGATATTAGGTGTTGGTTTGTCTTGACCCAGTCGTTCTCGGAACGTGCATCTTGTTCAGGAGCGGGTCTGGTTTTTGCTTGCTGACTCTTCGCCAGTCTGTCAGCTTTTGGCTCCTTGAGTATCCGATGTTGATTCTCTTTGATCCAGTCCTTCTCGATCTGTGCATTTCGTTCTGGAACGGATGAGGACTCTTCTTTCCCAGTACTACTTCCCATGGCTCTGATCGAAAGGCTGTTGCCAACTCCTCTTCCCTTCCCATCTTGGAGACTATCGAACGCTCCACCAGTCCAAGTGTTATTAAAGCCCCTTTCACCTCTTCCACTGCCGTTATCCTTGCAAAAGCCCCTTCCTCCCCGGCCATTACTATATCCTTGGTTCCCACCTCGTCCGCGCGGTGCTCCTGACATGCCGTCGAAGTACCTCGATCTTGGTTTCTCTCCAGTTGAGATTGATCAGCCGTAAAGTATAACGCTCTATATGTGCACGCGAATTGCGACTTTCATTCAGCAGTTTGTAACGCCAGCCCATGATTCCGGTGCCTTCGTCACCAGTACATGTCTCACATCACATGCCACGTCCAGACGCTTCTCCAAGCACCCGCGGAATTCGTACCAAACCCCACCCATCTATTCAGCTACCTTTTAATCCACTTCCACTTCTCTATCATTTTCTCCTTCCACACACCACACCACCACACTACCATATCACCATACTTCCATACTACATCTCCATGCTCCCTCTAGCACGTTTCCGAAGACGAATCCTCTTTGCGAGAGCCACACTGCATCTTGACCTGTGCGCAGATGGGAAACGGCGATGCCGAAGAAGGCGACTCCGCTGCATTGCCAGTAGCGAGTGGGCCTTCTTGTAATGCCAAAGCAAGGTCAGGGCGCTCCTTGTTGACCTGGTCCTGCTCGCAATGTTTAGTTAGACGTGGACGCTGCTCTTGACATAGACAGCGGCATTACACCTCAAATAGCTCCGTCAACACTAGCATCACGTTCATAGCCTCAAATCACAAAAAGCCCACATATCTCAAAGTTTACTTAAATTCGATTCTTCCACCCACTCCACCCCTATCCTATCCTATCCATTCCTATCCATCCCCTTTCTAATATCTAACAATGATTCAAGAGAAGTTTGGTGTTGGGTATATACAACTTGTAAGCACAAAGAACCTCCCAAGATAGCAGTTTTTGCGCAACTGCTTAGCCCGCCAACGAAGGCATGTGTGTAGACATCTACATAGGAAAAAAGATGATAACAATCTCGATGTTAAATACAAAAAAAAAAGGAAGACGGCTTATTAGTACGTATATATGTGAGAGAGATTTCGAGTTCTGTTGATAAAAGAAAATTGGAACTGGGGTATCAAGCTGCAAGGCCGGGTATAATGGGTATAGCGAAAAGCCGAGCTGAGTAGTAGAAAGATAGAAACGAGATAAGGAAGAGATGGCGAGATTTCTTACAAATGGAACAAGGAGATGGAGAGAGGGAAATCGCTGTAGAGTGTGGACTGTCCGTGTATCGCGTTCCGTGTATCACGTTACGCCTTGCCCGAAGAGTCCGACGCCGGTTTGGTGACAATTTCTGCTGTGGTGTACAGCATCAGATGTTGTGGAGAGTTCGATTAACCCATCGAGACGCTGGGGTCATTGGAGCCGACAAAGCCCGTTGACATACCCATGTCCATGCGGAGGAATTGGTCTTGGTGGCTGTCGAGACCATCCATGCCGCCTGACATGCCCATGGAGTTGCCCATGCCGCTCATGTTATTTTGATTCATGGCGTGGGGGTCCATCATGGCCAGCGATTCTCGTCGACTGCTGTCAGCTGAGCCCACGTGCTGCATATGGGGCGAGAGCTGATGCTGCTGATGGGGCCGGAAGTCTTGGTTGCGTGACTGGTTCATGTGCTGGCGTGCGGCTGCCCATGCTTGGGCTTGAGCCTGGGCTTGGGCAATCTGGGCCTGCGTGATGTGCTGGGTGGGTTGCATATGTGGCTGAAACTGTTGCGAAGGATGTGGCGGGGTGGGTTGGAGGGGTGCTCCGTGGTGATGTTGTGGCTGGGGGTGATGCAAGGCCTGTTGTTGGGCCTGATGCTGCATCTGATGCATCGAGTCATCCTCCTCAATGGTCTGGGGCGTCAGGTCAATGTCGTCGTCGTCATCGTCACCTTCCGCATCGACCTGATCGCAGTCTCCATCACCACATACGGTGGGCGGCGCGCTGAAGGGCATGTTGGATTCGACCTTGATTGGGCTGCCTTGTCTGGGCTGGTTCACGGTAGCGAATTGTGGTGGGATACTGGCCATGGAGCAGCTTCTGGTACTGGCACCACCGGGCAATTGCTTTTGCGCGCCCATGCCCGAGACTGAGGCCCTGTTCTCGCGTATAGCAGTCCGCCACTTGTCGATGAGACGGTCGTAGTCCCAGTTGCGGTAGTCCATGCCGTGCTTAGCAAGCTCCCTAGCAGTGTCGGTGCCCAGGTTGATGCTGATGGGCGACACATCGGGGGCGCCTGAGGTCCAGCGGTTAGCTTTCAGGTATTCAATCTCCCTGCGTGCGTTCCCTAGCTGCACCTCGGCTTCCCGTCGCCTGTCGTCGGCACGGGCATAGCAGCGCAGTATCTCAACCTGCCAGCACTCCTGCCTCGTCTTATCTGACTGCTGTGTCCAGTGGTGGAAGGCGTCTGCAATGTGCCCGAAGAGGCGTTGTGGGTCGTGGTCGAAGAGCGGTGGGGTGGGCAGGGGCGAGGTGTTGGTGGAAGGAGCGGAGGAGTGTGAGCCCGCGGGATAGACCTGGTTGATCTGTCGCTGTCGCTGGTAGGCAAGCAGACGCTCGCGGACCTGCTTATTCAGCGCTTCGAACTGCTTCTGTCCAGGCGGGGTGATGGACCATGACTCGGACGTGGGAAAGGGCGTGGGGGAGAAGAGGGTAGAGGGCGCGGGGAGGATCTGGAGGCACAGCGAGGGGAAGCTTTGGGTGTAGGGGTCGAATTCGAAGAGGCCGGAGCCGGATGCTTTTGCGCTGGTCTCGTTAGCACAATACAAATAGGGAGTGATGAGGTGACATACTTGGCGTCTCGCACGCTCTTCAGCAGCTCCCGCAGCGCCATCTCGGTGGCACTCGCAATCTCATTCTCCTCATTCGACTTCCGCCTCTGGTCCAGGTCGGCCTTTCGCGACTGCCGCGATACGTCCCGTCGCAGGTCTGGTGTTTTGGTGTTGAGTCGTGAGGGCCGGTGGCCGCTTCCCCAGCTGACATCCTTGAACTGCCCCCTCGTCTTGCCCACCTCGAGCGGCTCATCGTCGTCTTCCGGGCTCTGCACGAGGACCGAGTCCTCGCTCGCTATCCGCTTCTTGTTCGCGGGCGTGCTCGTACCGCTGTCATCTCTGCGCGGCGTTGACACGCTGCCCTTGGCCTGCCGCCGTGTGATGCCGCCTCGCAGCTTCCGGATCTCGTCGACATTATGCACGCCATCGGGCGCCTTTGGGTTCTTCGGTCGGATGTATAGGTCTAGATGGCGTCCCAGGCTGGACGAGGTGAATGCCTGGCCGCAAAAGGGACAGTTCTTGTCTTTGGCCGCCTTGAGCTGTGGTTCGGCGGTGGAGCGAGGTGTGGACGATTCGGTTTCGCCCATGATGCCCGCCAGATATTATTACTCAGGGTTCCCAAGCTCGAGCTTATCTCGATACGCAGAGTCGTTCATGCGTGGCTGCAGCGTGGAAGGATTATAGCTGCAGCTATGACATTACTATTACGGTCAGAAGGGGTAGTATACAAGGAAAGATGGGCATAGTGCACGCCAATGGCTAATGAGAGGAGACCAATTGGACGCTGGCGACAAAAGGAGCGACGCGTTCGTTGGAGCAATATTATCTCGCTGCGGCTTGGCGCGAAAAGCTGCCCCTAATGCCTCTGCCGGCCACTATGATGCGCGCGCAGGAGGCGCGCAGTCAGCCGTGCGTGCAGCGGGAAGCCAGCCCGCCCGAACCAAAGGGCCCGCGACCTGTCAGACGTCGCGTCCAGGTCTCGACAGTCATGAACAGTCGACACAGAAATTGCACTCGCGTCTATTTTCGCTCTCTTTTCGCCTCTACCGCACAGCTTTGGCCAGCCTCGCCGCTGTCCGCGCCGCAATGTCCTCATACTCGTCCATGCCGCCGTCAAGCTTCCTGAGCTGCCCTCTAGTCAGCCGAAAAACGCTCCCCGGAGCTAACCCTGTCGCTTCATCCTCCGACTCGCTGCTGTCGTCAGCCTCGCCCTCGGACGCGTGAACCCCTGGCGCTAGCTTATACGGCGACTCCCTCTGCACCACGGTTCTGCGGGGTGTTAGTCGCTGAACTCTATTTATTCACTCCAATGTACATACCTCATGAAGAACCGGTCGTGTGTCACCACCAGCAGCGCCCCGTCGTACTCTCGCAGCGCCATCACGAGACCCAGGATGGTGTCGGCGTCCAGGTGCGTCGTCACCTCGTCGAGAATGAGCAGTTGCGGCGGCGGCCATAGCAACTTGGCAAGTGCGACCCTGACCTTCTGCCCTCCCGACAAGAGCACGAGCGGAACATCCGACACCGTCTGGCCATGGAGTCCGAGTCCGCCCAGCACTGCCCGCGCATCCTTCTCCTGTGCGCCCTCGCCAAAACTTTCCATCACGTGCCGGAGCGCTGTGGTCTGAGAGTTGGAAGCCGCGGTCGCAGTGATCTCTTCGACCGACTGCTGCGAGAAGCGGCCAATCTTCACCCTTGCATGGCGCGCGACACTGCCTGATGTGGGCTTGAGACCGCCCTCTTCATCACCGCCCATTATTATGGAGACCAGCGTCGTCTTCCCTGAACCGTTGAGGCCTGCTAAACCTACCCGATCCCTCGGATGTATGGTCAGACTGACGTCGGTCAAGATGGGCAATTTCTTTCGCCCAGGGTATGCAAATGACACCTTCTCTATACTTACCAGTGCCCCGGGAAACTTTAACTCGGGTGGCTGATGTGGGAAGGAGAGGTGCACTGGGGGATCAAAATCAGGTATCTCAATCTCCGCCCGCTGCGTCGTGTGATAGCCTGCAAGATCGCGGTTCAACTTGAAGCGACCACCTTTGGCACTGACCTGCAGCCCCATTCTATCATCAAGTTTTTTCTTCCGAGACGCAGCCTGTTTCAATTTCTTGTCATCTCCCTTGTCCTTGGCAGCCTTGATGTTGCCTGCGATGGTCTTTTCAATGTGCTTCTTCTGCTTGTCCTGGGCTTCCTTCATCTTGGTCATGTACCGGGCCTTCTTCCATCTTTCGCGCTCGTACATGCTGAGATTGCCGCGGAAAGTCTCGAGAACTTGGTTGCGGAGAACAATGAGCTCCTCGGCTACGGCGTCTCCAAAGTCGCGATCATGGGTCGTTATCAAGACAGTCGTATCTTTGAGACTGCGGATGTAGTCTTGTAGCCAGATAATTGACGGCAAGTCAAGGAAGTTGGTGGGCTCGTCCAAAAGTAGTACGTCCGCATATTGTGTGAGAGCACAAGCCAGATCGCAGCGCGTCTTCCATCCCCCTGAGAGTTCCGACACGGGCTTGTCGATGCGATCCTCTTTGAAGCCGAGGCCTAGCAGGACTACACGTGCTTTTGCTTCTGCCTCGCCCGCATCCATAAGTTCGAGAGAGGCCTGCACACCAGCAAGCAAATCTGCAGCTGCTTGTGTTTCTTCGCTCAGCTTTGTGGAGTCGATTTCAGTCTCTTGTAGTCGCTTCTCGGATTCTTCGAAGCGCTCTTCAAGCTTGATCAGCTCTTTCCTGGCCGCTTTGCCCCGGGCTCCACTTCTCCTCTCAGCAATTCGGTGTCCTTCTCTCAGTTGAAGTGCTAGCCTCTCATGACCAATGCGTCTGTACGCCTGAACCGGTGCCATGGAATCAACTGAATTCTCAACCGCCTCACTAAGCAATTTCGCTTCTCGCACGTAGCGTTCGCGGACTCGATCACTTCGGACAACATGCTGAAGGACAGTCTCGCTCTCCAGGCTCAATGCAGTCATGTCATCTCCCAAGTCGTCCTCTCTCGTCTGGCCCAGAAGTAGAATGCGCGTACTCCATGGTATACCCGGAACCAGACCGTCGGCGATAGCTTTGAGGAGTGTCGACTTTCCTGTCCCGTTTCGACCTACCATTACATAGTGGCGTGCTTCCACCAGGTGAAGCGTTGTACGTGATAGTAGTTCTCGGTTAGCGACTGTAATAGACAGGTCTTTGACGAGTATCTGCATGCGTCAACATCGGTGCATAGAGGAGAGGTCTGCTGCACGCTTACCTCTTTCGACGCGGGTGCATCGACAGAATCGACTGCGTACCGCGATTGCTGCGCCGTGACTGTTATGTGTCCACCGCCGTGATGCTCTTCCGATGCTGGCGCTGCCTCTTTCGCTTTGCGTACCATTGTGGGTGTGGTCGAGAGATGGCGAGTTTAGCAGTGTCGTCGCTGGAATGGTATCTTTGACTTTCGATTATGATGATCTTGAGTAACGGCAACCTTCCAGCTCATATACACGAAAAAAGACATGGCCGAGCAGGGCTAGCGCGATCTGTGGCAAGGGATGTGCGATGCTAAGACGGATGGCGCTCGGCTCAGGATGAGTCGACGTCGTGGCCTCTGATTGGCTGAGCGGAGAATGACTAATCTTCGGAGGAAGGCACAGCAAGACGACCCACGAGATCAACTCAACGTGTGCTTACGGCTACCGACAAGTCTCATCATTGATACTCGAACTCCTCCGCCAGCTCCTTCAACTCTTCATCATCTTCCTCGTATGTCGCATCTTCCGGCCACTTCCCTCCGGCACGCAAGATAGCGTATCTGGAGCCTCCAATTTCACGTACTCTCTCTTCCCATGTTGATTTTTCAAACTCTTCTTTCAACTCTGCGTAACGTTCTTTTCGGGCTTGCTTCTCGGGAGTGCACGTGATTTTGGAGCCCCGGGATCCTCGTGGCGCCTTTTTCCTTCTCTTCTCGGACATGTCGTTTGCTTGATTCGTATAGGCTGCCCACATTATAAGCTGTTGCTCGGAAGGATGGACCTCTTCCCAACCTGGGACGCCTACGGGAAACTCAAGTCCCATGGGGAGAGCTTGCTGCCGTAGGTCCGCAATGTGTTCGAGGTACTGCCGGTCTGCTTCTCGTTGCTGGATCGCTTTGAGTCGCTTCGTTCTGGCAGCTAGTCGTTTTGAGGCTGGCGAGAATTTTGTCTCGCTCCTCTCATCACTCTTCAGGGAGGCAAGGACGCCAGTGTAACCCATACTAGCCAAACATCCGTCCAATACCTCGACATCTCCTTCCGACCGCGTTACCTCCCAGTCTTCCAACGCTTCGTAGCCGGATACATTCAATGGAAAGGGTATATCCCCCTTCTCCGCCTCTTTTCTGTACCCCGCGATTTTCAACATCCACGCCCTCTCCGCTTCAGCACTCCTATCCAGACTCAACGCCTCCATCGTCGCGACATTTCGTGCGCGTCTCGCATCGGATATCTGTGGAGGAACATATATCCTCAGAGTGGCGGCTTTTATCATTCGAGAGCGTCTCCTTGCGTATGAGTCGCATGGATGGCTGCAGATGTGATTGGCTCGTCGTTTTTGGATCATCGTAGTACCGGTGAGAGAATGTAGGTTTAGCATCACGGTATCATGGCTCGCGAAGACTGGTATCGCGTGCTAGAACACGGTAAAGATGGGCGTGAACAAAGACTTTGTATGGTATGGCGCGAGTGATGGTAGTGGCGAGATGGAACAAAGGGAGGTTTGGTACGACAAAGAAAAGAATGGGCCGGATAATAGGATGATGGCATAAGTCTTATCACCCGACGGCAGGCGAAGTTGTCACTAGGCGAAATGATATCCGGGTATTTGCGAATTCCTCAACATGAGCAGAATTTGAGCCATGCGCAACGAGAAACGAACGAATCGATCCCCCACATCCACTCAACTCTGCCTAGCCCTCAGATCCGCCTGCCTGCCCCTCATACTCTGGAAGAACCCCTGCATCAACGCCTGATCAATCCGACTAAACTCCCACCACCCCTCCTGCGCCGCATCCGTAGTCCCCACATAAACCTCCCTCGGATGCAGTCTTGCGCAAGGCCATAGTCCAAACGGACGACAAGACAGCGTTGCGAGCAACGGATACACTTCTTCAAGAAGCAAACTCGACAACACCTTCATCTCGCCCTTGTATCCCGGTGATAACTGATCAATCATCTCCTGCGAAAGCTGATCGAATGTCGTGTCCACAAGACGTACGTGTCCGCCATTACATCCCCATGCTGCTCCATACGGCGGCGGGGGTCTCGTTTCCTCAGTTGGCGGCTCAGTATGCGACTTGAACGCTTGTTTGTCGACGACAAGGAAGTCTTGTGTCCACATACGGCCCAGCGTCGGTAGCATAGTAAACGTGCTCTTGAAATGTTGTTTTGCAGCCGCGGTGTCGCCTTCCGCAATACCGGCCTCCCGCCCGTCGATGAACATGATTTTGGCCTTGCCGATGATATTGTCGAAGCCCGAGATCCAGGTTCCAGATCGCATGACATCTTTGGTGAAATTTTCTTGGAAGGTAGCCCATTCGGAGTCTGTTTGCTCGTAGGTCAAGCGGTAGCAGACGAAGCCCCATGCGTCAGGGTTCCTCTCAAGATTTCGTGGGTTCTTTGCGTAAAAGTCCATGCGTTCGCGTAGGATGGTGATCCAATGTTCTTGCGCGGCGGGCTTGGGCGGGCCGCATAGGGCTAGGCGGGTTTCGTCGCGGTTCTTCTTGCCTTCTTCGTAGTGGCCGAGGAGGTTCTCGGTGTCACGGAAACGGGGGTGAGCTGGCTTGGTGAGTTGTCCCATCATGTCCATTTGTTCTGCTAGGGTCGGTGGGTTGGCGGCTGATTCCGCAGCGGCTTTGTCTTCTGCTTCCAAGATGGCTAGTTGGTGCTTGAAGGATTTGCTTCCCATGATTTGGGACCAGGTGTTTTTTCGTTGTGCCACTGGGAGGTCGGTGAAGGCGTTGGTGGCTGTGTATCCCTTGAAGCCGGTCATCGGAACGCCAATTGTGTACTCGAGTCTAGTGAGCATGCCTCTGAGATCTTGGACACACTCGTAGTACTTCTTGCCGGCCTCGCCTATAGCTGCTTCATCTGTTCCAGCACTCTTGAGCGCCTCTTGATACTGCTCAAAAGCACGTGCTTGAACTTCATCCACGCGATCCACAACCCACTGATGCGTCCGCGTTGACATGTTTGTCATCCCGTCATTCCAGTACTCTGCCCACATGCCAGCAAGTTCCAGTTTCTCTTCGACGCCATTTTGTTCGCGTCGCAAATTGGCTGCCTTCTGGAATTCGACATATCTGTCGATCATCCAGTTGAAAGCGTCGCGAGTCCGGGTGTGGACCTCCTCGTGGTTGAACCAGTCAAATATCTTGGTGAGGTCATTTATCAATTCGAAAAGATTCTTGTAGTTGGCAGGGTCATCCATCTTGCGTTCCGCCCAGCGATCTCCGCTAAGAGGCACCATACCAAGCAAGAGCTTTGCTTTGAGGGGACGTAGACGTGCGAGGAAGCCCATGTGTGGTTGTCTTCGGAGTTCTGGGAGCTCTTGTCTCATGATCAGGGGTGCGACGCGGTCCATACAGCTGTAATTGTTTCTGTTGAAAGGTGCCGGAGCCCATTGGCTGTACGGCTTGTTCAATAGACCCCATTCTTCTTGTGTCATGAGCGGGAAAGAAGGACGGTCACCGCCGAGTCGGAGACCACCAGTACCATAGTCACCAAAGTTCTGCAAGTTTCGTACTGATATAAGGTCCTCCTCTTGTATCTGTCAGTGTGAATTCATGATGGAGTTGATGGTTTAGTACCATATATAAGATTGAGCAGCTGTTCGTGACTCCATGATGCGTGGTCGCCGAACCAGTCCTTCATGTGCTTCTCCGCCGCATCAATATCCATATGGCGAAGACTCTCTTCCATTGTCTCTTTTTCTGCAGCGGATGCGGTATGTGATGTTGAGGTGAAATGTTGATAGCGGACTATGGGAATCTGTCTTTGTATTTGTAGCATCGAAGACAGCTGCGGTGTAGAACGAGCTATGCTGAATTTGGGTACGCGCCAGGCTGCAATGCGCGAGGCTTGTCGGGCCAGCCGGAACGAAGCCATGAATAGCAATTGTTCAAGGCAACGAACGCTCGAGCGCGAAGCCCAGAAGACGTTGACGGGCGGCGGCTGCCTCAGGGTGAATATAAGGCGTGCCACGCTATAGCCGAAAAAGGAAAGGGATATCACCACTAGTTTCCGCGGTGGCACTAGGCAGCGATCTGGACCCAGAACACTTCCCGTCCCAAATCGATCATTGCTTTTTCGCTTTGCGAGATACGCTCTGCAGGTGCGCACTTCTACTTTCACCCATCCAATACGAGAACGGGTATCATGTGTGCCGTCCCTGGAGTGGCCAGCACTTAGGAAAGAGTTCGTCGTATACTTGTCTTTCAGCTCATGACATTTCCACGTGGCTTGCCTTCTCCATTGCAATTCCTCGTGATCCATCTTGGAGAAGTTCCTTCCATAGCATACTCAAAGCTGGATGAGCGATCAGTGCCATTAACTTGAGCGACCCATCCTTTTGCCACTCACTTCTGCGTATCACCCAGCTGTTCAGCCTCACTTGATACTGCGACTCTATCAACTAAGCTAGTGTTGCGACACGAAAATCCCGATATCCGTGCCCATCTTGCTTTCAGGCCGCACAATAGCTTCCTCGCTTTCATTCTCAATTTCCGTGAGCCCCTCAATCCCGTATTTCCTGTTGCTACTTGACTTGTTCGACGATGTGCCAAAACGCTTCAACTCAAATTTGCTGCCATGCGATCGATCGGACTGTGCGCGAGGCGTGCCGGAAGCCTTGTCGTGACTCCCGGCGCTGCTCCAGACTTTGGGAAGATAGGTCTTGATCAAGACTTTGAAGGTAGATGCCGAGCTGCAGATGATGGCTGTAAGGATATGTCGTCAGTCTTGGAATGTGTGAAGCGAGTAAGTAAAAGGAGACATACCCGCGTAGATCTCGATGCTGCACCAGTTCAACGAGTCGGCCATGTAGTACCAGATATCGGCTTCGTCGGAGAGGAAGAGCACGTAATAGAAGCGCACACAGCCAGCTGCAACGGCAACCAATCCGACACCTAGAAGAGCACACAGGGCGATCTTTTGACCGCGTGGCATCTGTAGCTTCCAGACGATATGCATTGGTAGGATGTATATAGCAAAGTCTTGAATAATGCTGTGAGGTGTAAGGGTCAGCGAGTCTGCTTAAGTTGGGGTCCTGGCTGCAATACTTACTTCATGATGCCGTTGATATTGAAGAACACTTGCTGCGTGTCCTGCTTCAGGCACTTCTCTGGATGCAGAGCCTGACCTGCAGGATCCCAAAACAGCGATGGCGGCGTGCAGACGAACAGCAGCACAAAGAACGTAACGATCGATAATGCGGCAACCCATGCCATTAGGAAGTATACAATCCACCTCGTGGGTAGTCGAGGGTCTAGTCGGTGGTAGAAAACGAGGATACTGAACTTCACCAGACATATCGCGACAACGTAAAGCAGACGTGTGGCAAGATTCGCCTTCAACATCGGAGTGAGGTCTTCGGTAGGAATGTCAAGTGCTACGGGATCGTCAGCGGGTATTCGAGCGAGATGAGTGGTATTGAATACTTACTGTGCTTGCCTACACCATACCAGCCACCTATGAACGGGCTGTTAGTCAATCTTCATCTCGAAGACGCACTCAATGTGATACTTCTAGACTTACAAACCATGTTAGCCACTGACAGCGAAATTGTGAAAAACGCCCCAGAGACCATCAGATCTATATTCAGCTGTGTCAGTATGGTAGTTGCGGGAGCCAGCTCTCGAGGTAAACACACAGTCATCAGTAGCCAGTTTCAGCCGTATCAAGCGCACCCGTACATAGATACGTAGGAACACTATGGCGCTGGCGATTGCGATGAAGGGAATCCCGATTGCAAACAACGAAGACTGCTTGGTATCACTCTCCAGCCCGCGAGGCTGCATTTGACGAGACATGTTCTGCCGTAGAGACATCTGCGATGCTCAAACGCCGAAGAAGAACTGATGCGTATGGAGAAGGTATTCCATCCAAAGACAAGTGCCACTGCAGTCACAGCTGAAGACATGACCACACCTATTGGCCTACTCGGGGCCGCCCTCCGTGCCTCACGGTGTGGGATAAAAGGCTGGCGATCGTTATGTCTGTTAGTAAATGACATGGTTGTCGTTTCGCCCCAGTGCAACGGCCTTGCATGCCCATGCAGTTGCGGCTCGTTCTGGTATCTCTTTTGTGTTCAATTACTGGAGCAAGTATATTTATCCCCTAGCCGCGCTAAGATTGCCGTTGCATTATCTGGATAGAAGCAACTCATGGTGGTCTGTGAGTCTCGGTTAGGATTTTGACGCAAAGATGAGCTCATACTCGGTAGTGTCGCATGAACTTCTACGCCGCACTGACTCGAGGGCGGACATTACCCCACGCCGTGAGCCGTGGCTAAATCCTACACAAGGGACCTTCCGCTTAGGATTGTAGACGGCGCCAATGGGATGCCGTTCCGGTTTGAAGGAATGGCGCAACGCGCAAGCTGCTGCAGCCGGTGAACCAGCATCCATTTGGCATCCATGATCGCGATGAGAACGAAAGCGGGAATCGTCGTCCCATAGTCCTATTGGTGATTTGTGGAGACCAAAGGAGTTTCACGATGATTAGCCAAACAACATCAACCGAGTGCAGTAGTTGTGGTATTGTCGAGCCTTTAAAAAAAAGTCCTCAAGACAGTGTAGTCAACAGGGGTTTATTTCTTAGTCGCGCCGATGCAGCTTTCCATCGTCACCATGCGTCTGTTCTCCTTTAGTGCAACCAGCTCGGCGTGAAAGTCAGCTTCCCAAGCATCTTGCAGTCTCTTTGGCTCCCAGCCTAACAGCTTGCGTGCAAGTACCGCTTTCGTAGCTTTATGCCCACCCCAGCCCCGCTCCGCAATATCGCGACGACCTGCAGTAAGTTTGTCTGCAATCTCATGCAGCGGCACAGATCGTATCTCTTTCTCCTTAGGCGTACCCTCGCGGGGTAGGATACCGCCAGCGAATGCTGCGTCTAGACAGCCTTGGTTGATCTCCTTGATGAGTGTGCGGCCAACAGCCGCAAATATGACGCCGTTCTCGCCGGATGGAAGGTAACCGACACCACGATCTTCGCGTTCGAGGATCTTACGTACCAGAAGGACGTAGATGTCGGCGAGATCGAGGACGTGAACCCAATCGAAATTCGCTGTCTCGTTGAGCTTCCAACCGTATCCATGCTGTACAACGTACATCATGATCAGGGGAATGACCAGGCCTTGTTGGTTGAATAGGCCAGTGCCTTCGCCGAAGATGCACGGTGTGTTGACACTGATAGCTTGCACGCCAGTAGCATCAGCAGCCTCCAAGACACCCACTTCCGTTGTGCGCTGTGTGTAGGGCTCCATCTCATCGAGCGCTCTCATGAAGCTGAAGATCTTGCCTTTGTCCGTCTCGTCGTTCCATTCGCGTATGGGTCGTGGAGGTTGCGATATAGGACGGTCGGACAAGTTGGTGCAACCGGATATGTGCAGAATCCACGGCGCGGGCTTGCCAGCATTGATGCCGCGAGCGAGTCCATTGACAAAGGCAATGGCGCCTTCAGGGATGAAGCCAGATCCGGTGTTGATGACAATGTCGTATTTGGAAGCTGTGTCTTCGATGAAGGCTACATCTTCGAGCCCAGACCATTTGATGGTGTTTACGCGGGCGCCATATACGGTCTTGAACTTCTGAGCTTGCGTTTCGTCGCGAATGAGGAGATCAAACGTGAGGCCTTTGATGCTCGGCGCCGTGCTTGCAATGAGTTGGGCGAGGACAGTGCCGCCGACGTATCCTGTGGCGCCCGTGAGTAAGATCTTGCTCATTATGAGATGAAGAAGGATGTCCAATAGGTTCCAGAAATTTGTTGACCTTTCGAAATCCTGTTGCAAACTCAACCAGTCTTGTCTTTCGAGACAGCTCCTCGGAACCTGACTCGCATGCCTGCTTCATAGTGGATTCCGTGCTGTAGGAAACGAACCTGGTCATGTAGGATTCGTGCAGATTGGGAAACAATAACGTCGCGTGGGGTTGGGCAAGTAGCTGAAAGGATTCTTCCGTTTAACCGAGTTACTTTGAGCATGCGCCGGCCGCTTATCGACTCGATATATGCCCCGAATCAACGGTTGTGACCGTGGCAGAGCGTGACCAGGTAGCCGACACCCAAAGGAAGAGCGCAACAACTGATCGTTTCGGTCAGGTGAAGGGTAGCTGCAACATCTTGTCTTCCAAGGGCTCAAAAGGAGTCGTGTTCCTTTAAACCCATTAACAATCTGGACTGTATGAGGTAACATCCTCCGCTATTACCAGGGAAGACGCGTTCATGAGGCACAGTAAGATCGTCTCATGCGGGATCGAAGGCGGGCTGATGAGATGCACCACCGTAACCAGCTAGAGTCGAGCTTCCTGGTCACGGAGTTATATTACCGAAGGGTTTTATGATTGCCAGAAAGTGATGTGTTGCGTTCTGAAGACCTTCATGAGCAGACGATAATCGCGTCTCATGACTGCAAGAGGACCATCGGCTAACTGAATTTTTTTCGCATGGATATGACCGGTCACCACGAAGCTGCTATGAATGGCGATGGCATTCCGTCGCGGCTGGAGCGTGTCCGTTATGTCACCCCATGGCTTGAGACTTGACCAGACGCCGCATGGCCGTGCATACTTCATGCATGTTGTCGTCTATTGCAACCGTGTTGGATTCAGGTTCGTATCTTTACATCTAGTAGTGTGCAATGGCGCAATGCGAGGGCTGCGGGTAGTGGTCGAGACGATTCCTATCGTGTAGATGGATTGAGACGGATAATTGATCGATCGCACGACGCGTCTCCTTTCTGGCCGACTAGCGCGAACCCAATTCGCGTCAACGTGACGTAACCACCGAGGCTCGCAAACCCACGAAGTGATAGTAATGGGAGCTCATCCTACTTTACTCTACTTTAAACGTATTGAACGATGGTTCTCAAGTGAACAATTGTGACCAAGACGATGACTGGCGGACCACGAGTGCCGTGCGCATCGCACAGCAAGACCTTTCACTTCCTTACGAGGCTTCCCCCCAATCTTCTTGCTATATTTACCGATTTTTTTAGTACATTCTCATCCAGTAATACAGCATCGCGCTACTTATTGTTTTCGTGTGGCATCGGCGTATGTTCGTGAATCGCTCAAACCACCTCCCGTCAGCTTAAGGTTCGGATTCTATGAGCACATCTTATAGTTGCAAGCCAGGTCCAGAACCCAGCAAGCCGTTTCTTCCAATAAATAACCTTCGAGCGAGTAGGAACACCCGATGAACTTATTCTGCCACAGATGTTGACGCGTCGCGGAGATCGAAGACTCCCAGGACTGCCTATGGCTGTGTCGCGCAGGATGTTCGTGGTGTCATACCGCGCCCACTAGATGCCCAACTTACCATCATGGGGAGAATTAGGCGTGACACTAGATGCGCAGAAGAAGGAGCTGTATTGAGAAACTGGATGTGACGGAATCGTAGAGTGGCGAACTGCCAAATCTGGAAGCAGTTAGACCACGACCTAGCGTCCGCGCTCCTCCCGCGGACTAAACCACATACCAGCTAGGCCGCTCCCCAACCTCCACTGGTTTACTAGAGCTACGGCATCATTCTGCACACATGCATTCACTTACACGGTTCACCCAGGTGATCGATAGTTACGGTTCTTGTATGAGCAGCTGAGAGCAGCAGCTGAGAGCCATGTCAGAGTACGAGCCTTCGCTATACCTGCCGTCCTTGCCGGCTACCGCCATCGTCGGCACTCACATCCGAACAGGTCCACTCAACGTTGTATCGCCAAGCTGGTGACAGCAATAAACGTCATATGTATTAGGCATGCTTTTTCATTTCGCATACATTCAAAGGTAGAGTTTGCTCCAACATCCATCTGAATCTGACTTCACCTGAGTGGAACTACCAGCACGCTTCGTCACACAGCGTGCCATGTCCACCATTAACATCACCAACGAACGAGAATCCTACCAAGCCGTCTTCGCCCTCGATGTCATCACGGCAGCCGGCGCCCTGATCTTCCTTGGTCTGGCTTCGAGACCTACATTCCAGCGGATCAAACAGCGCCGCTTCACTGCACCAGGCAAGAACAGCGCGCGCGATGGCCCACTCAAGACAACACTGGGGACGTATCTCTTCCTCTGGCCGGCGCTCCTCTGCCTCTTCGTCGCGTACCTATGTCGCTTCATATCCGATCTCTTGAAGACTAGCGGAACGATCGACTACGATGCGGATCTAGGATGGAACGGCCGTCGCGGCTACACTCTCGCGGACAGTGACTACGCCTCTAGCATCTCAGCGCTTTCTTTCGCCACAACGCTCGCGACCATCTTCTTCACCGTGCTGCTGAACGGCGGCGTCTGGATTCACTCTAGCCATGTTCAAGAAAACGGTACAGGTATTTCGACGCCAAAGACCTTGTCGCGTATTTGGAACACGTTCATCATGCTTGCGATGCTGGGTACCGGTGTTGCAGCTTGGGGCCTTGGTCTAGAGGCACGCGATTTCAGCAACGGTACCTCAGGCCCGGATGCGCTCTTGTCTTGGTCAAATGTCATGCACCATGACCGTGCGACGAGGATTACCTACATCGTACATGAGGCTATTGTTGTCGCTGCGAGTCTAAGTGTTTCCATCGAAGTGTGGAGGGAGTATGGTACCACAAACAAGAATGCTCATGGTGTAAGTCCTTCTCTGCGTGACAGTGTCTCTGGCTCTAGAACTAACCTTCCACAGTCACCCGAACGTAACGACCTCGCTCGTTTCGCTTTCACCGTCGTGCCTCTCATCTGACTACGCGACATCTTCATCATCTACGATATCATCCTACTCTATATCGACACCTCTGGATGGTCAGACAGGTCTGTTTTGGCTACAACCTTCCTGCTCGTCGTTTGCAGGCAGTTTGCTAACCTAGCGATCTTGGGTATGGTGCTCTGGGGTGCTTGGCGAATGGGTCGAAGTGTCAGTCTGTTCGGAGGCAGCTATGCTTGAGTGAGAGGATTCCACGTTGTGTGAGACATTACGAGACTGAGGCAATATGACACAGTGCTTGAGACTCTCGATCGGGGACACAGCGTAGCGGTATGTACTTTTCTTTGTATGAATAGGTTTGTGGGATAGTTATGGTACATATGAGATTGTAATAGACTAGTAATCGCTTCATCGTTTTATTCCACTACAATCAAAGGTACGCGGTAGTGCACCCTAACAAAAGGACCGAGCCTTTGGAACAAACGAGACATAAACTATATGAGACCAGTTTGTCTCAGTCTAGAAGTCCGGTCGCCCTTATAAACTGTACTGATACTACCCTCCCTCATATCTTCATTCTCTTAACACACTCATTCCTCGCATCGCAAAGGCACCATCATCCACCGAAAATGAGGAACAGCGAAATGACCGACGTAACTGACCAGCTCAACGATATCGAGGTCCCACTGACTGCTCAAAGCAAGGCACAGCGCAAACGACACGACGAAGCTAGCAGCCTCATCGGTACTGACATGACAGGCCTAGCGAAGCAGCTTATGGATGTCGACATCGCACTAGCCAGCCACAGCGACGCAGAATCGCGCAAAAGGCACGATAGCGCCACCAAAGAGGTAAACCGAAAGCGGCAGCACGCCCTTGAAGATCTGCATATCGACCTCGCGCCGGATCACGAGCGCTCAACGATCGTACAAGAATTGGAGCAGCTCGACTCACCACCTTCTCTACTCTCACCCCTAGCACTCCATCTTTGGATTAGTGACGACGAAGATGATGAGCGAACAACGGATGAGGAGGACGCTTTCTTAACAATCGCTGTGCGGGAATTAGAAGAGACGCGAGCATCATCGCGAGCCAAGAAATCGAAGAAACGTAACTATGGTAGGGTTGGTAGTAGCGGTGGAATTGCAAAATTGGTAATCCATGGTGGGCGCCCTGGGAAAGTGCGGGATGACAGTAAGGCGCACGCGGATAGGCAGGCGAGCAAGGTACCAAAGGAGGCTGACCGCAATCAGCCGGCGCATATAGAACCAGTTGTTGATCTGGACCGGGAGGAGTTAGAATATTCAGCGGAGCAGCAACGACGCGAGCTGTGGAGAGGCAGGAGATATAGTGCGTCTTCTCACTGGTCTACGAAAGCAGTCGCAAACTTTGGCGGAGATGAAAACGACAAGTACGCGTGCTTTAAGTAGGCGGTTCTTCTACGGCAAGGGCATACGATTCTGGTGTGCTGCTTGTTGTGTGTAGTGCAGAAGGAACTCCTATGGTATGAACGGCGTCGAACCACGGATGGATACTCTTACTATGTCCCAAAGCGAACTTCACTCCATGTGCCGAGAGCGCTGCCCATATATCATTCTCGTCATTCTCTGAGATTTCTGCAATACACATGATTCTGGTCTTAATCACATACATCTTCAGCGTTTTGACTGTTCAAGATGCCCCCTAAGGGGAGCAAAAAGCCTAACGGGCGCAAACGTCGCTATGTTGACGAGCCCACAGACCCGGCGCCGTCGCGGCGACAACCACGGCCGCTTCTACCTGGATCGCCAAAGCCAAGACGGGATGTCAATGGTAATATCACAAATGCAGCTGACCTAAGTGAGGCTACACTCGCGCTCGCGCAGGGTAGGCCTCGGGTTCAACCCACCATCCCGAGTCCTGAACCTACTGCTCATGGCCCGGATTTACGACAACAGTTGGCGATCCATGCGCGACGAGCACATGCGACTCGACACCATCTAGGGCGGCACATACGGTCTGGTCCTAGGACAGCGTCTGAGGGATGGGAGCGCAGTCAGCGACAAGCTCAAGATGCGCGTACACCTGCAAGCCATGCTACCGCTCATTCGGAAGCGATCTATATGCAGTATGCTGTCCCGTCGCCGGCCTCTCATATGAATCTTGTACAGCCGCAACGGCAATACCAGGAACAACAATACCGGGAACAGCAGCAGCAGCAGCAGCAGCAATACCAACATCAGCAGTTTCGTAACGCTTTCCCTTCTGCGGAATCGATGAGGTTTCCATCAGAATCGAGCCAGGGTACTCTGGGCCATGGCCCCTCGAATGCTATGGAGCCTCAGCCTTCGAGTAATACCTTCCAGGAACAGGCCTTGCAATCTGAAGAGTTCCAGCGATACGGACTGAACTTGGAAGCAGTTCAGAACGGTGTATCTGATGACAATGGCGGGGAAGCCCAACTGCCATCCGACTTTTGGGATTTCCAGACTATTTTGATGGATACATCCTTGATGGCTCCTGTTGACCCGTCAAACGGGTGGTCCAGCCTTGACCAGATGACTTCACGTCCAATCTTTCATCAGCATCCCTTTCCTGCCCCTACCCCTACCCCTGCTCCTGCTCCTGCTCCTGCTCCTGCTCCTGGCTACCAGAATTGTGGCTACAATCAGCTCACTGCTCAGCTTCCCCCTGCGAATCCCACTCTTGCCGGCTGCGATGCTGATTGGGCGTGGAATACGCCAGGTGCACCCGCCTACTATGCGTCACAGCAGGTCCATCAGCAACCTGCTTTTCAGCCTGGACATAATGATGTCTTCCAGAATGGGAGCTACGCACAGCCCCAGCCCGCCGCTTTCCCAACGCAGAATACAGCCTACACCAACGGCTATCAGCAACAGCAACCACAGCCGATGTATGCGCAATATCTCGACAATAATTTTGTCATACAGCGGCTTCAACCCACCATGTATACGCCAGCCTATCCGCAACAACAGACCGCGCAGCACCAAGTCGAATATCCCGTTGCCGACTTCGATCCGCCTACCGCCCACGAAGGACCCCCTTCGCAACAACCAGAAAACCCCAACAACAGCACCCAACATGGACAACAGCAGAACGCGCAACCGATGCGACGACGACGACAACCGCAAACCCCGGCACCACACCCTAACTCCCACCTCAGCACCGCAGAATGGGTAGAGACACAACTCAGGCCCCCTTCTCCCAGCGAGCGTACGGACGGCAAAGGGGATGGTCCGTGCACATAGGAGTGAAACTGGGTGGAGTTGAAATTGATGAACAGAAAAAGGCTGACTGCGCGTAAGAAGCGATGGATGAGACGGATGAGTAATGGGGAATGAGGAATTGAAAAGCCTGAAGAAGAAGGAGCGAGAAAGATCTGGATACGTGTAGACAGGGAGTTGAGGACTGGGGGAGGGTTCATGGAGGAGATGGACGGAGGAAGGAAAAGAAGATGGGAGGTACACGCGAGACATGAAGATGCTGTAGCTATACAAGCGGAGGATAGGCAAATTAGAAAGGGGAGGAAGAAACGCGATAGTGACGGTTGGACGCGTATATCTCACAGGGCATTTTCGTTTTTCATTTTCGGACTCGCACAGAGAAACCTTTCATACCGTTATTGTAGATACTTACACACCACTCAATCTCATGCAAACGAATCACAACTCTTGTAAATGAAATATGAGGCTGCAGGAACCAAAAGCTGATGGATATGCGATGACATACGTCGGTGAGGTTGGTTTGAGCGGTACCGACACAGCCGACACCGATATCGGAACGCTCGGAATAGCTTCAACCGCTATTTGCGGCTAGTGCTTGGCTTCATGGCAGCCAATGAGCTCTTCTGAGCTTCGCGCTCGAGCTTGGAGACTTTTGCTGTATACGCTGAAGTTTGGATGTTTGGTCGCAATGATTGACAGTGGCCAATGAGATCGTTCCAGTATGTTGATCTCTTTCTGATGACTCCATTTCAGAGCTTTCGACGATCAAGTTATTCTGCGACAGTAGTTGAAGAGATCTCTCCGCACGCGTTATCTCAATATCAAATAAGACGCAAACCACATGTCCATATTATCAGTATGACTTTTTATCATTGGTATCTATCTCATCTCATCATCACTTTTTTCGGGACAGTCTTTCCCCGGATCTAGCTTCATTTCGGCGTAACCTCAGGAGAGGCATAAGTAATCTGATCATGGAGTGTTTCGCGATGAAGCCACCTCCGCCAGTACGTCAAGGTAGTGTGCATATCCGATGAAGCCTTCTAAGCCCTCGACATGTTCTCGCCCTCCTCCGCCTTTTGGAGACCGTACTTCTTGAGACTATCGTGTGTTAGCAATCATTCTGTACCTTCAAAAGATATATAAACTCACCGGATGCTCTGGATCGCAATGAACCCAGTAGTATCCATGGGACTGAAGTTATCCAGCGTATCCATGCTAGCCTCCTCCTCAGAGTACAGCTTTTCAGTCTGGCTAGACCGACCAAGAACATACGCGTTGCCCTTGTACAGCTTCATCCTAACCTCGCCGTTGACCCTGCGCTGGGAGAAGAGCAGGCTGTTCTCGATAAACTCGCGCTCAGGAGAGAAGTACATGCCGTTGTAGAGCTGGTAGCTCCAGTTGTGGGATACGAACTGGTCGCGGAGGTTGCGCACTTGGGCGTCCATGACGAGACCCTCGAGATCGAGATGGGCGAGGCGGAGGATGGTCATGGCGGGGGAGTCGTAGCAGCCGCGGGACTTCAGTCCGATGAAGCGGTTCTCGACAATGTCGATGCGGCCGATGCCGTGGGTGAAACCGAGCTTGTTGAGCGCGGTGAAGAGCTCGACGGAGTCGGTGTAGGTCTTTTCGGGGGTGGTAACTTTGACGGGAATGCCCTTCTCAAAGTAAACGGTTATGTCGGTGGGCTCGTTGGGCGCGTTGAGCGGCGAGTCGGTCATGGTCCACATGTCGTCTGGGGGAGAGACATCGGGGTCCTCCAGAATACCTAATCTGTTAGTCCCATGCGTACCATCTGAATATGTGATGTCTTACCGGCCTCGTAACTGCAGTGAGCCAAGTTGGCGTCCATGGACCAAGGCTTCGCCTTGGTAGACGTAACAGGAATGCCATGCTGCTCAGCATAGTCAAGCAGATCCTGCCTGCCCTTGAAGCGGTCGCAGAACTCAGGCAGCCTCCAGGGCGCAATGACCTTGATGGTAGGCTGGAGTGTGTAGAAAGCCAGCTCGAAGCGGACCTGGTCGTTGCCCTTGCCTGTGCAGCCGTGCGAGACGAAGCCACAGCCTTCTTGTTGTGCGACGCGGATCTGTGCGCGGGCGATGACTGGGCGGGCCAGCGAGGTGCCGAGGAGGTAGCGGCCTTCGTATGAGGCGTTGCACTGGACGGCGCGGAAGCAGAGCTCCTCGACGAATTCCTTCTGGAGGTCTAGGATGACCATCTTCTTCGCGCCGATCTTGAGCGCCTTCTTCTCTACCTCGTCCCAGGGCTCTTCCTGGCCGACGTTGGCGAGGAAGCACACGACCTCATAGCCCTCCTCTTTGTTTACGCGTTAGATCATGTCGCGTCTCTAAATGTGTTCTGACGTACCGATGAGCCATTTCAGGATCGTGGAGGTGTCGAGGCCGCCTAATGACTCAGGTTAGTTTGTTTGCTCTGAGCAAGTTTAACCCGGTTGGCGTGGAACTGGCTGTTGTAGGAGTACTCACCAGAGTAGGCAAGGCAAACGCGTCCCTTTGACATATTTGCAAGTGTTTGGGGTATAAGAAGTGAGAAGGAAGAGTCAAGAAGAGTCAATTGAAGAGGGGTTGCGGCGTCTGGGGAACGACGTGTGGAGAGTCAGAAACCTTATCTTATCGCACAAAAAATGTTCGGTGCTCGTCATCCCTGCCGCCCGATCATCGGCTGTCAGCCTCACGAGGAGCTGAACTCCATGACATCAAGTATCAATAGCTAGTAAGGTTGGCTAGAACTCGTGTCACGGTTTGCAGCTTACAGTCTGTAGTATAAATACTACTTAATGTTGGTAGCAGACAGTTTCTAAGGTAATGTCTGCTTCTACCCTTAGATATTCTTCACACATTGCGACAGAAATGGTAGCCATTCCTAGTGCCTGTCGATTTGCTCAAACTTGACAGTAAGTTTACACATAAAGGCAATGAACGAATGGTGCGTCTCAACGGAATGATATTCGACATGGTATATAATCCCAACGCCAAGTATGCAATGCCCCGTCCCAGAGCATGATTCGTCGCAGGCAAAGTATAAAGAGAAAAAACCTCAATAACCCAACAAGACTGTCGCTACCCGAACTTCCAAGATGCAGCGCCAAAACTCAAACACGCGTAAACACTGAGCATGAAGTCTCGTACATCATGCTAGAAAGCGCCACCAGCCACTCTCTCCCGCTCGTAGAACACGATATACGCCTTCTCGTTCTGCAGACGGTTGTGTGGCGGAAGATTCCCAGGATCAAAATCCGTAATCTTGTCGTCGTTAAAGGACCGCCAACAACCCCTAGACTTGTCCTTCACGAAAGCGATATAATGTCCGCTTCCAAGCGTAGCACCAATATGCCAGATAACAGCGTAGGCGTTATAGACATACGGCCCATTCATAGTAGGATCGCTCTTAACACCAGCAAGTTGCGCAGGTCCGTCTCGGGCCTTTTCCGACACATATCTTTCTTGTTCTGGCGTCATGGGTGGCTCGACAAAGGGACCCATGTCTAGACGTTGAAGGGGGAAATTAACTGGTGTACGGACTTTGCGGGCGCTTTCGGTGCGTGATGCGCTGAAGCGCTTGAAGTGGATGACGAGGGTGTCGGGGGCGCGGGTGATGGTGATCTTCTTTACGGCTTCGCGGTCTTTCTTGCATCGAGGGCAGCGCCATAGTTCGTCTCCTGCGAGACGCTCTGGTGCACAGTATGAGTTTAGGCAATGGCGTAGATCGCATTCGCCGTCCCGTGGGATCTCTACGCTGATACTCCAAAAGGCTTCGTATGTTGTGCTAGTCACACCGCATGTCTGGCACGTAAGCTGCGAAGCGTGCTGGCCAGCGAACAGACCGCCAATGACGGACATGTCCCGGTGTTGGTATCGTCGCCACTCAATCATTGCCGAATACTGGCGGGGAAATCTTTCTCGTTGCAGCTCTTCCTGGTCCGAAAGTGGCTTCAGTGGCGGTTTGTTCCAGGTTAGGTTCAAGTCTTCGTGCATGTAGTCTAGAACGAATTCCAGGAACTCCTTGGCGTCTTGCTGCTCATCAATGCCCCACTGCGAGTTGAAGTGTCCGCAGATACGCTGTTAAAGGTTAGCCATGACTATCCACCACTTCCAATTCTTGACTTACCCTGAATGTGCTCGGGCGCACGGACGTGACATCACCCTTGTACAGATTGGACAGGAGCGTTGCGTACGCTTCTGGCAGAATGCCTTTCGTTCCCTTCCAATTATCTCGCTGGAGGTCTCTCTGATAACGTCCTGTGAGAAACAGGTCTGAAAGCAATAGATGCCCGCTGAGACACTGCACCACCGAGTTCATGTAGCACGTGACACCAAAGTTCAGCAGGCCCGTCCTATGTAGCCTCAGGTTACTAAATTGAGGTTGTCCATTGTAAACAACATTGCGGTTCTGTTCTTGCCGATCATGCACGCCACTATAGCTCACCCTAGGAACAGAAGGCGGCGGACGAGAAGGCGCAACGGGTATGGCAGGTGCGACGTATTGATTGGTTGACTGGAACTTGGACGGGTACATCATGGATGATTGCTCGGCTTCAACATCGGGGTATCGGCGTAGGAACTCCTCTGTCGAACGATAGAAGTCCTGCGTGGGTTCGTCGTCTTCTTCACCATCTGCCGGAGGGACTTCCACTGCAGCACGCCCCTTCCGAGCTTCCTCCAGCCATTGTTGCTGCTCTTCTTGGTCCATGGGAACGTATTCACGTTTTGATCTCCTTTGCGTATTGTTCCTCGCAATATGGCTGGCGGCTGGCGATCTTCGGATAGCCCGAGCCCGCGTTGGACCAGCGGCCACTTGTCCAGCAGTGTTCGACGTCTTCAAAGCCTGTGGGCCGACCAGGTCCATCCAAGCGTCGAGACCGCCTTTGAGGAGAACCGGAGGTCGCCTGAGCGGTTTGTCCGCATTGAATTCGTGAAGAGTGTCGAATAACCGCTTCAACGCGATTTCTTCATCAGATCTGTTGTGTCTCTGCATAAAATCGATGTTCTTTGTCGACTCATCGTAGTATACGACCACGTCAAAGTCTGCCCTCTTGTCGAACATGTCCTGTTCCTCGTCTGGGGATATGATGAGACGGTCTAGAAGCTGTTCGGCGGAGTCGCCATCGCGCAAAGTCAAGGGTTCTATGCACATGATGTTCCGCACGAAGATGTGTCCTGCGTCGAAGTCTGTTCTATCCCGTACATCGATGGTGAGTACATTGTACATGCGGTAGTAGTCGTAAAGCATGCTAGCATCGATCTCAAGTTCGACCGTCTTGCTGACAGATCTAGTTCTTCCATTGCCATCTCGAAGGGTTTGCGCGGGAAAGTATGAGTCGGGCGCACTGTTTGCATTCGGTGCATACGCTGATGCACTGGAGGCGGCAAGTGAATTGGTACGGCCTCCGGTTCCGTTCATACTTCTTGGCGTACTCCGAGGTGGGTTGATGCTCGAAGGGCCTGAGATGTTCCTGGCTGGACTGTAGGTAGGACTAGGCTCTTTCGGTAGCGAAGCCGCGAATTGCGTATCGAGTGGTAATTTCGGTGGCGGCGGAGGCATGTGAAGGGGCGGTGGAGGCATACCCCGGGGACCCATGATCCGATTTGTAGAATGGTAGTCTGCAGGAGAGGGCATCTTGACAGAAAGATCCTGGCTGGGTCGAGGTGATGTATCGACTAGTGGACCGGTCCCTCTCAGATTCGCAAACCGCTGAGCAAGGTCATTTACTCCGTTCACATTGGATATGCTTTGGTGCACAGCCCGACCATGTAGCGATTGCGGCTTCGGTTGCACGGGTGGTTTTCTCCGTGAAGAATCCAGAGAGGCCGCAGGTGAAGCTCGACCGTTTGGCATTCCGGTGGGAACTTCAGGAAGCATCAGCTCGTCGTCTTTCCGGACGGCAATCATGCCATTGCGGTTGCTTTGTGTTGTAGAGGGGGGTGTGGAGGTCGTCCTGTGATGTGCGCCGTTTCTCTTGTTATCGTTCTTTATAATGTCCTTTATGCGCACAAACCGCTCTTCGTTTGACTTGATCTCTTTCATGAGCTCGTTGAAGTCGCGGTGGATCTGGCTTCGGCTGCCATTGATCTTGTCGTAGTAGTCGCGGTGGGTGGGTATCAGTTCGGCGACGATCTGATATGCGACAATGTATTCCCAATAGGCGCCGGCGGGAGAGCGATTGTTGAGCATGTTCTTGGCCGAATTGAAGTGTCCCCTAGCTCGTTCAAGGAGGAGTTTGATCTATTCCTGGTCAGCGACTGGCGTATGCTGAACCTCATACAAGGGAAAGCTGAGCAGGCCTGGAGCCTACATCGACATGATGACATGCAAAGTAAGTCACCTAATGTCAACATAGGCTCCAGGGTATTCAGTTTTGTCATTGAATGAGGTGGTGTTGGATGAGTACCGAATGGTGTTTTAGCGACTCGGCCGTGTCTGTCGCAGAGGCTATGATTTCGGCGATGGGCGGGAATGGTCCAACTGGGCCTCTGGAGTCACCAGCGCCGTCGCCGCTTCCCCATCCGTCTGCGCCGACGCCGTGAGCGCCATTGGTGTAGCCGTTCATCGCGGTGGTGGTGTGGGTGGACGAAGGAGGTGCTGAGGGCGGCGGAGGAGCAGCCGCACTCACAAACACACTTTAGAAGGCGGGCAGGCGTGCATGTTCTCGAGTCCAAGCAAGGCGCACCTGGATGTATCTAGACCCGCAGTCGAATACGCGTGTACGTGTGGCCAGAGAGGCAGTGTTGATCGGGAATGCGGGGCGGATCGGGTAGCGCGTGATTGGGCAGTGGAGTGCAATATACGGGCGGCGATTCTACAACAGCAGGTGGATTCCAGGGGAGGTTTGGGTATCGCGAGTGAAAGCGTTGGGCGTGTATGGCTTTCCCGCGCTGGGCAGGGTTGAAGCATGCGTCGGTGGATGCGGCTCAGAGGCGTCCGGCGTCATCGCCAAGCCCTCACCTCGGACAGCTTGCTACCTAACTACCACAACGACTATCCCCACGCGCTACTCTCCACCCAAGCCGCAACTCTATTCAGAGGCCACAGCAACTATCGAAACACTCCTACATACCTTTGACACTCCGGAATTCATCTCTCCACTGGGAGCGCCCCTACATCATGGCGGGCTGGTTCGGGTCCTCGACCACCGGCGCGCTCGATGAGCAGATCGAGCGCGCCACCTCTTCGAGCTTGTACGAGCTGAGCCGGGACAAGATTTATGGAAACAATCATGCTAATATACATCAGAGAGGATATGCCCCTCAATCTCGAGATATCCGACGTTATTCGCTCCAAGACAGTGCAGCCTAGAGATGCCATGCGCGCATTGAAGAAGAGGATAGGGAACAAGAACCCCAACGTACAGCTCGCCACCTTAAACGTACGTACTACTATCTGCGAACCTCATGAGCTTCTGCTAATCGTCTCAGCTCACAGACACGTGTGTTAAGAACGGCGGCGCCCACTTCATCCAAGAGATAGCTTCACGCGAGTTCCTCGATAACATGACGTCCCTACTCAAGGCCCCACCCACCGTTGCACCCAACAACGATGTAAAGAACAAGATGCTCGAGCTTATACAATCATGGGCGACTGCCGCTGAAGGGCGCCAAAACCTCAGCTACATCAACGAGGTCTACTACAGCCTGCAACGGGAGGGCTACCACTTCCCTCCGAAGGAGAATATCTCCAGCAGTATGCTTGACAGTAGCGCAGTAGGTTGTCCATATATGCGCAACTACTACGGACTAACACGTTCCAGCCTCCCGAGTGGACCGACTCCGACGTCTGCATGCGATGCCGCACGCCCTTTACCTTCACGAACCGGAAGCACCACTGTCGCAACTGCGGAAACGTCTTCTGTGGCGCATGCTCGAGCAAGAGCATCCCATTGCCTCACCTCGGCATCATGGACCCTGTGCGCGTCGACGATGGTTGCCATGCGAAGCTTACCGAACGGTCGCGAGGAACACCACTCCCGAGAGTCTTCGATACCCCCAAGCCACAGAGGACGCTATATCAGGGCTCAATGGAGCCGCGGAGTGCGCGCGTGGAGGACAGCTTCGATGCCGACTTGAAGCGAGCACTGGAGATGAGTCTGGACGAAGCCAAGGGAAACAGCTCGTCCGGCTTTGTGCCTCAATCACAGTTGCAGTCACAATCCAAGCCAACGAACGGGACGAGCAAGAAACAGCCTGAAGAGGAGGAAGACGCAGACCTGGCTGCTGCTATTGCAGCTTCTTTGGCCGACATGGAAGAACAAAAGAAGAAGTATGCCACGACCTTCCGGGAACAGGCCTCCAATGCGAATGGATCCGCGCCTTTCGTTGCACCTAAGAACGATTACGAGCTCACACCTGTCGAAGCCGAGAACATCAACCTCTTCTCCACGTTGGTCGACCGGTTACAACACCAAGCGCCTGGCACTATCCTGCGGGAGCCACAGATACAGGAGTTGTACGAGAGCATTGGAAAATTGAGGCCGAAGCTTGCCCGTACCTACGGTGAGACTATGAGCAAGCACGGTATGTCACACTTCTGCGCCATAAGAACCGTACTAACATGAACAGACACACTGCTTGACCTACACGCGAAGTTATCCACCGTTGTCCGATACTATGATCGCATGCTCGAGGAGAGGCTTTCCAGCACATACAATCAGGCCAACGCCATGTATGGTCTCCCTGCTTCTTCACAACGGCCGGCATCCAACCTGTACCCAAGCATACAGCAATCCGGAGCACCGGGATCCGGTGAGAACTATTACACAGGAAACGCAGACCCTTCTAGTGCATACGGACAACCGCAATCGCAATATGGTGCTGGTTACCAAGCACCCTACCCACAGTTCGACAAACGACCACAGTCCTACGCTCCTCCCCAGGATCAGTACCAACAACCCTCACAACCATACCCCAACCTCGCACAACCGCCACCTAATACTTCGTACCCAAACCCTGCTTCGCCACAACTTCAGCGCCAAGTCTCGAATCAGCAATACCCGCCACAACAGTCCTCAGGATATTCATCCCAACCACCTCCGGTGTCTGATGCAGAGAGCGCTAGCTTCTACTACGGAGACAACGCTGCAGCGCAACCCTCTCAACCACCAATGCAGCGGAGCCAAAGCTACGGGTCTCAGCCATCCCAGCAACAGCAGCCTCCCTCTCCACAAGCATACACCCGAGCTCCACCACAACAGACGCCTATCTCACCACCCGCACAACCTACGACTGCGTGGCAGAATCCCCCATACCCCAGGCAAGATCAGCCACAGACTCAGCAGCAACAGGCACCCCCACCGCAGCAGCAGGCACCTCCACAGCAACAACAGGCTCCACAACAAGCGCCTCCACCCCAACAATACTGGCAACAGCAACAGCAAGCGCCCCAGCAGCAGCAGTCTTCCGCGTGGCAATCCGCGCCTTATGCGACGGGCGGTTATGGACCTGAGAGTTTCCCGTCTGCACCGCAGAACCAGTTGCCCGCTCAGCAGCAGAAGGTTGTGGATGAGCCTCTGATTGATTTGTAGATGATCAGATTAGGGTGGGCCGCCATTTGAGTTGAGCTTTAGTCTGAAGGGTATTCGGAGTCTAACGCATACTACGCGATGTCAGTATGGGATAGCATAATCTGATAGTCTATAAGAGGGCCAGGGACAGGATTGTTCGTTCAGGTCTTTGGGCGTTTGATAGGTCAGGGAAGACCTTCATCGTCGCTTATAGATACATGAGTATCAGAATAATCGCGAATATCACACTATGTTACGTCTACCCAGCACCAGTTTCTAGCACATTTTCCTTTTCAATGTTGGAACTCTAGATGTCCAAGTTCATTGTCTTCCTCGCCAAGACGACACGACACATGCATAAACATTTCCTCCACGAGTGAACAAAGCCATATAATACGCCGGATCTGTGCAGAATACGCTGACCTCCATTGATGAACTAGCCAAACAAGGAAACACAAAGGTAAATCGCTTTGCTTGTCTATCGCACATAATGCAGACGTAGCTCGCAGTCGCTGAATCGAAAGATGACTAGAATTCATCCTCAATACACTCATCGCGACTCTGAGAACGCATTCACATAAGACGTTCAGCATGGCTACAACACCGACCATCACAGCCGTGCTAACAACAGCGACTACGTCTGTCATGAACCAAATAGACCACCCCCAACCCCCTACCTCCTCCTGCCTCTTCCCCCTAACCAACTTATTCAAAATCCTCATCTTCGTCTCCATCACCCTCTTCCACTCTCTCGCCACGCATCGCCGCCGTAAAATTGTTTGGGCAGAAAACAAAGCACAAGACTTAGCGACCGCATGGCAGGAACCCTGGTTAACAAACGATTGGGCGACGTTGTATGGGTTGGTTGGGTTGGCGCAGCAGGGCGGGATTAAGAGCGAGCATACGCCTTTTTATCCTCACCATCTATCTACAATGCAGGGGCGATTGATGTCGGAAGATGGGAATAAGAGGAAGCAGCGATGGACGCTGCGACGGTTGTTAGAACGAGGTGTTATTCCGCTGAGGATACAAGATGGTGGTGTGTCAACTTCTGTTACCCGAACCTGGGGTGTAACGTCTCCGTTTCCCTGGCTGGTTCTGCCGCGGTGGCGGCAGACGAAGGAGAGGGGTTTCTTCGAATTCCTGATTCCACACCCGGAGCGCGTGCAAGTGAAGCGCTTGATACGGTTGTTGAGCAGGAATAAGATGAATTATAGGGTTGAGTGTAGGATGTATGATCCCAAGACGAGGAAGACACGAACTACGAGGGTGGAATCGAGTGTGCTGCATCGCGAATGTCACAGTCCCATCGAACCCCTCCCCTCCTTCCCGCTTTCTGTGGGCGCGGACTCGAATTGCGAAGCCCTTTTACCGTTTTTGTCGGACGGGGAGGTAGAAAGTGCGCATGGAACTCGGATAGCATGGCTGGATGATTATGTGAAGGAAGACTCAGCGGGGAGACCGCGTGCGCCGTTATTGCGTTGGAGTAGTTGGGCTGTGGTTAGAGTTGAGGCGGCGCATTGGGGGTATGGAGAGTTGGATTGTTATGTTTTGGGGGCTGTGCAGGATAGTGGGATGGAGGTTGCATGGGTGGGTGATGTTTGTGAGAGGAAGGCTGTGGAGGAGATTGAGCGGTGTGGACTTGAGCTGTGAGCCAGAAGATAGATTAGAAATATTGCAATGTTTGTTTCTGAGCATCTAAAAGGAACCGGGTTCTAACTGTCTTTTCATCCACGCCCCGATTTCTTCTACTCGTGGTCTTGTTGCTGGGTCGGGGTCTTGTTGAGACCAGAGTCCTACGCCTTCGTACGAGGTCAATTCGACTCTGTCTTGGGCAATCTCTTCGTATTGCTTCTTCTCCGCTGCGTCATGCCAGCGAGACCGCCCGGAATGCGTTTTGAGTATTTGACGGGCGATGCTGCGTCGAAGGTGTTTGGCCAACTCATTTGTGGTATCGTTCAGCGGACTACAGAGTCCGCTTGTGATGTTCCAGATGGGCAGAGTCAGTCTGGTGCCAGCTGGAGGGTAGTTGCGAGCGTAGGCACGACATCTGCTCAGCGTTGGTACTGCCGGTGGGGCTTTGATAGCATCTTCAAAGGTCGCATAATGGTTCATGGCCATCTGAGTCTCAATGTCGAGGAGTTCGTCTGGCTGCTGGGATGCAAAGACGTCGTCTTGTGGCGGGAGGATAAGTTGCGCATGAGGAGAACGGAAGAAGTGGAGAGGGGACGCAAACCGATCGAAGTAGTCTTGTGGCTTCCTGAATAGAATGTCACGCCTCTCCGTCAAAGTCATGGTCGGTATGATCTCCTTCTCTTCATGAGCCTGCCAAGATGTCGGCGGCGGTGTTTTGGGTAATCGTTTCCTACCACGCTTCTTTTGAGGTTGCATATTTTCTATAGTCTCGCGAATTGCCAATGAACCGGCCATGTCTTCATCAGCAGGGAGTTGTGTTTCGTCGCCGTATTGGGGCTCGGGGAGATCCTCTGGTTGGACAACCGGAAGCTCATCTGGAAACACCCAATCTACAATCGGATTGTTGATGGCTACAGCACCGATTCGACTCTCCCCAACGCGGCATTCTGTCAGAGCCAGCATAGTTGCTAGTGAGCCGCCTACGAGTTCTCCGCATACGCCCATGCGAGCTAGATAAGGCCGTTCGAATTCATCGATAAGGATATGCTCGCGCACCCAATCGTAGCCAAGCAGCACATCGTGACATGGGGTCGGATACTGGTGCACGGATGATGCGCGGTAGTTGATACGAACGATAGTTCCAGCGCTTGACTCTCTTAGCGTTGTTATAACGCGTTCGTCTTCATCTGAGCTTTCTGGTACTACTGGTCCTGGAGGTAGGTAAAGCAAGACCGGAGCTTTAGATGCTGATGCATGGAATACGCTAAAGAAGGTTAGTACTAGAAGAAGCCAAGATGATGCCCAGAAGCTGCGATCTGAGGTATGCTCGCTTAGGGCGGGGCATGGTGTTGGATTGCGGAGGAGTAAAGCGCTGTGAGGTCATCGCACAGCAGGCGGAGGTTTACCCGGGCAATTGCAACGACGAGAGACAGGATCGAAGGACAGACAACGTCATGTGTAGAGACGAGACGGAAGACTTACTCAACCGTAATGGAGCCGTTGGACCGACAGGGGATCTCGATGCGCTCACATCGTGGGAGAGCGGTGACGGCCGAGTAAGGTCGTCTGTTGGGGCTTGAACTGGCGCGAAAGGCGAGGAGAGATAATCGGGGCGGTGATAGGGCAGTGAAAGCCTTCAGACAGGAGTGTCGCAGCATTAATGGGGACCATGCAAGCGATGGTGGGCACAGGTGTAGTCACAAGTCACTAGGCGGGCAAGGCGTGCAAGATGAGAGACGTCAGTTCGCTTGGGGCTGTCGCTTCCGCATACGGACGGGACGACGGCCCTAGGGGAAGGAGCCACCGCCGCGAGGAAAGCGCATCAACACAGCACCGACTCGAAGTGCAGAAATGCAGAATTTGCGTGCGCGATATAAAAATCGGTGCGACAATAACAAAAGCCGTTAGCAGAGCTGTCAAACATCAACAGGTCTACGGTAGTGCTCAGGGGGAGTGGTGGGCGGGTCAGCATGGGGCGCGGCGTGCAGGGAAATTAGGTTAGCTGCTTTGAACCCCGAACTGGAGCTGGTCTGGTGCAGTCCACAACCCGCAGCCTGATTTCATTTCTACGCCGCCTCCGCTCCTTGGTGCCGACCTGTCTTTCATTCCCGTCTGTCCTTGACCGTTGTGCACTGTGCGATTCTGCCTGTGGTGTCGAAATCCCCGCAGGCTCCTTCCAACCTATTACGCCCACGCCCATTCGCGCCTACGACCCGCTTTCACAGCCTCCCAGACCCGCGTAGGACCAAACTCCGTATCACCTAATGCATGCACCTGCACGCTGCGCCCGATAATCCTCCCTAATATATCCTTCTGCGAAGACTGCGTTGTGCGACAACACTCGTGTTTCCAACATCGCAACCCCGAACGCCTTATCGCGAAGACCTCGACCGCCCTTTCAACACGTGCGCCTGCTAGCCTCCACCTGGACGCCGCAATCCTCGCACCTCCACCGAACCTACACGCATACGCGAAAGTGGCGATTGTCGAATAATACCTGGGAACAGCTGCTTCGGGTCGTCGCCCGTTAGCTTATCGATATGGCGGAAGGATCCAAAGTCCGCGCAGTCTTCACCCTGTGCAAGAACCTGGTACTCGCGGCGCTGCTCTATGCCGCTATCTACGGTGTCATCACCTTCATAAACGACCCCTCTGTCGCTGCGAAGGGGAAGATTGGCATTCCCGCCTTCCTGGACAAGGCTGGACCCACGGAGCTGATCGAGACCACCAAGGCGGGAGTCAAGGTCAAGTTCGCAGGCACCACCAAGACCGTCACCATCAACCCGCACGCCAATGTCTTCAACCGCCCCATTACCGCCGTCAAGAACAAGGACGACTACCTGGGTCCCCGCCCCCATGTTGATACCGAGGCGGATATTGATATGCTGATTGAGGAGTGCCGCGGCACCTATGCTGGCATTGAGAAGATGAGGAAGCCCTTTGACTGCCTGAAGTTCTTTGCAGAGGGCGAGGACCGCTACTACAGCCTACCAGAGCCCGCCGACCGAGCCAGCGCCCAAGATCCCCGCAACGCCGACTTCATCAACGCAGACGGTCACGGCAAGACGCTCGAGAGCTACACTCCTGTGAACGACGCGATTGCTGCCAACGGAACCAACATCGGCACCTGCCCCGGCCCTATCATCCCATACCACACCTACTGGACCGGTCCCGCGACCTGGCGAGTAGAAGTCTTCATCAAGAGTTACCTCTACACCCAGAATCTGGCTTGCTCTCGTCTTTGGCTATGGCTCGACACCGACCACAACCCGAACGCTGTCGACAACATGCTGAACAAGGATGCTCTATTTGCCCGTTTCCTGCCTCTGGTCGACAGAGGTGACATTGTTGTTATGCCCTGGAAGTTCCCTAACCGCATCCCACTGGCCACTGATAAAGACGACAAGAACGGTTTCGACTACTACAGCAAGCCCGGCGCCGTCAACGCCAAGGGAGAGAAGGACGTGGCCGAGAACATCGTCGAAGACAAGGATGGCCAGCAGTGGCTCGTTCTGACCCAGAAGCAGATGACGTTCCTTCCTGTTGCCGTTTCCGATGCAGTTCGCTTCATTGTATTGCACATCTATGGAGGTGCCTACTTCGACATGGACGTTCTCATGCTCCGGGACATGCGACCGCTCCTGTTGCCCAAGGAGCATGCCTGGGCAGAGAGATGGGCAGCACACCCTCACCCCGGTGACTACAACACTGCCATCATGTCACTTTCGGCAAACTCCTCCCTCTCATCCTACTTGCTCTACGGTGGTATCAGAATGGGCGTCAACTTCCATCCCCGGGTACTCGGTCGCATGGCCTGGAAAGACGGACGCGACCAGGAGTTCAAGATGTTCGAGACCGCTGCCTTTGACCCTATCTGGACAGAGTTCAACTGGGATCGCGAGGGCCGTTGCACAGTGCCATGCATCCGGGACTACAGCGCAGTCTTCAAGGGCAAGATTGGTGGCGTCAAAGACGAGTGGGAGAGCTACGACGGCCCACAACTAAACCGCATCGACCTCAAAGACGCGCAACGCAAGGAGCTCAGAATGTCGGCCAGCGACTCCTTGGCTAAACGCGGGGAAGAAAACGTACCCGCTTCCGCCGCCCTACCAACTCCCAATCACGGCGACAAAGAGCACCCCGATTCGTTCCAAGCCACGCTTGACGAGGAGGCTGAGCTGAGAAACGCTGGTGTGATTACTGACTACGTTCTCTCTGAGGACAAGTTCCCTCCCAACAACCGCACGCTGGAAAACTTCTTCCGGGGTGCCTGGACATACCATATTCACAACCAGGTAAGTCTCAACAGAATTTCCACATGTTGTTGCCACCCCAACCCCGCTTTTGAGTGCTTCTAGTCCAATGTCCCTGCAGCAGAAGCTTGGCAACGGCGTCTTCTCCACGTAGAAAGCAAAGAATCCACGCTAACAAATCATTACAGTGGATGAAGCATCCCGAACCATCATCATGGATCTCGGTCCTCGAACACGCTCACGATGGATTCATTGCAGGCAAGCGCACGAACCCTTACGGCGAGAAGTGGACAGGCCCTACCCTCATGCCATACAACTACTGGCCCGAGTACGTGTGAGGCCCCGGCAACCGCCGAACCTTAACCCCCCTTCTGCGACATCGAGCTACGAGCGGATGCACAGAGGTTGCCGTGTCGAGTGCTTTCGCTTCGAGGGAGACAATAGTTCCCTTCACGTTAGGCAAGGTCGCTCAGGTGTTTGTAGCTAGCTACTGACCACCCCATGTGACCTTGCTATGAAATCGACCAGCGCTCTTCGACCACCATCAATCACCCTTTCATGGATCACGATACGTTAAATTCATTTTTTTTCAGTCAAAATATAAGCGCAGCATAAAAGCCAGATTCTTAGATATCTGACTTTTCGGAGTTTTTGGTGTTGTTCTTGGTACTTTCTAATCGGCTCGCTTTCGCGGCATATACCCTTCGTTTCTTGTTAATTGTTCAGGGCGGTCTTGGGCCTGTGGCACTTGATCTTGTCGATTTGGGCTGGAGATTTATATCTCAGTGAGCCGTTCTTATTAGTTAGTAGGGTGGGAATATCTAACGATGTGGCATCATGGCCAGAATTAAGAGAATAAAACGAGATGAATCTACCGAAACGCGCTAATCTCTTGTCGTATACGCATCTTCTTCTTGGCTTTTTTGATCGGCACGACTCATCATGGTTGTTCTCCGCGACGGGAAGATCTGCAGTGAGTCTCGTCACGGTACAGCACGACCGACCTTGTCTGGCCTACCCATACTTCCCCGGGCGCCTCACAGCTAAGCTATAGTTCAGCGTACGACATATACAGGAAATGGCGAATAATGGAGTTAGATCAAATTTCAACGACTCGGCTGTTGCCCACGATGAAAATGAGCCCACGCCTCGATCTCGTGATGCTTGTGGAAACTAACGTGGGGTTCTGCAGGGTATTCCTGACAAGTGACTGGATTTGATGCCTAAGCCCAGTCTACTATGTAGCTATAGAGGGGTAATGTAGAGTAGTACCTGATAAAAGAGACATGTCTAGCGTGTTGAGTTGCAGTAGAGAAATGGTAGATATTTGTGAAATCAACATGATTTTTAGAAGATACAGCGAAGTGCGATACCAGATGTACTATGTGATTGGATAGATAGGTATATCGTTCCTAAGAGGTTGAGAATAATCGCTATCAAGCCGCGATAGCAATTGTCGAGTACTTGTAGCTGCAGCTAAGTCATCTGAGGCTATCACGGGTCCAGGTTTGATAATGATGTACTTGTGAAAAGGTCGCTTGCAACAACGCTAATCATAGCCGGCAGCTGTAGGCTCGCGATAGGATTATTGTTCTGCTTTATACAATAATATAGCGAAACTTTAAGTAAAGGAGCTATATCTAGCTTTCGAAACATGGCAGGTGATAGTAAACGATGATAGGGAGACCATCATGTGTTACTTTTGGACGTGGCCTGCAACAACGGTGTGGGTGGCGACGCAGTTTTTGAGAGACTTAAAGCGATACAACATTTGTACTGGTCTCCTCAAGACACCCGTGCAGCAACATTTGCCATGATAGCAGATTAGAAAAAAAGCGAAACCTCATTCCTCCCACTCCGGACGCGACACCGAGGGGTATGCAAGGGAGCTCATGAGAGAATCTTGTTCCACGTAAGGTCCCTTAGATAAGATAGACGATGGCGACAAAAGCGGTCACGAGGCCTTGAATTAGAGTCATCGGAACCGCACGCCATGAACCAATCGGACATCGTAGATATAGGAGAGCCATGTCCCTAGAGCCGCACACTGACACGTCGCCCAACGGGATGCATGCCAACAGCCGCGGGGTAGATGAAGGTTCTCAAAAGAACTAGTATCAATTGCCCAAGTGTCGGTTGGAGTATCAAAGCGGACTTAGTCACAGTTGTGACGTCTTGACCTCCCTGTTCGCAGTACGATCACCCGCTGGCTGCCGTTTGACTCGTCACGAACACCATACACCACACTTCTCTTACAGCGGGAGAGCTGGATACTTTGTAAAGGTCCGAAATGGTACCCATTGATACGACGACGATATGTCACCCCTACCAATCAGTCAATGATCATCGCCTCACATGCTTCAAGAGATCCTGGCGAAGTTCCTACCCCCACGCTTGCGAAACGGGTCTTCGTCCCTTCCACCGTGGAAGTAATGTTCCAGAATGAAATCCGCCAGTTTTCCGGGGTTGCATAGTAAGGTATCCTTGCTACGAAGCCCGATCTGACAAGCGCTTTTTTTTTGAGATTCATCGTGCACCTGGTTTAAAAATGCCCGCAGGGATGGGGCTGGACAACTGTCTTAAGCGATGCATGCGTATATGTCGTGGAGAGCGGTGAGTGCCGTATCATAAACGACCGTCCCGAATCTTCGGTTGTGGTGCAAAGAGAGAATGGCGTTCCAAGCATCGTTGCGGCGCAGCTCATACCTATCGCAGACGAAAGAGTATCGTGTCTCTTGGGCAACGCGAGTCGGCGAGGTACCAAGGCTCGGGGACACTGACGTGGAAGCTGATCTTATATACGTTTGCGGCAGGGACTGACGTGAGATGAAGAAAGTCGGGATGTGGTGGGCATCGGAGATCGGTAGGTGGGCGCCGAAAGGACATTAGCCCGGAAAAGGAATCGCTCGGACTCTATCAATCTAGTTGACGTTTTCCAGAACCCAAATTGCGAGAGCGGACCGATTCTCTGACACTCCTGCCTCAGCCTTCCAACAGGAGGCGCTCTCGAGTGCGACTGTCACACTTCGTGATCTGATGCATGCCGGGACACAACGGAACTCAGATATACTTTTCACCACTCAGACGGACCCGATCTTCACTATGACGTCCTGGAGAGTTATGAGGCTTCTCATCCTCGTAGGTGATCCTCCGCATGGGATAAGATGAATGCGAAAAAGCGGGGTCGCGGCAAAGGCCTGTACGCGTCCGCGCTTAGCAATATTCGCATACCGGGTACCATGTATACACTGAAGTCTTATGAACGGCTATCGCCAATCATTCATCTCCAGCCCAAGGTTTCATCATATCTTTTGTTCATAGGCTTGAATAGCCACGATGTTGAAGACTTTTGACAGCAGCGATATGAGCGAGGTGACAGGAAAGCCTCATACCAGAGGTTCCGACAACTCGGCGACGCCAGCGAATCCATCGTCCGCGGTCCCACAAACTACGGCACCACCCGAGCCCCCTCGCCGCCAACAGATGCGTAGCTGCGACTCGTGCAAGCGCGGAAAACGAGCTTGCGATGCAGACAAACGTGTCGACTTTGCGAATCAGACGTGTTCGAACTGCCTTCGAAAGAACCAAGTCTGCACCTTCAACTGGCTGAAGACAGCGTCGGTGAACCATCAAGAGCGGGAAAGAAAGCGGAGGCGTTCAGAAGAGCAGAACGATTGTGATCAACTCGAAGAACATGCAGCGAGTGGCTCTGTCAGCTATCAGTATCAAATACCACCTGAATCTATCGCGAACAAAGCTCACTACGAAACTCAAGATCAAGGCACACAGTGGCCATCATCTCAAGACGAAAACGAGGCACACGAAGACTACTTCAACAACCCACCGAGGGACGACGCGGATAACATAGCCGAAGAATCGAAACCCTTGGAGAACCTAGACTCAGTGCAATCGGGCACGAATGTTGATCAGGGATTATTTAAGTCGCGAGACTCGCGGAGAAACTCTTTCGCCCTGCGTCCTCATCGTCGAAACCAGAGAGACGATGCCTCATCTCCGTTCATGGACATACTACTGGGGGAAAGAACGTCTCGGGGGTTCGTGACCAACGGGTTACTACGCATTTACAACGACAGTATGGAAAACTCTCTCTCATGCTGGCTCACAGAGCACAACTGCCCATACACGATGACGCGCTACAAACCTTCTCTCCTCTCAGCGAGCAAGGCTACACGGGAATGGAGTGGCACCTGGTCAAACAGAATGTACAATCGCGTACTTCAACTTGATCGAGCCTACGCATCCCTTCGCATTCGAAAACCAACGGTCGAGGAAGAACGTACAATCTCCAAAGCGCTCAATATGACCATCATGTCTTTCGCGTCACAGTGGGCCCAAGCAGGGGAGAGAGGCGCAGGAGGTCGTGCGACAGACCCTCAATTTACGGCAGACAGGTTCCCTCAGTCGAATGAATTTGAGCGATCCATGCAAGAAACACTCTGGCACCAAACATCTCAGCTACTGCATCGGGCTGCTGACATCGGCTCTTTCCGTGTTATCTTTGCCTTGATCATCTTCTCGCTGACCCAGCGGCCCTTGGACACCACACGGCAATCTACACGTACGGATCCTAAGCTGAGAACGCATTACGAACATTTCCAAGCTTTGGTACAGGATGATGATGCCCCCATCTTCTTGGAGATAGCTTTGCGACAGCTCCTCGCTCAACGACGTAGATTGGAGCGTGTGGAACAAGACCTGGGACGAGATCCCCTCCAGCAAGAAGACAGAGATACTTTCAATCTGCTATATTGGCTTGGCGTTATGTTCGATACCCTTTCTGCAGCAATTTCTCAACGTCCAGTAGTGGTCGACGACGAAGATAGCGAACTACCACCTCCAACTAACAACGCGTACACCGAACCCTTCACCTGGCCTAATCCTCCGACTATGTGCAGTGACCAATTTGCAATGCCAGAAAACCTTTCTAGAATTTCCGACGACTCTTCAGCGACTCAGGGTTCTGGAGGTAATGCGGTATGGGGCGATCTCTTCACGCGCGATGGGGCTTTGGAAGTGGATCCTGGAGCAGCACGATGGCCATGTAGCTACAAAGTTGCCGCTGCAACACTCAGCTCTGCTGCACCAGTGAAGGTGCTTCTATATCGCCGCGTCGCACATCTTCAAGCTTTGGTGTCACGAAAGGCTCCCCCAGCTAGGATTGAGGTAAGTACATAGATACATCATCTTCTTCTCCGTCTCCGTCTGACTGACCATCACGTACGCAGTCAGGTATAAACGGCGCATTTCATGTCTACAACCACTGGCATCGCACCTACGCCCCCTTCTTCTCCGATTGCGTAAAGCACCACGCCACCCTCCCTACACGCGTGCAGTCCTGGTACATCCTGCTAGCAGGCCACTGGCATCTCGCAACCTTCCTACTTTCCGATCTCCTATCCACGATTGACAGCACGAAACTCTCTTCGCCGAACGAACGCACCCTCCGCCAGGCATCGAACCTCGTTGATACGCTACGGCGACAGAATGCGCTAGCAGTGGCTGACCTGAGTCTAGCTAGCATACACAGCGTAAAGGACAAAGAAGGAACAGACGACTTTCACTTTGCGCTGAGCCAAGCTGCGCTCTTGACAGAGCCGTGGACTGTAGTTTTCGTGCGCTCATTATGCAGAGCAGGATACGTCCTAGTCCAGGTCGTCGCTGCAGAGACGATCGAAGAGGAACGAGACCAAGCCATACGCAGATGTCGCGATTGCATCGAAGGTCTCTGGTATCTCGGTCGGAAATCAGACATGGCGTTCCTGGCGGCACGATATCTATCGGATATGTTGGATGAAGCTATACGCGACACTAGTGCACGGACGATGACGGAGGAAATGGGCAGCGATTCTGCAACCGTGTCGTCTCAATTTGGTGCCAACTCGAGTCCTGGGACGGATGCGGTGGTACCTGGATATCAGCAGCCGTTCAGTTCGATTGGGGCTTTTCCATCGTGGACGGATGCGGATTTGATGGGTAGCTGCCAGCCGGGTAGTAAGATGAATGAGGGCGATGTATTGAACATGGAGACCCCTTTGAACGTTGATAGTGCGCTGCTTTGGGACTTTAGTCTGCAAAGATGATAAGTGTATATCAGACTCAGCCAAAACCGAAGTGTGGAGATGTTACGCATCTAATTCAACTCACATATCGTAGCGATCTATTGACGAAGCTTAATGTATGTTGAATATTACTGCGCCTCAATGGTGCGTGGGACTTGACCGGTCCCGATATGTGCCAATAGAAGTGTGGCACGCTGCAGATCCAATGTTACACAGCAGTAAGAGCACAAATTCGGGTTACCCCAAGCCTTTGTGAGCTCTTTCCTCGAATACCGCACATGTTTGGGTCTTGAGAATGAGTTTACCCCGCATCGTTCGCTGTCTTGCTCTTGCCAAAAGCCCAGCCACCTCAGCTCTCATTTCTGGAAGTAGCGAAATCTGTTATAGAACCAACCAAGGAGAACTCGATTGTGATCTATCCCAACTAGCTCGGCTCATTGTTCTGGTTTCTGTCATTGTTTACCCTAGGAGCGGAGCGAATTCTTTGCGCTAGGCTTTACGACTGCACATTTCGTACTCATTCCTGTTTCAGCGGCAACCGACGCTCGCTCTATAATCAGTGGATCTGTCAGTCAAGAAGAATGACCAGCGAACCTTCTGCCCCGGTCACGGATGTATCTACTCAGGTAAGTAATGCCAAGCCTTGAAGAAGCGGACAAGGCTGATACGATGCTGTAACTCGGCAGCACACCCGTTCAGAAGTGGGAACTACCCCCAATGAAACCGCTATTAAGATCGGAGATGTCAAACACGATGTCGATCTCTCAAAAGTACCGTATCTTTCGTCCTTTGCCGGTTTCCAAGCCAAAGCCCAGCCCGACGCAACCGAATTGGTCCACGGCCCAATACCTCTCTTCGACGTAGCTTTGAAGGGTAGTCAATCGGGTTATCGCCAATGCTTCAGGAATCTCACGCCCGAACTTCAACAATACCACGTTCTATGCGAAACCTACGAGTTTCTCGGCATCAATGTCCTCGGCGAGCAACGTATTGACCAGATCTTCGGCGATCTGAGGCTCTGCAAGGCAGGTTGGGAGACATGGGATGAAGGTATCAAAGATGGTAAATCGAAAGCACGCGACGCCGCTTTCAAGTTACTGTATCTGATACTGCTGGGCGAGTTTGAGGATGAGAAGAAGGATGGCGACAAAGCGTACAACGCAGTGCTGTTCGTGGTATCTCATCCCGGAACGTTCAAGTGAAGAACAAGAACCGTAGTGCGGGCGGCGTATGAGGAACGTTTCGTTGTCTCGACGAAGCAGATGGTAAGACTGGATCAATGGCTGAAAGGGGATACTGTAGATGATATTGAGGACGACGTCACTACAGAGGTGGAATCATCTGACGAGTACTATGGATCGGATTGGTCATAGGGGTTGCGGAAATTCGTGCTGTTACTTATTGGATCAAGCTTTCATCATAAAAGCCCGGCTATCACGTCACCTGATCAAGAGAAATGTGATCCGTGATTACGGATGCTTGCTGTTTTCACAAGTCATCGTAGTCTTCTGCATTGTCCAGCGCGATAGTAGCAAATAGCATACGACCATCTTACCCACCTACATGAATAGCAGGCATGCTCTCCAACCAGTTTCAAAACCACCATCCACTGTCAACAACACGATGTTCCTACCATGAGGTCATCCCGACCGTGAAGAGCGAGTGGATCTCGAGAGGAATATTTTGTCTCAGTGGGAAGCCACTACCAAAAATGCCACGTCTATTCCTCTATCTATGCGCTACCCGAAAGGCCTTGAATGGTGGCCTGTTGAGATCTTGTGTACCTTAAGCGACCTCGCCGACGAAACGCTAGGTATCGACAATTGGAACAATGTCTACGATCTACTCGTAGAGGGCAACAAGAAGAGGATGAAGTACGAGAATAACACCTTGTTAGCAGAGATACAGCTGAGCGACATATCATATGTGCGAGAGCGCGTTCGGGCGGAAGAAGAGGAGGGAAGAAGAGGAGGGAAGAAGAGGAGGGAAGAAGAGGAGGGAAGAAGAGGAGGGAAGAAGAGGAGGGAAGAAGAGGAGGGAAGAAGAGGAGGGAAAGCAGAAGATGGTCGATACCATGGCGGAAAACGACGGTATGTTGGGGTTATATACACTCGTTGAAGTCGCGGATGAGCTGAATTCATGTGGAAGAGTTGTGCGTTGTTTGATCCGCCTGATGATACAGACGATGCGAATGCCACCACCAAGCCTGACGAGAGTGCGGGAGCGACCGTCACTACGAACGCGAGCGATGGACCCACTAATCAGCAAGCCGATGACTCAGAAGAATCTATTCCAGCTGCTATACTTCCCACAAATAGTCAAGAAGCCAAGATTAAGAAATGGAACTTCTGGATCAATCATCACTGGCAAGTACAGGACTACAGAGATCTCATCCTCAAGGAAATGCTACAAAGAAGTAACGACAAGGAACCAATCCGTAATCGGGAGTTGAAAAGCTACGGAACCAAACAAAACGGTGAGGTCCTGGAATTGCTAAACGAAAGAGCCAAGATTACTGGAATACAGCGGAAAAATTCAGCATGGGCGAAGATCGTGGAGAACTGGGGCGATAGAGCACCAAGGTCAGGAAGAAACTCAGAAGGAGAGTTCTCTGGCTGAAAGCAAGGAGCACGTGGAGTATGGCGCAGGTCGCAAGGCGAATCATTATGGTGAAGACACTGAGAGCGGAAGAGAAGAGAAAGATCAGCTGGAGCCAGAACAGCATTAGAAACGCCCAGTTCATGAGACAATTCATTCTAACATCAAAAAGGCGCGGCATAGATAGGGGCTCGTTGTGGGCCTCATGATAGGTTCGTTATCCACCACGGCTTTGACGTGATCAAAACACTTTCCTAACTCGTCAGTCCCTGCACAGCTTTCGATCCCGCAATCTTGAACTTTACACCCCCTCTTGGGTATTCCTCGCGCTCAAGTATATCGTTTATAGTTGAGCAGAGCTCGGTGAACTGACTCTGTGCGGTGTTAAGAGTTGACTGACCCAAAGATCATGTTCGAAACTTACAAACTCTCGTACGCTAAGCTCAATACTGGAAAGAAAAAGGTTCCCAATGCCCACGCCTAAAGACTGAATCCATCGTCGACTATACTTTCTCAAGAAAGGACAGATGGGTCCTTTGTCAGAGGCAAGATAGACTAGGCACTCGAAATCACCGTTTGTAAAATGGTGCGGCCAGTACGAAACGAAGTAATCAACTTCCAGAAGGGTGGCTGACCTGGAGATTGCGGGTTCGTCTGGTTCCAGTGCATCGTCTGGGTTCCGGTAAGCTAGGTCCAATATCCTCATAGAGCGGGCCAGGATAAGAGAATAAGCAAATGCGTGACCGTGCGGGAAGATAGTGTTGTACGCGTCGCTCTTGAGGTAGTCCTTCGCCGACTGGTGAACCAAGACAACTTTGGAATCATCAAAGGATAAGAATGATCCACAAGCACAGACTATCTCTTTTACTCTCATCTCCACCTGTTCGTCCGTAATATGGTCAAGCTCGCGCAGAAGATTTCGTAGTTCCAGGTAGGACAAAGGCTGGAAGACTACTACTACTACTGATAGTACAAACTTGTAGAGCTTGGCTTCGGGTTCGTTTAAGTCTTCAATCTGCTGAAGCATCCTTCCGTATAATTCCTTGAGGCCAGGTGGGAAAGCTTGCATGGCCGCTTCGTAAAAAATGCCTGTAGAGTCTTCTAATTTCTTGCAGACCAATGCTACCCATAAAAATGTTCCTCCAGCGTTTTCAATCAAGTAGTCTTGAATAACAGCTGCGTCCGTCGGATTGTACCTCTTCTTCCTGGCCAAGTGCTCAACCTTGTGTAGAATATATGTGTTGACTGCTTCGAGCGTAACTCCAGATTTAGGGTCTAGTACATGGGAAATCATTTGAGGATGCTCGGTGAGTATATCATGGATATCGTTCCACTCACGTGAAGAGATTATCCATTTAATGTTCGAAACCCCCGTTGAGATCCGCACGATCAGCTCAAGGAGCTTCTTACGGTCATCTGGGTCGATGCATTCGTCAATGGCGTCTACAAGAATGTAGATGGTTGCTTCGTGCAGACATGGATCCAACAGCATGTTGGTAAAGATCCGAGATAAAGCTGTCCAAGAATTTGAGCCGGTGAACAAGTCTTCACCCACACGATCGTATTCGAGCCGTACATGACGTATGAGCGATAGCCGCTGCCCAACGAGATAGTGAATAAGACCACGCAAGACTGCGTTGGCGTTATTGTTGTGCGGCTCCGAGGTCTGACAGAAGAAGTATGATAGCAGATCGACAGCTAGTACGGTTCGACCCAGCACGCCGATAATTCCACACATAAGCATGGTCTTGCCCTGACCAGGCGCGCTGCATAGCGTCAGCGCATGTTTTGAACCCTAATAGCACCGCGAGGCGCTCTCAACTTACCCTTCAATCCATAATAGTCGCACTTCCGGGTCATCGCACCACTGTTGATACGCCGCGTTGTCGAGTATCCATCGAAAAGAACCATCAAGCAAACCCCCTTTCAAATATTCCAGACGTTCCCTGTCGTCGCTGGGGTTAGTCAAGAACAAGTTTTGAAGACATTGGTTGTCCGCTGCAGTCTTTGTATCCTCCACGGAACGCGCTGCTTGTGCCTGGATACTCGTCGCGATGGTATGTAGACTGATACTCTGGGCTTTGGCATCCTTGGCGATGACTTGCAATTGATCGCAAACCTCATGTGTGGTGAATTGCGCTGCATCTTGTCGTATTATTTCTTCCATCTGCTTGATGGCTGTCAGTTCGCCTTCCCAGTCATCCCACTTGAGCAGGTCTCTTGCAAACACTACACCCACGTCGACGATGGTACGTTATGATACTCTTGATCTGATATTCCAGAAGACTCGCGTAAAGGTCAATTAGACTCCTCTCTAGTTGCTCTTGAAGAGGCCGCGATCGTTGAGCTTTTTGATTGTTTTCCAAGAAAAGATCAGCTAGGTGCCAGTACCAGTCCATCCTTGACACGACATAAGCGATTCCCTCTCTGTTGGAGGAGGCTTGAGTGAGTGGGTTCATGAGTATCTGACGAGCATCAGCTATAAGCTTGTATCATCAACGGTGGCCAGCCATACATCAAGAGCAAGGCATATTGGTACCCAAGCTACAGAGGCTTCCGGCGAGGCTTTGGTCGCGGTGGAAATGGTATCTTTGATGACGTTGAAAACTTGCAGTCCTTGCGCGACTGAGTCTTTGGTAGTAGCTTCCTTTTCTGTTCTCTGCAGACCAGAATCTACAAGCTGTCGCATTTGGAGCGATCTTGACTGCCCTAGGCTGATTTTGTTTATCTGACAGTTGAGATCTACAGCCTTGTTGTAACTCCCATCCATTTGGCTCGAGAGGATGATCTCATAGTGTCCAATCAGTCTTGAGTCTTTCGCCTTTAGCTCATCATAGGCGTGATTCCAAAGACGACCAGGTAAGCTCGGCGCGACGGGCTCTGGGGAGCTGGTGTCGGGGCTTTTCGGCCCCTCCTTGCTCTGCGCCTGTTGTGACTCGTCAATTGTAGGCACGACGACCGGTGGCTGCCGTAGCCCAAGTGTTTCTCGCTGTTTTCGATGAAAAAGCTTAATTATGTTAGAGAACCGCATGGCCATGAAAAAGGTGACCAGCAGATGAAGAAGAGGAGAAAGAAGTGAACAAAGATTGATCTAGACTTGCAGAGACTGTGGCATCTGGGATATATGTGCGGGGTCTATCTTAAGATCATTGGCCGCTCCCCGTCGTCTTACAGCATACACACCGTCGCGTAATGGACAAGGATGCTGTTCGAGCTAGCATGCACTGAATGAGCCAGAAGTGACTGTAGGAGGTATGACGCTGGATCCTGCGAACGCCACACGCGACAACAAAGGAGAGCATGCCTCCTTCGATCTATACTGGGGGCTGGCCTAGTTCTACGCCTATCATAGAAATTATACTTTCATCTACGGGACGTACGTACGACGGAAATTTGGTGGTGTCGGACCTAGAGCGAAGTTTCACGCTGTAGGAATTTAATGCTATTGGACACGACATGAGCGCGTCGATGCTGGTCGAGGTTTGTAGCGCGATTTCCAAAGTCTTATCAGCGACTAGCGGCGATGACGTCATCGATCACCAAAATGACCAACAGCCTCACCCATCCCATCCCATCCCAGCCGAGCCTACCAATCATCCCACATCCAAGATGTCGCACAATTCTTCCACCGCAGAGAAGATCACCCAAATTTACACCCCTAGTCCATCCGCCACCGAACCCGCCAACACCCAAGCCGTCATCTCAGCCCTCAACCTTCAAGTACACGTCGAAGGCGGCTACTATGCAGAGATCGATCGCAACCCTCTCACCATTCCGAACCCTTTCTTGGTAAAGAATGGCGGCGATGAAGAAGAGGATGTGAAGAACACGGCGGAGAAGCCCATGTCAGGTGACAATGCAATTAGGAATGCGAGCACGAGTATATACTACATGTTGAGTGCAGTGAATCCGCAGGGTCATTTCCATAGGAATAAGGGAAGGACGGTATGCAAAGACCCCATTGTTCAAAACCTGAAATGCACGCAGTAGTAAGTGAAGTACTAATACTGAATGCTGTGTATAGGTACATACCCTCATCTCAGGTCGGGGTCGTTACGTCCTGATCCACGCCGACGAACCTGGCAGTAAGAAACGTATCGAGACCTTTGTTGTTGGAAACGATGTCACAAAGGGAGAGAAGAGCGTATGGATTGTTGAGGGTGGGAAGTATAAGGCGAGTTTTCTGCTCGACGGAGCGGAGGGGGAGAGACTGTTGATCAGTGAGGTATGTGCTTTGATCCATGATCACTGACGACCGGTGGTAAGCTAACGCAACTTTTCAGACGGTGATACCAGGCTTTGAGTTCTCAGATCATGATTTTCTGACGGTGGACAAGTTCAGGCAGATTGTTACGGATGAACAGGCGAAGGAATTAGAGTGGTTGGTGAGAAAATCGTGAGACTACATCCGATAATGCCAATGTTAGACACATTACGCCGAAGTAGCTGCAAAAAGCAAACAGCGACGCTAATGGCCTGCACTGAGTGTGGCGGAACGCGATGTCGCGTCTTCACGTGTGCGTGATGAAATAATGGCGGGGCGCTATCGATAACGGGCAAAATTGTCGATATTTCGTCACGCAAACCCACGCCCAGCGATTCTCTCAGCAACACAGTTCAACATGACTTCAGTTTTCGGCCCAATTGCAGGCAAGTGATCGCGTGAATATACACATCCATTTTCTAACGTTCCTCGCAGAGCAACACCAGGACAAATTCGACCTTGGAATCTGGCACGCGCTCTTCAACTGGAACAACCTCACCGTCGCCGTCCAAAACCAATGGGGCGGCCCCGACTCCTCCGATAAGCGCGACTGGCTCGCAGGCCAAATCTCAGAACTCTTCGCTGCGGAACCCCTCACAGACCAAGAAGATGTTGAGGTTGTCCTACTACAAGTCCTCGAGGACGAGTTCGGCGTGCGCGTAGAGGACGAGACCGAAGTCGCTGTTGCGCGTGAGATCATGGCGATACGGAAGGAAATTGGAGAGGGCAACACAGCCATGGTGGATGCGCTACAGAAAAAGTGGGAGGAGCGCAAGGGCAAGGAGATCGCGACTGGGAGTGTTAATGTCAAGGAGACGAATCAGGACTTTGAGGGGGATAGTGTGGATGAGGAGACGGATGAGGATGAGGATGTCGATATGGATGATGCGCCTGCGCTTGTGCCTGCGAAACCGAAGTCTAAGCCTGAGCCTGAGATTGATGAGGACGGCTTCACGACGGTGGTTGGCAAGAAGAAGAGATGAAGTGGGAAGGGGAGGAACGATGAGCAGCGATACCAAGCCAGCTGAGGCAGTGGAATGTTATACGTCGTGTGGACGATACTGCATAGATGGGAATCTATGAATGCAACGCAGCAAACACCGCACAGGAGGCGCGCATGAGGGCAGCGAGTGGCGACACCATAAGGCCTATACAATGGCCATCTATGAGCCTTATCGGAGGAGGTGATTCAGAATGAAAGCAAAATTAATCATGGCCGCGTCAACAGTCTTGACCATTGTTTGTGCAACGCGAGCGTGCCTGAACTGGTGATGCACGTCGCCCAACTACTAGCGGCAATTGCGGAGCTTCATGCATGGCCCCGCCCGCATTTGACCTGCACCCTTGATTGACCCAACCAGCCTGTGTCTCACGACCACAACAACATCCTTAGCCCCCACCCTATACACAATCTCCCCTAAACCTCGCCTCCCTTCTGGACGGTCGTAACTATGGATTCCGCCTACGATCACATCCAGGAGGAGAGCTACCCGCAGGACCCCACCAAGCAGTCCGCCGGCGGAGATAACGCCCACCAGGAGACGACCAACAACTTCAACGCCGAGTTCCAGGATGCTTACAAAGCTATATCGAGTAGCCCGTGGGCAGCGCGTTTAGGAGGGTTCTTGGGAAATGTGCGGAAGCAGGTAAGACTTGCGTGTGTGTTTCAAGGTACACTTACTGACCAGGTGCGGTGTAGGGCGAGCAATACTACGACACCGCAAGTAAGCAATATGCGCCACAGGTCAAGAACGCCTCAGCCAGCGTCTCCAACATTATCAGCCACGCGCGCAAGATCTCGCTCCAACCCGGCGACGCTTCAAGCTCCAAATCCGCCTCCACCTCCCAAGATGCTTCCACCGAGAAAGCGACCGAAGATACAGAAGCTCACCCCGACCGTCCCGAATCCCTTACCGCAGACATCGTGAAGGAGGCAGAAGGGATACTATCGCACTTCCGCTCCGAAGCCGCCAAACGCCTCAAGGATGTCGAAAAAGCCGAAGACGCCGCAGACGAAGCACTCCTCAAGTTCGGCAGCAACATCCGCAACTTCCTCCGCGACGCCGTTACCATCGCGCCTCCCGAAGCAGGATCGCAAGCCGCCAAAGATGGCGATGTACTTTTCGAATCAAAGGACAGCAGCGGCAAGAAGGTTGTTCACGCCACGCGCTTTGACGCCCAACTCCACGTTATCCATTCGACACTCGATTCCTTCCTTAAGGACCCCGCGAGCCCGGAGTGGGAAAACTGGAAGTCGGGTTTTGATGTAGATAAGAAGACTGAGGCTATTGCGAAGGATCTGGAGAAGCATGAGGAGCTGAGGAGTGCGATGGAGAAGTGCGTCCCGGAGAAGGTGGAGTACAAAGTGTTTTGGTGCAGATACTACTTCTTGCGCCATGTTATTGAGAGTGAGGAGCAGAGGAGGAGAGAGATGCTTAAAGGTGAGTTGAATCCATTTCCGCCGTGCGAAAGGATAGTAAAGCTAACATGTACAAACAGCATCCACACCCGCCGCCGACGAAGAAGTAGCCTGGGACGAAGACTCCGAAGAAGAAGACGAGGACGATGACGAAGAAGAAGATGACGACGAAGACGACTCTTCCGAGGAAGAAGAGTCTGACGACGACTCCGACGACGATAACGCCACCGTTACCAAACCCAGCAAACCTACTTCCACAATTAAATCCACCGCCGCCGCTCCTTCCACCGCTACCACAAAACCCGCTTCTACCACCGCCAGCACACCCAAACCAGCAATCGACCTCGCCGCATCAGTCAAAACACTGAAGCCCACAGACGAGGCCAAGCCAACACCCGCGCAACCCCGCCGATCGAACGATGAGAAGAGCGTAGCTGATAGCGACGCGAGTTACGATCTTGTCTCTGGCACAACGACGAGGGCGCCGGGAAGTCCGCAGGATGGCAAGGATGGGAAGAAGAAGGTTGTTCCTGAGGAGAGTGATGAGGAGGAGGACTGGGAGTAGGGGATCTGGTGATGAAACAGGAACGAATATGTGAATATGAATAAACACGGGGTGTTTTCGGCGCGCCTGGATTGTATGCTTGGTTATTTGTTGTATGCCGTTTTGATGGGTATAAGTAAGGGAGCAAGAATATGTCGATAGGACGAATCTCACCTTTTGCGGTTCTATTGGAGACCTGGTGATGAGTGCTTGCTCGCTATGCTACGCTAAACTATGATAGTCGAAGATGCATTCTATGAAGAAAAGACAAGTGGTATCTAGAACGCCCATTTTGATGCTTGAAATCGCTCGCTCTTTCGAATCTGAACATGAAACAATCTGCACACATTCGCTCATGATACTCTTCTTTCATCGTAATCGTGGTCTCGTAAGCACCGGATACTTCTAATTCGGCCTAGCCACACTACTAGGTGGTGTATCAGGCGGCACACTACTCGTACGCGGTATCGTTGTATCACCCGTCTGTCTCCTCGAGAAGTTGGGCTGTTTCATCTGATTGAGATGTTGGCCCGGTTGGGTTGTTGCTCGTCGGAGGAGAGGGCTTGGCGAGGAGACATTACCCAGACTATGCCGTCCAGAGAACGAGATGTCGACAGATGATTTCGACCGATGACCAGAAGATGGAATAGGCGTAGAGCTGAACGTCGTTGGTGTACCGCCTCGTGACCGTGAGTAGGGCGATGAACCGCGCTGACCGATGGGATAGCTATCATAATCGTAACCTCTACCGTCGTTCGCAGTGGGCGTATCTGTCCACTCAGTTCGCTCGTGGTCGTGCACTTGTTCATGCCCGTGTTCGTGCAGTTCATGCTCCAGATACTCTTCTCCTCTCCTCTTGATCGGACTCTCATCGTATGGATCGAAGCCCACCCTCATCCTGGCCTCCCTTCTCACTCGTCGTCGTAACTCGGAATCACCACCGGCGCCCACTGTACTGCTATCCGAGAGGAAGAAGTTGAGGAACTCATCAGGGATAGCGAGGTGGGAAGATTGCTGGAATTGCTGGAGAGCAGTCAAGCGGATGAGCATTTCCAGAAGCGAGAGCGAAGTTTTGATGGCGGGTAGAGACGTCGGGGCTTGTTGCTTGTATTGTGGAGTTGGTGCGGAAGCTTTTTGTGGAGAGGGAATTATCTGGTTTCTTGAATCCGGCTGAGGAGAAGTAGGTGTGCTAGGTCGGAGATTAAGGTTGGAGAAGCGGCCGAGGAAGTCGGGTGGTGTAGGTGTGGCTGCTGGGGATGGTGATGACACATCCTCCGTGAAGTCCTCTGTTTCGTCGATCTCAGAGTCGGTGGTGGGGTCTTCGATGTATACTTCGAATGCCATCCATTCAAGATCGAGCGTGGGAGGCAATCGCCAGGGGTAGGTTGGTGGTTCAGGCTCTTGCGGAGCGGGCTCTTCAAGGTGTGGAGTCGACTCGCGTCGCAGTTGCTCTTCCAACTCTGTTTGCTCGGGATCTTCATCTTCAGCAGCTGTATGTGAGTCATCCGACTCATAGCCAGGTTCCTCGGTATCGCGTTCCATCATCCGGCGAGGTGGCGCTGCATTGACGTCTCGCTTCAACAACAATATTGGGTTGTTGCTCTCGTTGTCGGAACCAATGTTCAGTATCTTACCCGTATCGGCATAGAAGATCTTGGACACTTCGTGTATGGGTATGATCTCACGAACGCCCGCTTGCTGGACACCATCATATGGTCCTGGCTGGGGTTCGTCGTCTTCGAACTCATGCATACGGCCATCATCTAAGTCTTCGACGATGAGTAGCTGATAAGCAAACTCCTGCAACATGCTGTCGGATGGAATGTGACGGTGATTAGCCTCATGAGCTCGTCGACTGTCCTGCCCCAAGGGCGTCGGATAGTCATACACGTTGTCTAGTGGGACTCTCATTAGTGTGACACGCGCCTTGTGCATGACCTCCTTCCACGTCGTCTCTCGCACGTCTTCTTCGTGAGCTCGATGCGCATATCCAGCGAACAACATGTACATGGAGAGTGTGAAGGTCGGACCAATTTGCTGAGCCCTAGGCTTCGATGCGCAATACTGCATATCGCCAGAAGTGAGAAAGGTGCTAGCCTGTAGAAGTCGTGATGGCGATACAGTAGCTGGGAGTGTAGTCGAGAGACTGGTACCAGATGTAGTGATTGCCAGATTGATCAGTGGTACGGCGTCTTCGATGCGCTCTAGTAGCCTCTTCATCTCGTCGATGATGATCTTGAGCTCGACATCGTTCTGATCGCGTGATTTTGCTTTGGAGCTGCCTCTTCTTGCGAGCTGCTCTTCAGCGACGGCCTTTTCGACACGACTACCTAACGTTTGGATATCCCACCGAAGAGACTTTGTGAGACCCACCGCAGACTCAAGCGAGGTGTTTCCGCGTGCCGCAATCAATTCGATCATGTCGATTGCTGGTGAGATGATCTTGATCTTAGAGTCAAGTCTCAACTGCAGAGTAGCGAGTTCCTGCTTTTCTCGGCCATCGACCGTCTTCATCAGTCGACCACATTGCTTAAGCGCATAGTGGCTGGTGATTGCTATACCGCTTCGGATAGCATAGCTCATAGCCTGCTGGGTGACCTATCACATGTCAGCATAATTCAAGAATACGAGAAAATGACTCCTTGTCTGCTATGACGTGTTGGGAGTCAAAGCATAGTCGTACCTTTGCTAAGATTGCCTCCATCTTGCCATATGGATTGGGCTTCACCCTTGTATGTGTGGAAGGGGCGGTTGATGAAGTGGTTGGGAGAGAGGAACCATGAGGTCAGAATGTCAGGTTGCCGGGGAACGCAACCGGGATTATGTGCGGCAAGTGACGACAAAGTGAATGTTTGAGGTTGGTGAGTGCCTTTGTTGCTGGGCGCCCTGGCCAATGTTAGGCAGCGAGGCGTTGAGTCAGCCCCACACAGCCACCCAAAGCAACCCCGCCAAATCCTGCGTGGGCAGCAGCGACCCGGCACATTTTCACTTTTCGCCGACGACACTCGACGCCCGTCCGCTTATATACCAAGATAGTCGCTTCCTGGCTGCGGGTCGACTTCACGCACTTTCAACCTACGAGCGACTCAGTCGTCCAAAATTCGCACGCCGTCGCACCACACCACCCCGACGACACGATACATCCCCGCGAGACCGACGTCACCATGGCTGATAGCTGGGAGCAAGAAGAGGAGCGCCTCGCGCAGCAGGCGCAGGGCATGAACCTCAACAACACGCCCACTTTCACACCAGGCGCCCAGACATTCACGCCCGGCGCCAGCACATTCGTCCCCGGCCAAGCCTACGGAGGCTACCAGGGCTACAACCAGTACGGCCAGCAACAATATGGCGGTTACAACCAATACGGTAGTCAGCAATATGGTGGCTACCAACAGCAGCAAGGCTACCCGCAATACGGCCAGCAATACGGCGGTCAGCAAGGAGGATACCCCAACTACGGACAACAATACCCCCAGCAGCAGAACTTCCAGGCCCAGCAGGCGCAGCAAGGCCAGGCTCCTGTACGGATAGCAAAGCGAGGCGACACCGATATGGCTGGTTCAGAGGGTGCGGCACCCGCCGAGGCCAAGAAGGAGGCGCCCAAGGCAAAGGTTCTCTCGATTGGTGGCGACAGCGCACCTAAGGCAAAAGTCTTGTCTATCGGAGGCGACACCACAACACCAAAGGTTGAGAAGGCAGGCGGCACCAAGGTCCTGAGCCTGGGCACACCCGCCGCTCCATCGGCCGCAAAAGAGAAGGCAGACAAGGAGAAGGGCACTGCTGAGGCCGGAACCAAGGTCACCGCTGCGAAGGCCATCGAGAAGACTGGAGAGCCCACTCCGGCATCTGGAGGCTCTGGCAGGACCTCGCCAACACCTTCATCTGGCCGCAACAGCCCGACACCGAAGGAGAAGGCTGCGGAGAAGGCCAAGGCACAGGACGTCGAGAAGGAAATGGACGAAGTTGTAGATGAGGCCACCCTTGCCGAGATTTACGGAAAGGAGCACGTCAACATCATCTTCTTGGGCCACGTTGACGCAGGAAAGTCCACTCTCGGCGGAAGCATTCTCATCTCGACTGGCATGGTGGACGAGCGAACACTTGACAAGTACAAGAAGGAAGCCAAGGACGCTGGTCGTGAAACATGGTACATCTCGTGGGCACTTGACTTGAACAAGGAGGAGCGACAGCAGGGTAAGACTATCGAGGTTGGCCGAGGTTTCTTCGAGACGGAGAAGCGACGATACTCTATCCTGGACGCACCCGGCCACAAGACATACGTGCCGAACATGATCAGTGGCGCCTCACAAGCAGATGTGGGTATTCTTGTCATCTCTGGACGTAAGGGAGAATACGAGACCGGTTTCGAGAAGGGTGGACAAACCCGAGAGCACGCCATGTTGGCCAAGACACAGGGTGTCAACAAGATTCTCATCGTCGTCAACAAGATGGATGACCCTACTGTTGAGTGGTCAGAGGACCGTTTCAAGGAGTGCACCAACAAGGTGGTCATGTTCTTGAAGGGTCTCGGGTACAACCCAAAGACAGACATCAGCATGATGCCGGTCAGCGCGCAAACATTCACAGGTATCAAGACCCGTGTGCCCAAGGACCTGGCTCCCTGGTACGACGGCCCATCTCTGCTCGAATACCTAGACAACATGCAAGCGCTCGAGCGTAAGCTCAACGCGCCTTTCATGATGCCCATCGCCGCCAAGTACAAGGACATGGGTACCATGATTGAGGGCAAGATCGAGTCCGGTATCATCAAGAAGGAACAGAAGTAAGTGATGCTGTCGGAAATGATGAATACCATCATACTAACGAAATTTAGGTACCTCATGATGCCCAACCGACAAACCATTCACATCTCCGCTTTGTACGGTGAACAAGAAGAGGAAATCCCAGGCGCGACCTGCGGTGACCAAATCCGTGTGCGACTCCGTGGTGTAGAAGAAGAAGACATTCTGCCTGTAAGATAAATCCGGATGTTATGCTTTGATCGCTTGCTAACTCCAATGTTTAGGGATACGTTCTGTGCTCACCAAAGCGTCCTGTCCACTGCGTCTCCCAGTTCGAGGCCCAGGTCGTGCTGCTCGACATCAAGTCTATCCTGACAGCGGGATTCAACTGCGTGCTCCACGTCCATGCCGCACAGGAAGAGGTTACCATCACCGCCCTATTGCACAAGTTGGAGAAGGGCACTGGACGGAAATCGAAGAAGGCACCAGGATTCGCTACTAAGGGCATGAGCATCATCGCGCGCTTGCAAATCACTGGTACAGCCGGAAACATCTGTGTCGAGCGATTCGAAGACTACCCGCAGCTGGGACGTTTCACCCTCCGTGACCAGGGTCAGACGATCGCTATCGGCAAGATCACTAAGCTCATCACGGACGAGGCTTAGATGGTCGATTGATTCAAGCATGGTCATCCCACGAGGAGGAAGAGGGGGAGCAGGATATCCGTATTGATAAAAAGCTGTTGCCATTAAGGCAACATAGCCTGAGGTTCCACGGCGTTTGGACGTAAGGCTAGCATAGACCGAACATCCGAACAATACGATCACGAATATTCTTCCGTTTCTACTCATCGAATTTCCTGTGTGTGATGATTTGCAACTGTACATGTATTGATCTCAGGGCTCGGAGATAAGCGTCGCCGAACTGTTGTGAGACAAGCCTTTTAGTGCCGCAATCAACAGCAACCTTAATTGACCTTCCGAGTCAGGAAGTTTGATGCATGTGCGCGAAGGGTTAGCTAGACGCACATGCAGAAGTCAATGACGTCACACGGCATCTTCCAGTGAAAGAGCCCCGTCGCGTGACTGTAGCGACGCATCCATAGCAAGGCTGTTCGCTTACGTCATCCACTCCCGCGGCCAAAGTTCGCGACTCCATCACTCACGCACCAAGAGTCCACCACCACCATCCAGCGCACGCTGCGCAAAACTCCCTCCACCACCTGCCACGATGCAGGGCTTCAACATGGGGCGGTACTACCCGCCCGACGCCTCGAACCCACCAAGCTTCAACAACTCCTCCCACGCGCTCGGCAAACGCGCCAACAAGATCACCCAAGGCATCCTGACCGTCCGCTTCGAACTCCCCTTCGCCGTGTGGTGCAGCCACTGCACTCCACCCGCCATCATTGGCCAAGGCGTACGTTTCAACGCCGAAAAGAAAAAAGTAGGGAACTACCATAGCACACCCATATGGAGTTTCCGCATGAAGCACAGTGCGTGCGGCGGGTGGTGGGAGATACGAACCGATCCACAGAATAGCGAATACGTAGTCGTTGAAGGGGCGCGACGGCGGGACTATGGGCCTACTGTGAAGGATGATACGGCGGACGGCGACCTCAAGTTCCTGACGGAGGAAGAGAGGCAGAAGAGGAGGGACGATGCTTTTGCGAATCTAGAAGGCAAGATGGAGGATAAAGGGATTGAGAAGAAGAATAGAGAGAGAGTGGAGGAGTTGTACGATAAAGCAGAGGTTTGGAGAGATCCTTACGATATCAATGCGAAGTTGAGGAGGGAGTTTCGCGGGAAGAGGAAGGTCTGGAAACAAGAGGATAAGCATAAGGAGGGAATGCAGAATAAATTTAGTTTGGGGATGGATATTGTGGATGAGACGGAGGCGGATCGTACGCGGGCTGGGTTGGTGGAGTTCGGCGCTGCGGCTACGGCTGACGAGAGGTCGTTGGAAGCGCTGTCGTGGAAACCACTGTTTGGTGAAGCGAAGGTGGAAAATAAGAAGGACGTTGAGCCGGCCCCTAAGACAAAGAAGCTCAAGGCGGATATAGCGAGAGAGAAGTCGAGACTGGGGTTGCAGCAGACGCTCGTGGGCAATACGAGGGCTGTGGTCGATCCATTCCTCAACAAGGAGGCTTCAGGGACGTCGAAAGTCAATCTTGGTATATTGAAGAGGAAGAGAGATGCTGAGACGATGGATGCAGTTGCACCCTTATCAACATCAGGCCAAGAGAAGGAGAAAACAGAAACCGCAGTGCCGACGAAGAAGCCGGCCTTGCTTGGGGCGTTGGTCGGGTACGACTCGGATTGATCGCACGTCCATGCATTGATTGACAACCGCCTTGCGACACTGCTCTTGCATTTATTGGCGTTTGGGTGAAGGAGCACATGATACCCCATTTCCTATTTTTAAACCTATCAGCAATGCACGCATTTTGGTCTTCCGTTACTGTCCAGCTTTCACACCTACTGCGGTCAGAAACGCTTCACGCAGTACCTTGCTAGTACATTCACCCCTCCCATCGTCCACCTTCTGCTAATCTCATACCGCTTCTCCAAACTCCCTATAGTGTTTGCTGTAGGTACAGCCCTTCTGATTCCACTGATTGAACGCAAAATTCCAGAAGAACCTGTACCCGAGCAAAGACGAAATATCAATGATCATGAATCCAACTCGCTCAAGCGAGTGCATCTACTACATATCTAGTACGACCTGATGACAGAATGCGTGTTTGTGAGCGGTGCGTCGTATAAGATCATGGCGTGCGACTATAGACGTCCTGTATATGTCCAAGCTTTATCGAGCGCTGCGTTTCGTTCCTTTCACACTTTTGGTCGTGGCTGCTGAAAATGATACCAATGTTTGCTCCTTCCCCTTTCGTCCCCAGGGTGCATCTCGGAAGATTCTGCCTAATTCCACATCACCGGCGCGTCATGAGCGCTCATGCACGGCAAGCATGAGATTCGCCGCCCACCAGTATATAATCTGCTCGTACCTCTGCCACCTTTCCTTCCCTCTTCCACCACTTCTGCTATCTACAGATACGACCTAGCACAATCGTTGCCGGATCTCTTTGCTCCATCCCGCTTGATCAGCCTCGTGTGGTGGATGCTACAAGCGCGAATTGACGTTCGCGGCTTCGGGAGGCTCGGCGGTCAAGAACAAACTCAATCATACATACTCATCGACTCTATTTTGCACCCCCTCATGATCGAGCAGCCACGGCTGCTAGCCATCGTCTCCCTCCGACGGTGGCCCTACGTTTCTTGTAAGTATAATATTGGTCTTATCTTCAATTGACCGAGATACTAACAGCTTCACATTACCATCATATCGGCTTATGCTCTTGTCGCCGCTGGCGATTGGCTGATGGGGGAGATGAACGGGAAGGGCAGAGCTTTGACTTGATGATCGGTGCTAGAATGCTACATGTTCTCCTCATACTCTTGTCGTGATTATCACATGTCATTCAGGAGGTAGTCGCAGTGAATTTGTGCAGTGAAGAGCATTCTCATGTGTCAATGTCTCCGCCCGGCATCTATGTGGACTAACTACTCACGCATGTCGTGGTCTATGTAGAAGCCTGCTGATCCACAATCATCACGTCGATCTGGGAACTCGCCGTCTATCCTGGACGTGATTGCTGAGGCGTGTTTGCATATCTGGAATTGGCAACGGTAGTGGCGAATGAGGTTGACGACAGGCCGGTCATGGTAGGCCTTGATCAGACGCCCAAGTGACGGTATCTCTAGAACGTTACCAAAGGGGTTCTCGCCCTTGGATCAGATGACAGGCGGAAGTCGAAGATGCTCGCCACCCAAGACAACTAGACACACGTCGAGGAACCATTCCATGGCCAACATGAGCATTAGAGACGCCTCAGTAACACGTGGGACCTCATCGAGGAGAATCATGTCGAACTTTTCTACATTTGAGAGCCTCGGAATACGTTGGAAAAGCTCAAGCTGGAAAGCTGCGGATGTGGCGACGACTAGATGAAGCTTGAGGGTGCAAGCCTGCATGTGCTCCAAGATTGCTGTGTTAAGAGTCTGCTTGGCCCCAGCGACTTGGACTTGACCGGTTTGGAATTTGCACCTCTGCGGCCTTTACATTGGCGAACTCGGTGTAGATGAGGCACGACTTCTCATTCGAATTGGCGTCTATGTGCTTGCCTAGTCTGTACGCGAGCATTCGGAGAGGCTCGATGTGGACATAGAGCTGGTCATTCCACGGGGATCATAATCATCGTCGTCGGAACTGTCCTAATGCTTGCCGGGTTCATTGACGAGCGATTCTTCGATGGTGCTAGCTTCCATGCGAAGTAATAGGCCGTCGCGATAGCACGCCGAAATAGACGACTACAGATCTCCTTGCCTGTACCGAGATAGATGCACAGGACAGCCAGGCGGCTACAAACGTGTCTTTATCTCGAGAAAGTCATGAAACGGGATATAGAGGCGATTGCATTGATGGGTTAAGATAGTTTTTACTCGGTCGATTGGCTGTAAGCATCACCTAGCTGGCCTGTGTTCACAACGAGGGGAACTATCACGACGGTATATGTCATTATCGAGAACGAAAAACGCTCATTACTTACATCAACCCTCAATACATCAAGGAAGAAAATGGGAATATGTACCAGTCCAACTCCGCCGTCCCCATCAGTACTCGTCATGGCGCCATCTCACCAAGCCAACCCCGGTGCCACCGCCTACTGACCGTCCAATCCCAACTTCCCGACAATACCATCCACAAGACCACCAATACTTGCACTCTGCAGGATCTCAAACACACTGACAGTAGCCTTCGTTTCCCTCTGGATCCAGTTCTTAATCTCGACGGCCACCAGCGAGTCTGTTCCATAACTGCTCATCGAACGAGTCGCCTCCAGTTCCGACACATCCATCATCAGACTGCGCGACAGCTTCTTGAGTAGCGCTGCAATGATGAACTCCTTAGCTGCTCCGGCAGAAGAAAAAGAGGATAGCTGTGCGGAGAGGGACAGCGATGTGGTTGTGGTGCCATCATTGGATGCGTGTGCTGGCGTCTCGATTTTGAGATGCGGGCGCAAGTACGGCAAGTGACTCAACACTGGATCCCGTGCGAAGAACGGCGCTTCTCCATCGTTCAGACTACTAATGTCGAGATCGGAGTCAAGACCAGTGACCACATGCCCCATCATCGGTTCGCGAATGCCCAGCTCGATGAGCGCCAACATCTCCTTCTCATGGATGTGTTTGAACTCCTGGACTTGCACTTTGCGACCTTGAACCTTCTTCTCGACTACATAACCTACGTCGCCGACGATGCCGAGATCGATGGCTGTAGCTGGCAGACCTAGCGCGTTGCGATATTTCGCTAGCGCGACTTGGTAGGCGCAGCCCGCGGCGTAGTTGGCTTGACCAGGGTTACCGATGAAGGAGTGTAGGGAGGATAGGAGGATGAAGAATTCGAGTGGTTGGGATAAGGTGGTCTCGTGGAGGTTCTTTGAGCCGTGGACTTTGGGAAGAATAGTCGAAGTCCATTGATGCGATGTCATTGTGCTGAAGAGGGAGTCGTTGAGGGTCATTGCGCCTTGGATTACACCCTTGATGGGCGGGAAGGAGCGAAGGGTTTCTGAGAGAAGGTTGGAAAGCTCGAGTGCGTCAGAGACGTCACACTTCAAAATGGCAGTGCGGACACCCGAAGCGTGGAGAGATTCGACGAATGCTTGGGCTTCTTCCGACACTGCGCCGAAGCGAGAGATGAATATGAGGTGCTTTGCGCCGTGCGTGACGAGCCACTGCGAGATGCTTCGTCCAAGACCGCCAAGACCGCCAGCGAGGAGGTAGGAAGCTGATGAATCGAAGAAGACAGTAGGTGGTGGTCTTTGGGCAACCTGGAGCTTGTTAGTCGCATTACGGACATCAGTGTATGTATGATGACATACCAGAACTTGATCGTTATCCCGCGGCACCATTACCACCTGTTTATCGTGACTGGCATCTTGCAACATCTTGACAGCCTCGTTCAGCTTAGACCAGGGCAGGATTTGCGTAGCGCTACGGCTGATTGTCTTCATCGCCGTGGTAGCGCTCATAGCTTCTTGGAACATTCGACTGGCAAGCTTGGGCTTTTGCGTGTACAGCAAAGCCATATCGACTGATGAGAACGACGCATTACGACCAAAGGGTGCCATCTCTAGTCGCTCAGTCTTTGGCGTGTTGAGATTCACGAATTTGCCAAAAGAAGCGACGCAACTGAACGTCGCCTGTAGTGCCTCACCAGTCAAAGTGTTCAAGATGACATCAACACCGCGGCCTTTGGTTGCGCGCCGAAGCGCAGTGACAAACTTGAGATCGAGGCTGGAAAAGATACGGGTTTCTTCGATGCCATAAGTCTTGGCAAGGTAGGTCTTCTCTTCGTCGGATCTCACGGTGGCAAAGATCTTCGCGCCCGCCTTCAATGCAGTCTCGATGCTAGCCTGGCCTACAGGATCTGCAGCCTCGTGAATGAGAACGGTCTCACCAGGTCGTAGATGCACGATGTGGTTCAAGGCATAGTGAGCACTCGCGTGCGCCTGTGGTAGTGTAGCTGCGACTTCAAAAGCCATGTCATTGGGTATCTTGTGCGCAAAAGCTGCTGGCACGCGCACTTGGGTGGCAAACGTCCCTGGATACCATACTGCCACTCGATCACCGACGTAAAGGTGCGCCACGTTAGGGCCGGTTTTTGTGATGATACCCGCACACTCTTGGCCAAGCTTGCCATCGAAGTGTTCCACATCCAGTATCTCGGTATCCTTGGAGCTGAGACTAGTAGCGCGAACCTCAATTTCAACTTCGCCGGCTTGTATGGGTTGCGCAAAGATCATATCCTCTTTGAATATAGCCGCGTCTGACACGCTAGTGTTGGCCTTGCTGAGCTTTAGTGGGCGACCGTCTTGTAGCACATTCTCCATCTGCGGTTGTAAAGCCGCTGCATCAGTCCGACCAACCAAGAACTCGTTCGATTTCTTATCTTCAATTGCACGCTTGATGTGAAGAACGCCGTCCTGCTCGACGAGCTCGCTATCGACCAGACTAGCGCTCTTTTCAGAACTTAGCTGCTTCTCATAGACGCCAAGAAGTAAGTCAGCGACATGACAAGCAGGCAAGTTTCTCCTCACGTCCAAATCGACTGTGATGCACTTGAAGCTCTCATTCTCAGCTCGTAACGTGCGAGCCAGGCCTTGAAAAACTGCAAGCTCGGGACGTTCAACATCTGAAGATGCTGCGCCTCGTGTAATCCAGATCAACCCTGCCGATGCCTCGGCGATATTTTGAAGGGCCCTAATGTCTTCTGAAGTGAGATCAGCGAGCAGGGGCTCTTCAAGCTCGACGAAGCTGACGCAGATGGTACGAGTGAGATCCTGTTGGCCAAGCTTGGAGAGCGACACGAGCTGTGCTTGGAAGCCAGACTTCTCCAGGCTGTTCTTGAGAGCCAACGGCATGTCCAATCTGCTCATACGGATGCGTGAGTCGGCGCACAAGATGACGAAGCGAGGTCTTTCTGGTGGAGTGATCACGCCATTTGACAGCGTCGGCTTTGCTTCAACGGCAGTTGCAATCATCAGCCTTGTGCCCTCCTCGAGCGGATCCAAGACGTCGGGACTACTTGCTTGAAGGGTACTGAACCCTGTCGAGCGCAGCAAGTTCTCCCACTGGCTCTCGGTGAGCAGAGGTCCACCAGTCCGCCACTCTTCTGATGCATTCCACCATCCAGGTAAGGTGCCGAAGATGACTGAAGCAGCAAGGAGACGATTCGTCATCTCAAGAAGGATTAGTCTTCCTCCTGGCCGAAGAAGCTTCCGCGCATGCGCCATGGTGCGATGCATGTCTGATGTGGCGTGAAGCACGTTCGCCGCAACGATCACATCGTAAGAAGCTGACTTGAAGTCTTGCGTTTCTGGATCATGCTCAACATCCAGCTTCTTGAAGTTTATGAACTGTGCAAACTCTTCGAACTTCTCCGCGGCGCGCTGAAAGAAGTAGGATGAGATGTCGGTGTAGGTATACGACTTTAGGCGAGGGTATCTGTGGAGGTCTTCACAACCGCTCAAGCCTTCCAGCGTCGGAACTGTCGCACCACCAGTGCCAGCGCCGATCTCGAGGTAGTCCAGATTGGGGTACTTGTGCGAAAGCATTGTGGTGTAGCGTGAGATCTGAGCATATGTATTTGGCATGCCGACAGCGGTAGTGTAGTAGTCCTCCAGTAAGTTCTCGTGTGTCATCAGTGCAAGCGGCTCGACCTCCTGCCGGAACACGGCTGGGAGAGCTTCACCAACACGAACAAGAAGCTTGCCATCATAAGCCGTCTCATGGTTGCGGTAGTATTCTACCATGGTCTCAAGCTTCGATGAAACTTCTGGGCTGTGCAGCTGTTGCCACTCATCTGTCTGTTGGGGATGTGTCTTCGTTAGCACTGCATCGCGAAGCTCGCATAAATTGCGATAGAATTTTTGATGATGTGTCAGCATGGTTGACTCCTCAGTCGGCGCGACTTCTTGCAGTGCCCTGTCAATGAAGTAGTATGAGAGCAGTTCCAGCTCTCTTACAGTCTTCGGGCGGTGGTCTGGCTTCGGTGCTGCTTGAAGCTCGCGGTTGAGGTGTTCGCGATCGATGAGTTCTACATCTGGCTCCCACACTGCTTTATAACAGTGTTTTGGTGGTGGCGCCTGCTCATCAGATGCGCTGCTGGAGTTGATGGCGATGAACTTGAAACCGTCCATAAGAATAACCGGCTGCGAAGTAATCGGATCCAGCGCGAAGATATCTCCAGTAGCTTGTCGTGCGCCGCAGCGTTGAGCATTCACGACAACGTTGAGACAGTCACCGATCTGGGCTGCAATATCGGCGGATATAGAAATTTCTTCGATGAACGTAGGCACCATGGCGCCATCGAGCTGGTTTAGCTCAGCACCGCCAAGTGCAGCCAGGCCTAGTTGTAAGAATGTATCCAAGGTAGCTGGGTGTAACAGGCGGTCATACTCGAACCCCTTTGGGTTGTTCGATTTTGTATCAGTGACCTGAACGACTCCGGCGGCTTTGCCAGGAACTTGCGGGTTGATGCAAATATCCTTCAGACCCTGGAACATTGGTCCGTACGTAAGACCAATGGCGTCGATACTGCGGTAGAATGATTTGACGTCCATTTTGTGTCCGCCAGCTGGGTACACGGTATTCCAGTCATTGACACAGTCCTGAGCGAGCTGTTCGTCCGAGGTAGATTGGCCTGATACCGAGACCAAGCCACGGCAGTTCTCTACCCAGCCTCCATCTGCAGTGTAGGAGAAAATGCGAAAGTCGTGCCAGACTGGCGATGATGGCCCACCGTGAATGGCGTTGCATTTCATAGAGAAACAAGTCTCAACACCCTCATCAGCCTCCGGCACAACAAGTGCGCGCGAAATGTTGACCTCGCGAAGTCGATACTCAGCCGCGCTACTGACGCCCTGCGGAAGGAAATTAGACGGCGAGATAGTACACATCTGCCGACACGCCTCAATAGCCATGCACAAGTACCCACACGCCGGGAACAGCACATCGCCTTGAACGACATGATCCCGCAGCCACGGTTGCTCGCGCAAGCGCATAAAGTTCCTGAACCTAGGCTCCATTGGGTTCCAGTCATTGACCGGTGCGCCCAAGATATCGGTCCTACCAGACCGTCGGAAACGGTAGTCTCGGCTAAGGCGCGACTCCCACCAGTAGCGGCGGGTGTGGTTCCAGGGATATTGGGGAAGATCGGTGAGCACGGATAGTGGCTGCTTGGGTTCGGTCGGGAAATTGATGGCGTGCAGATCGACCGGATATCGGTGAGCGAATAGTTGGCCGGCTGCTTCGAGCGCAGTCGTATCGGCAGGCTTGTTGCGAATGAGCGTGGAAAGATACTGTATTTGCGGTTTCTGGTCGAAAGTGGCGTCGAGGATTTCTTTGACTGGGAGTTTGAACAAGGCATGTGGTCCAACCTCAAGCAGTATCTCCACAGCAGTCTTCCCATCCTGTGAGTCTGAGGTGCACAGCTTGGCCAACGCTCTAGAGAAGCGCACGCTTCCGACGAGGTTCGATACCCAGTACTCGGCACCGAGCTGGTCTGGACTGATCACGTCTTCCGTCACGGAAGAGTACATTGAAACTCGCCCATCAGTCTTAATCGTTGCGACCTGTGCCTCTTGGAGACGGGCAAGATACTCCTCCGCGATCGCCTGCATGTGGTGGGAATGATAGGCAGTATCCACTTGGAGCAGCCGCGCAAATACGCCTTTGGCCTCCAGAGCCTTATGTAAATTCTCAATGGCAGCAACATCGCCAGAGATGGTAACGCCACGCGGACTGTTCACACAAGCTACGACAGCTTTGCCAAGACCCTTACCCAACTCTGCAATCTCGGTCTTTGCATCATCTTCGGACAGGCCAACCGCCATCATTCGTCCCTCAAGTCCCATACTCTTGACCTTTGGCGACAATAAACCTCGGAAATATGCGACGGTCATCGCCGACTCAAGGCTCAGCGCACCGGTGGCATATGCAGCAGCGATCTCGCCACTGGAGTGGCCAACTACACTCTGCGGACGAACATTCCACGATGCATGCAAATCCACCAATGCAATTTGCAGAGCAGTACAAAGTGGCTGGCTAAACGTCGCTTCGTTGACCCGCGAGGTAGCTTTGTCTTTGAGCAGCTCTTCCATCAGTGACCATCCGGCACCCAGACTGATCACGACAGATTCGCATCGTTGTAAGCTCTTCCGGAAGACGGGGTAATGGAGTAGTTCTCTTCCCATACCCCACCACTGAGCGCCTTGGCCAGTGAATATGAAGCCTATCCGCTGTGATGTTACGCCACCAGCAGAGCTTGGTCGAACGTCCTGCAGTTTGCTTTCCAGATCGAGCTTTTCCGTCGCAACAATCGCTGAGCAATAGGGGAATTGTGATCGACGCTCACACAATGTGTACGCCAGATTATCCAGTAGCTGCTCTTCGTCGAAGACATCCTGACGTTGAAGGTGTTTCGACAGATCTTGGCCCATCTGGATAAGACTTCGCTCATCGTTGGCAGATTGTAGGAAGAGACGCGATCTCGGTTGGTTGCTGAAGGAGTCGTCACTCACAGGGCTGACGAAACCGGAGTCGTTCCTTCTGTGACGTGCTGAGCGATGATGCCTTTGAAGAAAGTGATGTGCATCGTCAAGAATGACGTGAGCATTGGTTCCACCGTAACCAAATGAGTTCACGCTTGCGCGCCGCAGACCGTCAAGGGGCCACTCTTTAGGCTCTGTGGGCACTTCGACCCGCCATCCTTCAAAGTCGATGGCTTGGTTGCCCCGGCTGAACCAAAGGTTTGGTGCAATCATGCCCTTCTCGACGCTTAGCATGGCCTTGATAAGCCCAGCAATGCCGCTAGCTCCCTCCAAATGACCCATATTTGTCTTGACCGAGCCAATGGAGAGAGGAACAACTCCCTCGGTTGTCGCAGAGATGCGGTGGGGACGGCTCGCGGTAAACACCTCGCCAATTGCTCCACTTTCTATAGGATCCCCCGCAGCCGTCCCTGTACCATGCGCCTCGAAGTATCCCGTCTCACTTACGTCGATCCCTGCGGCGCGATATGCTGAGCGTATAAGATCGACCTGTGCGTCTTTCGAAGGCATCGTGATGCCCGGCGTTCGTCCGTCTGAACTGGCAGCCGTGCCGCGAATGATGGCTCGAATGGGGTCGTTGTCGCGTAGAGCTAGATCTAATGGCTTCAGTATGATCGCGCCAACACCTTCCCCTCGCGCATAGCCATTGGCTCGGTCGTCAAAGGCGTGCGATATTGAGTCTGGACTCAGGAAGTGCATGTCGCTCATTTCGATCTGGATGTCAGGACTCAATATGAGGTTGCTTCCTCCCGCGATCGCCATGGAGCTTTCACCAGTGCGCAGGCTTTGGCAAGCCAAATGCACAGCAACGAGTCCACTGCTGCAGGCTGTGTCTATGCTCACACTCGGGCCTTTCAGGTTGAAGAAGTAACTCAGTCGGTTCGATAGCATCGTCTGCGAAGCGCCAGTTGATTGATACTTGGGTGCTAGCTCCATATCTCGCCGTTGCATCTCCTCGTAGTCTTTTGTGAAGCAACCGACATAACATGAAGTCTGGGATCCGGAGACTCGGGCTAGTGGCGTCCCTGAGTTTTCCAATGCCTCGTATGTTACCTCGAGCAGTAACCGCTGCATGGGGTCCATGGCCATAGCTTCGGCTGGCGATATCGAGAAGAACGGCGCATCGAACAACGAAACATCTTCAGCGAGATAGTGCCCGCCGCGGTTGTTGCACTTAGATATGGGTCAGCGGAGCGGTCCGCACGGTAGATGGCGTAAACTTACCGTCCCGAAACGATCCCCATCGGGATTGTAAAATGCATCAACGTTGAAGCGGTCTGGAGGTACATCGGTGCGAGCGGACTTCTTCTCGACCAACATCTGCCATAGTTTCTCGCCGTTCGTGACGTCGCCTGGAAATCGGCACCCGAAGCCTACAATGGCAATGGGCATCGGCTTGGTATCTTCATATGTCATTGTCGTCAGAGGTCATGAGTAGTGTTGAACTTTATTGATGACTTGGCCAAAAAAGATGTTGAAGCAAACTGCAGCTGTTCAATATGGCCATTGATGAGAGGACACCACAGAGCCCTCTAATGGAAGGATCAGGAGAGCCCTTGTCAATTGAAATGAGATGCCCCAGACGAGGTTCGGTCGCCAGCAGCCACAATGATCACTGGGGTTCTGCGTGCGTGCGGCAAGAGACCCTCCCTGACACGCTTAGCTGCACAATGTCTATCACAGCCCTTGCCACGCACCACATGTTGCGTAGACCAACTGCCTGACAATCAAGCACAGAGACGAGAACGTCCCCTTACAGTACAGGAGGCAAGGGCATATCAGTAGCGCATCCTTCGCGTACTCGGTTGTCGCGAACCCCATGGCGAGCACTGCGCAGACATCTCCGGGAACAACACAAAGAGACATCAACACATGCGTCCCAAATCCTCTCTGCCCAATGATTACTGCTCTTTCGGGATTTCATGCTGCTATTGACAAATGCTGATCAAATTGGGAAAGGCCGTGGAGGCTATCAACGCTCGATTCCCAGAACAGACACCGTGCTAAGGTCATGCATGCGTAGCCACTTGGTTAGGACCTTGTGCGCTTGAGTAAGATGAGTGATCAGACTATCGCGATCGATTCCGTTACGTGGCTATTGTTTGTTGGTCGCTACCAGAGGTATTTACGGGGAAGCTTCGGCCTCGTACAGATCAGTGGCAGAGTGGTAGCTTTGTGTATGGCATCGGAATCAGTGATAGTGAAAGCAGCCTATCACGGAACTTGACCAGGCGATGGAAGGCCACCCGAACGCCTCAAGCGTGCCGCCCCGAAGGATCAGAAAGCAGCGGTGTAACCTGCAAAGGCAGAATGCATGGCGTTTAGGAACACGCGAAGGATCTCACCCATGGCTTCGATCCTGCATCCGTCTGCACTGCAAGGGAGTACGAAATGAGCCGAAGTGGTGTGGAGCTGCCCCGTTACAGACGAGCCGTAGTGGAGCGCGTGCATGCCCGTCATCGAATAACAAGGTTACCGCTGCGTGTAGCGCGCTTGGTTCCTGTTCGTGCAACAAATTTTGCGCGCGTCGGGTGACATGGCGGCGGTGTCATGTCGGCCTGAACGCGTGGGGTGGATGATGGTGGAAGGATTGAGGTTCAGCGCGCGCAGATGCCCAGATGGTGACGAGGGGCAATTTCAGGCTAAACCCCGCTTGGCAGCAAGCGCCACAGCAGGCACGCCCCAATACGAGCAGTCGCAGACTTGACAGCCTGCACTCAATTCTTGGAAAGGAAGGGTAGCCGCAAGGGATGCGTTCTTCATATAAACGAGGTGTCTGCAAGTACATGGCCTGACTCGTCTTCTTCCCACTTCACAACGATTGGCTGGTCTAGACGAATGGTACATCGGAAATAACAAAGTTGAGACTCTCCTTACATGCGAGACGCAGTGCGCTTGCTACCTGCCAGAGTGGGATCTCCCAGCAGCTGTTCGGCGACATCCCCACTAACCGCGCTTTCGACATCAGCCGATTCTTGCGCTGCGGGAGTGCCCTCAGTATCGAGATACGCCTCAATCAGACTCATGTTACCTTTGCCGTGAATGGCCTTGATCTGCGAGCGAAGTCAGTACCACGCCACTTGTGTGCTGCTCACTGATAAGCTCACCTTGAGACGTGAGTCGGCATCTGAAAGAAGACGACGGAATTGTTCCTCCGTGCGTTGTTTGGCTCCAAGCATCAACATCATCATGAGATCGACCTGATGCATACGGTTGGCCTGGTACCGGGAGACTTCACCAAGGGCTGGCATGACCACATCGTTTATCAGAATCGGTGTTCCAGCAGGGCTCTTCTCCAAAGCAGGAACTAGTGCCCTGAAGATGCGAATGCAGTCTTCGTCACTCCAGTTGTGAGTGATGTAGCGTAGGAGATATGCCGCTGCACCCGAGACAGGTTGCTTCGTGAAAAAGTCGTGGGGCATGAACGTGACACGGCCATTGAGATCCGAAAAGTCGTTTTGCGATGCAGATGACAACATGGTCAATGAGTCCTGGACAATGAGCTCCAGATTGGGAAAGGTCTTTGCAAAGTCAGTAAAGCGCGCATAGTGTCTTCGGCATCGTATCCGCATACCCGGGCAAGATTGACGCTCATGTGGCCACTCCCACCTCCAACGTCAATGACCTTTCGTCCACTAATCTTATCCCATGGAAAGCTCTCTTTAAGGTTGTCAAAATGCCTTTCAACTGCGTCGCTTAGTGATGAGCTTTGTATAAGAGTGTCAACGACTTACGCCTTGATACCCCGGCCATTGCACTGGCAAAGCGAGCTGCTCGCTTGGGATCTTGCTTATAGTAATCGAAGAGAACGGTACCGTGTCGTGTCACAAAGGCATTCCTCTTGCCATCTGTCACTGTTGGTGACTCTTTGATGCTCTCTGCGGTCTCCGAAGCTGCCCTGAAGAACTCATCCAGTCTGCAAATGACTTAGTATTAGATCCATTTGTAGAAAGGCAGGCAAGCACTGACTGGTATGCCATGACATCGCGCCATTGCTTGTCCTTCAAGTAAAGTACGCTCCGTGATGTGTGCTTGAACACATCCGGCTCAGATTCTTCAAAGACACGATCGGAGGATAGCATACGAAGAAAACGACCGACGCGGTCTTCGTCCATACCGGCTTTCTCGGCAATTTCCTTGGTGGTAGCTGATCCATCATCTGGAATAGCCTCAAAAAAGTTGAACTCGCAGGCTACTTGCCAGGCAGCTAGATCGTACAGGTAGCACACGAATGTTCGCGCGTCGTTCCTGGGGCCGTTGACGAGACGTAGCAGGTCACGAGCGGCATCATTGAGGCGATCGCGCAACTTGATCTGCTCCGGAGTCTCGGGGATTGTGTCAGAATCGATGGCGAATGAAGGCTCTGGCACCTTCTTCTCGGTCAAATCAGTGACGATCTTTGTAGTCAGCTGCTGGACCTCCTGGGCCAGCTCGAGTAGGGTGGACTTGTGTTCCGCAATCATGATGTTTGATCGTTGTTTACACTTGGGGCAATTGTCAAGAGGAAGATGATTGGGATTGAAGCTTCCCGTGCGACCTCTGAACTCCGCGTTATAGTTCCGGGTGATCGGGCTCATGTTGCTTACACGGCGGCGTTATGCAGGACGATGCTCTCGGAGTAGCGTTCGATGTGTCAGCTATCTGGAGCATGCCGTTGGTCCTATCCTGCGCCCTTGACGATGCCCGGCTACACGCTGGGAGCAACCCGAATCGTATGGTAGGGCCCAATGGGAAGAACTCTCGCCTACCGAGAGACCAGATAGGATACGGAGTACGTCTGCTGCATGCGTGTGCAGCGCACAATTCGGGCCTCTAGCTGCATGGTTCCTCGTGCACTCAGGCGCATGTGATTTGCGAACAAAGGTCATGAGAGACGTCTTTGAATGGCCGTGTTTCGATTCAGCAAATTGCACTCAGGCCCATAGGTCTGCCCTCTGACTTCAGGCATCCTCGCATCGGCCCGGCGGAAAGCCAGCAATCCGAGACAAAGATCTTGACAGCGGGAGGCATCGGTGACTCCCGTCCTTACGACAGTTCAAGCGTGTGCCTGAGTCAGGTTACTGCAGGATTAATAGACGCGCTGCAAACCCTGGTTGCAGACGTGGCAGACGCCCCGCTCGAGTGAACCCGCCGCGTGCTGCGCTGTAGGCGCCGAGAGCAGTCGTCGGCTCTACTGATAACCTAACAAAAGTTCTTTATCGTAATTGGTGTGATCAATTCCAATTCAATAATGACAGCCGTTGGTCGGCGAAATGGGTGAGATGGGTGCGCGGGGATGAGCCAGAAGTGTAGAAGCTACTGCTCCAAGGCTGAGACGGTGCCTGGGGATGGTAAGTGACTAAGCTTCCAATACGCTAGCCCTGATCCGTACGGCATGTGTCAATGGGACTGCCCAGGTGCTCGCGAGGTCGCTTCTTCACAGGTTAGCAACACAGTCAATACCGTTGCTTCCGCTGTCGCATCATCCCAAAGATGACACATGAAACATATACCGCCCTGACTCCAGGATCCCACCCTGCTGTACCAGGTACCTGCCTATATTCCCTAGGTAGCCGCGTCTTCAATGCGACCTTGAAACAGCGCCACAACCAAGGTGTGGACAATAGTCCCAAGCGAACAATGTCCCCAGAAACAAGTGCTCATCTATTGAGCAGAACTTCCTATGGCCTCAGGGTCGCCTGTCTTACAGACGATCGACTGCCAGTTACGATGATTATTGCTGATGAAATGCTGATGACGAGCTATCAAGCTCATGCTGAGCGCCGGGCATGGCAACGATCAACTGCCATCTTGTGGTTCACACGCTCGGATAAAGTAGAAAAGGGTCTCGATGACGTCGTACAGGCGGGTCGTGCAGGGGTTGAGAAGTGCACCGAAAATCCGGGGGACCATCTCCACTCCCTACCCCTAAGGCTCGTGAAGCTCTCCCTGCGCTTCTCACAGCTCGTACATTTTCCTTTGTTAGAACGCGTCTTCGTTAATTCCTGCCGTGGAAGAGGCTACGATTACTGCACAGGTTTCTACGCGACAGAAGTTGGGCGCGTCCTACGCCACCTCGGATAGCTGCGCACCCCTGAAGCCCGAGTCGCGATGCCTGTCAACACCATCTCTGTGGGCGCGGCTGTGACGCCCACGGTTATTCAGACCTATCTTTCGCATTACCTCAATCGCCGACCCCTTGCGCAAAAGCCCACGGCACACATCTCGTATCACGAAGGCCTCGAGCTCATCCGCCGCTTTCTCCACTATGCCTCGTTCCACACGGTCGACGAACTACAAGCCTTCACGTCGCAATGGGTTCCAGTGCCGCGCTGGGTGCACGTGAATGTAGTCGAGGTTTCGGCCACTCTACTACAGCGCTCAGCGGAACTACTCAATGCGCAATTGGGACCAGAAGGCATCAAAGCAGTCGGAGGAAAGAACTGGTGGCAGTGGAGACGCGAAGGCACAACCCTCAAGGCTGAGTGGATCGAGATGCGCAAGGACTACGATGCGAGGAAACAGCTGGCAATTACCAAAGGCGATCGCATAATGCTCTATGTCCACGGTGGCGCCTACTTCTTTGGCAGCGTCGATGAGCATCGCTATCAGATGCAGAGGCATGCGCGCAAGCTCAAGGCTAGGGTTCTGGCGCCCAAATACCGACTTGCGCCTCAGTTCCCCTTCCCGTGTGGTCTGCATGACTGTAAGTAACTTTGATGTTCTGAAGAGATAGTACTGATCACTCTAGGTTTGGCCGCCTACCTCTACCTTCTCGAACAAAAGCACGATCCTACGACGATTATACTCGCTGGTGACTCGGCAGGTGGTGGCATGGTACTCAGCATGCTCGTGACAATGCGCGATCAAGGCATACCATTGCCCGCGGGAGCCATCTTGATCAGTCCATGGGTAGATTTGACACATAGCTTTCCTAGTCTAGGAGGTGATGGCAAGATGGATTACATACCCTCGCATGGCTTCATCCACAAGCCGAGCATGAGCTGGCGTAAGTTGGTCGTGTCTGTGTCGACAAGCTACCACTGACCATACATAGCACCTCCCAACGCAGACGACATGCTTAGCATCGAAGCATCCCTCAAAGGTTCCACCAAGAAGAAGAATAGTTCAGACAAGAAAGAAGACCACGCGGCAAAGAAGGAGGCGGAAGCTGAGCGCGTACGAGGCTATTCCGTCCAATCTGGAGACCTACCACCTCTAGAAGAGGTCGCCGATCCATCAGCTACAGGACAAGGCATGGGTACTTGGATCTCGTCAAATGGAAAATACAGCATTGGACCCAAGAGCCAGCTATCGGTTCAGCTCGAAGATGAACGCGTGGAGATTAAGGACCAGATCCAGATGTACGCCCCGAATCATCTCTTGACACATCCTCTGGTATCGCCGGTGCTACAGCCGACGCTCGGAGGATTACCTCCTCTACTCATCCAAACGGGTGGTGGTGAGCTACTCAGAGACGAGCAGATCTACCTCGCGCACAAAGCTGCGCAACCACTGGCTTACATACCACCACCTTCCAACAACCAGACCGCCGAGTCCATACAAGCTCAAGCCGCCAGTTATAGGCCCACGAATGTTCAGCTTCAGGTCTGGGATGACCTATGTCACGTCGCGCCTACTCTCAGCTTTACCCGCCCAGCAAAGCACATGTACCGTAGTATAGCCCAGTTCGGTGCCTGGGCACTTGCACGCGCCCAGAACAAGTCCATCGACATCCTTGATGACGATGACATTTCCTTTATGAGCAGTGATTCAGGTACTTCGTCCGAGTCTGACAAGGCTGGTTCCGGTTCTTCCTCAGACGACCCGAAGTCCTCGAACAAATACCCCAAGCCCACAAAGGCCGAGAAGAAAGCTGCTCAAGATGCACGTGTTGGTCGAGCTGGTGACGCGATTCCGCCATTCGAGCGCCACATGATCCGCCAGCGCATCGATCGGCACGGGCGTATATATGCACTCGCCCCGAAGGAAGAGCTTATTGCACTGAACATTCCTAGCGTCGATGTGGGCGTGCCAAAGACTGGACCAGTCAGCAAATGGATGAAAGCCCAATCTCAGTGGAACAGCAAGTTTGCTAAGCAAAAGATCAAGATCCAAAAGCAGCGTATTAAGGATATGCAAAAAGGCTTCGAAGGCTTCGAGGGCGAGACACCCCCACCTACTGCCTTGGCTGGTAGGAGGATCAAGGGCATGAAGGCCGAAAAGGCGAAGAAGAGGAGTTGGGGTATGTCGATGTGGGCTGGATGGGGAAGTAAGCATGACTCAGCTACTGTAAGTGCACTCCTCCCGCCAATATCAGGTACGACATCCATACTAACGCACCTTAGATTGTCCGAGAGGAGAAGGCAGACCAGAACCCCGATACGGAGACTTCTACCTCCGCCCAAGATCCGGCCAACACGACCACCGACGGTGCAACAGAAAGCAAGCCAACACGGAGTCGACCCAACAACCTCACCGCCCCAGGCGTGAAACGCTCGCGTTCCCACTCCCGCCACTCCGCCGTGACCGACCAAGGCCAAACCGGCCTCCCCATGGATGACCTCTCGAAGATCGACCTCCCCACTCCCGGCCTCGCCGACGCAACGACCCTCGCCCCAGAACGCTCTGCCTCCCCACTCCCATCCCCCACGAGCGTACTCAGTGAGCCTGGTGTACCACCCAACATCATCGTATCAGACAATCCCGAGAATTCCAGCACCATCATCCCGGAAACTGATACCCTGACTACGCGCCCAACGGCTGGCGGTATCGCGTACCCGTTTAGTCTCAAGGTGGATGGGCCGGACGGGAAGGATGTTAACGCTAGTACGCTTACGCTTGCGAGTGTCAATATTACTACGCCGCCTGCTATTGACGTCGATTCGGAAGAGAAGCAACTTGGTAGTATGGTGCCGGTTGGTGAGAGCGTGAATGAGCAGGTGTTGAACGAGGAGAGACCGGGTGTTGAGCGGTACTTTACTGCTGGAACTGGTGCGGGTCTGTTCAGCAGTGGTGTGCCAGAGGAGAAGGTCGGACATGTGGAGAAAGTGGAGAGGCCGCCTGTTGAGAGGTTTGAGACAGCGCATGATGATTTGAGCACGATTGCTGCTGCGAATGGGGGGAAGGCGTGATACTTGCGGCTGGGTAGAGAGCTGTGAAAAGATTGAAGAGGAAAGAGAAGGATGAGCAAAACATTGTAGATACCCATTTCCTTGCCTTTTGTAATCTTAATATAAACGTACACATTATCACATCCTTTACACCTTTTGCTGCACGCAGTCAAGGTCAAAGCGGGGACACTGATCCGATGCGCGGTGATCCTATGCATAGTATTGACGCCAGAGAGAGCGGGAAAAGCTGTGTCGCTTTCAACTTTGGAGTAGTCGAGTGAACGCATGAATGGTTAGCAGATGACTGTTTACAGGCTTACGAGGGTAAGACGGAGTTTGAGCAGCTTCGTGCTTGTCAGTGCAGGGTTGCGCAATGGAAGTACATGAGCGAAAGGATAGTGGAGAGAAGCAACGCAGGTGTTGATGGCTCGGGGTTGGTGGCATCGTGGGTTCTTAGGCGATGACGCAATCGTGCATGATGCAACGTGTCCAGCACACGCCCATGAAGCTCATAGAGCAATCTCTCTTGACGCATACAAAGATCTCTATCTCATTGAAAGTGTTGCTCATAGCTGATACGGGAGGTATTCGCAGAATTTGGCATCGACACAGTGGGTAGACGCAAGACTGTGCATAGCTCCAGGGTTACGGGGCAGCTTTTGCATGCCAAATTCGAAGGCGCAACGTATCCGCGACACAAGATAACTTAACACGCTGCATGTCGTGAAGTGTTAGTTCGTGAATTTTAAAGAAAGATGATGTTTTGCCTACTCTTCTTTGCTGCATGTAGGTTAGCTATGCCTGCTCACTAATCGTACTTGCCGTCTTCTGAAGAGTGGACGCGCATACCCCACCACGTCTCACGAATACTCCCGCTCCATGACCACGAGATGACCCCGAAGCTACCTCATGCGCCCTTGTGGTCAGAGCAGAGTCAATCGGACATCTGTAGCTGGAGTCATGGCTATGATCACTGGAGTTATGGCAATCATCAGGGGAGTACCACCCTGTCAAACATGCGCGAGGCCGCACGCAAAGGCTGCATTCGATGCAAGCTACTTCTTCGAGGAATTGAGAAGTACACATTCCTTCCTTACCGCCCTCATCGAACTACGGAAGCTACCCTTGGTGAGTACGAGCCCGATCCGGGTCTAAGAGTCCACGTCCGCAACGATCCAGACACGCCTCTACGGGTGGCAGTACAATATACAGGCATGGCAACTAAATCAGGGAGTTTACCCATGGAGTTGTATTTCTACACTCATCCCGGTTCGTTTGATACCACAAGAGATACGGCACCTACGTCATTCACTTACCATTCTCAGACAAGCCACCTTACTTTTCGGACATTAATCCAGCAGGACACATTCCGGCTGACCCTGCCTCCCAAGCGTGCTTTGACACAATCAGAGAATGGATTAGGAAGTGCGATGCTCTGCACCCACAATGCTCTCCCAAGACAGATATGTCAACGACGCCAACAAGGCTTATCTCGGTCGGTTCGTCCTCAGATGACATCAAGCTGTGCAGCTCGAGTGAGATGCCAGCTGACGCCCGCTATGTTGCCTTGAGCCACACATGGGGGGTAAAAGAAGAACGCGTGAAAGCCATGCCCCTGCTCTTGACAAAGAATTTGTCTGCTCGGCTGCTCGGTATATCATCGCATGAGCTCACGCAGACGTTCCAGGACGCTATTACGATTACCAGGAATATCGGCATCGCATATGTCTGGATTGACTCATTATGCATTGTCCAAGATGACCATGAGGATTGGGCTAAAGAAGCCTCCCGTATGGCAGCGGTGTACAAGTACGCATACTTGGTCATCGCCGCGACAAGCTCGAAGAATGGTGACGATGGCTGTCTTCGTCCCAGAGTCCCGAGCCACAACTTATCAGACCCGGTCAATGGTAGCTTCCACGTACAACGACAGATATCCCACCGCACGATCATTGAGTGGCAAGCAGAGAGTATCGATATGCCTCTTCTGGATCGAGCGTGGTGTTTTCAAGAGCGGCTACTTGCTTCCCGAATTCTTCACTATACTGAACGCGAGATGATGTGGGAATGTCAAGACAAACTCTGGTGTGAATGTCAAACCATTCAATTCGATGATCCATCGGCAAGGTCCAATTTCGACAACCCATTGACAACGAAACCGGACACGTTTAAGCTTTGTTATGCCGCCGCGGTGGCATCAACGGACCCTGAAATACGTGCCAATTCATGGGACAAGGTCGTTAGAGAGTACTCCCAGCGGGCATTAACGTTCGGAACCGATCGACTTCCCGGTATCTCTGGCATTGCTAGAGAGCTTGCGCTACCATCAATGGGTAGATATCTGGCCGGGTTATGGGAGTATCAACTTCCGCAAGCGCTCTTATGGACGTCCGTAGGTGGAGTCGTCGACCGTCCCTGGGTACTTCCAAGACCTTTGCGATATGCGGCGCCCACGTGGTCTTGGGCATCGACACTTACAGCCGTGGCTCTAAAACAAAAGAGTACAATAGCCACGTCCATAGTATCGGTCTGTCGGGTGATAGATGTAACATGCACACCACAGACCGCCAATCCATACGGACACATGCGAGATGCACGATTGAGAATATCCGGGCCAACGATAGCAGCGACCCTGGTGCGCACAGATCGTATATCCGAAGCCACACGCTACGATGTCTTCCTGAAGGACCCAGATGGGGTGGAATCAGAGAGGTCGATCAACCTCACCATGACGAGTGATATTGAATTGATGGAAACTGCTGTAAGTGTGGTGCTAATGGTTCTAGAGATCTGGTCCTATGCCACGGGCTCTGAGCATCGGGTTGATTGTCTCGCACTGGTCAAATCAAAGACGCACAGTGAGTGTTGGGAGAGGGTTGGAAATGTCCACGGAAGGGGACTGGAGTTGTCTCACACGAAGGAAAGTGAATTCATCATAGTTTAGCTCCGTCTCGGAGATAGCGTAACCCCGCATGACATCACCTCGGTATTTCTAGAAGAGGATATTACGACCTCCTCCCCTTCCAATCAATGAAGCACACCCTCCACCCAATCCCCCGCAAAAATTCACTTCCCCAACTTTCAGAATGTCCGTCTTCCGCCCCTCAGCCCACGCCCTAATAACAGGTGGCGCATCCGGCGTCGGCTACGCCGTCGCCCAACTCTGCTTGAAACACTCAATGCGCGTCTCCATCGTCGACTTCAACCAATCCTCTCTCGACATCGCACGCAAAAACCTCTCCGGCGATGTAAAATGTATCCAAGCGGACGTATCCTCTCGCTCAGACTGGAGTTCCATCCGCCAACAAGTCGGTACTGATGTTGACTTCCTCATGCTAAACGCCGGCATTGGCGGGAAAGGAACGTGGGGTGATGAAGACTACTTTGATAAGATTCTGGCTACGAATCTTGGGGGTGTGGTGAATGGGCTGAATGCTTATGTTCCGAGTTTGAAGGAGAGGGCGGGGAAGGATGGAGAGGGGAGGAGTGCGATTGTGATAACAGGGAGTAAACAGGGTATTACGAATCCGCCGGGTAATCCTGCGTATAATGCTAGTAAGGCGGCTGTGAAGACGCTGGCTGAGCATTTGAGCTATGACCTCAAGGATACTAGTATCGGAGTTCATTTGTTAGTTCCGGGGTGGACGTTTACTGGGCTTGTAAGTTATGTTGATCTTGCCAATTACCAACCGCTAACGCGCATCATAGTCTGGGAACGAGCCAGGCTCTACCAAAGCCAAACCGGAGGGTGCATGGTCAGCCGACCAAGTAGCGGATTACATGTACGCCAAGATGCAGGATAAGAAGTTCTACATCATCTGTCCCGACGACCAGGTCACAGAGGAGACGGATAAGAAGCGCATGTTATGGAGCGTTGGCGATATTGTCAACGAAAGACCACCACTAACTCGGTGGAGGGAGGAGTACAAGGAGGAGGCGGAGAAGTGGATGGCGGAAAAGAAAGTGTAGAGGATATGATAGAATGACTACACAAACTGACAACATCACCTTATCGATACTCTAGATCCTTCAAAATCTTATGCTCGACTGGAAGTACATGGGCTACATGACACATGCTGTGGTAACGACCTGGTTTCGCATCAATACCTTCCACATTCACAACTTCGTCGCGTTGGATGTCCACTCCCGCAGTATCTGGCTCGGCGACTAAGTCTTTCCTAGTATCGTACCTGCGGAACACTTGCGACGCCTCACAGTCCTACCGCGGGGTGATATGAAAGACTACAAACCTCAGAAACGTTAATGTACGGGGAGACATCTGTGTACAAGGCCAGTGAGGCCGGCGGATGTCTTAAGCGACCATCTTGAGCTTGTGCTTAAGATGAAGAGACTCCGCGGGTTTAGATTGCATGTCATGATCTCGGCTTCCGAGGTGGGATGGGTCGAGGAGATTTTGAACGCGGTGAGGCGCGTTCGGGCGAGACCGATAGGTGCCGGTGTGAGAGTCCGGTTTACTTGGGGAGGGGAGAGTCTGGATGGTTATTTTGAGGAACTGCAGAGGATTGGGGTGTATGAAGTAACGATGTAATTGGGTTAAAGTGCGTTGGTATCTGTAGACGATTACCTCTCCAGTCCAATCAGACCTTCCACTTCCTGTGCAATCTTGCTGAACGCCATAGCTCGCTCTCCCTCCGGTTCTGCGACCACAGTCGGCTTCCCACGATCAGCGTCGTCGCTGATACTCGCATGTAATGGTATCTCGCCCAACATGTTCAAGTCGTACTTCCCACACATGGCTCTGATCTTGTTCATGTTCCCGAACACTTCATGCACATCTCCGCAACCGGGACATTTGAAGCCCGCCATATTGCAGACTAGACCCAATAGCTTCACATCGACTTTGCGGAAGAGTTCAACACCCTTGACAGCGTCTTTGAGTGATAGGTCCTGGGGCGTTGATACGATGAGTGCGCCATCTAGGATGAGCTGTTGGGTGATGGTGAGTTGGACATCGCCGGTGCCGGGCGGCATGTCAAGGACTAGGACGTCCAGACCGCCCCATTCGACTTCGTGTAGCAATTGCTGCAGAGCTTTCATGACCATAAGACCTCGCCATGCTACTGGTGACGATTCTGGGATAAGGTAGCCCATCGACATGGATTTTAGGCCATAGTTGGAGAGTGGGAGTAATTGATTGTCTGGGCCATGAGATTAGAGGCTGGTTGGCAACTCAGTTGGTGCGAGGACTGACTCGCTGAAAGTCGAGGCTCGCCAGACAGATTGAGTAAGGTTGGTATCGATGGGCCAAAGATATCGGTATCAAGAATGCCAGCCTTGTAACCACGACGCGCAAAGCTCAAGGCGAGGTTGACTACAACACTGCTTCAGTATTGTGGAACGTATTTGATCATGGACGGTAAGTTATACCAGCGATAGTACTCTTTCCAACCCCACCCTTTGCAGATGAGACAGCAATCACTTTCTTCACATCTTTGATGTTCCGCTTCTGTGGCAAGCCTCGCTGCATGCGCGGCATTTGCGGAGGCGCGCCTGACCGCGGAAGACCCTGCGTTCGCCATCAGCTATCGCGCAATCGGACATTCTAGCATGTAACATACAAGAGGATTCTCATGCTGCAGGCATCGCAATGTCGAGAACAACCGTGGCTTTAGCATCGTGGTGATAGAGACGGGGGTTGCGGAGTTGATGGCGGAGGTGACGCGCATCGGCGTTTCATTTAGCCGATGTCATTGAACTTTTTTGTGGGGCGCAGAGTGAACTTTCTCTTCCGACGCGGTTCACCAGCAGCACCAACACCAAACAGCTTGTACACTATGGGAAAGTCCAAGATTAGAGGTATGAACTTTTGATGTATGCGCAACCAAATTTTGCTCACATGAACACCAGATATCGACCCCGAGTCGCTTCTGGACCCTGCGCCGAGCTCCAGCGAAGACGAGCGCTCTGACGCTGAACTCTCCGAAGTCGAAGATGACAATGCCGGGCGCGAACATTATACCACAGTGGCAAAGAGCAAGCTGAGGAAGCCGGTAGAAGTGCCTCTGGGCCCGGAGTATACTGGGCGCAAGGTGGACCGCAAAGCACTCGAAGACAGCGACAGCGACGATCCATTTGCGAAAGGTTTCGACGATATAGACAGCGAGGCTAGTGATGAGGACGAAGAAGATGATATCAATGGCGTAGAGTTCGACGGCGAGGAAGATAGCGACGAGGAAGACCTGAACGGCGAATTCGACGAAGACATGAGCGACGAGGACGAGGAGATGGGAAGCGCAGGCGAAAGTGGGAGCGACGACGATGCCAATGACTCTGAAGACTCAGAGGATGATCAGTCAGGCGCCGAAGCCAAGACCGACGCGACCACGATCCGCGACCTCATGTCCGCCAACAAGTCCTTCACCTCGACCATCGCTGCTGGCACGCAATCCGATGTCGCCAAGGGAGAAGCTGTGAAGACTCAACGGAAGACATTTGATACGCTACTCAACTCGCGCATTCGACTTCAAAAGGCGCTGATCTCCACAAACTCCATGGCTGCAGAACCCTACAAGACAGAGGCCGCGAAAGATGCGCCTATCGAGGCAGCGGAGGCAGCTGCATTGACGCTCCTCAACAACCTCACGAACCTGCGACTATCTCTAGAAGAGTCGCGAACAGGTCAGAAGCGGAAGCGCACGGCATTTGACTCTGCGACACCATCATCCGAGATCTGGGCCAACATCCAAGCCAGCGAGAAAGCCACGCTCCCCCACCGCAAAGCCGTCCTCGAGCGCTGGTCGAACAAAACCAAAGCCACGACCGTCACAAACAACAAAGCGCGCCTCAACGCATCCGCGCAACAGACGCTAACCGAAGTCCTCGACTCCCAGCTCACATCCTCCCACCTGGTAACCCGCACCCAAACCCCGCGCTCTTGTGCCCCCCTCCAGTCCTCCGGCAAAGCCGTCCAACCCGACCCCGCCATCTACGACGACGCCGACTTCTACGGTCTCATGCTGAAAGAGCTGCTCGAACAGCGCTCCGCCGATCTTAACGCAAACGGAACCGCCGAGTTTGTTGTACAAGCACCGTGGCAGGTTGCGCGCGAGGCCAAGACGAAGAAGGTTGTTGATACGAAGGCTAGCAAGGGGAGGAGGCTAAGATACACGGTGCAGGAGAAGTTGCAGAACTTTATGGCGCCTGAAGAGAGGGGCGCTTGGGGGGATAGGCAGAGGGATGAGCTGTTTAGTAGTTTGTTTGGGCAGAGGTTGGGGCTTGGTGAGAATGATGATGTGGAGAGTGAGGAGGAGGAGGGTGTGGATGCTGAGGAGGCGGGATTGATGTTGTTTAGAAGTTGAGTGGGCTGAGTAGGTGAGAGGCAGATTCATGTCACGCAGATCATGGTGCGCTGTCTCCGATGTCTTCGTTCTCAGACTACAGGCTATAACGGTTGGGCATAATTGCAAGTCTCAGCTATGTTATTGGTTGGTTCACACTTTTGGTGGCGTATGTCAGCAAAATCAGCCCCCAAATTGCCCGCGTATCTTCATTCTCAGCTAATCAAAGAGCTTGCCTTTAACTCGCTCAGCGATCATCTTCCAGCCTCGTTCCACCACTTTGTATTATAAGGTAGCCTGTCCACACGCCTGAGTCAATTCTCAGCAGCTATTCCACCACCGAGTGAAAATGCCGCCGTTCAACGCATCCCACCCATACCTTGCGCAGAATGCAACGTTCAATATCAGCGTTCCTACCAATGCAACTTGCCGTATGTTGCATCCCAGCCCAATCCCATCAGTTTACCGACTGACGCGCTAGCAGCTAGTGACGCTCCAGCCCACGGAGTATCATGGCAAAGCGCATACTGGTCAGTCATGGCCTGCTCTCTAGCCGTCCTCCTACAAGAGACGGGAAAAGTAGTCAACGCACCGTACCGCATCAGCTATGCTCTTCGTGCATCTCCGCTTATCTGTGCGATCGATACGTTCCTCATGTTGTTGAAGTTCATGGTCATGCTGGCTGTGGGTTGCTCGCCTAGGATGGCAGTCAGGCATGTGTGGTATGACCGGTTTGTGGAAGATGAAGATATAGGGGATAGATCGTGGGTGGTTTGGGTTTGGCGGGATTTTTCGCGGAAACATCGTCTAAGCAGTACGACCGGTAACGACCCCTCCTGTGTGGGGGTGCCACAAAACGATGGTCCCACTTTCGATGGTGAAGCCCAGGGTACATCCTCGGGTGCTCCTCCTGGTTCTGACAATGGGGAGATTCGTTTAGCCGATGTACAACATCTGAATACCACGCCCGCAATCGACACGGTCGAGCCTACCCCGATACCGAGTCGAAAGGATGACCTAGATTCCACCGATGCGGAACTTGGGTGTTCAAGAGCTCTTCCTGTGATGAGCAAAGAGGGAAGCGACATTGTCAGTCTACCGGCAAATTATCCGCCGGGATCCAGTGCAATACTCATCCGTCGTTCCTCCCAACCCGGTACTGGGGTCACTTCAAGCGTAACTCAGACTGAAGCCATTGCAACGCAAGAACCCGACCAGCCCGATGGTAAAGATGTAGCTCCCACGTCAGGCAGTGTCTCAATTGTACATCAAGAACAATCTCCAAACAACGCCACCGACGAAGCCCCAACCACAGTCGGACAATCCCTTGATCGTCCCAGCCCTTCCGAAGTGTCTATCACGTACATGACGGATCTTCCTGGCTGCGCCGTTGATCGCAGCTGGAGACTTAGCATGGTCAGTTTTATCTTCGGCGCGTTACCACAGGCCGTCAAGGTATTTGCTATGAAGGGAATACCAGTCACACAGATCGTGGTCGCTTTTCTAATCAGTTCATTCATCACCTCGGAGGTTTTCCGCTCGGTCGCTGGGCCCGTTGGCCTTTCCAATCTCTATCACCCGCCAGTCGTCCTTCGTTGCAAAAGAATTTTGTCATCCACGCATCTTACGCACCTCGCGTTCATAGCGTGTTATTCTTATCTTATTCTACTTTCATGTGTCATGGTGTTTCTGGAAGTTCCGGGTCCGGCTGGCTCGGTACGTAATGGTGTGTTTGCTTACAGTTTCATCCCTTGCTTCGCAGTCGCCTCGTGGCTCTCAAATCGCATGGTTGATCTGCTCGAATACTACGTCTTCTCTAAGACTTTTGCAGCTTATATCAAAAGCAGGTCACTACATGTGAGCCACTGCAAGCTTTTTGATGGGTTGCGTGGAAAGCTCTTGTTGCTCGTTCCGAGATCATTGATGCTAGGACCGTCTCGTGTAGAGTCCCACGCTGTTTGGTTGGTTGTCTTTCCAGGCTTCTTCGCTGGCATCGTGTGGGTCTATTGGCGGTTTTCCTCCTTGATTGTTACCTTGGGCTGGGGTACGGCCACGATATTCATAGGTCCTACTTTCATAATCACGCCTGCGTATATGCTCGTACTGTCGCACGTCTTATACCACGTCATATTCGCGAATTCCCTTGCCGATCCTCTCCGATACATATGCGGCGTAAAGGGCACACTAGACGAGTTTGCCACGGGAATCTTTCTTCTTCTTAATGTAGGGCTCACGCTATTTATGTATAGTGTTACATCAGGATTTAATGATAACTTGACGTTCAAGCCTAGTTGGACGGAGATGCTAGGATAATCAAATGAGAAACTCTTTCTATTAAAGTGTTATAACGTGCATCGGGTGTAAAGCAAGTAGTGGACTGGATTGAGCAACGATGCAGACGACTTAGGCAACATGTACACCAGGCCTCATCTCTAAATCGGCGGCTTCTCCTCCCCCTCTTGATATTCTACAGCAATCTTCTTCGCCCCAGGACTAGGCTCCGGATAACTCGTCCTCCTCCTCGCCCTAACATAAAAGTTCATTGGCCGAATAAGCTGGAACTCTGGATCATACGTCACCGCCTCCTCACCTTCCTTGCTGAACTCATACCTATACACCAACTCCGGCAACAGCACCTTGACCTCGCCAAGCGCGAAGTTGAAACCGATACAACTACGCGGACCTGTTGCGAAAGGCATGTATGAGTTCTTGGGGCGATTTGATACCTCTTCTGTGCCCCAGCGGTCGGGGTCGAAACGGTCGGGGTTCGACCAGATGGTAGGGTTGTTGTGGATGGCGTGGAGGGCGCAGATGACGACGGAGCCGGCGGGGAGCTTGTAGCCGCCGGGCACGATACAGTCGACCTTTGCGGTACGTCCGGGTTGGAACGAGGGGTTGTGGAGGCGTTGGGTCTCCTTGACGAATTTGTCCAGGAATGTGAGGCCGTCGGAAAGTTCAGGTGTCCACTTGGTATTCTCGTTCACGCCGGCGTCGACGAGTTCCTGGAGGAGCCGGTCCTGGTTGCCTTCATATACGCAGAGGGAGTAGAGGAGCCATGAGAGGAGGGATGAAGTGGTGGTAAAGCCCGCACCGGAGATGGGGAGCATGTTGGGGATGACGAGTTCACGGGGTAGCTTGTTGCCGTTATCGTCGGTGGCGCGCTTCAGATAGTCAACTACGCAGCTGGCTCCTAGGGCTGCGGACTGCAGTGGCAGATCATCTTCGTTGCTTCCTTTTGGTGCTTGGTCGATTGCTTGGTTAAGAATAGTCCATAGCCTGTATCGGATCTTGTCGAGGTCGTATGCTGCTGTGAAGGGAATGGCGCTCAACTTCGCGTACCAGGCACCTCTTGACGCGACCTTCTTGTTCAGGGAGAGCGATTGTGCGATCAAGATGACCAGCTCGCTCAGCGGCGCATCTGGGTTGTCGAAGTGGTGGGCGTCATAACCAAGCGCAAACTTGAAGACGGTCTGAGAAGCAAGCTTCAGCATGTACTGGTAGACGTTCCATGCTTCGCCCTGCTCATCGAGCTTGTCAAAGACCTTGAATGAGTCCTTCACCGAGGCTTCCATCAGAGGTGTGTAGTGTCTGATAGCCTTGGGTGCCATGGAAGGCGGGATGAACTTATGCGCTTGCCTCCATGCATCGGTGTCGGTGTCGCAAATGAACAGCGCTCTGTTATCCTTGATACCCGCCAAAGGATGCTCGGGGGTGATGTGTTTGCTGAAGAACGCCGACTCCTGGAAAGCCACAGTCGCGATAGCAGGGTCATTAGTCAGGTAATTTTGCTTGCCCATTGTCTCGTACTTGATCAAAGATCCGTACTTCTGGAAGAGACGTGCATGGTTTCCCTGGGCGCGTTAGTGATAGTCTGCAGTCTTGTTGGAGTCGCTTACGAGATGATCGGGAAAGACCTCGTAGTAGCTTCCCACGAAAGGAAGACCTTCCGGGCCTGAAGGGTCGCGAATGGCCTGACCGTCGACAGTAATGCCTATATCCTCGTCGCAATCCAATACATCATCTAAGTCTCGCAGTTCATCTCCTTTGGGATCTTGCAGCCCGATGCCTGATGAGATGTAAGTTCATGTCCGTGTCAATTGAATGAGTCTGCGTACCAGTCGATTGGATAATGTTGTACTGCTCCGCTACAGCAACCTGCAGCGCTTCAAAGTCATGATACTGGTCAATGTGAATGTCCTGGCGAAAGACATTCTTGTCCTGGCCAACGAGGTAAAAGCCCTTGATAGTCATAATGCTTAGTAGTGAAGTATGAGATGACGGTTGAGCGTCGCAATCTTGACAGGACTATAACGCGACTAAATGAAAGGCACACCAAACTACGTATCCATCTGCAACCCACCACCTGCAGGCCTCGTCTAGTCTGTAAATATGACGCATCGCCACTGACCAACATCCGGCACAGGCGTAGTCGTACGAAAAGCGCCGAGGAGCCCAATGCGCCAAACCAATGCGCCAAAATAAAGCAAAAACACTGCAGGTCGTGCGAACCAGCCCGGCCGAAGCGGTGATCGAAATTTTGTTGTGGTACTGTTTCAGCAAGATCGTTGCGCGTAAGGCTTGGACAAAGCCACTCGCGTGGTGGCACCTCCGATTGTCAGCGAAGGCTTGATTGGTTTAAGCCTCGCTATGCCGAGGTAAGTGGGGTGCTTGGCTCCACCAACACCGGACACCTCGTGGTAGCCGCTGTAATAGCGCTGTCATTTGTCATGGCCCAACAACAGATCCTGATGCTGCGAATGTCCGAGATCTCGGTCGCGCACATACGTAGTGGATCGGTATGCCCGTTGCGCATTTGCTGCAGGGGCCTTTTGCGATGATGAAGGGTCTTGGCTGGGGGTTGCCATCGTTGATATTATCGTCTCTGGCGCCCCCTTAGTGACAGAAGGAACGCATCCATCTTTTTCAGCTCTTTCAAGCCATGGCCGACGGTGTATACACTCTCCAGGAGGTAGCGAAGCATACTAGCAAGACTGATCTGTGGGTCACACTGTGGAATCACGTCTACAATGTGACGGACTATCAAGAAGACCACCCTGGTGGTAAGGAGTTCCTGCTTGAGAACGCCGGCACAGATGCGACTACCGCCTACGAAGACATTGGCCATTCAACAGACGCCAGAGAGATTCTCGAGAACTTCCGCATTGGACGAATCGCAGACGAGGACTGGACCGACCATGAAGCCGCAAAGATGCCCACGATCACGCCGAGCAGAGTTCATGTTGTCAACAACCTGCCTCCGCCGAAATCGTGGCGGTTGCATCTTGGAGCCATTGGCTTCGGTCTAACATCTGTCGTGTTCTCCATTGTCGCTGGACGACGATTTTCGCCGCTCTTGCACCGTCTTCAAAGCGCTGGGTTCTGGAAGGGCTTCGCCGTTTCCTCCATCGCCAGTATGGCCTTAGCCGGCTACGCCAGCTTGTGGGCAACCAAGAGCTTCGACGTTGCGCACAAAGACTTCCAATCCTACCCCGCACACATCAAAGCAAAGTCCATGTCCTCGAAACCGACGAAGAAGAAAGACATCAACCTCGGTGTCCTCAACGCCCGCGTCTACCAGCCTTTCCCGTTAATCGACAAGTTCAACATCTCCCACGACACCATCCGCTTCGTCTTTGGCCTCCCCAATGAGAACTCCGTGCTCGGTCTGCCTACTGGTCAACATGTTGCGATCAGGCACGAAGTCGATGGAAAACAACTCGCACGATCATACACGCCGACATCCAGCAACAAAGACCGCGGCCGTCTAGAACTTACCGTCAAGATCTACGAAGGCGGCAAGCTGACACCTTGGTTGAGCAAGCTGAATGTTGGCGACACTGTCGAGATCCGAGGACCCAAGGGCGAGATGAAGTACCACAAGAACCTGGTCAAGGAGCTTGGTATGATCGCCGGCGGTACTGGTATTACACCCATGTTCCAGATCATCCGCCGCATCTGCGAAGACCCCCGCGATGACACCAAGACGACGCTTTTGTATGCGAACAAGACTGAAGGAGACATCTTGCTCAAAGATGAACTTGACAAGTTTGCGAAGAAGTACGAGCAGTTCAACGTGCACTACGTCTTGAGCAACCCATCGGACAGCTGGAAAGGCGAGAAGGGCCGTATCAGCAAGGAGATGATTGAGCAGCGCCTGCCCGCGCCGGCTGGTATGGACAGCAAGATTCTTGTTTGCGGGCCGGACCCGATGATGGATTCTATGGTTAGCTACTTGCAAGAACGCGGCTTTAAAGCACCTGGTATGTTGCGACCATTTCATGACATTGCATGGAATACTGCTAACTCAAGCTTAGGCAAAATCTCGAAGCCTCAGGATGAGATTTTCACCTTCCAGTGATCACTTTGTTCACTCTGCTATGGATTCTAAGGGTATGGGGTGGTCGTGGCAGTGGTATTGTCGGAGTAGATTGGTTAAATTGGGTAATGATATCAAGTTGTTCAAACTACATATTTCGTAATCCAATGCGCATGTAAACGTTTTCAATATGAACTTTATCATCAACCAATACTCCTCTTTCCAAGTTCTGCACGCGTATCCCGAGAATCGTCACGTTGGCACATAAGTTAGCAACCGATGTTCGCGCAACCTGCAGTTCGGCCGACATCACACCGCCCAACGTCTCGCACGCCCCAACGCACATCTCGCACGATACAAAAAGCACCGTACGAATGACGTCGCCACCCGAGCGGCACAGCACGGATGCCTACCGCGTTGTTGGGCAGTGACGCAACACCTACATGCTTCTAGGCTGCATTAGCGTCTACCAATAGTATACATCATGCATCTAGACGCGCTTGAGGAAGTCGCAGTATCAGCGATAACTCAGCAGCCGCAATAACCATCTAGACTAATACACCACGACAACGAGAGATGTCTCTTTGTGCTAGACGACTATCAAGAGGCGTTCGGCGGGTCTCGGCCGAGTCTCCTGCGAGCTATGCAACGACGCGCTGTTTGAGCACGCGTATAACTACGCAGGAACTCAAAGTGAGGAATGCCAACACAGCTTTTCGCACTCGATCAACACCATTGTCATACTCAATCATGTCGAATACGCAAACACGAGCTGCATCTAGCATAACACAACCGCAATGGATGGCACCGGACACATCATCGAGACCAGTCGCTGTTTTGGGTGGAGGAGTCCTGGGTCGGCGAATCGCTGCTTCATGGGTCGCCGCTGGGTATGAGGTCGTGTTGTGCGATCTCAGTGACGAGCAGAGGAACGCTGCGACACACTATATCGAACATCACATGGACGAGTTCTCGAAACTTACCGGAGACTCACGGAAACCGGAACAGTTCACTACTGTCAAAGACATTGAAGAGGCGGTCAAGCATGCGTGGTTAGTGGTTGAAGCATTGCCAGAGAAGCTTCCGTTGAAGATCGAAATCATGGGCCAGCTTCAACAACAAGCACCGAAGGACTGTATTCTGGCATCGAACTCGTCGTCGTACAAGTCGCGGTTCATGCTCGATAAGGTTGAAGCGAGTAGTCGGCATCGCGTTTGCAACATGCATTACTACATGCCACCGGGTAACAACGTTGTCGAACTCATGACGTGCGGCGAGACGCATGGCGATATCTTGCCGTTCCTGCAAAGCAAGCTTCATGACGCGGGCATGACTCCAGCTATCGCGCGCAAGGAGTCGACCGGTTTCATCTTCAACCGGTTATGGGCTGCGATTAAGAGGGAGAGTCTGCTCATCATGGCGGAGGGTGTCTCAGAGCCTGAGGAGATCGACAGGCTATTTTTGACGATGTTCAAAGATAACCCGGTCGGACCTTGTGGAATGATGGATGCAGTAGGATTGGATACGGTTGCTTTCATCGAGAACAATTATGTTGAAGAACGTGGCGGCGACCCCACGGCACGAGACTGGGTCCAGAAGAACTTTGTCGAGAAGGGCAAGCTAGGCGCGAAGTCTGGTAAAGGCGGTTTGTATCCTGCCGGTGAAACGACCCGAAGCTCGAAGGACGAGAGTGGCCATCACGACAACCTCGCGGCGCCGAGACTGTACTTCCTCGACATTGGCATCGGTGGTAATGTTACCGATTTGCAGAAGATGGCCACATCTGGTAAGATCATGACAGCTTCAGCGGATGGAAGCAACGTGCGCGAACTTGTCGGCGGCCAAGCCATGCCGGACGGCATCGACGTTTCCATCTCAGCTGGTCGCATCTTCTGGACGAACATGGGCGCGTCTCCCGCGAAGAACAACGGCAGTGTCATGTCAGCGAACCTTGATGGTACCGACATCGAAGCCATCATTCCGGAAGGTCAGATCCACACACCCAAGCAGCTCAAGATCGACCATGAGAACAAGAAGCTGTACATCTGCGATCGAGAAGGCCTCCGAGTCCACCGATGCGACTTTGATGGCAGCAACCACGAGATCATCGTGCAGACAGGCAACTCCAGCTCAGCGGACGGAGAAGACCAGACGAATTGGTGTGTTGGTATCGCAGTCGACCCTGAAGCAGGACAGTTCTACTGGTCCCAGAAGGGCCCGTCGAAGGGCGGCAAAGGCCGCATCTTCCGCGCCAATATGCAGATGCCTGCCAACGAGACAGCATCCTCCCGGTCCGACATCGAACTACTCTTCGACCACCTCCCTGAACCCATCGACCTGGAGTTTGAAGCTGATGGCCAAACGCTGTACTGGACCGATCGCGGCGAGTACCCGCTCGGCAACACGCTGAACAAGGCGTATGTTGGCGCGGAGATGAAGGAGGAGAAAGGTGTTGTGACGCTAGCGAGACATTTCCACGAGCCGATTGGACTGAAGATTGACGCAGTGAACCGGCACGTCTACTTGACCGACCTAGGTGGTACCGTGTACAGGTTCGATATGGACGGAGGAAAGAAGAAGAAGATTTATGAGACGGACAGCGCGTACTCTGGTATCGCGCTTGCGCACCTGCACTGAGCGTATATGTAGCCCTGTTGTTAGTATCAGTAATGTAATTGTGAGGATATATTCGAGGCAGTTGAAGTGATGAGATGATGGTGTCGGTGTCTGAGTGAGGAGCATACGCCGACTCACGCTCGGCATCCAAAACCCACCGAGGGTCCAAGCTTCTCAACACCAAAACATTCCGACCACCCCACGCGACAATTCCGCTGCGATAGCCGTCCCTCCCCCTTTCATTCCACCTAGGGCGCTCACTCTCAATTCCTCCATCGCGGCTTGAACTCATCCCCACCGCCACGATGAACACAATCTCCAAACCCCCGACAATAAAACGCATCTCAGGCCCCAAGCGCTTCCTCGGCGTCCTCGTAGGCATAACCGGCGGCCTCGGCGCCAACGTCCTCCTCGCCTACAGCGTATCCTCCTTCTACACGCGCAACACCAAATTCGTCCCTTACGACGCCTCGTCGCCCGACCTCACCACCAGCGTCTTCCGCGCGCATAACCCCAACGGCAACCCGCCCGGCTGCATAGATCACGCGACAAAACAGATTCCGTATGGGAAGCTGCCGGAGAAGTACTGGGTCAAGGGCGATGGAGGCAGGATATCGGTGGATCAACCGGCCCTAACGACGGATTTCTGTCGGGGGATTTGGAGCGGTGTTGCGTTTAGGGTGCAGAGGAGGTTGTTGGAGAAATGGTATCGCAATGTGGAGGGCAGGGATACGCATCTTTGGGATGTGAAGGAGTTGGCTAAGAGCGATTATAAGGTTGGGACGAAGATTGTGGATCACTTTGAGGTTGTAGAGCACAAGGATGATAAGGTGAGATCGTACCTTCTACTGAAAAGAATGCTAGCTAACTCATGTTTCTTCATAGGTCATCGTTCGATGCGGCGACTCACCACACGTTTCCGAACCCCGACCCTCGGACGGCCTCTTCTCCATGGAGGTCTCTAAAGACGACGCAGCGCAAATGGCTACCTTCCACCTGAAGTCTGTTTTCGTAGACACAACGCCAGAGGGCAAGGACGCTGGTCCACAACCAGGGCACATTCAATGGCTGCACAGATTGTACACCAAGCTCTGGATGGAGAGTGCGACGCGCAAGTTGATCAAGGAGGCATAGATGACAGGATTACAATATATGTCAACACAAGTGAGGAGTATCCTCAACAAGCGCAAAACATATTGCAGTCCCCGTACTTAACCTCTGACATCGATGCGCGAATCTAGGCTTTGCACGCGCGACATTGGACGTATTCCATGATGAAGTCCAACAGGCTTGAATGATCGGTGTGCGGAGCTCATCCAGCCTGTTCGTCCACAATTCCAAAGAGCAGCGCAAAAGCAAGTCTAATGGTAGCTTAGGCCAAACGTAGGGATCAGTCATCGTGACATACGTCAGAGGATCGGCGTGCGTGAATAGCCGATACTCGTTCGTTCCAATTATGATGGTCTGGAGAGGTGCTATCACGGCACCATGTTCAAGATACTTAACATCCTATATCATGTCCTCCTGTCACTCTCTGATCTCTTTCTAATACGACCGCTGACTTCACATCCTCACCTTGACACCAAATCAGAATAGATAGTATCTCGAAGACTACACCCCAACCACAACCCTCACAAAACCTCCAAAATATGGGCGTCATAAGCGTAACCTCCGAAACTATCTTCAACTACCCACCCGAAATAATCTACGACTTCGTCTCCAACCCCTCAAACTGGGGTCGCACCTACACCGGCAGCTCCGGCCTACCCCCAGGCCAAAACCTGTCCCTCCCCCTCAAAGTCGGCGACGTCTGGACCGAGAAGGTCGCTCTACCCAAAAACACCTATCACCCAAAATGGGTCTTGGAAATCGCCGACCGCGGCCGCAAGTTCGCGTTTCGTCAGGTCAACAACATCGCTGCTGGGGAAGACGGAAGCGGTGGTGTTCCGGGGTACTGTTGGATCACGTATACGTTTATGAAAGCAGGGCATGGCTTAACTTTGTTTACCCGCAACCTAACGTGTGAGCTTGAGAAGGGGGTAGATGTGCCCGATGATCTCATGTTGGCGATGTCGAGACCTAGTGGAATTGACAAGTATCATGATGCGATTAAGAAGTTGCTTGATGTGGAGTTTGCTGAGCACAAGGCTCTGGACAACTTAGGGGATTGATGAGTTGATGTTGTTGAATTTGTTCGCAACGAAGATTGGTTTTGGACAGTAGGATGGATAGAACTGATACAATAATTGACTGTTATATATCATACGCGACCGTCGCACAGAATTTCTTCTTCTCGATACTCGGGCAGTGTCTGCATTATTTGTCAAGGAGAATCAGCGCAACAGCGAGGGCTACCCAGCTCGAGACAAATGCGAAGGTGGGGCGATGAACCGAACGCTAAACCACCTTCGGGGTTAGCGTTATGTCTGTAAATCCAAGGCCCCCAGGGACTCGCAACCTCACGCCCACTTTGTAGCATTGTCTTAGAATCTCACCACATCTAGTCTTTATACCAATGTAGATGGCAGCGCAGTTGCTTGGTTTGTTCCTCGTACGAGGTGAAAATAATGCTCACAGTGGTACCAGCACGCAATCGCAATCCGAGTGGACGCATCGTGGTTCTGTGATTACAGGTCGAGGCCTAGCTCCTCCGACACCTCAGTCATCGTGCACAATAGTTATACGCCCTGAGCAGTGTGAGAGAACAAGAGCATTGCGATCTGAGCTACTTATTCATAGTGTCATTTGATCCATCGATTAGTCCTCGACCTCGGAGATGTGGTACCCCGCAACAACCCCGCACAGTATCGACTGGACCGTCAATCAAAGGCCAATGTCGCGATTGTGCCCCTCCGCCCCGATGCATGCTGTCCTACCAGATATTGCTCCGTAGATCATTCTCTGGGTTACGCAAAGCTGTCAGCGTTGGCGACTAATACGCCCGGCGCCTGGTGCCCGATGCGACATGACATAGGAGTAACCTGTGACGCTCTACAAAGCGGTGACCTTCCGGTCTTCCATCCGTCTACCATGAACCTACAACTACTTTCCCAATCTTTCGTACGATATCCTCGGAAATGGCGCCGGATCTCAACACCATAGGAAGCGGCAAGCAATGGGACTACTCAACGCCTGGATCTGGCGGCTACAACGTCCCAGATATAGTCTATAATGTGCGTTGAGACCTTCTGCGCTTCATATGAAAGCACTCATCATATTTCAGGACCCATCATCTCGAAAGCTCAAAGTGGTGACCATCGGAGCCGGCTTGTCTGGTATTCAAATGGCGTATCAGATACAGAAACACACGCAGAACGTCGAGCATGTCATCTATGAGAAGAACGCCAATTTAGGAGGCACATGGCTCGAGAACAGATACCCAGGTATAGACGCTAATGAACCATCGTATGATTGAGCTGACTTATTGCAGGTTGTGCTTGCGATGTCCCGTCCCATGCCTACACCCTCAACTTTGCTCTCAACCCAGACTGGCCGCGCTTCTTCTCATACGCACCAGACATCCAAAAGTACCTCGAAAAAGTCTGCGATGTGTTTGACTTGCGCAAGTACATGACGTTCAACACCGAAGCCGTTCGAGCCGAGTGGCAAGACGATGTCGGCAAGTGGAAGGTTACGCTCCGCCAGAAGTCATCTTCCGGCGAAGAAAGAGAGTTCGAAGAAGAATGTGACCTTCTTCTCTACGCTTCCGGCATTCTCAACAACTACAAGTGGCCTGGTATCAAAGGCATCAACAGCTTCAAGGGCCGCATCGTTCATACCGCGACATGGCCGAAGGACTATCAAAGTGAGCAGTGGAAGGACGACCGCGTGGCTATCGTTGGCTCTGGCGCTTCTTCTATTCAAACGGTACCTAACATGCAACCACACGTTAAGCATATGGACATCTTCGTCCGAACCGGGGTGTGGTTTGTCCAAATTGCAAACAACTACGGCCAGAACAAGGAGTACTCACAAGATGAGCGCGAGGAATTCCGGAAAGACCCACGCAAGCTAGTCGCCCACGCCAAAGACATCGAGAACCAGATCAACGGACTTTGGGGAGCGTTCTACGCCGGAAGTGAAGAGCAGAAAGGCGCTCAGGATCTGTTCAGAGAACGAATGAGGGAGTTTATCAAGGATGAGCGACTCTTGAACGGATTTACCCCGAAGTTTGAGGTCGGCTGTAAGTCGCGTCTAGCCTCCAACATTGCTTCCAAACTGACACATTGCAGGCCGTCGCATAACCCCGGGCGACCCTTACATGAAAGCCATTCAGGAGCCAAACGTCGATGTGCACTTCACCGCCGTGAATGAGATCACAGAAATCGGTGTCGTCGGTGCAGACGGCATTGAGCGTGAAGTCGACACCATCGTCTGCGCCACCGGCTTCGACGTAACCTACCGCCCCCGCTTCCCTATCATCGGTAAGAACGGTGTCGACCTCTACGAAAAGTGGAAGAACGAGCCCAAAGGCTACCTCGGCCTCGCATGCCCCGACATGCCCAACTGGCTAATGTTCATCGGCCCAACCTGGCCCGTCGAGAACGGCTCCGTTACCGGTCCCTTGCTAGCAGTCGCAGAATACACCATCCAAATCATCAAGAAGATGCAACGCGATCACATCAAATTCTGGGTCCCGCGTCAAGACATCACCGATCAATTCAACGAGCATGCGCAAGAATGGGTCAAGCACACAGTCTGGAAAGGTGAATGCAGATCTTGGTACAAAAACAACGACACCGGCCGCGTCAATGCCGTTTGGCCAGGCTCTTCGAACCAATACGCTGAAGCTATTGAGACGCCGCGATATGAAGACTTTCATATTGAGTATATGCATAAGAACCCCTGGGCGCATTTGGGCATGGGGTATGCGATGCGCAATAAGCAGTTTCCCGAGGCGGATGTTAGCCCGTATTTGCAGTTGGAGAATATTGATCCGCAGTGGCTAAAGGCTATTGGGTATGAGGGGCCGGCGGAGGTGGTGGCGAAGGTGAGGGAAAGGAAGGAGGAGGTGGATGTTAAGAGGGCGGGGGTGGATGGGGGGCTTGAGGGTGGGGATGGGAATACGCTGACGTAGTGGTATTGATGTGAATATCTCGTGTTCAATTCGACTAATTGAAGAAAGAAGCTATGTGCAAAGTTACTTTTTCAAGAGCGTAAGCACGTACTGCTTCATGTCTGGTGCAAGAGGTGCTGAACCTGTACGCTGTATAGACAAGCGGATGAACCATCCGAAATCTTCGCTGAATATCGTGTCCTGGATTCGAAGAGTTTTACGATCTAGAGTGCGATCCAACGTTGGCCGCGATGTTAATAGCCATGTGCACGTCGATAGTGGCACTGGCCCATCGCCTGGAATTTGAATGCGAACGTTAGGCTCAATCTCAGTGTCGAACCAAGGGTTATAGTTCTCATTTACGTGAACGACAACTACTAGCTTCAGACTGACACTAAGAGTAGACTGAGAATGAAAAGTGTCGCTTTTCTTGCCAGTATAACAAGCGGACCACATACCCGGCAGAGCAGCGATCGTCTCTATACTATACCCTCCCTCTGTAGGAAAGGGTCGCGCATTATCCTTATTCATAGTAAAGCGTAAAATTCGGGAGCGTAGCGCGGAGTCTATTGAGATTCGCAGCATCGAACGACCTTCGTCACGATATGCGAGAACTGAGAATATGGAGACAGACGCATGCGCATGGTCTTTCGTCGATGTTGTCACATAGATAGAAGCGTACCGAAAGTCTTTCAAAGCACTCATGGGGAGAAGAATCAAGTTACCTTGTTCCCCCAAGGTGTCCCAGTCTCTCTCGAAACCATTTTCGCTGCCTTCGACTTGACGCAACATTACGCACAAGAGGAGGATATCAGAATTCGGACGCTCTAAGCACGCAAGGCAGCCATACCGAGATCTGTCCTGGTGACGAAGTAGAGGTAGACTGAGATAGCAACCACGACTGGTCAGGTGCGGAGGCAAGTAATCTTCCGGAGGTGGAAGTACGGAGAAGCAAGTTTTCGACAAGTGCTCACGGAGAAAGGACTCCGATCCACCTGCTAGCTCCGCAGAAAGCAACTCGAGCACCGGCTCAAAGGTGTCAAAATCTGAAGGCGACCTGGCTAGAAGGCTTTCGGTCGGGGAGAATGCATCCCAGGCAAACAGAGCGTAGTCTTCGTCGACTCGAAGCATCTCCTCCTGAAGGCGTCGAAATGCGCGTACCCCTTCGCCGTAAAGAAGGGGCATGTTCACACCGAGTATTCCGAAAAGACAGTATGCCTGATCCTCCAAACGACTGGTCTCGCGACTTGCTGCCCATGCCAGTCTTACGGCCACCGCGTAATCGAGAGGATTTTCCTAAGTGAGTATGTCCCGATTTATACCAGTAATGTTCGTTAACAGAATTTTGAGACTGCTGCGCGTCCCGATTTCCGACCAGGATGCGTCATAAAACTCAACAATTGAAGGCGCGATGAGCTCCTGTAGTGTCCACCCTCGCGTGAACCACTTCAAATCGCGGAAAGCTTTGAAATCTTCCGTTCCGGGCTTCTGGAAAACGTCCTCTAGGTAGGCGTAGCAAACGCGGGCGTTCTTGTACCATTGGTACATGGAGTTGATGGCCTCGGATAACTCAGCGCTTGAAGTCTTATCGATGCAACAAGTGTCAATTCAACAGTATGCGAACCCATCAACTTTCGCTTTCTTGCAACAGCCCGTAAGTTTTGCATAGCCTTTCCTCGCGGGTGCTTTGCCAGACAAAAGATCTTGAAGAGTGACTTCCTCTTCCCTCCAAATGTGAGAGAGGATAACGTACTCGGGCACTCGGCTTTCCAGGAATTCTTGCGCCTCTAACGTGGAGGTATTAAGCAGCCGCATGTGGCAGAAGTATCGTCTTTGGAGCAACGTGAGCTCACTGAGGTATGGGGTGTCGCGCCTGTGATGAGAGGCAAGGGACGAAGACCCCATCCCAAGACGACTTGGAAGGTGGCACAGCAAATGCACGCCATCCCGCTCTTGGTTAGCGCTATCTCACCTGTCGAACCCGACGCCCCAGGCACCTACCGTTCACATGCGCCAGCCTTATCGCCAACACCACAGTGTACAGAATCCAGGAAACTGCAACAACAGCTACCTAGGTACCATGACCGAAAAGCAGGCTGCGTCCGCGAGCGCGAGCGCTCACGTCAAGCCCCGCATCATCATCCATGGCGGTGCGGGCAACCTAACGCGCACCTCGATTCCTCGGGATCGCTACAATGATTATCGCATGTCGCTCTTCACAATCCTGGGGAAAGTGGAGGGGCTTCTCCGCAAACCAGGATCGACAGCGCTGGACGTTGCGACCTACGCCGTCACACTTCTGGAAGATGACCCGCTATACAACTCCGGCAAAGGCGCAGTCTTCACGCGCGAAGGCAAGAACGAACTCGAATGCAGCATCATGGTTTCGAACGGCTATAAGAAACGAGGCGTGGGATGCATGTTGCTCAGCCACGTCAAGAACCCCATCAAGCTGGCGAGAGAGTTGCTTATCAAAGGCGAAGAAGCAGACGGCGGTGGTGCAGCCGACCACTGCCAATATAGCGGAGAGTTCGTAGAGGGTCTCGCAAAGGCCTGGGGGCTTGACATTGTGGACCCAAGCTACTTCTTCACCCAGAAGAGGTGGGATGAACATCAACGCGGCCTTGCGGAAGACGCGAAGAAGGCGCAGATGGGCGTCAGCGTCGACGCCATGAGCGACTGGGAGAAGGATAACTACATTCCGCTTGGAACGTGTGGTGCGGTCGTTGTTGACAGCTTCGGTACCGTCTGCACGGCAACATCGACAGGTGGGTTGACGAACAAAGTTCCTGGGCGCATTGGAGATACGCCGACCATCGGTGCAGGGTTCTGGGCTGAAGAGTGGCACGAGGAGAAGGCCGCTGGACCGCAGATGTTGTACCAGCCTACTGCCCGCGTCGCCCCGCCGATTGACAAACTATCACGAGGCGATATACGTGGGATAGTGGGCGACTGTCTACCTTCGCTTGGGCCATCCACAATACGGGCAACTACATCATCGCCAGCACAGCCATACGAGAAGCCCGTGTCGGCGCGCCACACAGTAGGTCTCTCAGGGACCGGCAACGGCGACTCGTTCCTTCGCACGTGCGCAGCTCGCACTACAGCTGCCAGATCAAGGTTCTCTGGCTCATCACTCTCCAGCGCAACAACATGGATGGCCGGGCCTGACGGTGAGCTTCAGCGATCTGCTGGAGACCGTTGGGGCGCAACCCATGAAGGAACTGGGGGTATTATTGGCATAGAAGTTGTTGGCAGCAAGGTGACGGTAGTACAAGACTTTAACTGTGGAGGCATGTTCAGAGCATGGATTGATGACGACGGTAGTCCAAGATGTTTAGTGTTCAGGGAAGAGGGCTGGGAAAGTGGGCCAGAGAACTGGGATGATCGTAAAGCGCATTGATCTCCGCAGTTTTGCGGTCCGTGCAGGCCTCAAGATCCAAGTCTTACTTGCTCACAATCGTCCCGTCACTTGTGTAGAGCATTGCGCATGCCAGAGCACCTAGAAGACAAGATGTGCCTCACATTGCGTGGACTGCACCAAAGTCGCGAAGTCGAGACCTTCCAACGGAAAAGGATGATGATCCGCCAACGTTCGGTCGGAGCGACGCGGCCACTGCGGCTCACATCGGCGCCACTCCGAGCGACCAAGATGCAGCATCCCGACGACGCTATACAGCACTAGAAGGTCCAAAAATATTCTATTCAAGCTTTCAAGCACGGACGTGTGTCATTTGCGGAGGTGGCTTCGGCTCTTTGGACATCGTCATTCGCGGTAGCCCCGTGTAACCGGCACCATGTGGCGAATCCGGAGGCTGGTTACGAGCGCTAGGCGTTAGCTGAACTATCGTCGTCCAGGTACGACAGCTTAAACCGCGCAACAACACGAGGACTATGAGTATATAGTCTCACCCTCGTTTGCATCATTCTCATCTCCATCACAACATCACCACATCATCACAATCCTACGACACTCGCTTCGTTCATTCCAGCATCTCAACACCACTCACTTCACGAAGCATCTCTCCGCAACAACAAACATGCGTTACACCACCTTCACCATCGCTGCGGCCGCGTCCTTTGCTTCAGCGCAAACTACTTCCACCCCCGCAGCCGCATCTCCCACAAGCGCCACCGTTCCTGTCGGCGAGAACTGCACACCAGGCGGCGTGCCCTGCGCACTCGGCGCCAACTGCTACGCCGTCAACTCCGGCCTCATCCCCGTATGCGGTAACTTCCAAGCCTCATGCACCCGCGACGAGCAATGCGCCTACAACACTTGCAACCTCACCGACGGCCTTTGCAACGGATTCATCGCATCTTCTTCGGCCTCATCCTCGGCGTCAGCAATGGTCACCAGCGGTGCCGTCACACCAACCAACCAAGGACCTCAGCCTGCCCCGTCACCCACCGTCGTTGCGCCTGCTGGCTCCCTTCCTCTCGGCGCTGACTGCAATCCTTATGTCAAGCCTGACCAGTGTGCCAATGGTGTGCAGTGTTGGGCCAGCAACGCTATGTTGATGGCGCGATGCGGAAACTTCAACGCCGAGTGCAGTAGCGATGATCAGTGTGCGTATAACATCTGCAGTGGTGGTCTCTGCAGGGGTTTCAAGCCGTCCAGCGAGTTTCCCGTCATGTCTTCAACTGCGATGAATCCTATGCCTGCTGCTAGCTCAATGCACCCCGGCTCGATGGTCGCTATGCCGTCCGGAACCATGGGCCATATGCCATCTGGCATTGTGCCTCCACACATGATCAACGGTACCATGACCATGGTGCCTACTGGAACTGGTGCTGCTATGCCCAGCGGTCCGGCAAACGCCACGTCGACCAGCCCTTCTCAGTTCACTGGTGCTGCTGCCGTCGACAACGTTGCTGGCGGTGTCATGGCGATTGTCTTTGGTGCCGTTGCTTGGGCTTTGTAAGCTGTTGGGATGCGCGCGCTGTTGGATCTTCGCTATATCATAGAATTAATTTGCTGTACATATTTATCCTAACGTCATAACGCTACACAGCTATAATGCTAGAAAAGTACTATTTCTTCAAATTTCTTCGCACATGTTATGATAACCGTTGTCTTGTTCCCATTGATCCGCATTCGGTTTGATCTTGGTAGGCTTGGCATGCTTCTCGAAGCAGCCCTCGGGACGTCACACCAAGATAACGTTACTACGCAGCACTCTTTTATCAGTGATAGAGTATACAAATTATTGCCAGCAATTAATCGGGACGCGCCGTTCTCCAGCTTGCATGTTAGGCTAATATCCGCTTGATCGGGTTGATGATAAGCCGAAGAATTTTGTGAGTCACGGAGTAGCATGCATATATCGAACTACTCTTGTATCTAAAAGTTGCGCCAACAACGAATTCAAAAGCTTAAGTATAGCACCAGGAACTGCCAGCACTGCTTTTGCTGATTGCGCTGACAACTCGATTTCACGAAACACCTCCCTACAACCACGATGACAGACGTCGAAAACGCACTTTCCGTAGCAGGACGAGGAGACCTCCGACGCTCAATCGCAGCCACAAAAGACGCCTACATTGAAGCAATCCCCAAAGTCGAACTTCACGTTCACATCGAAGGAATCATAAGTGCCGATCTCAAATGGAAGTTCTCCCAGCGAAATGGCCAAACCATCATGAACCCCCGAACCGGTCAACCCTTCTCCTCACTTGATGAGTTGCGAGACTCGCACGATACTTTGAAGCCGCGTACTGGGAACCGTATGGACAACACCGAAGAGACGCTCTCATTCTTCGAGGCGTATTACGGCGGCTTCGAGGTATTGAAAACGCAGCAGGATTACTATGATCTTGCTATGGAGTATTACGAGCGTGCTGACGACATGAATGTGCGTTATGCAGAGATTTTCTTTGATCCGCAGGGGCATACGCGTGTAGGGACGAGTTGGGAGGCGATGATGCGCGGATTCCGAGAGGCGACGTGGGACGCTGATCAGATTCTCAATGTAAGCCCCGAGAGTCCCTTCAAGAGAGATGCTTTGCTAACTGTAAAACACAGGTCAAGTCGAAATGGATCATGTGTTTCCTTCGAGACGAATCACCAGAGTCTGCGATGCAACATTACGAGGCAGCGCTTCCATACCGCGATGTGATTGTTGGCATCGGTCTTGATTCAAATGAAGTCGACAGGCCACCTTCGCTGTTTGACGACATCTTTGTCCGTGCGCGGAATGATGGCTTTCGTCTTACAGCGCATTGTGATGTTGGCAAGCCGTATCCCCTCGAACATATCCGCCAGGTGACATCCAGTATCGCGGGCACAGGTGCGGATCGAATCGACCATGGACTGAACGCCGCCGGTGATGCGAATCTCATGGCGTTGATTAAAGAGAAGGGGCTCGGAATGACAATTTGTCCTTGGAGCTATATTCGGCATCAACCGATGGACGAGGTATTTGAACGTATTCGCGCTCTCTTCGATGCCGGTATCGTGATTAGTATTGCGAGCGACGACCCGGCGTTTATGGAGGATACGTGGGTGTGGGAGAATTTGCTTGTGGTGAAGAAGTACTGTAACTTTACCAATTTGGAGATACAGAGGTTGGCAGAGAATGCTATCAAGATGAGCTGGGCGGAAGAAGACGTGAAAAGCTCTATATTGAAGGTGTTGTACAGTATCGATCCAGGTACATAGATGGTCTGCTATATCGTCGCCTTGCGCTCGTGCAAGAAGACAACGATCAGATCATTACAATACGATGAACATGTGAACTCTTTCCCACCACGCACACGCACTCCTCACAATCTCTTCAGAACCTTAGTGTCTAAACGTAGGCGCGCGACGAGGACAAGAAAAGTGGCAAGAACACCCGTCCCCGCAGCGTAAAAGATAGCAGCCCTGTACGGTTCAATCGAAGTAGAGTCCGCCGCACCAGTCGCTTCAATCAACAGCCCCGCAAGAGGAGCGCCAAGGAGATAACCTGGAGTCCAGAAGAATACCATAACAGCGATGGACGCCGCTGCCGAATGTGGAGCGACCACGGTGACGGCGGTGGGTAGACTGACAAAGAAGCTGCCATTCGCACAACCATTCACGAGAGCGAAGACGAATAGAGGAGCCAACGACGTGCTGACTGGCCAGATGGCTAGCATGCTGACTGAGTTGACCAGACAGGTGATCATCAACGTGTTGAAGGCACCGATCTTATCGCATGTCCATCCGCCCAGGATACGACCGACTGCTGTTGCCGCACCGAATCCACCAACCAGTCCTGCACCAGTTCCGGCTGACAAACCGATCGAGCTCGCAAACAGCGGCAGGAAGAAGGGCGGTACGAATAGTGCGAAGACGCCGACTGCACCGGCCATGGTCAGCGTGAGGAAAGGGACGTTCTTCAACAGCGACCAGTCGAACCGCGAAAGCGTGCCAGTCGTCGTGCATTCCTTTAACGGCAATGTACATGGAATATCAGTCGCCATAATAAGGGTGCCCAAGATGCGAAACGTCCACTGCAGGCCAAACTTGTCGATGAGTCCCTGCGCAGCAAGCGGAAGCACCGTCGCGCCAACACCACCACCAGCCTTGACAACACCATTTGCAATACCCGGCTTAGAGCTGAACCACTGCAACGGCAGACTATTAGTCGCCGCATACAACAGCGACGTCCCGACGCCCATGGACAGCCCCGCAATACAAAACAAGCCACTGAGATGATCCAAGGTAAAACTTGTAGCAACCAGACTCATTCCAAAAAGAATCGTTGCGGTAAGGCCCGTGTATCGCACACCAAAAGACCTCATAACTCTTATCCCCGCGATGCCAAACGCGACCATGACAGCCATATACAAACTGCTGACGAAAGTGATGGTGCGAAAATTAGTGTTTAGCGCGGGTGATTTCAAAATCGCGGTTTGGAGGACGCCCCATGCGGTTGTGTAGCCGTTGATCCAGAAGAGGAGGAAGGAGCAGGATGCGACGACGGTCCAGCCGTAGCCGCCATCTGGGATGGCTTCTGCTGCATCAGCGGGAGGCTGTTCGGAGTCCTCAAGGCCGGTTGGGTCAGAGTGTTGCTCGAATGGGATAGATGCTTTGCTTGGGGTGAAGTGGACCTGAGAGTCGGCAGGGGATGCGAGGTCGCGAAGGGGAACGATGGTCTGAGTTGTCGACATTCTGTGCTGGCCTTGTCGTATCACACAGAGGGCTGAGAGCACGTCTCTTCATATCGAGGCGAGAACATCGCGGCACCTTTATACTTTATCCAGAGGAGACACAGGGTGTAGAGACATACGCTAGGGCGTGAGTATGCAATGTTGACAATTGCTTCGCTTAGACTCCAAGATTTGTAATGCGCTACCACGGCTGTGCCAAGCAAGGGCAGAACTGAGTGAGTTAGCAGTATCGGGGTTAGTGTCCGAGAAGGAAAGTAATCAAGATGCAGCAGGTTCTATGAGGACTCCAGTATACGTGGGTCGCGTGCGCAGATTCTGCGTCTCTGAGTCTACTATCCGTTTGCATGTATATGCAGGAAGATTGTAAAACAGCCTCGCTTGACCTCACGATGAGACAAGGTATCTCGCTTCATCTGCCGCATCTGGTCTTACCAGTAGCGAGTGTCAATGTTGATGCATGTCAGACGTACCTCCTGCTCAATGCGGGTCTAAAGGCGAGTCTAACTGGAAAAAGTCCTGGTATTGTGTAGGCCCAAGAACATCTTGGCTACCTGTGGCAGATACTCGTGGACAGCAATAAGGCGGACCACGTGACGAGATGGAGTGCACCCAGCTTGATGTCTGGGCGGCAACCTTGGACCAGCATAGGCGCTAGAAGAATGCAACGTTTGGCAAGCGATGTAGAGTCGATCGATGGCTCTTTCCTTTCACAGGTGGCCGTGATGATGCGGGGTTTGCAACCAGTGGGTGCAACGGACAGGCTGGATGAGGGTAAGACAATGCGATAGCAGAAATGATGTGGCGCAGTATGCCGAACGTGCCACACTGTATACGTGGACGCGAATGATTCACTTGCTGTGCACTGGGTGTGAGTTGGTAAGTGGCGGTTACTGAGTGAAGAGGAGATCAACTCTTCCGCAGTTGGTGTTGGCGTGAGCGGAACTTGTGACAGTAGATCAATGGCGCGGATGCCGACCGTAGAAGTGACGATGACATACCTGTGAAGCGCAGCAGGTAGACACCTGTGATGTGTGGCGATGCGTGAATGTCGGGTTCATGATCAAGTGTTGTCGCCAAGGGCGGACGCGTCGTGTGTGGCCAGCACAGCCACAGGCAATGACATAATCCCCGCCTCGGCCGCCCGCCATGCTTCCTGCCCATCGCCATCGGCAGCACAGGCATAAGCAACGCAGCCGCGCTCTTTTCTCCGCAATCCGCTCCTGATACCCCAACTACCTCATACTCTCCCCCCACACGCGCGCCAAGATGGGTTTCAGTCTCAACAACCCGCTGCCCTCGTCCATGAGCAGTAAGTCACATGCAGCCCACTATGTTTATGCGCGGCTCGCGGTCCGGTGACGTCGCTAATAGCTCTGCTCTCCAGGCGAATGTCGTAAGACGGGAAAGATTCTTGCATCCTTTGTCGACCCCAGACAGGCGTTTGGGCCTGACAAGATTATCCCGCCCAATGTCCTCGCCAATGCAAAGGTAAGGACTCGACGCGCATCCGGTGTCACGAAGCTGCCCAAGCAAACACTCCACATCTCAGGCCTCCACACAACTACATGCCATGATGCTGACATATCCTAGGGCCTCGCGATTCTCACAGTCTTCAAGGCTGGCTTCCTCGGCACAGCGCGATTCGGATCGGGCGTCGTCGTTGCCCGTCTCGCGGACGGATCGTGGTCGGCACCCACTGCCATCGGAACCATCGGCGGCGGCTTCGGCGGACAGATTGGCTTTGAGCTCACCGACTTCGTCTTCATCCTCAACGATGCATCCGCCGTCCGTACGTTTGCGCAGGCAGGTTCGTTGACATTGGGCGGCAATGTCTCCATCGCGGCAGGACCCGTCGGTCGCAATGCCGAGGCTGCCGGCGCGGCGAGTCTGAAGGGCGTAGCTGGTATTTTCAGCTACAGCAAGACAAAGGGACTGTTCGCTGGTGTCAGTCTGGAGGGAAGCGGCATCATCGAGCGGAGAGACGCCAACGAAAAGCTCTACGGCCGCCGATGGACTGCCCGCGAGATTCTCAGCGGCCAAGTCCCCCCACCACCAGCCGCCGCGCCGCTCCTGCAGGTTCTCAACTCAAGAGTCTTTGCCGGAGTAGGAGGAGCGCAGAATGTTACCAACGACGCCATGTACAACGACATCCCCGTCTACGACAACTCGCGCGACAACGTAGTATGGCAGGGCCGCGAGGGCTCAGCCATGGGCGAAGGCGTGCGTCGTGACCGCACAGGCTCCGTGGGCCAGGGACACAATGACTACGAGTACCGAGACCGACCGCAGCACTCATCTACATGGGCGGATGACGTATACGACCGACAGCCATCCTCGGCACCAGGAGGTCTCAACCGCTCCTTCTCTACTCGCGCAAATCCCACCGAGACCTTCGACCGCATGGACAACCGGAGCCGCTCTTCTACTTTCGGCGACGACTACTCGTACAGCGATCGCAAGCCTGGCCGACCGACGGCGCCGAAGCCAGTATTTGGACAAACCACGGGACAGAAGAAGGCAGGACTGCAATCCGACCAGGCAATTGCCAAGTTCACCTTTGATGCGGACCAGCCGGGCGATCTCGGCTTTAAGAAGGGCGAGATTATCACAATCCTGAAGAGGACGGATAACGAGACAGACTGGTGGACAGGCAGAGTCGGAAACCGAGAGGGCATCTTCCCAAGGTAAGTCGCACAGGCCATGCCATCATCAACATTCCACTGACAGCCACAGCAACTACGTCGAGACCGTATAGAGTCGTCCCTGGCGCGTACACGATACCCACAACGAACCCTCCCGGTCGATGCAACCTCGAAGATACCACAACCCTGACCACGTAGACTGTCACACCTCGTTTCATTTATAGTCTAGCGACATTCTTCAACTTCCTTTCGAGCGGTCGGCATTTAGCACCTTGCTTGCTTTCGCATGGCCTGGCGTTTCTTCTTTGAGTTCGTTATCAGTTCTCCTTGTTGCCTTTACCCCAGATACCTACGTAGCGAACAGAAGTTGATGAATCAAGATACATAGTGAGTCTGCTTGCAAGTGGAGTATGGGCAAATATGTATTGGAGTTACCCCAATTCCCGAGGTGGAGACGGCCGGCGGAACATCGTATCAATGACTTACCGATGGCTCCGACCCCCGCCTCATGCTGCCCCTCATGTTCACCCACTGCGGTATGCGCATCGGCAGAAGAATACCCTGCATTGGCCTCCCTGATACGTGTCATAAGAAGTGAAGCTACGCTAATGTGGAAGGTACTTAGAGCAACTGCTCGATAGCTACCCCACTTGGCCGTTGGGTAGCTTCGAAGCTATCAACGACCATCAATCCTCAACATCATTCCCGCGGCTGCATATCTTAAGTCCGGAACCGCTCTCGTGCCTGACTTGCTGCGGTACTTCCCCTCAAACACCAACTACTTGTGGAATATAATAATTGCCAACGCCTTGCACCAACGCCTCAAACCGACATCATGACGAAATCATCGTGGGAAGAGACCGCTAGCAAGAAGCGCGAAGCTATCTTAGCTGCCATACCCTCGGAATGGCGACTAGAGAAGTTGCCATCGGTAGAAGAACAGGTCGATGTCACAGACTATGTGAAGCAGTACTTCAGCAAGCAAGAGCTCGACATTACCGA